CTTTTATCGACCGGCTGCTGCTCGTTCAGCGGGATCTGAACCTTACCGATACCGTCACAACGATAATTTACACCGCGCCAGCTGGGCGCTTCTAGCCTGAAAGAAGCAGAATTAGGACGTCGAAAATCTACTGGGATACTGCAGAAGGAAATTTTTTTTTTTTTCATTCGTCATTTCGAATCCTCGCTAGCGACAATGGGATACGACGAGTATGAGAGCTATGAGCGCCAGACGGAGCGGTCCAGATGGACGCCTCTGACGCGGATGCTGCTATCTGGAGAGATGACACAGGAGAAACAGCAGGAGCTGACAAACCGGGAAAAGTTCGATCGATGGATGATTAACGAGGGTTACCGAAGAGTGTACGTGCATTATACTTCCATTTGCTGGACATGATATGGGTTGTGAGAAACAAAACGGGAGGCGGGATAAGCAATGAGCCCATTTAACTAACAACACGGGCAGGTTCGTTTTCGTCTTCATGCTCGCCCACGCCCTGATTTTCGCTTTTGCTTGCGTTCACTATGGCGTCAAAGACAGTTTGGCGGGAGCCCGAAGCATCTTTGGCTTCACATTCGTTATTGCCCGAGCCTCTGCCCTGGTCCTCCACGTCGATGTCGGCATCGTTCTCTTCCCCGTCTGCAGAACCCTGATCTCGCTCCTCCGACAGACTCCCCTGAATGGTGTTATCCAATTCGACAAGAACATCACATTCCACATCACGACGGCCTGGTCGATTGTGTTTTTCTCCTGGGTTCACACCATTTCTCATTGGAACAACTTTGCTCAGGTGGCAATCAAGAACAACCTAGGAGTCTATGGCTGGCTGCTTGCCAACTTCGCCTCTGGCCCCGGCTGGACTGGATACATCATGTTGATTGCGCTTATGGGCATGGTGTTCACTTCGGTTGAGAAGCCTCGACGGGCCAACTACGAACGATTCTGGTACACTCACCACATGTTCATCATCTTCTTCCTCTTCTGGGCCATCCACGGAGCCTTCTGCATGATTCAGCCTGACGTGGCGCCGTTCTGCACCAGCATTGGACCTTCGGCTATCGGTGTGTTTTGGCAGTACTGGACGTACGGAGGATTCATCTACCTGGCGGAGAGAATTGCCCGAGAGATTCGTGGACACCACAAGACGTACATCTCAAAGGTCATCCAGCACCCCAGCAATGTCTGCGAGATCCAGATCAAGAAGGAGAACACCAAGACGCGAGCCGGACAATACATTTTCTTCTGTTGCCCGGCTGTGTCTCTCTGGCAATACCACCCCTTTACCTTGACCAGCGCTCCTGAGGAGGACTACATCTCTATCCACATACGTTGCGTAGGCGACTTTACCAAGGAGGTCTCGACTCTTCTGGGCTGCGAGTGGGACAAGAAAGGCAACTCGAGTAAGGTGGTTGGAGTTTCTGGAGACGAAAACACCGATCCAGCCCTGAAGCGCGTTCTGCCCCGAGTTTACATTGACGGACCCTTCGGATCTGCCTCTGAGGACGTTTTCAAATATGAAGTGGCGGTCCTCGTCGGAGCCGGTATTGGTGTTACGCCCTTTGCTTCTATCCTCAAGTCCATCTGGTACCGCATGAACTATCCCCAGCAGAAGACACGGCTGCGAAAGGTCTACTTCTTCTGGATCTGCCGAGACTTTGGCTCCTTTGAGTGGTTTCGATCGCTGCTGCTTGCCGTGGAGGCCCAGGACGTGGACAACCGCATCGAGATCCACACGTATCTGACGGCCAAGATCAAGGCAGACGATGCCACCAACATTATGATCAACGACGCCAACGCCGATAAAGATGCCATTACAGGCTTGAGAAGTCCCACCAACTTTGGTCGTCCCAACTGGGACATGATTTTCCGAGGTATCCGGAAGCTGCACACTCCTGCCGAAGCTGGTGTGTTTTTCTGTGGACCCAAAGGGCTGGGAAGTTCCCTGCACGTTTACTGCAACAAGTATACAGATCCCGAGTAAGTTTTTTTCCTCATATAATTCAATTTAATTGGGTGGTGATGGGGGAGATGTATGTATGTGGCATCATTTACTAATTCGGCTTCTACTCAGGTTCTCATTCGTCTGGGGCAAGGAAAACTTTTAGGCAAAAACCTTACCTACTTTACTCGCGTCCGAGAGAAGAAAAAAAAAAGAAATCTTTGTCAATGGGCTTTTCCGCTGTAGTGCCTTTTTTTTTTGTCCCCTTTCTTTCTTTATTGTTTTTTTCCCTTTGTCGGCCTTTCTGTCCCTCTCATGATACCAAAAGCCTCTGCTCTCAGTTGGATAGAGAAGCCAACCCCCCCTTTTTATCTATAAACGTAATAATTCCCATTAAAAAAGCTCTTGCGCTGGACGCAACGCATACAACGTAACTGTTAGCGAGCGGCTAGAGGGGAGAGCTGACAAAGAAAGGAGAGTAAGGATATAAGAGAGATGGGATGAGAGAGAGTGAGAGGGCTGTGTTTTGTCAAATGTTCTAAGCTAGATGAGAGACGATATTATATACTATCTACGAGTGTGCACATCTTTGCATCATGCAAATGTAGAGCAAGATTGAGTGAATAAACCTTTTTTTATATGCTTGAAGCATGATACCTATATCCACAGATGTCAGCGTAGGCTATATCTAACTTTGTTTGACAGGTTGTTTATTCTCCGCCCAGAAACTAATACTAGGTAGTAGTATAAGATCTGCGGATATTAAATAAGGATGCTTACATAGTGGTCTATGCTTGGAATCAGCCAGCAGCGACAGCAGCACAATGAGGCAGGTGGTCACGTCGTGAGAACGTTACACTGTTATTCAAGGATATCGATATCGACCAAAAAGGCGCCGAATGGATACACGTACGGCATTACTCTGCTCGGCCAACCAGGTTTACGCCAAGTGACAGGATTTGGGGGCACAGCCGTACGGATGATAAGCAGTCCGTTATCTGACTGAAGCAGAAGATGTCCAAACCACACCGTAAGCATCATGTGCTGTCCGTCATAATGTACATACATGTATAATGTCATGCCCAAGGAGGATCATCACGAGGGTGGCCCGATGCAGGGCGGCGGCCGTTGGACATTCCAGCGGATGATGTGGTTGGACGATTCTGAGATGGATAGATGGCACTAGCACCGTTAGTTAGCATGCAATTGGCAAGGGCCTGTGCAGAAGAACAGGAATAGAAAAAAAAAAAGCGTTCGCATCTGGTTTCTCTCATTCGCATCAGTTGCCCGTCTTGGTTTCATGGCGAGACAGAAGCAGTGTGTAAGCAGCCGCTTTTGGTGGCGAGGGAGAGAATATAGCAAAAGTGGCTTGCGCTTTTGTTTTACAGTATTATTCGGCCTCGGCGTTGGAAGGAGGAATGGAACAGGATGAAACTGGGCTCGTATTGCGCGCTGGGAGGGAGCAGAAACCGATCGTATTTACACGACGGTGCTTGCAATACGGCGGCGTGTTGTAGTGCGCAGATGATGTTGAGATGCGGTAATATACGGTTGATTCTACTGTATAACAAGGACAAAGACAGGACAAGACAAGCCCACACCCATCATTCAGAGGTGTCGCTGCTAGTGTTTGAATCATTGGATGCTAGTGCGGTGTTTTGCGCGTCATGACGCATAGCGAGCCGTTCGCACCCTCGCCGCCAGTAAGTCTTACGATGTTGAGCAAAGTGCCGGCGATTCTTGGTGACCAGGTTAGAGGCGGTAGCGTGTACATGCTTGATAACATACCCTGGCCTGGCGCTCCAAGCGATGACGATGACGGTAGTTGCGCCAATGGATGATGCGTCCAAGTTACTACTGCGCAATATAAGTGCCGGATCATATGGAAGGTATACAATACTCTTAAAAATGTGCGCTTCGAGACCCAAAGAACTTGAAACAGCCGACGAGGTGGCATCGCCAGCGAATGCTCCGACAGCACCGGCGAGGCCTCGGAGTACCGGTACTTCGTATCGAACTGGCAGGTGACAGGCGGACGGAGTCTGCGCTGCTCGGCCAGTTTCAGGGGGGGGAGTCCCTCTTTTTTTTTTCTGGTTCTCTTCAGTTCTTTTTTAGGTCGCCTGGCCGTCTCTTTTTGGCCGGCTGCTCTGCGTTCTGGGCAGCGGTTCGTATTCAAATGAGGGCCCTCTTGCTTTGCCACTTTTTCACGGCTAAGCCCAACGCGGCCCAAGGGCCCTTTGTCCTTGAAGTACTGCTACCTCAGCTAGCAACTGCTGGAGGCCCAATAGCCTGCGGGATCTTTGAAGTTGCCGCTGCTGAGTCGCTGCATGTGACGGCCAGTCCATTGTCGTGCTGCTTCATTATTCATTCATCCTCCTTCAGCCACGAATGCCCGGGAGGGAGCCTGTCATGTGGCGGCGCCTGCTCGTGCTTGGGCCCGTGCTTGGATCTTGTACCTGCTATACCCAGTATCCACGTAACGTTGTTCCTTTTACAGCGCCTCTGCAATGCTGTGGTGTCTGGTGCATTAGTGGCCCTGATGGTCGTTTTTAGCGGACTGCGAGCACCCGCAGCGGGAACCTGGAGCTCGCGTTCAGGTGCTGCCTGAGGTCACTGGAATGGGGCGCTTGTGGAGGTGCTGCAAGTACCCGGCAGTAGAGCGTACCCGCCCCCCCGGCCTGGCTGCGCCTAGGGACGCAGTACCGGTACTTGGCGCAGTACCTGCCCAATTGCCCTAGCTGGGGCGCTGCGTGGCTTCTCCGGAGTCCGCGTGCGCCACCGATTGTTGCGCCAAAAATGGGCTCCCAAACAAACGGGTCGGTTGTTTTTCTTTGCTGGCTTTTCTTGCCCTCTTGCCCGAGTTTATCGTCGACTCCTGCTAACTTGCTTCCTTCCCTACCGACCCCTTCCACTCGCTTGTTTCACTCGCCTGGCACATCGCCGTCAACAGTTTTTTTTTTCTTTTTCTTTTCCCCATCCCCTTGTGCGCCCGCTTCGATATATATGGCCTCTCGTTACTGCTCTGCATAGTCTGACCGAGTATTGATTTTTACCATCCACAATGCGCTTGCCGCTGGCGCTCGCTCTCGGCGCGCTGCTTGGGGCCGCCCAGGCAAAAGTCGTGATCCGAGCCGACAGCAGCTCAACCGCGCCGGCCGAAAGTGGTGATTCACCAGCAGACTCGACGACGCCGCCTCCCACCTCGTCGCCGTCATCGACTCCTCCTCCGGGCTCCTCGTCCTCGCCGAGCGCTGGGGGCGGCGGCAGCACCACGACCATCACCCAGACTGACACCGTCACCAACACCGCGGGCGGCAAGACGTCAACAGCCACCAAGACTCTGACGACCACGGTCACAACCACGGTTGTCGTCACCTCCACGGCCTTCACGACCACCACTGTTACGAGCAGCAACGCGCAGACGGCCACCAAGACGGAGTATGACACCACCACGGTCTTTGTGACGCCCACACCCACCGGACCTGCCCAGAAGCGAAATGGATGGATTGTACCGAGAACCACCGCCGATGCCCAGCCTTCTTATGTCCCCAGTGCTGAAGATGTCGAGCATTATCTGGCTATGCGTGGTCTGCAAGGGCGTGATATCGTCACCGATGTTGTGACGGTGACTGTTGGAGGAGGTGGCAGCGATACCACGATTACCGATACCGTCACCAAGACTGTCAAGGATACCACAACATCCCGCACTACCATCACCAACACCATCACTGAGACGGATCAAGTCAACGCCAAGACCACGATTACCACCACCAGCACCTTGACCGTCACCTCCACTGTTGTTAGCACCGGCGTCGTGGAGACATCAACTGGCCCGGTCAGCTCGGCCACAGGCGCTGCCAACGGCAATACGGGACATGCCTCTGATAGCTCTGGCCTGTCTACCGGCGCTAAGGCTGGTATCGGTGTCGGCGTCGGAGTCGGTGGCCTTCTCCTCATCGGTGCCGCTCTCTTGCTGATCTTGAGACGTCGCAACCGCGGCCCTAGCCCTGATCACGATGATCTGGTCGGTGCTTCTGAAGTCCCGATTGGCGGCGGTGGTGGAGGCGGTGGTCACCAGCAACCCATGTCTTCACACACCGCTTCCGCTGCCGCTTTCCTTGCCCCCGGACGTACCCCAGTCAAGTCACCCGCTCCCGAGGGTTATCGTGGTACCGCTTTAGGCGATGGACGTGCTGGATTTGCCAAACCAGAGCCGTACGGTTCAGCCTACAACACTCCCAGCCCGACTACCACAGCGGCAAACACCGTTAGCCCTGCTTCATTCCCCTCGGCTCAGCTCGCTCCTGCTCATGCTGATGCAGCAGAGCTGGGCAATGACAACCTCAACGCCGCGAAATGGCATGACTCCAATGCCGCCGAAATCGACGGTAACGCTGTCATGAGCCACCAGAGTGGGCCTGTGTACGAAATGCCCACGCAAAACTACCACTAAGGGAGATAAAAAAAAAGGGAGGGCATCACCAAGGAGTTTTGGCTAGAAGACTGGGCCGATTCGACGACTGAAGCGACCACAGTCTCCAGGTAATCTACGGCCGCGGCGGGAGCATACAAGACGTGTGTCTTTTGTATATACTGTCCATACCCGTCGCGTTCATCGCGAACTAGGCTTAATGTACGAGGGCGGTTTGACGATTCTCACAATCGTGGGGAAGATTCTCGGACTGAAGTGAACGTATGAAGCTAACGATAGAAGAGAGGCTATGCAAATGGGAAGACGGCAGACGTTGGAAGATTTGGAAGATGCTACTCGACATGTGACGAATGAAATTCAGGAAGTTTTGGAGAGCAGATGGATGCCTTTGATTGGCTCTGTTCTGCGTAGCCAATTTTATGTATCTTTAATAATGGACCGATTCAATTCATACCAATTTTTTCTTTTTTTATGTATAACCTGATGGTCTTGTTGCGAGCTGTATAAGGATTTGCCATTGAAATATGAAGTTCCTGACGGACAAGCACAGCGATGCGAGTGTCACGTATAAAACGCCCCTTATATCTGCCCAGGGGCTACGGCGGAGAAAAGCCGGCTATGCTTTAGCCGATTGGAGAAATTTGAGGTAAACCTTGAGGAAATTAAGGTAAAGAAGCTTAATGGGTTTAAGGACGCAGACTAGTGGCTAATGCAAGGTATGTGGCGATGTAAAAGGACAAAGAATAGTACAATGGAATAAAATAAAATGAATTACTTGTAGCTTCTTTGGTTTAGTGCTTTTCTTAATACGCCCAAGGTCAAATAAACCAAAAAAATGACAAAGGCTGTTAGCCAGAGTTGCGGAGGTGTTGTTATATCTTGAGAGGATGAATACAAAACTACCTATGTTAATGCAGTCAATAGTCACCACCCATCTCTCAAGTCTCGCAGAAGGCGGTGTGCCTGACCCAGAAGAAGAGATACAAAAGGCAGCAAGAAAAAGAACCGCCCTATCGGCTGGTCGCACACATGCTGGTTGAGCAAGATCTGTCCGAGCTGACGAAATATGAGTAACCATGTATATGTATGCTATGTAGGATGGCGAGATCTTATCGACTGATGGATTGATAAGCTTGCATAAAAGAAGAGAGGAGGATGAATTAGTATTAGGAATTTCTCGCTAAGTGCTTTCTTTTTGTAAGAATATTTCCCTCACAGGTCCGAATTGCGGAACACGCTAATTAATTTCGCGGGAGTGGCCAACCACGCCACTATTCAGTTCTATTTTTTTTTCTCCTCGGGACTAATTAATATAGAAAGAATTATTGCAAATACTAGGCATTGTGACTCCTCTTTTTTTTTTTTCTTATTGTGGCTTTCAGCTTTCTTACTCGTTATTGTTTTTGTTTTCATGTCTCACATGAACATTGGTTTACGCATTTCAAAATAAATCTTGGCAACTAGTATTACGATACGTCGTAATTCCGAAGCTTGTTTTTTTTTTCCCCTTCTCTGAGACATTGGCGGCTATTTGTCTGTTTGTGGTCACTATGTCGGATTGAGTGAGACCAGGGTCAGCTTTTCTTTTTCTTTTCATGCTCATACGTCGTGGTGAGACATTCCAGCCTCTTTCTACGAGTGGCTTCGCAAAAGTACCCGAAACTGAGCGGAGAGAAAAAGAAACCTCTTGTCTACTTTTCTTTCGTGTTTCTCTCCTGAGCAGCAGCTATTACTCAAACTATTCCTTCTTAACTGGACGAGCAAAGTTTCTTCAAGTCGGGGGACTTAGGAATTCACTTCGGGCGTAAGGGGGATCGCCAACAATGGCGCCAGCATCAGAGATGGCGGTGGCTGCAATGGCCGAGGACGATAACAAGACGACTAGAGCCCAAGAGGCCGCTGCGGTGGAATCAGATACCGAAACATTGCTTCAAGGCGCGGATGAGAAAAAGTTGCTGCGGAAGCTGGATCTCTACATTATCCCTCTCGTCATGGGCTTGTATTTGTTTAGTTTCCTCGACAGGTGAGATATACTCTCTCAGCTTTGCGGTTTTCCTCTCTTGTGTCCATTCACGCTGCTTGCAGCTAATTATGTGGAAAATCTTGAAGCCAGCGGAACTAATGACTTACAGGGTTAATATTGGCAACGCTCGGCTGTACGGACTCGAGCAAGATCTTCACCTCTCATCCGAACAGTTTCAGGTGACCGTTTCCATCCTCTTCGTCACATATCTCCTCTTTGAGGTGCCGTCAAACCTCGTGCTAAAGCTCTTCACTCCCCGTCTATGGGTATCGTTCATCGTCATAGCATGGGGCATCATTGCCACCCTTTCAGGACTGGTACAGTCATACGGGGCACTCATCGCCTGTCGTCTGCTCTTGGGAGTCGTCGAGGCAGGCTTGTTCCCCGGCCTCAGCGTCTATCTCACCTTCTTTTACACCAAGCACGAGCTGGCCTTGAGGATTGGCTATCTCTTTGTCAGTGCTGCTATAGCCGGCGCTCTGGGCGGACTGTTGGCTTACGGCATTGGGCACATGGATGGCGTCTGTGGCATGAGTGGGTGGCGGTGGATTCTCATCATCGAGGGCATCCCGAGCGTGATTCTTGGTGTAGTCACTTTCATTGCGCTACCGAATGATGCGGAATCTGCATACTTCCTTACAAAAGAGGAGAAACTGCTCATGGAAGAGAGACACAGGCGGGAATACGGAAATACAGCGACAAGCCGTGAATTTAGCCGAGTGGATATGATGAGGGCTTTCAAAGACTGGAAGGTGTGGGCGTTTTCCTTTGCGCAGTTTGGCGTTGATACTATGCTCTATGGTAAGTGTCCTTTCACTTTTGTACTTTTTGTCGCTGGCAAGTAGGAAAGGGAGCAAGGTGTAAAGGATATGCTCACTAAAAACATTCTTAATATCTAACGTTTTTTTATAGGCTTCTCGACTTTCTTGCCCACAATCATTGATGCTCTCGGCGAATGGAGCGTTGCCCAAGTCCAGCTCCTTACCATCCCGTGCTACTTCCTCGGAGCGGTGACTTACATGATTGTTGCTATGCTTTCTGATAGATTCCAAATGCGAGGAATATTCTGTGTCATCTTTGGCTGCATAAGCATTATCGGGTACGGTGTCCTGTTGTCCGACTCGGCTCCTGGAGTGCACTATTTTGGATGTTTCCTTGTTGCGGGAGGTTTGTATGTTGTTGTTGGTCTTCCAATTGCCTGGGTAAGCTTAAATCTCATAATAATTTCCCACAAAAGCAAACAGCCATCTAACATTCGTATATAATAGTTGCCAAATAATACCCCTCGATATGGCAAAAGAACAACTGCAACAGGTTTGCAGCTTACTTTCGGAAACGCCTCTGGAATCATGTCTGCGTTCATATAGTAAGCCTCTCCAAAGTAATCACCGGTATTGGGACAAAAAGTCTTTTGCTAACTGTTGCCATGTAGCCCTGCGCTTGATAAGCCACGATTCATTCGCGGCCATGCCGTCTCACTCAGCATGGTTGGAGTGGGTAGCTGCATATATGGGCTTCTCTGGTACTGGCTTTGGAAGGAAAATAAGCGCCGCGATGCTGGAGAATTGCCGCGAGAGCATCAGGGGCTGCCGGAAGATGAGCTGAAGGAGCTGGGAGACGACAGCCCTCATTACAGATACACGATTTAATGCGCAAAAACAAAGATTCAGCAACATTACGTTTGAGAAGAATACTCTAACGTGGAATTAACGGATAGATGAAAGCATCTATAGAAGGCTGGTCAACCAATACACTGTTGGGCTGTGGAATTATAAGCTTTGCCAAAGTTTGGGGGGAAATGTAATAATATGATGAAATGATCTATTTAATGCTACTCTTAGAATTGGCTAACAAAGATAATAAAGATGGTATAATTTTTTTAAGATTTATTCTTTGGTGTCATACTTCATCACATCATATATCGTGTATGTGCTCTATCTTGAAGCAAAATTCCTTAATTTCCAAGCATTGTAACAATTGAACAATAGCAGCCGTGCAACGTCAAGTCTCTGTAATATATCGCCGCGTTTATACTCACTCTATGCCCTCAATAAGACGAAGATTTTGCGGTGGCTTGACTCTCACCTTGACTCGTTTCTCATTCGCAAATAATCTCCATATATCTCGTAACACAAAATCCTTCTTCACCCCCTCTTCATCTGCATAAGCTCTCGTGAACCCTCGTTTTAGGTACTGCAGTTCTTGGAAGCGCCTCCAAGCTGAATTCTCATAGTTCATGGTTCTCCTCTGCATGAAGCTTTTCATTTGGCAATACTCGTGCTCTTGTGACCATAGCTGGTGCCAGGGATCGACAAGGGCTTGAGTAGTGGGAGATAGCGGGAGAAATGGTGTCCAGATGGGTCGACTGACGGCCAAGAAATTGAATGCATGCAGGGTGGCGAGCTGCAGAGAAATTTGGGCAGCAGTAGGAGGTATCTTTTCTTCAAGGGAAGAGCAGTTATTGGTGATAGGGCTCTCGCTGGGTTCTTCGCTGTTTGGTACCGGCTGAGATGTTTGGTCGCTCACTGCACCGCCAGATATTTTTCTTTGTAGTTTCTCCAAAATTTCTTGAATGTCAGGTGCGTTGATATCCAAGTCTTTCCGAAGCTCAATATCGAGCAGTCTATGTTGGTGTAGGCTATTTATGTCGCATTTATCTTTGCACCTTGAGCACCACGAAGTTTCACAAAGAGGGCAATAGACGTAGGGATCGTAAATCGACTCATCGCAAAGAGCGCATACTTGTAGGGCTACCGATCCCATGTAGCATCCATCATCGTCCCAGCCAACTTGTGGCCTTGCGAGAACAAATTCGGCCAACACTTTTATGTCTGCGTCGAAATCATCTTGTCGTGCAAAAAGGAGGCTGAGAATGTAGTCCAGTATGAGAAAATGTTCTTCTGTAGTGCGGGGCCCCTCAAGAAGCTCCTTTATACTAGAGAGAAGCGTTTTGTCTAGCTCAGGTATTGCAGAAGGCTTGGCGGCGAAATCATTCAAGGCGCAATCAATCGGAGTGAGTCCAGCGATACTGGGTTCATTTATGATGTCGGAAAAAACGTCTTTCCCCGTCTCTTTGAATATGGTATCACATACTGATACTAGGCGGGGAGTGATTGGCAGTACTTTTCGAGATCGAGCAAGTATGGGGAAAAGAGTGCCTCCATAATAGTCCTTGTGAGTTAGATGATCCAACAACCCCCAGCGTGGTTCAAGCAGCAGATCTATGATACTTGGGGCTTTTTTATTGCTTGTATGAGAAACAAGTTGAAGGGCTGTCCGCCATGTCTCTTCACGACCAGCGCTCCTCTGCGCACGTATCGGATCGGCGCCACGCTCAAGGAGCCATTTGACGTGCCTTGCTTCGGCATCTACAATAGCCAGTCCAAGGATAGTAAGCCCAGTCTCGTTATCGACGGCGTTTATATCTAAACCACTTTGTAGCAGTAGATCCAGGATTTTGAAAGCCTTGTCGCCTTTAGCTTCAAAGATTCTGTTAAAAGAGTTCGTCGTACTGGCACCATTTGGGAGATAAATTTCTGCTCCGGCGTCAAGAAGCATTTTGATCATCTCGATGTTCCCGTGCTCACAAGCATATACAAGAGGGGTGCAATTGAAAGTAGTGGGGACATTGATCATCTGCGGCGCAGCTTCCAGAACCATCTTGGCGATCTCCAAGTCTCCCACATCACAAGCAGTGAATAGGGGAGATTCCTTATAGTAATAGCTGAGTTGATCTGCTTTGGCGCCTTTATCCAACAGAAAGCGAACAACTTCTTTCTGCTTTCGATGACATGCGATAAACAAGGGCGACTCAATCATAAAGCCCTTTTCTATTTGAAGGTCCAAAAATGCCGGTTCGTGTTGTAACAGAATATCACAGATTTTAATATGGCCGAACCTAGCAGCATTGTGGAAGGGCGATACCGTTTCGCCCGACTCGAGATATTTGCTCAAGTCTGCTCCATACTCTAGTAAAATAGAAACAGTCTCAGCATCGCCTTGGCCGACGGCGCTCATAACACAGTGTTGTTCGTTCTCTCGGATGTAGTTGACATCAGGAGGTTGTCGCGATTCCATAAGCTGTCTTATGATCTTGGGAATAGGACGCTTTCTCGTCACAGCCGTTTCAATCAAAGCGGTAACCCCGTAGCCTTCTTCCACGGACGCGTCTGCGCCGTTTTCAAGAAGTAGCTCTACAATATTCTCAAGACCGAGATCTACTGCATGCCCCAGCGCAGTAAAGGGAAACCAGTTACGTCTGGATTCATTCACTGGAGCTCCATAGAATAACAGCAGCTCTACCATCGCTCTATCCTTCACCATAATGGCTTCGTGAAGTGGCGGCAAAGTGACCATTGGCAGTAGCCCTGGATATGCTCCGGCCTCGAGTAGCCACTCTAGCGCTGTGTAGTTGCGACTGTTGATGGCAAATCCGATGGCTGTTGCGCGTTTGATGTGGAATCGATCCGCTGCTGAGCTCACTGCATCTATTTGCAAATCAGGCCTAACGAGCAGAAGGCGAAGAAACTCTATCCGATCAGCGCCATCGCTGGCAAGATGAATTGGCGCAAATCCAAGCATAGTGGCCTGGTTGATATCCGCAAAGGGGAGAAAGGCCTTGAACATATCGAGCTTTCCGTCGTATATACATCTTGCCAGTGGTGGCTCTCCGCCCAGCATCCATGCCTCTACATCCGCCCCGTGACCGATGAGTATCTCAATAATCTGAGTATTCCCGATAGAGTATGCCCTTTCAAGTGGTGTGAATCCCCATATGTCTGTGACGTTGATCGGAGCATTAAACCTTAGCAGAAGCTGAGCCAGATCGAGTCTGCCACGCACACAAACAACGTGCAAGGGAGTGATACCATAATGCTCACTCATTCTTGGATTAATACCATGTAGTAGTAGTAGTTCAATGACAGCATACACATCCACTCTTTTGCTCACGTCTTCCGACCCCATTAATCGATCTGAAGTAAGACATAACATGAGAGCAGTTCTTCCACCATCATCTCGAGCGTTTATATCAACATTCCATTGTAAAATATGTTCCACTAGAGCAGGGTTTCCGCTAAGGGCCGCTGCCATCAAAACCGTCTGCTCATGCAGCCCCCTGATATTCGGCCATTGCCCACCAAGTAGTTTGGGAGATTGTATGTTTGAAAACGGCATATGCCGCGCCCAGAGTTCAAATTTGCTCTTCCAAGAAGCACGAGGAACTGCCGAGGACGGGAAAAAATGCTGGATAACAGCAAGACATCCCTCCCGAACCATGACCATAATTGGATCCTCGGTAATCACAGCAGTCTTTCCTATCTCTTCTTCGAAGGGCAATGACTTCCAATGGAGCCATGTCCGATATTGGTGGCAATCAATTGATAGGAACGTTTGTAGCAGCGGCACTAAATGTGGGCTGAGTGTATCCAGCTCAGCAAGATAGATTATCCAGCTTTGCGCCGCGAATGGGTAAAAGGGCGCTGTCCTGTTTCTCAACGATAGAGGCAAGGGGGCGCGGAAAGAGTCTTGAAGCAGATATTTAAGACAAATGAAAACCATGTTAATTTGCCTGTGTTCCATCGTGAGATATTTGCTGAGGTGGTCTCTAACAGAGGCATGGACGGAATACACAATAGAATCAATTGGGCTGACCCAGAACAGGTCGCCGCAGAAAGTCTGTATGGACTTCGCAAGACTTTCCACGGGCATATCGTCTTGGCCATAGATGCATTGTATAAAACTTTCGAGCTGTTTGATGGAAAATGTGAGGATGTCGCTATTGTCTTTTGAAGCAATCAATGTGAGAACTGTGCGCAAGTGCCTTTCGCTGTTGTTGGCAGATTGTAGTAAAGGCAGCATCTTCCGTTCGTAGAGCCGCGCCAGCTCCATTGGGATATAGTCTTCTCGCGGTTCTTGGAAAGAGTTTAATGCACTTGAACTCTCAATTTCATCTGCCGCGAGCTTAGCAAAGAGCCAGTAGGTTCCCGCTTTCTGGATAATACGCTCCTTGACCCTGCGTACTAGATCTTCGTCGACCATTTTTGGTCTAGAATTAGAGATGGTTAAGAATCTCTTGTTCAGATAAAGTGAGATATCCTTTTTAATATCATCATTGAGCAAAGAACAACGAGAAGTCGTGCTTGAAGCCGTAAAAGTGGCGTCTGTCCACCGGCTCGTTATGACAAGCTTAACCTTCGTTGGCGTTTCTAGTATGCTGTTTGACCGGTTTTCGGACCCTAGAACCACCGGCTTTCTTAGCTGCTCTATCAAAGCGAAAAATTTGATGAAATTTGCGGGAGGCGTTTGCTCTAAGCCATCCACGATCAAGTATATTGTACGAGGTGAGCAGGCTTTCATAAACGAAGTCCATATCTCAGTGTACGCAGATGAATCGAGGCGATGGTTGGTACCGTCAACTGTGCGTCGGAATTGAACTGGTACGTGAGTGAACCAGCCTGGCCACTCTTTTATCAACTTCCAAGTGAAATACTCCCAAATGGCAGGCCTTTCTTCACCCTTTTGGCAGAAATATCCCATCACAATATCGTCTGGCTTCGAAGACTTGAGATGGGTAAAAATGGCACGTGCCAGGTGCGACTTCCCATGCCCAGGGGCTCCTATGTAGAAGAGTGTGCCGCAATTCGGATCGGTAAGCCAATTTTTGTAGATGGGACCGTCTTTGTACCATTCACAGGTGCCAGCGGCGACGAAAATCTCGTTTCCATAATTACTCTCGGACCAGCCGCGTAGTGATTGAAGAAATTGATCTCTGGAAGCTTTGTCTTCTTTGTCCCTTTTCCGGCGCTCCGGGCTTTGACGGCCATCATCACTTTTGTTCCAGAATCTTCGCCGAGGCTTAACTATAGGACCAGGTTTCCTGATACCAGGATCTGCAATTGGGAGTCGGCTTTCCCGAATCTCCGATGGAGGACGCGGGAAAAGCGTCGGAATCGTTGTCACGGTGCGTTCGGAGAGAGTGTCCACTAAGAATGGAGAAAATATCTCCATAAATTGGATGAATCTGTCGCTGAATACACTTGAAAACCTTGGCAATTCCTCGTGGCTGCATTCTATGATGTGATCGGTGTTGCCTTGCAATTTCTCTTTCTGACACTGTAAGGAGACGATCTACAAGAGTATCAGTAACACTATTTCTTCTTCACGGATATAGATCTACATACAGGACGCCCATGCATGTTTGAACTTGGTCCAATAGATTTTGATGGCAGTTTCTCCCAAAAAGATAGCGTTTTGAGGTAGCTTGGTTTGCAAGAGATGAAGGTAGCGTTGATGCGGCTCGCTATGGAAACGTATTCTCTGATATCTTCACCTCTAGCACCATCTTCCGAACCAAAAGCGTCAGCGGTGCCTCTTACGGCCTGGAGAAGCGCCTCGGAGTCTGTGTCAGTATGAGGAGTGCCGAAGAATGTCACGCCAGCCAGCGCATTTTTTGTCTGCGGGTATGCTGATGTCATGAAACACAGCTGGATTGCCTGTAATTACAGCACCAGTTAATGACTTGACCACCTTATGAAAGACACAGACAGCTGCAAGCCATCTGATTGTGGGAAACTGACTTTTTTCACAATGATGCCTCCGAAGCCGTGGGCGATGAATATCAGTGGTCGTCCCTGGTGGCATTGAGTAAGAAAACCATGTCCAGCGAAAAGGCATCAAGATCAAGGGTCGTACGGTGGATCTCTCGAGAGCTTGCTCCAAACAGCAGAGCAAGTCGCTTGCATGAAAGGCTGGGCTGGAAGATGACAGATTTGAATCTACATCGCCGTTGTAGCTGAAGGAAAAAATGCGGATTGGCCTCCTTATTCGAGTAACGAACTCTTCGTCCTTTATCCAAATTTTACCGGTGGATTCGTCATGCCATGTTGTCTCTGGGTTACCACCATATCCATGGACGAAGACAAGGCTGGAGAATCAAGATTAGCCGTGCTATTGTGATTTTGTGTGAGCATGCAAGCCAGGGACTCACTCAACGTGCGGGCTTGCCTGGGAGAGCCATATGAGTTCCAGATTGAAGTGCACCATATTCATGAATACTTGCGAGACTTAACAGTATTGAATCTCAGCTACGCGTCAAGGCCAAGGGTCATGATGCCTTTGGAAAAAAGAAAATGAAATATTGCACAAAACGCTCTGCGCTGATTTTGATGCGCAGGCGGTGTTTTACAAGCTAAGAGCATCCGCTTAGCAGGCGAGGCTCCAAGCAGTCGCATGACTGCTAAAACGCCCAGACAGCCTATAAGGCGTCTCCCCATGGCGATGATGCCTAGCTGAGCCTCCAGCTGAGAGGCTGGTAGGACAGAATGGCGCCGGCTCTCTCTATTGGCTGCATATTGAACTATCGACTAGCTGGCTGTAGCGCGCGGCCCTCGAGGCAGAGAGAGGCATCCGTGCATAAGAAGGATGTAAGACAAGCATCAATAGCCAGTTGACTCAGTAGGAAGAAGAAAAGAAGTAGAAAGGAAGACAGAAAATTACTACTGCCCCCTTATCAATCAGTCCGGCGTTATCCAGCGACGCTGTACATTCCAGATCCAGGGGAAGCACAGCTGATGTCTCTGGCGACGGAATGGTGGAGTGGCTGGGCTTTGACAGTGGGAGTGACAGCCGAGAGCGATGCGAAGCGAAACACCAAGGGGCGAGACGAAGCTAATACGTGTAAGCACGCACCAATGACCAACGACTGGACTGGCGGCATATGCAGCCATTGCTCTGCCTGTTTTCAAGATTAGGTGCTCCCTAGCGTCGCTGGTTCTCATGCACAAGTATGGAGATGTGGCATATGCTATTATTATAATACTAGTACCTCCGTACGAGGTAGGTATTCAGAAAAATAAAACCGCACCGCTACAGGCCCTTTTCCCCTCTCTGGATATGGATAATAAAATTATATCCATATTAGCAGCAACTAGTAGATAGCATCAGGAATGACAGAGTATGAATTAACGGAGTAGAAGAGGCACAACAATGCCTGTTTAGTTGCCCGAATGCAGGTTGAGATATAGACTACCACAAGTGCTCCGAATAACACGGCTGAATATTAATACCGGCCACACTGTGCGCATTCATACCCGGCCAGCAGAGCTTCGTACGAGTTAGCTGCAGTGATAAGTGACCATCATGTAGGCGATGTCACTGGCATGCATGCATTGAGCCATCCAGTCCCTCTCGTCTTGCCACCATAAGAAGTCAAAATACTGCCGGAAACTCGCAAGCACTGGATCCTTATCGGGGCTAGCAGTGGGAACCTGCATATACAGGCTTTTGAATGTTGGAAATCATCAAGAGAGTTTTGTCCACCCCGCTTGCTTGCAGTCTTAGCATTACTTAGCGGTTTCACCCGGCTTCCCGTTTGCCGCGTCGACGGGCCTTGAGAACTGAGAACAGACGAGGTATTACGCGGCTATTGCACTGATGGCAATGCTGGAAAGCGCCGCGAGGTTCAATGGCGACGAAATTCAAGCTAAGATGTATGAAATAAGATGTATGAAAGGCGCAGAGTAGCTGTCTCCGGTTGGATTCGTTCTTGCGGAGGGCGACGAGACGGCAGCACTTCGTCATTATTCACCACAGCTTTGATCGTCCTGGCAAAACATTCAATCCAAAGGCTTGGCTTGACTCATGGTAAAAGAACAACTGGGGCCGATGCAACGGCTCGAAAGATTAAATGACAACCCTGGTCACCAAAGAGGGAATAAGCTGAAGCAAAGATATCTTACCGACCAAACAGATGCCTGTCTTGATATGCATTAGCCAAGGAATGGTCTGCAGAATTACTTTTGGTATGCATGAAAGCCAATAACCCGCTGTAGCTGAGATTGGTCAATCGCCCTCTCCATGATATCAGACGCCGGCTTCTCCTCGTCAGGAAATGGTGCCGTTTGCCGCCGGCGACTTTGGATTCCCGCATATCTCCATGCTCGCACCATCTCTCGGTTCGTTTGTTTGTTTATAAACACCATGCGACCCTCGTTCCGAAGCGCCCCTCAAAAGTCGCTCGGCTACAGACTCAGATGCGTGGTGTCTAATTGCATTCTCCCTTTATCAAGGCCGCTCCCGGGCTTATCTTGAGAAGCAACCCAGATATCAGGACTCGCGCTTCATGTTGAAAAGATAAAGCAAAAGCTGCTCCCTCTTATTCTAGTGATCTTTTTTTTTTTTTTTTGCCACCCATCTCGTGTTTATCCATCTTCCTACGTGCAACGCATACTGCCATTGTATACAAGCGGCTCAGACTCAAGACACTCTCCATTCCACACAACGACAGCGATAATATCATTTCGTCGTCCCACAAAATAATTCAAGATGGCTTTTAAGCTGTTCAATTTTTTTGCCCTTCTATTAGTCCTCTGTGGGCTTGCCTTTGCCGACTATGGCGCACTCTCATCTGAAGTGATGGTGACGCCTGTTTATGCCAGGCAAAGCGATCATTTGGTATACCGCGAAAACGGCACCCTTGCCAATAGTTCCATAGTCGCGTCGCCGTCTTCTACGATTAATTCGCCTTCTAAAAGCACAAATAAACGGCTATTAAACGTCGACTTGACAAATCTTGTCATGCAAGAGCCTGGATTTGCCCTTCTCAGCCTATCATTCGCAGTCATAAGCGGCGGCATGATATTCCTCTAAGTACACGCGAAAGTGTATACTTCCATTTCATTTCGCCTTTTACTCTTTTTCTTCTCATGTTTATTTTTACTCGCTGGAAGCCATATTAGCCTCAATTGGAAGGCAAATTTGGGATTAATATCAGCCATTAAAGTTTGGGTGGGTTCTTGGAGGCGTTTCACAGGTAGTAGGTTATACGGGAAAAACATGGTAACCCTGGAGGAGCAAGCTGGACTTTCTTCGTTGCCAAAAAGTTGCCCTTGATTTGCTTGTGGTGTTTGGCAAAAGATTGTATGATTGCACGCTGTTAGCTCTCAGAGCGAAATTGGATACGATAAATATTGATCGCCATTCACATAATTCTCCTGGCCGGTTGCTTCTCTATTATGTGACATTGCTTGGCCCGAGACGGCTATCAGACTCTAAACTTCCTATTGGCGGAAGCTACGTCATTGTATGCCGCCTCTGAATGTGCCAAAGATGAAGAAAAAGTAGAAGAGAAAATACGGGCTTAGAAAAAGGTAAAGAGCTTGTGGCTGTCTGCTGGAGCGGCGCATAACTATCGGTAGGATACGCAGTTTATTGCACAGGCGCTCTATTAGATATTGTAGGCGCCGAGCTTGTCCAATTCCAGCCATATCGGCACAGTGGTCTCAGAACACATGCAACTCAAACAACCGCTGTTTATCTCAACGCCTTTCATCCCATAAACAAAGCCTCACCCAACAGAAGAGGAAGCTTCCTCCCCGCATAAAGACTTGTGGAGCGACCATTAGCTTGAAGCTACAGTGCTGGCCAAAGCTGAGCTTCCCCGGGATCCGGAACCTGGTCCACGCAAACAAGCAAAAAGGGTGGCGTGAAACATCTTCCCAGTGACATCCACCACAGCCGAAACCTCAACGTTAAACCAACATCATCGCGTCTGCCGGCACAGGCGCTTTTCTATCTTCCACGGCTCTGACGACTGCCAAAGCGCTTTATCCCTTGCCATTTATCGGCTACGACCATTCATCAACATTGTTTGCCAGCGACAAAGTCGCACGCACTGCGGTGACCTGGAGTCCTTCGCCTCGCTGTTGACCGTCGCAAAGCGCAAAGGACCACAACAAGATCGCCATCATGTCAGACACCGCAATGGCGCAAGCCTCACATCCGACCCTGACAAACCTGCCTCCTCCAGACCCTAACCCCGAGACTCCCTCGGAGATTCCGTATGTTGCTGATGCGCAGCTGGATTTGCAGAAACGCTGACAAGCTCTTGACCAGCGGCACGCCCACGAGCACCACGACATCTCTCTCTGCCATTTCGACAACCGCCATCAAGGACGGCCACCGCGGCCACTTCCACGCCGGGCCCTATTTCCGCGGCCACCAGCACAATCCATCGGCGACGACGCTCGAAGCCGAACGGGCCGATCGCATCTCTCGCCTGGCCGGCCTCGAGAGGGTGTCGACGCTGCGAGCCGCGCCGCATACTCCAACAAGCACGGGTGGCCGCGCATCGTCGCTGTCTCCACAGACTACACCTACGTCGACAGCTGGCTTCCCTCTCAATTACCCTGCGACGCAACACCTAACGCCGGCGTACTTTGACAGCAATGGACAGCCCGTCGCAGTGACCAAGATGAGCACTGTCGGTACTGCTAGTGCAACCGACAGCCATCTGGCAGACAGCGAGGACAGGCGCACCGTTGGCGATCGCGACGAGGATATTCTGAGCACGGATACTAACTACCGCGAGGGCGAGTCGGTCACAAGCACTGGCGTGGACCAAGATGCAATGGACGAGGACCTCGAAGGCCTGGGCGCACATTCCATGGGTGGCTTTGAGGATAGAATGAGCGACGATGGCTCTGCCTCGCTCGTTGGCTTTGGCGAAGGAGCCGGCAGCACCGTCTCTGGGCCTATATACCACCGTCGGCCAGCCCCTGGCGCTGCCTACCAATGGGGTCTCGAGAGGACCAACTCGGGCATGAGCGATGCGCGGCGCGAGAGAGATTCATACATGTCTGGAGGCGGAGACACACCGATGAGTGCCACAGCCGCTCAAGAGCGACAGTACGCTCGCATGATGGATGGGGTCGCAACAGACGGGCCCCCCACCAACCCTATACCCCCTGATCAAGATGTCTTTGTGGACACAACTTTCAGAGGGCCAGTTCCCGTAGGCCGACAGCCTGCCAGAGAAACCGCAGAGAGAATTGTGCAGCGGCTGGATAGCGGCGAGTCCAGGGCTGGTCCGTCGGGAATGGGCAGTCCAGGCCGAGGAGGCGACAAGCTGGGCAGGTTTTATTTTGAAACCGACAAACGTGATGACTGAATCAAGAGCGCACGGGGACTATGCAATATCTTTCGTTTTTATTTCCTTTCTTTCATTACTCGTTGATTGATGTACGAGTTTTTCACTATGGGAAATCGGGCAGGCAAATGGAATATGGGACACCGGAAGATGGTCGGTCTACGGCGGTTAACAAACATTGGGGGCTTTGTATCACTTATTATTTTCGCGTATTCGCTGCTCTTTATTTTATATTTATCTCTGCTTCTCGCAGTATTGATTCGTCAAACGGATTGGGAATTCTTTAGCAGGAACGCTTATGCCTTGACATGATGGTCAAGATATGGGAAAGGGGAGGTCAAACTAAGACTTCTTTCGGCTGAGCCGAGATGTACTATTAAGTACAACGTATTATCTAGGAAGGAATAAAAATGACACGGATAGTTAATTAAACATGGAATATCTATTTGAACTGAAGAAACTAGGTCACCAAAGCCGATGGAAGGGGACAATGAGGAAACAAATTCATATTTAGTCTAAGACAACAAGAACGCAAAACAATGCATAAAATTAAAATCTAGATGCAAACGAGAACCCAAACGAAGGGATATAGAATCTTCCTCACGTATCTAACCACCTCCTTTTAGGTTGGAAACGAACAAAACAAGAGCATTGTCTAATAATCAAGTTCCAAAGCAGCGCGCGAAAAACAACTAAAAAAAAAAAAAAAGCAGCCTTGTTCAAATCAAGACGACGAAACAAAACAAATCAAGGGGGCGGGCTTCTAAACTGAGAAAAACAAGAAAAACCACATTTTGAGACGCCTTTTATAGGGGGGTAAGGGAAACCAAGGAGCAAAAAAAGGAAGAAAAGAGAACAAAAGCCACCCCGTAACCCCCGTTACCAACCAGCCATGTGCGGTAAATGAAGCACTTTCAGTGCGCATAGCTGGAAATGCTACCACCCTTTGCCGTGAAACTCCAAACCTGGATCGCCAAGCCAAGCCAAGCCAAAAAAAAAAAAAAAAATCCCCGTTCTCCCCCGTTTCTTGATATAAAAAAAAGGAAAAAAGAAAAAAAGAAAAGAGTCCCCTTTCCGCCTCTGGATGGATACTTTGTCGTAGTATCTAGCGTGAGTTATTAGACCAGGCTAACAGTATTGACCCTATCCAAGCGGGTATGGATAGGGTGAGCCGCAGCGCAAACGCAAAAGGAGTTTATGCTGCGAGATAAACGTATATGTATATATATAGGCCGCCGAGTAGAACGGCATGCCGAGATGGGTCAAATAAATTCGACTTGTGTATTTTTTTTCTTCTTTTCTTTCTTTTTCTTTTTTATAATAAAAAAAGTGACTTGAGAGTTCTTATGAAAGAGGAGCCATTACTGGGACTTTCTAGAAAAAGCGGAATGATTTGTAAAATCAACTCATCAACTCTTCAAAAGGAGAAAGTGGAAAAGAGAGAGAGAGAGAGAGAGAGAGAGAAACTTCATCGCCAGAAAAAAAAAAAGAAAAAAAAAAGAGGATTGAAAAGTAGCTCAAATAGCTTCTCAATCATGCACAAGGGAAGTCAAGACCCATTCGTCTGGCGACTCTTTGCCAATCCCAAACAGCACCCCAGTCGCCTTGATCCATGAGCGCCCAAACCTCTTCAAGCAGTTCTAGGACTCGATCGCAATTCTTCAGGCCTGTATACCCTCGCACTGCCCTGATGGCTGCTCGGATTCGGTACCGCTGGTCGGGTTCGAAGCAGGCCGTTCCGATTACTAGACATGGGATCAGAAGGAGGGTCTGTGAGGGATCAGAGGGCTTGAATGTTTCCAAGAGGGTTAACGCTTCATCGACTGCCGTGGTGATCCGCTTGTCATCCTGTGCTGGTCGGCGAGCAGGAGGTGGAGATGAAGCCCGCTGCTTCTGCGACCCGGGCGCGGTATTCGTCTTCGGGTCACCCTCATGCATGGAGCTGGTTCTTGATGGATGCCGCGTAGAGGGGGCGCTGTGTGTTTTTTGCGAACGTGAGAAAATGTTAGTCGCTCCCATGAGCGGAGACGAGGCTGTAGGCCCTATGGATGCAGCCATGGAGGCTCGCCGCGGTTGAGAGCTCGTGCTCGTGGACATTGTTGAAAACATCACTGTGGGTAGTGAACCAATAGTGCTGCGTCGGCCAGGCAAAGATGAAGGAGGGTATATTGTTCGGAAAAGATAAACCCATAGCATTAGCTTGTATAGCAGCCCAACACGATCCCGGCTATCACCCGATGGCCAGCGGGGAGTCCACTCCCGGATAGCGGCATCGATCTCGGCCGCCTTGTAGAGACTGGTGTAGTCAACCAAGGGGTCGACGGAGTTGGTCATGTTCACCCGAATGACGTTTCGAATGCTGGTAATTTCAGAAAGGTGGCGGAATAGTCCGTCAGCGACTCCCAGGAGGCGCGGGGGGTGAATAGGCGCCGTTGGTTCCCAGTCTTCCGTCGCAAGACGCTCAGTCTTTTTCTCAGGGTACCAGAAGAGATCGTCAGCGTAGATGTGATATTGGAAAAACTCCATAATGAACGTTAAGAAGTTTGAATCCTCGGGAGGCGAGTTCTGTATCAGATTTTTGTACGCCTGTAGATGGACCCTATGGTCGCCCCGTGGATTGCCTTCAGCTCGAGTCTGGAGGAGCAGGCACATCATTTGGCCATACCGTGCAGCGAGAACGGTTTTGTACTCCGGGTCGTCCTCGTCCATCTCCTGCATTTCGGCATACATTCGTCTCATGCCCTCGTCATGGTGAAATTCGGAGCGCTGCTCTAAGGTCTCCTTGCTCGTAGACGGGTTGTTCTGGAGGATTTTCATGCCATAAGGCGTATCCCAGTCAATGTGCTTGCTGCTGGCCGCAAGTATTGAGTGCATCAGGCCTTGATGCCGATTGGCAAGTTGCAGAATGATGTCCTTGAAGGCGTTCTTGGCCTCTCCCTCGACAGTTAACACATTGCTGAAGTGGTTGACGTAGTGTTTCCAAAATATCTTGTCCTCGGTGGTTTCCACACCGTGAAAGATAGGCTGCATTGTAATGATGGGTAGATTCTCCCACCGTTGTCGCTCTGCTGCGTGGGTTAGACTAGCAGTCCAGAAAATTTGCAATATTGTGTCTAGGTCCTTTGACGTACCCTCTTCAGCCCTTTCTCTGCCACTCTTCCAGACCTGCTTTTCGTGATATCCTTCGCAAACGACGGCGTTTTTCTCACAGTTCATACCTGTCGGTCCCCATCATGTGTTAGCTTACGCAGAGCACGGTGTGTGTTCATCAGGTTGAAATGAAATTTGCCTACATCTTGGCTTTGCCTCATCGCACTTCTTCTTGCGCTTCCTACAAGTGATGCATCCTGTCTTCGAACGGCCTTTCGTGACTTTATTTGTGTTGACCATTGGGGTGAGAGGATGTTTCCTCGGTCGTCCCCGGGGTCTCTTTTGCTTTAGCTGGGAGGCTCCAAGGATTTCGTTTGGCGGCGTTTGCGATAGGGGGGCCGCGCACACATCCTCTAGGTTGATATCATCGTCGATCGGCTCTAGTTTTGGAATGGCGAGAGTTTCGTCGGACACTTGATCCCAATCCCAGTCCTTATCTTCTTCGCACTCATCTGGATTGCCGTGGCTGGCGCTCCAAGAGTCTACACATGTCGATGACGACGCTGAATGGGCCATGGGAGGGACAGAAGAGCCGTCCATGTTGGCGTCGGTATTGGAGCTCACAGGCGACAGCTGGCCCATCTGAAGAGGTGCTGCAGAAACGCCTGCTCTCCATGCTGTTTCGGTAGGGGATGGCGACGGCAGCACCATATCATCCCAAGATCCTTCATCGGGAGACATACTGTTATCGTCTTTCCAAGTAAAGTCTTCGTTCGTCACGATGGTAAGCGTACGTTCCATTACACGTTAATAGCAAGCACATGCCCAATCGAAGTGGGAGCTGGACAATGTTGGCACGTGAATAGTTGAGGCAGAGGAATCGAGAGGAATCGAGAGAAAGAGATCGCAGGGAAGAAGAAAAAAATAGCAGGCGGCAAATTGTGAAGCAGGATCAATAGAGTGTGAAGATCACAAAGGCCTTTTTTTCCCCGTCCTTTGCTCCTCTATTTCCCTTTACAGGTCGCGTAGAAATTCAAGAGTGGAGGTCGTCAGGCTCGAGTAAGTGGTTGTCTGTGCTAGTAATATCACGTCGGGCAATTCATCGACATTGGCACTGGAGAAGATCAGAGGTGTATAGCTGGCCAAAATGCACGGTGCAAGCGAAGATCGTGGCGAACAGACAAGGAGAGAAGTAAGGATTGGGTGGCATGGAGGGGTTGTGGTGGAGGAGAGGTCTTATTTGGCGGCCGAAGACAGGGTCGAAGCAAACAGCATCCGTTTGAATCGTATACTGCTTGTACATAAGATCCTCACGAGAATCATCCGTCAATCGTCTTTGGTCTGCCCCCCTCCCCCCACAGCCATCCATCTTGGCCCCCAGGCGACGTGGATGAGTCTAGAAACACACCCAAAGGCTACAGGGAAGGGGCGTGTGGGATACTAAACGCCAAGGCTAGCCGCAACCTCGCCTGTGGCATTCGCTGTTATTCCCCTTAAAGTTGCTACGATTCAAGAGCATTAGGCCTTGCTGTGCCGTCGTTCCCGTGGGCAGACGATTGTGATGGGGGTTCAGGCCAGCTTTGGGCTTAGGATTTGGTTGATGGGAGGAGCAGTAGATGACATCGAGAACGGGGTCGAGGCCTTGGCGCTCATCTCCACCTCTAAGCATCTCTTTTTGTATCCACACATTCCCTATCCTAGCGTCGGCCAGTCAGTCCCTGCAGAGAGACGTGGAGGTGCTCTCCCCAGTAAAAGCCTGGTCGGTAGGGGCCAGGTATGTTCAGTACAGAGTTTGAAATTCAGATGTGCCTGTGAGTGTAGGACAGCCGTGCCGCTCCCTGGCCATTCCATCATCGTCGTCGTCTGCTCTTCCCTTCCTTAGGTAGGCCCACCCAAGCTAGAGGGTCAGCTACTGGTACTAGCTGTGGTGCTAGCAATATTTCATGCTTCATTGCACCATGCTAAAGAGTATTTACAGAGGAGGCATGTAATACCTACCTGCTTTTACCATTGCCTAGGTAGATAGACCCTTGCGGGCTTGCAGTGAGGCTAGAAAGGCTGGACTTGACTAGTTCCGCCTAAGGAGCAAGATCCAACGCCGGCCTGTTGATGAGAGAGCATGGGTGTCGCTGGGCCTCGACGCCCAGTGTTGTTCGGGAATGTGGCACGCTATATGGGGAAGCGATTGCTGACGCCATCTCCTGGGCCGCCAACGCGCAACGCAGCCTCTGGAACAGCAAGTAGGTGCTGGGTACTAGCCGGAGTGCTGGCAGCACTACTACTCGTATGGTAGGCGTTGACAAGCCATCCCCAGCTGGCCTCCCTCACCCCCCGGCTAGTCTTGCGGCGGACAAGCATGAAGATGGGCTGCTTCCGAGCACATAGCGTCCTGTAGCATGATATCATTGCTGGTGTGTCAGGTAGCTGGACGCGACTTGTGAACGGGGGGTGCGGGCCAAGTCCCCGCCGCAGTTCAGTTTGCTGTGCAGCCTTACTGGTGCACTCGCAGTTGATTGAGTAGCTGGCGCGCATAACCATCATCGTCGGCGGAGGAACGGCCACTCGGTCTCGTCTCCTGCCCTGCCCTGCCCTGCCCTGCTCTCCTCGGTCGACAGAGTCATTCGCCATCCACGATTCGCCATCATACGTACATGTATGTGGCCCTTGGGCAGAGACACAGACCACTCGACGCTTGTCAGTCTCGTCTGCTTGATGCAAGCATGTCAACAAGATCCAGAACCGATAGGTAGAGAGCAGCTACATAGGCTCGCCGGGAATAGCACGTTGCAGTAGCAGCACAGAGCACTACTTGTAAGGTTATTAGTGGCTGATTTCTGGCTGCGCGTGGCTGCTGTTGCTGGCATAGTGACTCCAGCCAAGCCAAGTCGAGATGGTCTACCGTACAAGTACGAGTAGCACCTAAATAGCTGATGGCACTAGGGACAGGGATGGCTTCCTGATAGACAACGCCAGCATATGCAGAGGATGCATGGTCCGATTCGAAGCGTGTATGCGCATGTATGCGTATGGCAGCGGCTACCAACAGCGGCGATATGAACGATACCTAGTAGGCACTCCAGGCTTGCTTCACGTTCTGTGCTGCCGTCTTCGAGAAATGGGAAATCGTGCGAGGCTGAATTGCGTGCCCTGTCATCTGTGCGCCGATGAGCTCCCCATCAGTGCTCGGAGCTAATTCGATGGCGGCCCAGCTAGTCGGCAGCACCCTGGTGCAGCGTGGCAGGTCGTGGCGTGATGGGTTGGCGAAGAGGAATCATGCCTATCTCGTCCCCGACTTTGGCCTCCAGCAGCTGCGAGATGCAGGACCGAGACCGAAGGACCCTCTTTGGAGAAGCTCTGAGAAGAGGTTCGCGGGTCTTTTGGGTTGCTGTCACTGCCTCAGGCTGCCTTCCATCCGAGACGTTCCCACTACAGTGCCAATTGGCTGACTAAACCACTGTGCAGAATCAAATTGATGCCGCCTACGGATCCTCACATGCCTAATTACAAACTCCAGACTTGAAGATGGGCGCCTCAAGCGTCTTCTGGGCGTTCAGCTGATTATTCGCCCTATTTCGATTCGCCGGCCCTGGCTGCCGCAAGGCTTCACCGTCTCTATTTGCCAGCAATACTAGGCATCTATCTCCAGATGGCGCCTCTACACACTCCTGCTGTCCAGAATGCTCCTAATTGATTAGCTCAGTCGGCTGACTTGATATCTGCTCCAGCTACCATACAATTACGAGCAGTATTACTCAGTCTGTGCAGATATCTACGCCCAGCTCGCTCTCTTCGTACTGCGCATACTTGTCCTTGGACGCTATCATATCCTCGTGGCTTTCACGGGCGCTAGCCAGGGTCTGACCGTTGGGCCTCGTCCCCTCTCATAATACTATTACGGCCGGGCCCAAGTCATAAACAGGCTGGTCTCCGGACGACGGAGCTTCTCGAGCCGCCAACCAGACAATCCAGAGTCATTAAAGTGCTGCATCGTTCGACGGGAGAGCTATCCATTCGGTATCCTTATTGACAGACATTTAAAAGAGTCACAGCGGTGATTGTGGTGCCAGAAGAGGACCTCCCGAGGCTGTGGCCGCATCCGAACAGCAGCCTCTTGTACTTCTCCCTCTGCCTTTTCTTCCCAAGTCTGCCGCCAGCGCTACGTCTTGCAATCCGCTGATTCTGATTCCATTGACTTGCGCAGCAGTACTTAATTTGCAGGCTACTGCACATGTACACCACGTCACAGTCTCTCTCGAGCGTGATCAAAAGTACTGTGCACGAAATGAGAGCATCACATATTCGGACTCGCACATACATGCAAGTACGAGGTCACGATCCGTACCGAAGCCCCTGAGCTGAGCCTCCCTGGTCGCCGGCTGCTTCTACGACGGACACAGGACTGCAGATCATTATCTTATCAGACGCTGCACATCGGCTTGACCCCATTAGCCCACTATACTATGTGCCTACCGTACTCCATAATTGTATTTGGAGCACCAGCCCAAGCCTGTGGCAGAAATAAGATCCGAGAAGGGCCATCAGGCGACTTGCTGCTGCTGCTGCTCAGTGCTAATCAACGCGGTACGCTCCGAGGTAAACCCCCACGGGACGTGGGGTTGGCTGATCTTGTTGGCTCTTCGGAACTCGCAGCTTGTTCAGCAAGCTAGGAGATTGGTCAGTGCTGTGCCTTGTCCCAGAAGGTAGCAAATACGGAATCTCCGTTAAAAGACGACAGCCTGGACCCATGTCAAATCCAGGCACGATAACAACCTCCACGGTGTGTCGCTGCAAAGGGCCGTACACTAACTACTGCTTTGAACCCCATAGGTTGAGAGAAATAAGAATGTTCTACTCCTGGAAGCTGAATATAGATAGTGAAGGATGCCTGCCAAAGTAATGACCAGCATGCGACATGGGAGGTACGAGGCCTATTACTACCGTCGTTAGCACCCTACTGGTGAGCTATGTGATATGTTGCCCTCGAACCTTGTCGATTTAAAGGGCGTGAGCACTGTGACTTCTTCATAGCTTGTTTAAGCTGCTTCTTCCAACAGCCAACGCCATAGCCAACGCCATAGCCACCACTAAAGAGCGCCCCAAAATCAGCCGTGTCTCGACATTCAGAACCATTCTGGCTAGCGACTGTTTAAAAGCGGGCGCAACGGACCGCGGAGACACGCTAACGGGTTGGCAAGCCATCGTCTGGTCCCCGCAAGCATCAGCTTCCTGACGGTGATCATGTTACGGCTTGGTACTCCGTGTTAATCCTACGGAGAGTTTCAAGCAGTTAGTACATACTAATACTACAAAGACTAGCCATTCCTGCGCCCAATGGAGCCGTCAGCTTTTGACACCGCTAGCTTCTATTATCCAGCTCGCCTGTTTGACTATTGGATGGCTGCGAGTCTGCAGTTAAAAAAAAAAAGTTCAGCTGCTATTGCAAGGAGGGCACTCTGTACAAGTGTTACAAAAGACAACCTCTACCATGCCATCGTCAGAATTTGGGCGATCAGACGTTGGAACGAACGAGACTGCCGCAAGTGACAAGTTATCAATCACAAAATAGAGCGACGTGCTTATCAAGCACGTACTCGGTGCTCTGGGCGTTGCATGATATGAAGGATGTCTCAGTGTCGGGTTTCCCGGAATGGATACTCTATCCGTTTACTCTTGGCTACCTTGAGTCCACCTCTTACACGACGTTATGATAGTCACCTGAGGCTATCCCCCGATAATGTCCCGCGGATAATATACACTTGTATGTACATCAACTTCGTGCCCACTCGATGATGCTGCTCATTTAAAAAAAAAAATACTACCTATACACGCACAATGAGGGTAGGCTAATAAGCGCCAGATTGCAGATTCTAAGGGACTACTACTGCTAACTACTGAGTACTAATACCACTATTACTACTACGATACATAGTAGTAACCCGTTCCAATGTTCAATCTCAAGTTTGAGGCACTACTCACTGTCACCGCCTATGTACAGTAGCTACACCAAGGAGTCACTAAAGCCTTAATTCGTCTTGAATCCCCACCTATAATGAGATACATGACTGCTAATTCTAACGCCCAGCAATGTCTAACGATCGACGTTCCCTTGACAAGATTTCCCCCCTTTTATTGCACTACGACGTACGAGGCGCTGCTAGATGGATTGATGTGGGCTCAAACCAATCCTTCCACTAGCTGAACAAGTGCTGGCACTATATCGACTTCGTCGCCCAACAGCACCCTCCTTGCGTTACTTGAGACTTAGTGCTCGTACTTGCAAGTTATGCATGCGGCGGTGGCACAGGCACTGTTCCTCTCCGCGGCCGAGAACGAGGGAGACATGGATTCTGTGACACAAAGCAGCCTCCATCTCCTGTGTAACCATCTGAGAAAAGGACTATGTATTGACCTCACAGACCCCCAAGAAATCAATGCCGAATACTACCCTTACTCTTCAATAGGCTTAGTTGCGATGAGGCTGGCAAACGTGACATTGTCCCAAGCAGCCAGGTGGGTACGGAGATTTACCTCCCTAGAAGCGCGAAGCACATACATACACAAATACACGCGCATACAAAATGTCCTCCACGCTGGACTTTTGGTTCAGCACTTCCCACTCTCATCGCTGGCCACCCTGGCCTTAGTACCCGATGGTACCTCTAGCCTCCTAGTCTAACTTTACTAAGAGGATCCGTCGATTTGTATCTTCTTCCCCTTCCAGAGGGGCGGTAATCGAGTGACCGCAGAGCCTTTGCCTTCATGTGACTTGCTAGGGGCAGGCTTATGCGCCAACGCTACCAGATGATTGGGGGAAATCCAGCTAAGAAAAAACCAATTCACAATTTTAGTCCCCTAGCTAATAGTAAAATGTACTAGCATCGAGCGTACGGTAGCAGAAGAATGGGGGGCATACAGTAGTCGGTACGCTTCTGTGATCGATCGACTTAAGCTGCTTTCCCAGTTGCCAGCTACTAATGAGTTAGGTAAGTAGGCGGCGGCTCCGTTCTCCATACGTATACCTACTACGTGTATGCATATGATCAATGGTGGGGGGATCTCTGTCGCAGCTCTTGTTTTCTTTCTTCGCGTCTGATCTAATCCATCGTGGGTACCGGCAGATTTGGGGGGACGCTTGTTTCGACATAAAGTCAATTGCGAGCCTTGCTAGTCACCAGAGCCCAATGCCATCTCCTTTGGGCAATTGAGTGGCAGGCACATGATTTGGGTTTGAACGGTGGCCAGAGACTATGCGGACCGCTCTCGCGCCGCACCTCCCAGCCCATGTCAGTACAGTACACAGACGGTGGCAAGAAAACCGAGATGGAGGGAATTTGCGGCGTGGCGGCCATAGCTCAGAAGAGCACACAGTTAGGCCGGCGCTTAGACTCCCAGCCAATACAATGCAGCAGGCTAAAGTCGTTGCTCGGTGGTAGGTAGCAGCACTAATCTATTTTCACGATGCGTCTGCTGGTGTCTCTAGTGTTGGAGTAGGGAAGCAACGAGTACTGGAGAGGTGCCTGATGCAGTCTTCACGCACCTCTATCATCTATCAGTTGCTGCTCACATTGAGACAAATGCATGTGGATGCTATTCGTCTGCTGCTCGAACACTGGCAGGGCGTCGATCGGCCGCAGCTCATGTCAGCAGCCATGTTTTCGCACAGCTGAGCAAGCAAACGAAGCTATTGTTTGAATTCTGAGACATGCTTGTATATACACTACTACTACGTGCCTTGACGCCCTACTTACATGTAGGTTCGACGAACGGGCTGTAAATAGCCCGAATCCATGGGGTAGATAATATGTGATTAATTGCGAGGCACAGCCATTTGATCCCCCTAGGAACTTATCCTCCGACTAACACACCGTCTCTGCGGATTTAGCCTCTTTGTCTTTCTCTACAGTCAATGATGCTGCTTCATCGTATGACTCTGCCGCCCCTCTCTTTTCTCAAAATATTAAGAAGAACAAAATGACACTGCGGTGAAGTCCGTAGAGCGACGCTAAACTGTGAGGTATAACGTCAATAGCAGACCATTATACGAAGCATGCCGTGCCGTGATCCAGCGCCTGTAAGATTTTTTTTTCCCTTTTCCCTGTCTCATCCCAATGCCAAGCAAACCGCCCACTTGATCACATCTCAAGAAGCCGAATAAGCGAATGGATGGGCAGCGCAACATGTCGTCACATCTAACGGAGAGGAGACGCCATCCCGGCCTAGCATAGATGGGCAGCATTGTTAGCCCTGGTTTTACTGATCCCCCAAAGACCATCCATCTCGCATGATACGTAGGAGCGAAACTAGGCTACCGTCGGGACACGCCTTTTGTTTTCGTTTTTTTCATGGTGGTGAGTGGTGAGCCAATCACTCAAAACAAGGTGTAGTGGTGTAGAGGGAAGAATAAGAAATGCGGTGAGGAAATACCGAAGCCAGTGAACGAACGGTTTGTGCTCTCGGGGTGCTAGACGCCGACGGTCAAGACGCTAAACTACAGTATAAGTACATGAAGCCCAGTTGTTAGGGCGGGCGAATTCAGGGCTTTTCGTTGGTTGAATGCTTCCCGTCTTCTTTTACTGTAAGAGTTAAGCACAAGTCTGCACCTATGAGGTAATTCTTAGGAAAATCAAACGCACATGCGCATTTCCCTTACATAGAAGGTACATGTGCAGTAAGTAGGGTCCCAAGACATATTTGGTCATCGTTGTTCCAGTCATCAGCCCACTCTCCACCAACAGCACTAATGGCCGCTTTCCCACCAAAATAAAGAGGCGTGGAATAAAGAAAAGAAGGAAACAGCGGAGATATTCGAACCGTCTTTTTCCTTTCTATTCCCGCTCGCCAGATGACACAAAGTGGGCTCTGCTTATGACGTCCGTGTCCGTGTCAGCGGCTGCAGACCGACGGCGCCATCTTGCCGTGGATATTTGGGGATTTCCTTTCTTTTTTTGCTTGTACTATATGGATACTGCACCACGACCGGCACCCTGGGAGCCGAAGCTGAGCTTTTGTGGGCGCACAGGCTCCATTAATTCTCATGTGCGGCGCATATTCGTTGTATCTTACAGCTTACAGACGGTGGCAGGTACAGACTGCCTGGCCGGCGGATGCTGTGTAACCAGCACTACTGTACCGTATATTGTTCCCGGGAAACTCGATAGTGCTTGTTTCAGCTATGGAAGCTGTCAATGCTTCTGGCTTGGGGGCCAAAGGAGGGGAAAGATCGGGTGCTCCTTGCCGAGACGGTCAGGGCAAATCGAGCGTGCTGTTTGTAATGAAATTTGTCTTGCCTTTTCAGCCGCGCGGGCTTATACTGTAGATGGACGGGTGAGACTATCAGTCTATTTTCGAACTCGGTCTACACAACCTTCTTTTTCCAGCCGGGGCTGGCTGAGGATTTTGGGGGTCCTTTTTTTTTTTCCTTCCTTTTTTTCCCAGCCGCCTTTTTAATGGATATTGCCTACTCATCTGGTTAGGCCATCAGCTGTCGGTGCCCTAGTCTCCTGCTTAGCGGATGATCCCTGATGGGTGTTTGTGAGGCTGATCCCAAGGGCAGCAGGCAAACCGTAATACCTATGCAGAGCCAACAAAGTACTCGAATTCGCTGTGGCTGGGCGGTGGGAAAAACGGCACGGCACGGCGCCTTCCATTACGTATATCTGGTATTTCAATGAATCACAAAACGGTTTCGATTTGGATTCTTTTACGTTTACGGGTGAACGAATCGATGGCCCCTCGGAGAATTACCACATAGATTTGCTGTTCCCCAGACTTTTTGCCCTTTTCTTCTAAACAGAGAAACAAAGTTAGATATGGAGCACAGGCGTGGGGTCACTCGACTCACAGCCCATGTAGACTACGCACCCTGCGTCTTTGATTTGAAGACAAGAGGGGAAAAAATAAAAGAGGTAGTAGTGTGTGCCTGTGAGATTGTGCCTCCGCCTGCCTGTAGGAAAGTGGGGGGGAGTGTGAAGCAAATACGGAGTTTATGTATGGTATAGACTGGGAACCCAGAGAGGCTCACCATTCCATTTGCTGCTGGCTGGCCATGATGCATCTTCGGCTTCGGGCAACGGTGATGGCTCGCTGGCCGAGCTTCTGTTGGCAGGCTGACCCCCTCCAATTCCGAAGCCAGCAGACCACCTCGTTGCTACCTCATCATGTATCAGATCGGATTCTGTGCGTGCCTCTCATGCTCATGCTACCACTAGCATTGCTTGCTTGCTTGCTTGCTGCTGGTCAGCTTTGCCCATGATTCCATGCATGCCGTAGCGCGGTGGTGGTGGTGTTATGCTGCTCGCCTCTCTCTCTCTCTGCGTCTCTCGTCCAGCCCCATCGTGTGCGGCTGGGGTTTGATGTTACACAAAGGTCCGTGGAGCCCCCTCCCTCCCGCGTTTTGTCTTCTTCCCGCGCATATTGGGCCGCTATCAAAGCCGTGTGTCTCAAGTCTCGCATCTTCCGTGTGTCTCCGGGACCCGGCCCTTGTGCCTCGTGGTCCTCGTGCAGGACGCAGGTAGGCATCGCATATGGACGCATATCGTAGAAGAGTAAAAAGGAAGAAGAGGGGTTGAAATCCTACCCTCAAGCAGATCACGATCATTATCCGCAATTGTAAAAGAACCCTATTCGCCTTCTTTCTTCCTTCTTCTGTTCCCCCGCTTTCCGTACGGGCGGACGATATATACGATGTTCTGAAACACCAACATACACACACACACCCACACATGCTCACTCACTCACGGCTTAATGGCCTGCTATCTGATCCGGACAACATAGAGCAGCCAACAGGTAATAGCCATGTGCACCTCCATACACACAATTCGAGGTCTGTGCAAAGTAGTTCTTTGTAACAGACTCCGCAGTAGCAGTGCCGTGTTCAGGCATTAGTCACATTCCCTGATCTTCATCTTTACCCGTCCTCTGCTGGGTGACTATCACCGCGACCGAGATGCTTCCGCAGCGAAGCGAAGCCCCCCCAGGTTCCTTTTTATTCCTCTTTTCTCTCATTACTTTTCCCCCCTCCCATTGCTCTACGTCCCCTGTTCTCGTCCCATGCCTTCTCGCTTGAGGTGTGGATGGCCCGGGATGCCTGTTAGAGCAAGTTCCCGCGCTTGTCTTCGACTAGGGTTCCGGGACGAGGGCTTAGCGAATAAGCTTGGAGGGGTCTTTTATACTGCTGCTCTAATCATCGGCTCGAGTCGCTGAAAAGGCCCCGTAGTTGATAGCAATTCCCTTTTTTGTCGTATTTTGCCTCTTGGCTTTGTGCCGAAGAGGAGGACCCTGATAGTTAGATTGCAGATGAACAAGGATTAGCGAGTCAAGATATCGTACGAGCTCGGTGGCGAACATGGAAATCTTTGAACCAACATACATACTTTGAAACTTCGCGGGCGTGGTGTTGCAGAGCGAGACTCCCCAGGCGGTGTCAGTCGGCGTTGACGTTTGAATTTTTTCCTGTAAGAGCACACCAGCAGGGCTTGCGAATTAATGCCACCACTCTCACCATGGCCTCACAAACCATCAATGTGAACAGCAACGGTTCTTACTATTATACCTATCTGACTGAGTTTGCGCGCAAATTTGATTCAGTGATTCCATTATTCCCCGTGGCAGCTCCCAAGCGTTGACGTTACGTAGGTTTTCCCTTCCTTGATCAAGTACTCAAACAAACAGCAGACAATATGTCCCAAGCAAATTAATTTCGTCGTTATCCCAACAGAGCATCATTAGCTATCATTTCTCTTCTCTCTCCCTCCCTCTCAAGCCCCCATAAATCCCCCACCGAGCCTAGGAATCTTTTTGCGCCGATCACTGCTGCCACGTTGCATTCCAAATGAAAACAAGAAGAAGAGAAAAAAAAGATTTTCTGTTATTTGTTCCGTGCATATCGCCTCCCGTTCAAAGATCCGCCGGAGCTTGCCCCTATGCCGCGCATGCACACCTTTCAATCCTTCCAGGATGGGCGGTTCTTTCTAGTCATGGTTGATGCTGCTGCCTTGGCCGTGCGAGCCGGTGTAGGGGAAGATAGCGAGCTGGCTGGTGTGGCTATAGGGGCAGGGACTTGTTGAGTCTGCAGGGCTTGCGGTTGTCTTACATTACGGTTCCGATTGCGCCTTCGGAAGAGGTTTCCAAGCGTTGAGGCCGGGACATTAGTAATCTTTCTGCCCTCAGCAGCAGCAACAACATTCTCACAGGGCGAAACTGGCGAAGGGGGTTCAAGGAAGGTGCTGGGTCGAGTCTGGGATGACGGGCGGCGAGTACTGATGTCATACCGCTGGAGGGAAAAGCGACGGCCGTCATCAAGCAAAGTATGCTGCGGCGGAACTTCTCCCGATATGCTATCCTCGTACTCTTGGTCCTGGCCGATGCCGACTTCATGCCCATGGGTATTCGTGGCGTCCACACGGCTTCTTCCCTCGAGACTTGGCAGGATTGTGGCTTTATTGCCTTGAGCTCTGTGTAACGCAAAGCTGCTAACGTTCTCAGAAGTCCTTGGTTTTCTCTCTAGCACGCGTTGGACTGTATTCAACGGAAGAGCCCGATGCTGCTGTATGCTCAGGTCTCGTCGACGAAGCATTGGTGTGGCGTAGGTAGAACCCGTAAAGACTGGTGACACTGGAGACTCTACCAATTTTGGGGGAAGAACAAACGGCTTAGCTGCCTCTGGATATTTTTCCAGGAATGCCTTCTCATAAGGCCCGACCCCGAAGAACTCGTCTAATTCGCTCAGAGTCTCATATGTTGATGCAGCACTAGGTGTGCCATGCATTTCATTCATTGAGCGTGAAGTTCTTGGCTCGTAGGTAGTTCTTTTCGACTGGACGGATTCTCTCGCAGGACTAAGATTAGATGGGGTTATAACAGCCGAAATAGAGCTTTTGGACTCGGAGCTGTGCGATACATTTCGCGGGATCCTAATGATATCTGTATTTTTATCGGCTTCATAAAGAAGAGATCCGGGGAGAGGAACAAAGCCTGATTCGTAGGGCTTCGTCGGCTGTTCATAATAATCGTCAGTGGCATATTTTGCGAATCTGCCGGACTTAGGCGTGTATATGAAAGGTTGAATGGGGTCAAGAATATTGTTGCTTAACATGGACCCCGTAAGCATTTCAGATTCAGCTTTTCTCGGTCCTGCAACAGACGGCTTCTTGGACAAATTCAGAGGGGCTGGCTGGAGGTCTGGTTCCATATAGTCGTCAGCATGCCAAATATCGGCAGACGATGCCTTGATCTTGGCGTCATGTTTGCTTTCCACCACCTGGACTTGGCGGGTTTCTTCATAACGAAGCCGACCCCCTGATTGGGTAATAATACCCTGCACCATATCTTCCGTCGTTGCTCTCGACCTTTGTTCCGCTGAAATGGGAAAATGAGTCAGTGGAGAACGGTCAGACGACAAAGAGTTGAGCGAAGCACAACTGTAGCTAAAAGGAAGCCCAGGCCGTGTTGGGGATGCTTCTTCTGGCGTTACCAGTGGCTCACGGAGGCGAGCTGTCACTGGAGTTCGAGGGGTACTATCAGTCCCCTTGCTATCACTACCAATAAAGACAGCAGTCTTGGCGCTATCATTCGAATAGATGGATGAAGTCTCGAAGGCATCATCGCTAAGCTGAGGTGTGGTATTCTCGATGCTTTGGCTATCATCGCGAACAATTTCTGTGGCCTCTCCAGCTACTGGTGAAGATGAAACAAGCCGGATGCTTCGCTGGCTCATTGGTGAAGGCCATAGATGACGGTCATCTGAGTATAAGTCGTCGTCGTCTTCGTTGGTAGACGTAGAGGAAACACTTAGCGGCGGCGGCAGGGTCACGTCATCCTTGCTTGCTGGCAAGACGCTATTTTTCGAATCAGTATATGACTTATCGTTCACAATATCAAAACCAAGACTCGATTTATTGAGCTAGCTTACCAGTTTTGTTTCACATCAGCCAATGCCAAGGAGCCTAGGATCGGGCTTTCTTGATTGACGGCTTCGGCCACTTCAGCAGACTGAGCTTTACTTGGAGCTTCTGCTGCTTTATCTAATCCCAGAGACGCCAAATTCATCAAAGAAGAAAGCGTTGCTGCCATGGTTTCAAGATTCAACGACAGTCGGGGAGGTTTGGCAGACACTGATCCCGTTCCCTTGACCGTCTCAACAGAGTCAGCGTCTGAGTCATAATCTCTTTCAAGAGGTTCAAAAGCCATAGACTTTTTCTTTTCGTCGTCTAAATCGAGAGAAAATCGACGCCTAATAGTGGATGGAATCTTTGGCAATACGAGGAACTCTTCCCAGCGCGGACCCCAAAGCCAGACCTTCTTAGGAGGAGGCAGCTCGCAAAGGCGCTTCTCTTTCTTGGCATTGGCTTCTTCTACAAGATAGAGTCTTGTGTATTCCATAGTTGAAAGCCGTGGCTCGCAAATGCCATATTTCACGTCTGGCTTGGGCAACGGAGACGAGCTCTCTCCCTGTGTAGTAACACTTTCTGGTTTCCCCAAGGTGGCTGTAATTTCTATTGATTGAGTACGAAGATTAGGCTGGCTGGATAAGCTGTACTGGCTGCTTCGAATGTTTGTTTCGGGCAAGGATGAAGTCCGATGATAGAAGATATCACGGGCTTGATCTTGGGAGGATGCGGAACGAGCAGGCTGCTTAACCAATTTAGTAGTTGACTTGGCTTTGTTGTTAGCAAAAACTGCTGCAATCTGTGGAAATTTTGAGCCATTTGATCCCCGAGATTGAATTTCTGGCTGCGAGCGCATCCGCTGAAGGAGTTTGAGGCCACTCCTTGTAATTGTCGACTTCATCGACTCCGGGATATCAGGCGTAGGAGGTACAGGTGGAATATCGTCCTTTTTGGCAGCCTTTCTTAAAACCTTTTTCGCCGTCTTCTTTGCTGACAGAGGTGTCTTCTTCTTCTTCCTCTTCAGCTTCTTTCCAGGATCAAGGAACTTTACGCCAACCTTTTCTCCCTTGACAACAGTTTCACCGTCAGCCTCATACTAAAACTTGCGACGGTTTTTCTGCTTGGGGAGGAGAAGTCCGAGCTGAGCCTTCTCTCGCGAATCGAGGTTCAAGTCTTTGGCAAGGGGATGCTGATCAAATATAGTCTTCGACAAGGTGGAAGTGTGTTCAACTCGCAACTTTGGCGCAGATAGGTCATCAAAAGCAAAAGCTGCTCCGTCAGTTTTGGAAGGGGACACTTCTCGACCTGGAAGTCCCTTGAGTAATGGATTGGGAACGGGAGGAGCCGATGCCACGAATTCTGGAGAGACAGATCTCCTGGATTCAGCTGGATCTTCTACCTCGCGAGGACTTTGAGGAGATCCCTTAAGGATGGATTTGACCATGACCAAAGAATTTGGAGTAAACGACGACCTGCTAGATCCCGATCTTCGGCGAGCAGACCGATTTTGTGCCAGCTGTAGTACATTGAAACAAAGCGTCTCAATCGTTTTGAACTCCTCAATGTACTGAGTGAATGCCTTGTACGCCTGCTGGTATTTTGGCAGGCTGCACCAGATAAACAGCTTCTCTTGTATCAAGGCTTGCTGTTTCTCGCTTGATGGGTTCTCCCCAAGAAGATGACAGAGAATCGTAAATCGAACACAAAAGAGGAAGGCTTCCGTGTACGGAACAAGGCTAACGTCTTCTGAATTTTTCAAAAGATCGTGAGCTGGAAAGAGGGCGTTCACAACCGCCATTATTTCCACAGAAGGCTTTCTAGTGGCTCTCTGCTGTTTCAACTCTTCGAGAACCATCTAAAAAGAGAGAGCTACTTAGCAAATGAGGAACAGACGCGTTGCTTTTGGGGCGCGACTTACGGATGCTCTGAATCCCATGTGAAATTGACCAAACTTTTCCGTGGCCTTCTTGTTCAGCTCTTGAATCATCGCGGCTGATCCAAAGGCAGGGTGATTTGGTTTGAAAGTTAAGGGCGTCTCAGCAACAAGTCGACGTCGTCGAAGCTCTACAATGTTGAGCTCGGAAAGTGCTTGCATGACTCCCTTTGGGTCTAGACCACCATCTTCAGGCTTCTTGAAGACGGTCAGCGTGAGCTCTCTCAGTTTGTTTCTCGGGTTGACCGAGAGATCAGAAACTTTGCGAAACGAAAGCCGCTTCACGTGCAGCCGTAGAGCCTCTCGAAGATCGACATCATTGTCAAAAGCACGCAGTCTTCGCTGAATAGTTTGCTCAAAGCCTACTTGCTGGGGAGTGCACTCTAGCGTTTCCTTGTCTGTGAGTTCCTTGAGGGGATCAAGGCTGCTGGTCAGCCACCACTCCAGGTACTCCTGGGGCGTGAGTGGCATCGTGACCAGCAGAGCGAGATAGTATTAGGTTTTGATTATCAGGGGAATAGATTAAAAGTATGTGGCCAACAGAGAATTAGTACGAAAAGAGGAGGAAGTTATTGAGACGAGATGTTATTTGAGATGCAGGAAAGAAGGCGAACGAGATTGAAATTTTGGCCCTGTGACTTTGGGTGATTAAGGCAGAGAGGACAGTGCCAGGAGGTCAAGGCTGCTGAGAAGAAGTAAGTCGCTCCGCCAAGAACGTGCAGACACTTGTGAGGAGAAATTGCGCAGCCATGCGTGTGCACTGCAGACGCGTCTGGTGGTGGACTGTTCAGATGACTCTCACTTTTGGTCTTGGGCCCCGGGAGTATAAGACGCTGGAGGACGGACAGAGGAGATATCAACAACCGCAACAACTCGACGTTTCACCCCCATCGCCACAAGAGACGACTATAATATTTTTGATTTATTGAAACCTCCATGGCTGCCAGACGTGATTGCCTCCTTCATGCAGTCCTGGCAACAATTTCTGCCCGTGTCTATCGTCGCTAACGGATCAATGCCAAAGCCCCAGATGTCTGATCTAGATCCAAGAACTCGAGATCGGCTCCATCTTTCCCCCCAGGCAAGTGCCACACACGCCGCACAGAGCAGATCTATCACGTGTGGGTGCCAAGCTCATGCCCCTCTTTTTCTCTTTTGCTGTTTTGTTTACCAAAAGCTTGGACCTAAGTTGTGGACGCGGCTACGTGGATTCAGGAGAATATACGCGCTAGGGGATGGGGGCATTCCAGCCAGTTTACGTGTACACGTGTATTCGTGCTCTGAGAGAGCATCTCGAAAAAGTGGCGGCGTATGAAAATGTGCATACGTCAGAGGGTGCATATGCTATACCTATTGCTCTCAGGCACTTATAGAGGTGCTCCGTAGTGCCAAAAGGGCAACTGGGGATTCAAATATCCGCTTGCTGATGCATGTAATCCCGCCAGGATGGACCCCCTGCCATGCGATGAATGTCAATGGCCAGCAGGGGATGCGTAAAATGCAACGCGCCACAAAGCTTAGACTGGAGCCACCCACCAATTACGTCCACACCAGGAGGCCGCCGGGTCTAAAGCCAGCATTTCCAGCGAGTGATGGGCGCTGAAACCCCTTTATAATGCCAGGGACGCCAGGGGCCATCCAGTAGCAGCAAGATAGTGAAGAGAGACGCACGGCGTCAATATCAAGATTGCCAAGACCTGCTAGGGAGCTACGGAGTGCACTTCCTAGGAGTCCCCTAATCCCAAGACTCGTGCGTAGTCTTTTAATTTCATACATCCAACCGCCAACGACTAGCTGGACTCGCCTCTTGGAGACATCATAGAGACACAATGATACGCCAGAGCGGCCGCTTGATTCAGCACATTCCCCAGTCTATTCCCAGCAGGCTGGGGCGCAGCAGTGCGCGACAAGTATTGTGCAGGCCCCGGTTTTCTACCCAGGCATCTCGACGACAAGCCGGTACGTTACTTGTATTGCTTCCCTAACATGTACCTATTCGCGTGTAAGAATTAGATCTTCGCCTAAGGGTGCACACGCTATTCACGCCTTTGCTGTGCTCAATGGCAGAACCTGAACCAGGGGCTGGCGACTAGTGGCCTAGTGTTGGAACAACACGTGTTGGGCTGGAGCAGCTCATGGCATTTTGCGTAGTCTCTGGGCCAGTGCCGTGGTGTTTTCATAGCTCAAAATATCAATTGCTAAAATATCAATCAGTCAACTGACATTGCTATCGCTAGAAGAGAGCGTTCCGGGATCTTCCCGCACTATTCGTCAAGATGCGACCAAGGAGGAGTCCCTGCTCAAGAAGATGGGCGAAAGTGCTGCCACTACTTTTGCTTCCATCTTCGTCCTCGCCATCGGATTTGCTGCTGCCGGTTACATTTACCACAAGAGCTACAAGATGATTGTCTTGAAAAAATTGACTCGCGCCTTTGAGCCGGGTGACCCCGTCCTTGACTTGGCTACAACTGCCAAAGAAGTGCCTCGGAAAATAGTCGAGGAAGAGCATTGGGTTCAGCGCCCAGAACAGGAGTATGTTGACGCAATCATTGATGGCAGAGAGTCTGGCCATTACTATCTTTTTATGGGGGAGAAAGGGACAGGCAAAAGTAGCATGCTCATCGAAGCCATGCGAAAGACTGACGGAGATGGCGTGGCCATGTTCGAAGCTCATGCCGATACTGAAATCGTCAGAATCCGTCTAGGCAAAGCACTTGATTACGAGTTTCATGAAGACTATATTGGAGGATACTTCAGCGAGAGAGGTCCGCGAGAGACCACTGCTCTTCTTGATATTGAACGCGCCTTGAACAAGATGGAAAAGGTGGCTATGAAGCTCCGGAACAAAAGGGGGAAGCCTCTCGTCCTCATTGTAAACCAGCTGCATCTCCTGCGGAACAATGAGGAAGGCAGAGACCTGATCGAGCTTTTCCAGCAACGCGCTGAGCAGTGGGCCGCGGCGAATCTGGTCACCATGATATTCAATACTGATGACTACTGGGTGTACGAGCGGTTGAAGCTTCTGGCCACGCGCATGGATGTTCTTGCCGTTACCGATCTGCCCAAGTCACAAGCCATCAATGCCCTGAGAAAATATCGTATGCGATACTTCAAAGAAATTCCAAGCCACCAAGAGCTCGAGGATGTGTATGATCGGATTGGAGGCCGCTTGAGCTTCCTAAATCGCGTGGCAAAGAGCAAAGATATGCTCAACACATGCGAAAAAATTAAAGAGACTGAAAAGAAATGGTTCCTTAACCAATGCTGGATCCTCGGCTCAGAGATGGATGATGATGTGATGGATCAACAGAAATGGGCCGTAAGTTTAACTGTTCCTGTTACATTCAAACTCAACTTGACATATCTATCTTGAGCTAACGATTTGCAACTACTACTAGGCCGCCGCCATGGTTCTCGCTCTAGCTCTGGTCGATAAAGAGGCAGAGATGGATAATACGTATGATCCGGTTGTGGGTCACTTACTGCCAACTTTTCCTTTTCACATAGCACAAGAGCTCATGACTCGAGCGGATTTCATCCGAGATCTCGATAGCTTGAATCTTTTTACTGTTACTAGCCAGGCGGACGTTCGTGCGAGTAGCGTTCCGATGCATCTCGCATTCAAGGAAATCTGCAGTGAACCTCGGTTCCGAAAGCATCTCGAAGATACAATTCAGAGGATTTCTGATATTGAGAGCTTGGGTCGTACTAGAGAGCTGGTTGCCAAGGATCTGGTCCTTGGTGGTGAATACGATATTGAGACGAGCCGCAAGGGCATCACGGTCCGACTAAAGCAGCCAGAAGAAAAAGATGATTAATCAAGCGACGCAGCAATTATAAACTCATGGATAGAGTATAAAGACAGCCGATCCGAATAAGAGCAAGCTAATGGGACAAGTATTTCGACGATATCGCGGAAAACTATAGGGGCGATGGTGGAGTAGGATGATACGCAATAGAGTTTGCTCCTCCTTGCTAGACAGCCATACAACGGCAAACAGATTTCCTTGAGTTTTGAGACGAAACAGATGTTGTTGATCGTACCTTTATGGTATGATCAAAGCTGAAGAACTGTGCAGAAATATTTTCCTTTGTCGATTTTCAGTTTCATTGTACTATATTTGACATTTATGTATTAATTGTGTACTATCAGAACATTGAACATGGGATTCAAAGCATTTGTAGATAGTGGTCTTGTAAAACTTTCTTAATATTTCGAATTCCATTCAAAGCATGAAACGATGGATAGGCATAGAGTGTGAATAGTTTTTACACAACTTGGCCATTAGCTGCGGAATATGGAAAGCAAACGCGAGATGTTGGTGGAGGTTGACTGGCTGAGAAACGTACATATCTTGCGAATGCCATGATAAGAATACGAAGGGTCCATACTACTACTAATTCAGTAATAAAATTCCACATGATATGTAATTACAATTACTGGACTTGCACATCCTTCAAAACCGTCGGCTCGCTCTTGTGCTCTTGTAATAGCGCGTATTGACGGCCCAGAGGATTTAGGGTAAGTCCAGGGTAATTGTAATTCTAGGGTAGGTTTACGGTATGACCCACTGGATTTATTATCACCCCACAAATTTGCGCAGGTCAAGCGCGGATTATCAATTAGTACCCCTTTCACTCTAGAACTCCCTGCATATTCACAGGTACCTAATGCTAGGCTACCTCACCGACAACGCACAAATATCGTGGCTGAGCTAAGTACCTAGTACCTATCCCTCGAGAATCCAGGTCCCATAATATTTTTCTGAGCCAGCCCAGTCGATAAAGAATAGCACGGCGAAGCTTCGTCTTCTCCCCCCCATCCACTACTGGACTGATGCCTGCCAACGCCAGATGGCCCGATTTCCAATTGGCTTCAAGATTGCGGTATTTCATGGGCTCGAGCGCTCCCGAGTCGACTCCCTCGCAAATCACATCATCGCCGCAGCTTAACGAAACAAGACGCGAGGAGTCTCCATCCGCCCAGGATAACGACCAAGAGGCGGAAAGCCACACGCGCTCTGCCGCAATGGCTGAGATCGATAACGAGCCCATCGAGGAGATGGGAGACGTCGACGATTACGAACACGAAGGCGATGATACTGGCGTCGATGTTGATTTTGGCGACCTGGAAATGTTTGACAGTAACGCGTCTCAGCTTCCTTTCTTATCGCAAGAGCCTCAATCTTTGAAAACCGAAGAGCCTGTGTTTCCTACGCCTAGCGAAAGTACGAAACGCGATAAAACTAAAAAGAAGAAGAAGAAGAAGTCCCCACTACAAACTGACGAAATTGCTGGCGATAAACCAGCTGAAGCGGACCTCGATGTACCGCGCGCTACTCTTGCCTCTGAGGAGTCCATACGGGGGCCTGATACTGTCGAGGATGCAACCACAGATATGGATGCATTGGATTTGACACCGATTCCATCAACGCAAAAGAAAAAGAAGAGAAAGACAACTGAATCTGCGGACGGCAAGCGACATAAGAAAAGAAAAGGTCTTGAGGATGGCGACACAAATACGATTCAGCAGACACAAGACGAGACTGAAAATCCGGATACCAGAGATGCTGCCACTAGCTTTTTATACTCAGATAAGAATGCTTCCAGCCAACTCCTGGGTGTTGCCGCCGAGGATGGTCAGATGTCGCCTAGCATTGCTCTTGCTCGTCGACGGAGCCAGACGGGAGAAGAAGCTCGCTCAAGAGAAAATAGTGTACCTAGAGCCCAAGTTGCTCCCATGGCCCCCATGGCAATTGATACTTCCGCGCAAGAACCTGCGCCTGAAGAAGCTTCAAGGAGCCAAGAGGTGACGACCGAAAACCATAGAGATGACCGTGACGTTGAAGACCTTGCGCGAGAAGCATGGAGAGAACACGTCAACAGTCAAAGTGGAAATGCTACTGCCGCGAACAAGATAGAGCCTGCTTCTCAAGATTCTGCCGAAGCAGAGGAACAACCAGACGCAACACCGCGAAGGCGATCTGCGAGAACGAAGAAGCCGAAGCCCACCTTGCCTGCACAAGCTCTAGAATCAACCGAGACCCCTGCCAAGAAGAGTCGCCGAATCCTTGAAGAACTGCCGTCTCCCTCTGCCAATACTCCAAAGCCAAGAGCACGAGCTAAGAGGGCTACACAGAAACCGCGACAACCAACGGAACAGACTTCAGAGGACGATTTTGAAAACGCGGAATCTGAGAAACCTGCCAGGAGGGCAACCAATCTGGAAGGCTATACACAAGGGCGATTTACGGATGCTGAATTTGATGGCATTAACCGGGCTATTGAAGCCTTCCGAAACGAGTATGGACTGACACAAGTTCAAATCAATGAGGTAAAGCTACCATTCTATCATGTCTATTTTGTTCAAATGCTTTCCTTCCTCTGCCTTGATTAGAATGCGCTGCTTACTCCAATTGAAATCTAGATGATACAGGCTCCGGGGGGCACAACTGCTGGTAGTGACCATGCGCGCCTTTGGTATCGTCTCTTTGAGGCATGTCCTGATCGTAAGAGACAAAAAGTTATCAATGTCGCTCGTAAAAAATTCCATAATTTTGTAGCACGAGGAAAATGGACGCCAGAACAGGATGCAGAGCTCTCTGCTCTTATCAATGTGAACGGAACTGCCTGGTCTAAGATCGCTGCCATCATTAACCGCCATCCCGAAGATGTCAGAGACCGGTATCGCAACTACATTGTTTGCGGTTCGAACCAGCGCAGAGACGTATGGAACGAAGATGAAGAAGCACGCCTCACTGAGTATGTCAAGGAAGCAATGGAGGTCATTGACGAGCTACGAAGGGATTCCCCCCAAACTGCTCTACTGCGCAAATCCTACGAGGAATTAATCGACTGGCAAAATATTAGCGAGAAGATGGAGCGGACACGAAGTCGCCTGCAATGCATTACAAAGTGGAAATCCATGCAGAATCGCATATCCGGGAAAAAGAAGGAGAGGAAGAATCCCGAGGCAAAGAAACAAAGCCATGTCCAGCCTGAAGTAGTGATTTCAGATGAAGATATCTCTTCTCAGCTTGACCAGGCTCGGCAACAGATGATGAGCATGCGCGAAGAAGATCAATATCGTTTGGTTTTGGCCATCCAGGGAGCCTCCGTTTTATCGGACGACCAAATTCCCTGGGCAAAGCTCCTCGATAAAAAGTTTCGCAATCAATGGAGCCGTGGCACCCAAATACTGCTATGGGATCGCCTGAAGCAGACTGTTCCAGATTGGGAAGCAATATCGGTACTGGACGTCGCTCAGTACATTATCAACGAGTATAACCGAACAGGCAGCCTTCCTGAAGTAACTGGCAGTGGCTACGATGACGATGAGCGAGAAAAGGAGTTGCTTGGATACACTCGTTCTCGTGGCAAGCCGACTGCTGTGGTGAAGAGTGCAGAGTTTGTCGAAGACTCTGGCGCTGAGGACGAGCACCGCGACAACGGACAGCAGAACCAAGATGACAAGCTTGAGATTACTATTGATCCTGCGTTGATGGGAGAGCCGCCGCTCTCCCCACCGAGTGCCACCCCAAAACAGAAGAAGGCTACACAGAAGAAGCCACGGGCGAAGAAATCAAAGAAGGTGTCTCTTAGTCAGGACCCCATTGAGGACAGCGAGCCGATTCTGCCGCCTAATACGGTTGATGAAGGCGAGGAGTCTAATCTTGATGAAGCACAACTTCGTAAATCGAAGACACCAAGCAAATTCAAGTCTGTTAACACCACACACGAAGAGAACGGCGTCGCTGCTTCTCAAGAAGAGCCTTATTCAGACAGCATTATGGATGATATGGAAGATCTACCTGCCCGGATTCTGGCCTAATGCGTACCGTGTATAACCCACTAATAATTGTTTGAAAAAGAAAGAAGAAAATCTATGGAGTTGGGAGGTTTTGGAATGGTTTGCAATTGAGTATCTGCTATTTCAGGCTTTACGGACTATTGTTTTACGGCTGCTATCAATGGCCGAGTTGACTTGCATGGAAATATGGAAACGCCCTGGTTTGATTTTCTTTTCATTCGCTGTCGAAGAAGAAAAGATAGATCGTCTGCCAGCTCCTAATCAGACTTGGCGTAGGCTGCTTAGTGTAAATGACAATATGAATAAACTCTTGGAAACAGTATTGTTCAAATGGAGTTAAATTGCTAGCTCGCTGTTACAATTACCGAGACTCTAACCGAAAAAAAATCTTGGAAGGTGTTGGTTCGATGTACTTCCTTCTGTGTCTGTGCCCGAGAATGCCGAATAAAGCGTTATTTCTCATGACTACGTAGAGAAACTCTTAGATGAAACTAACCGATGGATTGAATTAATTCATTACATATTGTACATAAGTGCTCAAGTGCTCGCTGATTCGTAGTGTGTCGGCACAGTGTGTTGGTGGACCTTCGGTATGTTAGCAGACAATATTAAGACAGCCCCTCAGTTGGCGACCCAGTTGCTGGATTAAGAACTATTCGGATCTTGGAATAAAATGCCATTCTTCCTTTTTGATTTCCCCCTTATTTCCTATATCCAAATTCTTTCTTCATAAGCATACCGCGCCAAAGATGACAGTCATGAAACCACCGCGGCATAAAGTCGCGGTAATCGGCCTAGGTAAGTCTTGTGGTTTTCACAGTTTGTCCCCAGCGCGATTAGCGGACAACCATTTTTATGTATCTTTGAATCATATGACATGTTAAGTATGTAAGATAAAACCAGTAATAACTAATTGATATGGATGGATAGGTGCTGGGGGGATCGTGGCGGTCAAGAACTTGCTCGAAGAAGGTTTCGATGTGGTGGGATTTGAACGTAGTAGTTATATCGGCGGCTTGTGGCACTTTAATGAAGATGAGAATACCTTGAGCGTTTTGGAATGTAAGTAAAAGGGTATTTTATTCTCAAGGTCTTTGAGTGTATTGGAACTACTTACTGACAGCCAGTTTTCGTTTTAGCAACTACGACCAATATTTCAATAGATCGCGTCAGTGCCGATTAGCATTACTTTTTGTTTATAGCACTCTTGCTGAACAATATCAGGGGACATTTACCGATTTTCCTTTTCCAGCTGGTATGATAGACGACTTTATAACTGATCCTACCCCGTTTCCTGCTCTTCACATTTTACACTATTGGTATTGAAGAGAAGCTGAAGCTGACACCTTCGTATTACTCAAAAGGTACCCCAATACACTGTGCTGCTAAACTGGTAGAGGATTATCTGGAAGCCTATGCGAGCCATTTTAACCTCAGACCCCATTTTCGCCTTTCCACTACCGTTAGATCGGTATCTCGGGAGGATGAAGGTGAAGGCAGATGGAGATTAGATTTCGAAGGACGGCCTAGCGAATGGTTTGATAAAGTTGTTGTGGCCACCGGTCCTCATATTAAACCTGTAATACCTGAGTTTGAAGGAGCTGATCTCTTTACTGGCCGACTCATTCATTCAAAGAGTTTCAAGAAGTGAGCTCACTGTTCTTGGAAAAAAAAAACCCCTCCTTAATTTGTCTATGTGAACTGACAAAACCTAGACCAGAAGCATTTGATGGGCAAAAGGTGGTTGTAGTTGGGCTTGGGAACAGTGGAGGTGACATTGTCGACGCGCTTATCGGCCATGCCTCGCATATTTCATTGTCACATAACGGTGGCGCTGTCATTGTATGAGAAATCTCTTTCCCATGACTCCATCTTGACTCTCGTCCACACAGGCGCGCTGACAGATTCTCAAAGATGCCTAGTCTCGTCAATGGTGTGTCGGTTGCAGACAGTATCTCATACAGGTCCCTCTACCTGGGGGGTCTCGTCAGTGCTCTGTTTCCAAAACAATCCGAGAGGCTATTCGACGAAGCCGTTCATAGCATCTCGAGAGACGCGTTTGGAGAACTCGATCCATCTTGGGGGCTTGACCCAACTCGTTCGCTTAAGACGGCCAACGTGGTGCTTTCTGATACCCTTATTGCCAATTTTCGATCCAAGGCCGTGAAGCCGATTGTAGGCATCCGGCGGTTTATTGGCGGACGAAAGATGGAGCTGACCTCTGGAGAGGTTATCGAAGCTGATGCAGTCATCTGCTGTACGGGATATAACAATGATTTCAGCCTCTTGGAGAAAGAATTCGACCCGGCCTCCAATCCCTCGCCCAGCTGGGTAAACGCCCCGGGCTCAAAGAACAGGCCATGCCCGCGGCTATACCAAAATGTCTTCTCTCTCAAAGCACCAGACTCTCTGGCTTTTCTGAGCTGCGTCTTCCTCCTTCACGGCGCATTTTGCCTCGTTGACATTGCCAGCATGTGCATCGCTCAAGTCTGGTCAGGCAGAGCCTCGTTGCCGCCAGCGCCAGAGATGCAACGCTGGATGGATCGGCACGAGAAGATGCTGTGCAGGGCTGCGCAGACAGGGCCGGTTCTTCCTGCGTCAGTGCCTGCGGGCGATTGGTTGACATGGGCGGATAAAACAGCAGGCATGGGTGCGGCAGAGCATCTGGGCTGGGGTTGGAAAGGCTGGCGCTTTTGGTGGCGGGAAAGGGGGCTGTGGAGGTTGGTCATGGATGGCCCTTCGACGGCTGCTTTTTGGCGACTGTTTCCTGGAAGGAGGAAATGCTGGGACGGTGCGAGGGCGGAGATAATAAGGATCAATGAAGAGGCTGAAAGAAAGCGAGCGCAGAGTAGCTGGAGGATGGGGGAAGCTCAAGCGCCCTCAGAAGTGGCTGATTTTGGCCTGTTCAACAAGCAGCATTAGTCGCTAGATTTGAAAAAAAAAAAAAACACGAGAACACGAATGAGTTGCATGAACTACGGAGTGACTGTATTTGAAATTTTGCTCTGACGCACCTTCTTGGACTTGTCGAAATATATTTTGCGACTGTCTGTGCACAGCTGCAGCTTTATTATGCAAGTGCTCTTGTGTGAAGTGGAGAGTATGGCTGAACAACATATGCGTACATAGTATTGAAATCGGTGCCTATTCCTGCATTCGCATCTTGCGCTTGAGCTCCCCCGGCTTCTATCACCCGGAATATATAATCAAGCTTCATTGTTTATGCCTTTTTGGCATATCGCTGCCTATATGCTTATACCTTGCTGGGGTCCAGGGTGTAGAGGCTCAGAGGTCATAGGACCAAGTGCCGTTCTGTCTGCCCCTGTTGTGTTTCGAGCGACATGGCTCTATCAAATGACTATTCGCAGCCCGAACTCTGCACCCGCATTGCCAACTTTGCCGCCTCGCCTATTGACTTACTAGGCCGCGTCATGGCCTTCGGAGGCGATTGAAAAAGGGCTCCGATGAGATGTTGGGCACAGAAATACCTGTAAGCCGATAGCTGCGGGCTGGGAGCTGATCAATAGTGGGGGAGGGGCAGCCTTCCCGATACCCCTGCGGCCAATTCGTATCGTCGCCTAAAAAAATCTACTAGCTGGCAACATCAACCGAAGCCTTTGCTGCGCCAAAGTGTAGGTCCGAGACCCTCGACAAATCTTGGCGTCGTTGCAAGATTCGCTACTACACGAAACGCATGACTAGCATTGTGACTGAGTGGCAGCGTGCAAGGGATTCGGACTGCGACGTTTCTATGGAGGCTTGATCACATTTCGCCTCAAGTTGCATGACTGTTGGGCAAAGGGACTGTCTATATATCGAGGCTGGAGACGCAATGTTCAGAGCAAACTTCAATTTCGACAACTTCTTATCACTTATACTCTGAACACCTTGGCGGTGGAAACTTGCTTTGATAATTTTCCTTTTATAAGCCTGCAAAATGGCTTCAGTCGAAACCCTTTATGGCGACCTCATGTCGAGGGTCAACGAGACTCACCAATCTATTGCTGTTGCTGTCATAGCGACTTTCCTTGTTCTCCTATTCACAACCAAAGCGCTTTCAGGAAGCCCTACAACAACAGCAGCCAAGGGTAACCAAAAGATCCCATCATCGCCGAGTTACTGGCTGCCCTTTCTTGGACATGCCTTGTCTATGGCTTTTGGCAAAGATAGCTTTCTGGCTGGCATGCGGAGTCGATTCCCGGAAGGCATTTTTTCTTTGAAGATGGCCGGGAGGATGCATCACTTTATATACAAACCCTCGCTTGCTGCTGCACTGTTAAACCTGCAACGGCCTGCTGAGGATGAGCAAATGCTAGCAAATCGACTGCTTGAATCCACATTTGGTGTGAGCAAGAAAGACCAGGCCATCTACAACAAGATATTCCCAGAGGCGCTGGCTCAATACAAACATCTCAGCTCCGAGCCTGGGCTTAGCGAAGTTACCAGTGTGGCTTTATCACAGGTTAAGCAGAACATCATTAACCTGGTCACATTCAGCCCCAATCCCATGGACCAAATGGAATGGGAGAAGTTGGCAGACGTCGATATTATTGAGGAGAACGCCAAAGAGGGACCCATTACCCAAGTTGACTTGATGGAGCTTACAAGGAATTTTGTTTCAATCACGGTGATTCCTGCCATATACGGTACTGACTTTGTGGAGAACTTTCCAGAGATATGGAAGTTGATATGGGTATATAACGAATCTTTTGTGCTTTTGGCTACAGGTATTCCTGCTTGGGTTCCTTGGCCGCGGCTACAGCGTGGAAAGCTCGCTAGGAGACGTGTTCTGGCGATGTTGTACGAGTTCGAAGAAGTTATGGATAGGCACTTGAACGGAGAAGAAAACGATCCCAAGTGGCAAAATCTGGACAACGTCAGCAAGCTTGTCAAAGGCAGGATCGAGTTATTTAGAAAACATGGTGTATCGCTTGAGGGCCGAGCGGCCTTTGATCTTGCGCTTCTATGGGCTTCGGTTGCAAATTCTAACGCTCTCATCCCGTGGATGCTTTTTGAGCTTTACAGGGATCCAGTACTTTTGGAGCAAGTTCGAGAAGAGATTGCACCTTATGTCAATGCTGTGCAGCCGGAGAACGAATTTGGATCCGCAGTCTGGGTACCGCCGGTGCTGGAAGACATCGATATCGACGGTCTAATAACGAAGTGCCCGCTTCTCAAAGCATCTTACATCGAAACCTTGAGGGTGTATTCCGGCGGATGGGCGATGAAGCTGATGTACCATGACACGGTGTTGGAAGAGAGAGGAAAGGGCGGAGAATCATTTCTCTTGAAGAAGGGCACATACGCACATATCCCCCAAGAGCTTCATCAGTTCGACCCACAGTACTTTTCAAACCCAACCGAGTGGCAGGCCGAGAGACATATTCGGGAAACGGTGGATGAGAGCGGGAAGAAGGTTTTAACGGCGGATATGGGGACGTTGAGACCATACGGTAAGTATTTACTTGATTTCTTTTTCAACTCTTGTGTAGTAAGTCGTTTTCTAACTGTTTTGCATAGGTGGTGGCTTAAAGATGTGCAAGGGAAGACAATTTGCGCTCCGAGAGATGTTACTATATACAGCTGCTATTATCACATTTTACGATATGCAGCCGCCCAGAGGAGGTTCATGGGGTGAACCTCAGACGAGGAAGCTTGTTGCGAACAGGCATCCGAAGAAGCCGTTGAAGGTGTGGATTAAGAGGAGAGGGCAACTAGCTGAGGGTGAAGAGAAAGAAGATAGATGAATTCTATAGACGGGCAATCTAAGCAAATCTCGGTTTTATGCCTTTTCTTTTTCTTTTGAAATAATAAGATTGACCAACTTTGAGCGCTGCTAAGCTCGCGCAATATTCGCGTCTCCCATGCTCTTTGGCTCTGCCCTTAGCCTCTGGGCGCCACTATTTTCAAAACTACATGTACATGTATACGCATGTGCCTGCTCTGGGCGCTGCGACAAAAATACGGCAGTAAAGCCTCTTGTCTTAGATTTTAGACATGTTCAAGGCTTGCTCTCCTCAGCTGCCACCTAGAAATCCGTATAAATCCAGACGTCGACTCTCTAAGCGTGGACCGTGCTGCCTCAGGTGTAAACGATGACACCATAGCGTCGCCGACTCGCGAACCGGAGCCGAGCCTCGAACCGCCGCGACGACGTCCACAATTCCGCGGGAATTTGTCGGGCCAGGCCTACTTTTCAAACTGCACAGCAATGTTGCTCGTGCGACTGTAATCCACCGAACAGCTACTGGAGCATTATCGGAGACATTCTGGGCCATTATCGCCGTCTGCCGCTGCTATAACATCGGCACACGTGCTCAGCGCCCACCCCGCCAAGCGCCGAGAAGCTCCCTCCAACATCTACAAGCTCGACGGTTGGCGCTCGCGCACGAGGATGTTTCCCCCTTGATGGGAACCTACGACAATGATCCCGCGAATTCTCCCTCGAGCGTCGCTCGCCTGTCCGCGGTGCAGCGTCGCGAAGGCGCATAGTCTCCCGCTATGGCTCCCGCAGAAGCCAATTGCTGCTGCTCTCCAACGACCCCTCCGGACTTCGGCTGCGTGCCGCTATGAACGAACGCCGTCGCCAGTTCCCGAATCACTGAAACCCGCACCAACGAGCCCGAAAGCGTCTCCCTCTGGAACGACTGTAACTGCTGCTGCTGCTGCTGCTGCGTCGTCGGCGAAAGACGCTGCGAAGAAGACCAGCAATGCCGCCGCCACCGATCCCCTTGCGACTGTAGACAAGTCCAATACAGAGCAGCGCAAAGCTGACTGGGCCATCATGAAGGAGATGTCGCGATATCTGTGGCCTAAGGGCGAAGTTGGCACCAAGGTGCGCGTAGGCCTTGCCGTGGCCCTGCTGATCGGCGCAAAAGTCCTGAATGTGCAGGTGCCGTTCTACTTCAAGAGCATTGTGGACTCGTTAAACATTGATGTTGCTGCTGTTGGCGGTACAGCTACAACTGTAGCGGGCGCCATGATTCTCGCATACGGAGCTACCAGAATAGGCGCTACCCTCTTCCAAGAACTGCGAAACGCCGTATTTGCCTCTGTTGCGCAAAAGGCCATTCGCGGTGTTGCTCGGAACGTGTTCAACCATCTGTTACGGCTTGACCTGAGCTTCCACTTGTCTAAGCAGACGGGAGGCTTGACGCGAGCCATGGATCGCGGTACAAAGGGCATCAGCTTCCTTCTTACTAGTATGGTCTTCCATATCCTTCCAACGGCGCTGGAGATTAGTATGGTTTGCGGAATTCTCACATGGCAGTATGGCTTCAAGTTTGCGGCTGTAACGGCATTGACAATGGTTGGATATACGGCTTTTACTATCTGGACAACGGCCTGGAGAACAAAGTTTCGAAGACAGGCTAATGCTGCGGACAATAGAGCGTCAACGGTGGCCGTAGACTCGCTAATTAACTACGAAGCTGTCAAGTACTTCAACAACGAGAAGTTCGAGGTTGCGCGCTACGATAAAGCTTTGAGGGAATACGAAAAGAGCTCCATCAAGGTAGCCACCTCTCTGGCTTTCCTCAACAGTGGACAGAATGTCATATTTTCTACAGCTTTGACCGCGATGATGTACTTCGCAGCTGATGGAGTCGCCACAGGATCTTTGACTGTTGGAGACTTGGTAATGGTAAACCAACTTGTCTTCCAGCTCTCTGTTCCTTTGAATTTCCTTGGCTCCGTATATCGTGAACTCCGACAGTCCCTCTTGGACATGGAAACACTATTCAATTTGCAGAAAGTGAACGTCAACATTGTGGAAAAGCCGACAGCGAAACCCCTAGCTTTAGTGAAGGGGGGAGAGATCAAATTTGAAAATGTCAACTTTGGATACCACCCCGAGAGACCAATTCTGAGGGATCTTACGGTTACTATTCCCGCCGGAAAGAAAGTTGCCATTGTTGGCCCTAGTGGTTGTGGTAAATCCACCCTGTTGAGACTGCTATTTAGATACTATGATGTCCAGTCCGGCCGCATCCTCATTGATGATCAGGACGTTCGCGATGTCACTGTCGAATCTCTGCGTCGATCCATTGGTGTGGTGCCTCAGGATACCCCCCTCTTCAACGATACGGTTGAGCACAACATCCGCTATGGTATGATTGATGCATCTCACGACCAAGTCGTCGCGGCCGCAAAACGAGCCCGCATTCACGACATCATTGAGAAATTCCCAGATGGATACCAAACCAAGGTCGGCGAGCGAGGTATGATGATCTCTGGAGGCGAGAAGCAGAGACTGGCGATGAGCAGATTGCTCCTCAAGGACCCTCCTTTACTCTTCTTTGATGAGGCGACTAGCGCGCTGGATACGCACACTGAGCAGGCCTTGATGATGAATATCAACGGGATACTTCGCGAGAAGGGACGCACGAGCGTATTTGTGGCTCATAGGCTGCGAACGATCTTTGACTCAGACTTGATCATTGTGCTGAAAGAGGGACAAGTTGCAGAGATGGGCACCCACAGAGAGCTAATTGATCGCGCGGGTGTTTATGCTGAACTTTGGAGTGGTACGTTTTCTTGAACCATCATGATGAACTTTTTTGCTAATCAATTTTATAGCTCAAGAAACCATGTTCAGCGAGGATGGTGAGGCGAAGGACGGAGAGGCAGAGGCAGGGGAAGGTTCTGAGAAGAAGAAGAATTAGATATCGGCTTTTGGTAATGGAAACAACAGAAAAAGGAGCATGGCAGGACGACTTCCATGCCAACATGTACTCATAAATATATAGAGTATTTAATCAACTTTGCATATGGACATACTTGCGTTTATAACTCCTTTTAAGTCTTTCTACATTCTCCTTACATGCTTCGATTCGAAGTATCTTTAGTGATGCTATGCTGCAAAGTATGTCGCGTCTTGTTCCCAGCTGCTAGCTCGAAGGAGGAAATAGGGTCGGATTTCTTGCTTTTGTCATCTCGTACGTCTCGTTGGATACTTTTCCGTCTCTATTTCGCGGGTCTTCGATGGTATAACCTTCCTGATCTATATCCTCCTCTTTCTACAAACTTGGCTACTATGCCAGCTAATGCCTTTTGTAAATCTAGTATGTCACATATGGAAACGCGGTTTTTGTATCGCTCGTGAAGCATATGTTGGATTTGCATTAGATCAACCGATTATCATCAGTCCTATTTAATTGATGCGCTGTTAGCAATCATTGCTCCTTTGTTGCTAATATCTCTTTGTAGCTCTTTCCAGTGTGATATGGAACGATTGTCTTCATACCTATCCAGGCTGAACAAGGAGTTCCTTTGTTCGTCACACAAAGTAAACTCTCTGTTGTGAAACGACGAAAATGGTTGAAATGATTGGTTCGCTGTTTTAAAACTGGGTAAGAAATTTCCTTGTATCTGGAATATAGTTGCCTGTTAGGCAACACGTCACGATGCTCGGACTGGATATCTATTCTCAAATTAAGGTTCATTTCTGATGTAATATCGTAATCAGATTCTCGACTTTTCTTATGATCTATGTTTAATCGTGTAGTCGTTATATTTTCTCTATAAATAGCTGCGATTCTAGATATTCAATGGCGGTTTCGCTAAATACTGTGGGTGTTCTTTTGTAGTCTCTAGTCGCTACGAATGACTTTTTGGTGCCTAGTCGCGAGCTCTTCTAACAAAATAGAAGCTTTTTGTGAGCCTCCTTGCTCATTTAATTCTCTTCCTAAAGTCTTCGCTCTGGCCGAATAGCTCTCGTCTGAAAGGATCTTATTAGCGGCCGCTTTGACTTGATCCAAGGTGGGATTGTCGGTCTTGAGATCGATGCCAGCGCCACACCATGTTACTCGAGCAGCTGTATCTTTTTTATCTTCTGTTTGGCCCGCACAGAGAAGAGGGACTCCATGAGAAAGCGCCTGGGTTATACTTCCGTAACCACCATTCGTAATCAATAAAGAAAGGCGCGGAAGTAAAAGGTGATATGGCAACCAGTCTGCATAGCAGACGTTGACTGCTTCTCTTATCTGTGCTTCAACATCCTTGCCGTGCGGCGATACAACAATGAGCAGAAGGGATGGGTCGTCCTTCAGGGCCCTGACAGAAGGGATGATTAGAGACGTAGGATCCATGGCGAGTGTTCCTTGAGTGATTCCGACGACTCGTGAATGTGACACCACGGTTTTCCACCAAGCAGGTAGCTGTGATGATGTAGTGGGGGAGATTCTGACCAGAGGACCAACGTAGGCTACTCGCTTACTGTGCTCAAACTTTGGTTCTTGGGAGAACTCGAGCGTTGCGCACGAGGCTTGGATGTGAAGAAGAGGACTATACGTGAAGTATTCTGCGGGCTCGCCAAATGGAATTTTCTTCAGCCCAAGTACCTTTCTCTGTTGATTTATCACTGGCCTTAGAAAGAGAGGAAGTAGAATCCATTGGTTAATGAGCTGCTGCAGGCTGTTCCACACCAGGCCCAACCAGGACGCTGGAGGAGAATCTCCTGACACTGGGAATGGTGCTGCAGCTCCGGAGGTATAGAATGGAATGACCCCTAGAGTGGCATATACAGGTATTTCTCCAAGCTCATGTAGAGCGCGAGCTCCATGAGGAAACACATCGACAAGCAGAGCGTCTGCGGGGAATTCGGCCAAAATAGCTCGATAGTCAGCAACTTGAGCCACAACGCGAGACCTTAGTCGGTGAAATTGCCTATCAAGAAGTCCAGTTGAATTATTTTTGATGAACGGCGCATCGATTGCGGCAATGGCTCGAGTCTTGACGAATGTTGCTCCCGTGGCTTTAACGCGAGCTTCGTTATCAGCGCTAGTCAGCCATACGACCTCGTGGCCGCGATCGACGAGGGCTTGGCTGACGGCTTGCATTGGATAGGCATGGCCGGCAGGAAAATGAGAGTGTAGAAGAAATTTCATCTCTGATTTCTCGGGATGTCTGTATGAAACAATTGCTGATATTGAAAGATGCTACATGTTGAGCTTTGCTGCTTGCTGGCAGTTTTGGCGGGGCTTAGGTTGGCTTCAGTTGCTGAATATCTCCAAGTGCTTATGGAGAGAAGCACCAGAACAAGAGTACCTGACAATGCAACGCTCAAGATGTCCACAGATAGCGTTCAATACTTAATCGGTTAATTTCTCCTATGCCTGTTGAGACTCCAGCATGATATTTATTGAGGATTTTGGTGGTGGTAGACTCAATGCCCTTGCTACACCCCGCGACATTACCCTATAGACTACTGTATTCTTGTCAGAAATTGCATTAATGCTCGAACAACGAGCATTCTTTTGAATGCATCAGAAATGGAAATTACTATTTACGATCGTAAATTAGCAAGAGCATAGAGAAGATGCAAAGATACAAGGATATTCTAGGTTAGGACTAACAACGGTCGGCAAATAGATTACAATACTCAAAGTACCACAATCCGCGATTTAATCTCCCCATATTCAACTATCCTACCCTAACTTTGAAGAGAACAGCTACTATTTGGATTTGTAGATTCTCTTCATACATCCCATGAGAGGCTCTGTGAAGTGATTGAAGCGATAAGCAATCTGATTATTAGAACCCATGATACTGAAGAGACCATCCGCTTAGCAACCCAAAGCTATTTGCCCTTCCTATCCCCATCATTTAAATTCTAATTCGACAGCGATGTCTCTTCTCCTTGAAAAATTCAACTAAACACCACACCCAGTACATGCCGCGATCAGGGCAGTTTACCGTCATGCCCAGGACGTTCCCTTGACGTGGAATGCCATGGTATCGAGGAGTTAACTGGTAATTATCGCGTTTATGCTAGTAACGATGCATCAGTATGTTTCAATATCAGTGGTTAAGAACGATCAACGTACCTCATTCTATCGTGGAGAAGACCCGGGTGTCGTGATTTTCCAAATACGAATAGCTGAGATGTGTGGTTTTCCTCTAAAAGCGAAGTGGTGGACGCCGGATCCTCATTCTTCTCGTGGCGTAAAACTTGTAGAGAAAGGAAGTTAGCTAAGAACGCACAAGTAAGAGTAATAGGAATAAATATATGCGTTAATGACGAAAATAATGCCTTAAGGGTGTTTGATGTAGAAATGAAGATGGTCGGTAGGAAAAGATATTGACTTGCGAAGGGTCTGTGAGCCAGACGAGCAGAGCTTGGAAGAAGAATGGGCCACGGCAAAGGCTTTTTTCTGGAGACTGTAGTGGCGGTAAGACAAAGATCAAAGCATTCTATAGAATATAGAATGAGAAAAACATAGCTAGGGTGGCAAACTGCCATCGTGTGCAAAGATGAATAGCAGAGAGTAGAGATAAACCAAGGTAGAAGATATTTTCAAAAAAAATTTTCATTTCTCTCTCAAGGAGAGACCAATAGCCGTGCTATGGAAAGCAAAACATCAGGGCAAGTTGATAGGGACTGCTGGGAGGCATCTGGCAGAAAAATGCCTGTGCTGCAAACGAGTGGCAGAGTGTTTGGCAGGATATGGCGCACAAAGGCCGTGAAAGGGGAAACGCAATTGTAAAATGAGCGTCTTTGGGCAAAAGATACTTACGGATTTGAATATTTAATACTAGACAGTAATGAAAATGGAATTCAAACTCTTGAACAGATTGCTATCAAAAGAAGGGAACAGATCACGTCCAGCGACACCAACATAGAACACAGCCAAACCGCGCAGGAGTATCACCTCCCCGTAGCATCACAAGTTTGTGAATTCATGCAAAACCAAATATCTGAAAGAACTACGCCGCATACAGCTACGAATGCATACGAAAAAGCAGTGCCATTGCATTTTATAGAATTCAGGGGCTACAATCTACAGATATTCACATTACTGCCCGTGTCCCAGAATACCAGAATACGAGATAGCTGCACAAGATCAAGGAGTCGCATCTTCAACACCAACAATTTCGAATGGCGATGCACGAAAAGATGGCACATCTGCTGGCACATCTGCTGGCACATCTGCTGGCACATCTGCTGCATCTGCAGCAACTGCTGTGTGACGTGGGGGGTCATCAGCCTGGGCTATCTCGAGGCCACCCGGAGAGCAATTCACTCTGCCAAAGAAATATACGCCCTCAACATCCAATCAGAAAAATAGGCATCATGCAAGCAAACGGAATCATCCAATGATAAATTAGGATCCCAAAAAAACAAACAAATCGACGTCATCACCCTCACTTTGTTGCCAGAGCAGAGCTGCAGCCTGAGGCACTCACGTGCCTGGAGTGATCGAGGGCGGCCCGCCCGTGGCTACTTAAACCTCGCCTTCCCCCCGTTGACTCTTTCTTTTCTTTTCCCTTTTCCTTTCCTCAGCACAGCCCATCCCCATCGGGGAATCTCGTTGGCCTAGAGTATAACTCTAGGCCCAGAACCCGGCGAGGTAGAAGTGCTCCGGCCTAGTGATTAGCTCTTGGGTAGGCAAGCCCAAGAGCAGGAGGCTTGATGTCGGTGCTTGCACCAGTCAACCTCTTATGAAGGCTGCTTTTTTTCATTGAGCTTGAGGCTACAAGCCTGGACTCGAAGAAGAAACTCTCACTTCCAACTTCTGACTTGTTGACAATTGCCCTGGGTGGTTTGTGCTGGGAGACTGGCGCATTTGTTGGGGACGCCCGTGATGGGAGTGTATGGCGTGAGTGCTGTTGCTTTGAGGAATGCGGTTGCTTCGTGGATTAGAAACATCGTAGGCTTTGTAGAGTAGCTGAATTTACCATCATAATTTATTATATATCACTTGTTCTTTTGATTCCGTCGTGTATCCCGGCTGGCAGAAGCAAAATGGAGAATGAAATTTCGGCGTTTCTCCAGCGCCAAAAAACACTCGCGAAGTGACCCCAAGTTCTTCAGATTCTATTTCTGATTCTACGTGAGCTTTTCCCCTTTATAACTGCTGAGTTTATGATCTTCCCATAATTTGACTTCCAGTCTTGACCCCCTGCTCTGTCAGTCGCCATATGGAGCGACCCTGAAATCTTGACGATATTTCTCTGTATCACAAAGCTACCTAGCTGTACCGATATCAGCCAGTTCTTTCCTCGGCCCGAGAGCATACCGAGTTTGGCGAGAAATTAAGATCAAGGCAGCAGTTGATCAGATAACAATATGCAGAGCTGTGAATTCTCTCGACCGGGTCGACGAAGCGATCTCTCCCCGCTCCACGAAGACCGACCTTGGCGGAAAATAGAAGATGACGCCGAACATCTGCGCCTAGAAGATAATATCGGCAGACATACAATAAATGAGAGAGAAGCTTCTCTAGAGAAGAATCTGGCTTGTCTTTGTGATACTCTTCGTATGAAGGGCTTGGATCGAGCCAGCTGAATCGGCTTCTCTATCTCGAGAACCACTTTCTCGAGCTACTGGTAATTCACAGTCTATATAACCTTCCCATCATCATCATTTTTTTACATTTCTCTGCAAAGATCGCTTCTCTCTATCCTATTTAGAGAATGTTAACCTCAGTCCCATGGTGCCTGTGCCTCGCTAATTTTTCTACCCTCAAAACAGATCGATATTCCTCCTCTGACAAAATGAAGCGCCAAACTGAAGAAGAAATTCAGAACGCGATGCTACAAACAAATTTGATGGGCAAGAAATAACAACAGACGTCTTTGGAGCAGAGACATTTTATTGTGGCAAGTCGGCGTTATGGTCGAATTTTCGAACATAGGACGTTTAAAAACAAACCATCAACTATATAAGCATATGGAAAGAATCTTCTGGGATGACACATAATGGAAATGATATGGATAATATTTATCTCGATAACACCCTGGAGCGCTTGAGCTGATCTCTCTCCAGCATGGTGCTGAACGGAAATCCTCCCAAGCCGATCCAACTTTTCCCTGCTTCCTCTGGATTCAACACGCCTAAAATCAGAGCATATCCTCTAATTTTGATCGTCGGTGTTTGGGAAGGGATGTGTACAATATTGCACTCTGTGGGCTTCAATTCTTTTCTTTCGTTCTTTCTTCTTTCTTTTTTGCTACAGAAAATTAAAATGCTATGGGAAAGATACATCTTTGTTGCTTTATTTAATAACCAAGCCAAATATTAGCCGCTGATAAACAAGCAACACAAAGGCAAAAGGCATGTTCACATCGTAATAAAACATATTCTTGAGCCTTCGATGCAAGAACGTCGCTTCTGTTCAAGGAGTCAGTGTCGAGCGATGTGTAAATGCGCCGCTAGTAACCAAATTATTGCCATAATCCAGGCTGCGTTTTTCAATAATTTTGGCTGTAGGTGGATAGCTGGCCTAAATGTCCATGAAACATACGCTTTGACCACGACGCGTAATTTCCAAAGCCTGGGAGAAAGAATTTGAAACCGTGGCAGAATTCTTGGATTTGCATATATCGCATCTCGACTCTGTTGCGAAGCTAGCCACTAGTTGAACAGCGGCACTATGCTGACATTCCCGTCATGGGCGAAAACGGCCAACAGTCGTGCGATTCCTCCACAAAGAAAAAGGTTATACTCTATTGTGATCATTTTAAGATTTTTTTTCCCGCGGTGGCTGATATGGTTTGTGATCTTCGTCATGACAAGTGGATGACATCACAATCATTCGACAACTATTTAGACTGGTGCCAGAAGCCACATGGCATGCATCAGGACTCTCTTTACCTAAGCATCTAAAGATCAGGTTTTCACGAGTGAGATTGGCTGAAATATTCTACCATGGCAGATCAAAAGGCAGATTCCGAGATACATCAAGATCAGAAGGCTACTGCTGGAGATAAGCACAAAACCGAAGCAGAAAATCCAGATGCGAAACGAACTAAAGTCGAAGAAGAGGAAGAGGCATTGCCTAGCGAGAGGAATGGGGATGGCAAAGAGAAAGAAGGCGATGCCAGTCAAGACGTAAAAGAAGAGCCGGCAGATTCCAAACCCGATATCAAATTTGAAAACAACACCACTGAGCCAGAGAAAGAGGATACGGACGTTCCATCGAGCATTCTTGAAAAGGGCATCATCTATTTTTTCATCAGAGGGCGCGTTGATGTTGAGAAGGCAGAGCAGGTGGACGATATTGCTCGAACCTTTATCATTCTAAGACCTATAGCACACGATGCCAAGCTGAGCGAGGGGCCGCTTCGAGATGCTGGAAACACTCGAATCCTTATTCTGCCCAAGAAAGTACTCCCATCAAGCGGCAGAGAGCGGTTTCTATCGTTTGTGGAAAAGTCTGGAGCATCCTACGATGAAGTAAAAGGCCAGTTTCTCGCCGGCGAAGAGTATGAGACCAAGACGAAAGGCACCAGACATACTCCAGCCGCTACTCCAATTGGCGAAGGCGTCTATGCCATCACGACGACTGGAAGGGAAAGTCATCTTGTATATTTGCTTACACTTCCGCAAAAACTTGGCGAAGTGCAGGAAGCTCTTAACTTGAAAGAGCAGGGAAGTTTCATCATAAGCACCAAGAATCCGGAGTATCCAGCGCCAGCTTCGGTTCGGCTTCCCAAAGGGCCAGTGTATCCCAAAAAGTATGTATGGTATATCAACGTCTTGTACTAAAGTTACTAAGCTCATTACGCAGGATCCATGAAGAGTTTCGTGATCTAAGATGGATACCATCTCGGCCACACCATCTCGACTACGATAACACGCAAATTCTGCTCATAGGCGAATCTTCGGGGATCAAGAAAGCTTTGACGCCTCAAAGAGAAGACGAAAACGCGAACAAGGAGGGACCTCTAGAGTTCATGGAAGAACTAGAAGAAGAAGATTTGAAACGAATGAAGGACATGCCGGGAGATTCTTCCGCTTCAATTTACGCAGATTTGAAGGCACATGCAGAGGACTATCCGAAGCTCCAGACGACGTTTTAGATTCATCATTGAGACAACTACCGACCTGGCTGGGAGAAAATGCTTGGGAGTTCGCGGAAATATGCCTCTGTTGATGACATTCAAGGCATTTATCTCAAAGTCTGTCTGTTCACAGACCTTTGTTTTGTTTCTGTGGAGCAACGGTTCCTAATTTCCAATTACAATTCCCTGCTCCCAGCAAAGAGAAAGAAAAAAAAAGACAATCCATCTTGGATAATGCGTCGGAGGCCGGATTCAATTCTTGCGGACTCTCGATTGAATGTAACATTGTTGATAGATGGTGTTGAATGCAGACAGTTATTATTTTGCTCAGCTGGTTATTGTATGACTCTTTGATAGGCTATCCGTTCGGATTACTTATCGAATATTAATGTCCGCAAGAAAATGATTCATTTTCATGATTTTGTCCTGCCTTAACAGGTCTGGCCTAGCGGCCACTAACCGTATTAGTTTTCTACGCAAAAGTCTTGGAACCTCTCTAAGAAAGAGCCAAGCATCGTATAATCGTATGGGGGACGTATGAGTCAAAGCCTCGTGCCAACAGCTTTCTTTTTGTGACCAGTTTAGCCCGTTTTGGTAACCGGGATAACGGTGCTAATTGCAACGGGATCTGGAGGGTAACGCGGGGTACACAGGCTTGATCATGAAGTGGGTATGAAAATCGATAGCCATGACTCACAACAATGATCTTTTGTAGAAGGAAAGGGGGAAGAGGATGATAACGCAATCAAATCTAAAAAAAGACGAGTAAAAAAAAAAAAAAAAAAAAAAAAAATACTGCACAGGAACTCGAACAATACAGAGCCTACAAAGAAAGCTAAAGTATAATAAGGGAAGATGAGAGCGCAGTTGAACAGAAAGATCTCCATCAAAGGAACGCAACAATCACGCGAAAATGTCTTCTTCCACATCTTTTGAGCCCATGCCGGCAACGGCTGCGGCCACTATTGCATCGTACCACCTCACCGGGCCAGATGTGCAAATGCACATGGCTCTGGAGACTCCCCAGGCAGAGCACCGCATCAAGCTCGTCAACTTTTGGCGCATCGCTCCAGGCAGCCGCGTCCTCGAAATCGGATGCGGACAGGGCACGACTACTGCGGTATTGGCTGAAGCTGTTGGCCCTACCGGCCATGTTGATGCTGTGGACCCTGGACGTCCAGACTATGGATCCCCCTGGACGCTGGCGCAGGCGCAGGAACATCTCTCTAAGAGCGCGGTAGGGGATCGTATCTCGTGGTACTTTGCCGATCCGATCGACTTCTTGGCAGAGAATGCGGATAAGTCGTGGGACTATGTTGTCTTTGCCCACTGCATCTGGTACTTTGATTCCCCTGCCACGCTCAAGAAGATGCTGGGCGCCCTGAAAGGGCGAGCCACGTCTCTTCTCGTTGCGGAATACGCCCTCAAGGCGACGGAGAAGAACGCTTTGCCGCATGTTCTCGCTTCAGTGGCACGAGCTACACTCGAAGCGCATAATAAGGGTAGCGAGGCTAATATCCGATGCCTTTCTAGCCCTGGCGCCATTACTGATGCTGCCAATGAAAATGCCTGGACTCTTGATGGGGAGACTTTCGTGGTGCCTGAAGCGGGACTCTTGGATGGCCACTGGGAGACGGGAACAGTCAAAAGTCCAAACTTTTTGAAGGAGATTGAAGAGAAAGTGGAAGATCCAAAAGTCAGGGCGCTCTTGCGCTCGGCTCGAGATGGCGTTCTTGGAGTTTTGGAGACGATGGACGTGAAGAAGTCGTGGACAATGGATGTTTGGGCTGCCACGTTTCACTAGGTAGCGCCTTGGTTTGTGAAAGCAAAATCGCATGTATTATTCCGGCATATATACAGCTCTAATATTTATGGCTGTGAATATAAGAATCTAAAAAAATATATATATCTATATATACTGCACTTCAACATTCTAGAATTGCCATCTTTGAACGATTTCCAAAGTCCTAGCCCATTAAAAGCAACAAGTTCGTACCAACCGACAGCTTTCCCAACAGCAACATGTCACGGTTTGATAATGTCTCCTTCGACTTCAGCTGCATGTGCATCCATGTATTCATCTTCAAATGGCTTCGCCCCCATACGGGACCAAGCCATGGCTGACATTAGAGCCTCGTCCGTTTCTTTCCCTGGAAATAGCAATTCAGAGTTTCCGTCTCCAAGGTGTGTAACCGATCGATCCTGGAAAACAGTTCATTAGTAAAGAGGAAGGACAACCGCAGGGGTTTGAGAATATATCATACCAATCCTAGAGTCAACTTGATCACGCCATCTGCCCACTTGTTTTCATAAACATATCTGGGGGTTTTGCCTGCGACAGCGAGAAGAATATTATCTGCCACAATTGTTGCTTGACGCATCGCTGATCGCGAGTTCGGATTCGGGGTATTCGTATCGGCAACATCACCGCAGGTATAAATATTCGGTAGGGAATCATCGGCTATTTGGAGGCTTGGCTTGACTTTGATGTGGCCCGTGGATGAAATCGCTTTGGGAGAGAGGGTGGCAATAACATCAGATAATGGTCTTTGTCCCGTACAATTCATCTGCAACATATCGCTTATTAGGGCTGGTCGTAAGATCATCATGCTTTTAAATAAGACTTACGAAGAAATCGCAGGTAATCTGCCGGCCGGATCTGAGCGTCACTATTCCAGACGCCGAGTCCTCATTTACCACGCGATCTTCAAGGATAAGCTCGACGCCTAGTCTTTCAAGCCCTTCGCGTGCAGCTTTTTGAAGACCTTTGCCGAAACGATGCATCACTGCATCTCTGGAATGGATCAAGATGATGTGCTTCTCTGGGTATAAGTCCTTGGCATCTGTGGCGACTTCGACGCCGGCAGCACCTCCTCCAACGACGACAACCGTTTTAGCCGATTCGAGTCTCTTTTGCATGCCTTGTAGGAGCTTCACGCCTTGCGTTTTTTCTGTACAATTGACTCGCGATGGAAGGCCATCTTGTACGCCCGCTCCTGTAGCGATGACAAGAAACTCGTATGGGATTGATTCCTCGCTGCCCTGTAGTCTCACAGTATTTCGGTCGATGTCAACAACCTTGTCTTTGATCCAGCGATATGAGCCTTCGACAACTCCATCCAAGTATCCTCCATATGGAATAAACGCCTTATGTTCGTGCCCTTTGACGACGCAGAATCTGGGAAGCACCCAGGTGAAGTGGAAATGGCTGTTCGGCTCAACAACCACGACGCGGTACGGGCTTCGGGGAGGTAGATTCTTTGCAATGATCTGGGCTGCACGGTAGCCTGCAAAATTAGCACCAACAATGACGATGTTGCGAGTTCTTTCTTCTCCGCTAGAAGACCCAAAGAAAGCGGCTTGACGTCGTACTATAGCACCTCGGAGAACGAGTCGTAGCTCAGTCCAAAGAACAACGAGAGTGTAGCCGACAATTTTGGTGTATATTTTCGTCTTTTCTAACATTTTGATTTTCCGTTTTTAGAAGTCGATTCTTTGCGGTATCCTACCAAGAAGTTAGAAAAACCTTGTAGAGAGATTCCAGAGCCGCCATCGTTTTCATAAAAGAAAAAAAAAACCGCCAAGCCAGCGAAGAAGGGTGAAAATGCCGAATCCAGCGCGTCACGGACAAGAGCTCTCTGTCCGACTCTGTCCGGAGGTCCGACTCGGAGATTCCCATTCCCCATGCTTCAACATTATCGTCTAAGCAAACCGTTGCTAGTGGTACGGCAACGCCAAGAGAACAACCGGGCCAGTGGGGAGGGATCATTAGCAGTAGTTCTGACGCTAACGGATGCAGTTTCAGGGATATTTTGATCGAAGGTGGACCAGACGAGTTATCTGATGATCTGATAATCGCGCACCTGTGCCCTGCGCTCATACTGCCACGGCTGCCAGTTTACACAGCCTACTTCATTTCAATATTGTGAGCTGAGTGCACTATGAGTCATAAACACAAACTAGTGCACTTGATGGCATTTTAAACTGTCAATTAGCTATTAATGTGGTAAAATCTAGACCAGACCACCGTCCTTATACCAGTTTGGGTGCAATATCCGAACCCCCAAACTCGGGATAACCCTTGGATTTCCACTCTGAAAAGCTCATCCCACCGGCAAGAGATGGCATCCTAATCATGAGAGGAACTTCAATATCCTCCTCTGTTCCCAAGACTTCAGCTTTGTGTATGATTTTTTCGTCGAGCAGTTCAAATCCCAATTTTTTATATAGTCCAACTGTCGAAGGAGAAGATTCGAAGTAAACCGGTAGGCCTGCCCGTTCGCCCAAGTCTATGCCCCATTGTACGAGCAACGCTCCAGCCTTGCGCCCTTGATGCCTCGGATCAATGCCGATAACGTGGCAATCTAACGGAAAATGGCGTTTGTTAGCAAAATGTTGCTTGTCTTGGCATGCAATTCCACCAACAGCTGAGGCTGAAAATGTGGATCTCACCAGGATGAACGTACAGATATAGCGTTTGCCGCCAAACAATCTTTCTCTCACCTCCCATAGAGGGTTTAAAATCTTTTCTGCCCTTTCACGCTGCTCCCCAAGGAGCCAGGGTACACCCTGGTTCTTTCGTTCCTCCTCGCTCCGCTCTGTCAGGTAAACATCGCCGAGAGCCATGCCAATTATGTCCCCCGTGCTCGTATCGACACATTTGAAGGTGTATTGGGACGCACTGGTGTGCCAGTACGCCAGTGTTCCAGCAGCGTGTGCCTTCTTGAAGTCTTCGTCGATTACCCCGGGGAAGAGAATTTCGAGCATAATCCTCCCCATCTGGTCGTTTTGAAAAGCGTTGAAGTAGACATCGTAGACCTTGGGGATGTCTGGGATCAACGCTGGGAGGACAACTTGGACCATAGTTGTTTGCTGTTGGGCGCAGATATGAACCAACGTTCAAGGTTGAATTAGGTGTCTGGGAGTTCAAATGCACCGCTCTGAGGAGGGTCACAGCGTATACGAAGCAAGCACTGAGTAGGAAGGACAGTCTGTCATATTTATATTTCGACGAGTAGCATGAAGTTTGCGCCGAGACCGAATTTGGGCAGGTTGGTTGGATGGCTAGATGACATTCCTAGCATGTGGCAGCACGGTCGTTCCGAGGATAATAGCAAAAGTCCGTTCGTATTGGAAGCTGATGGCGGGACTAGGTGAAATATTTCTCTAGCCATCGACTATGGAAACACCGAGCGCTCGCGGCCAAGACGGGATGATGTTCTAGTAGGTTGATGGACAAGGTGTGCCTCTCATGCCTGCCATTTGGGCCGCCCAGCTTCGCAAGGCTAAGTCAGCACTGAATTCGATAGTTTCCATCAGTAGCGTGTATACCCGCAGGAATCCAGCATGGAGAACGAGTGGGATGGAGAACAAGTGCTCGTCCCGATGGAGACGTTTTGCCGACTTCGCTCCATCTAATTCTTGGCGTCTTCGATCATGCCAGGAGAATTAAAGTTATCTGATCCGCTCTTGATTAGCGCATTTGGTACGTACAAATGATCGGAATTTATTCCGGAAGATGTTCAATCTCTAAGCTTATTTTTTCCATTAAAAATGGAGAGGTGAGGTGGCGGAGAAAAAACTATATCTTGCAAGTAGTACCGGCAAAATGGCGAGGAGAATGATGGTGCATTGGGGTACAATATATGTACGTAGATATAAATCGCCTCGTTTTTTTTTTCTTTATATCTTTCCTATGGAACCTCTCAGCCTCTCTTCGGATGCTCTTTTTAAATACATCTAGCCACCGTATTATCGTCTAAGCTGGTTGCAGACTTTGACCATGCATTTATGCAAATACGGGCTTCACTCTAACTCTATGCTCTTTGCTTCTTGCTATGGCGTCGCAGGGTGCCAACTGTGAGCATTTTCATCCTGTATACTGGATTACGAGAGACGGAAACGGGCATGTAATAGATATAAGTAGTAGGAATCGCGCGCTTCGGTCTCTAGAAGACAAAGGATTCGGGGTTGTTTCTTGTGTGGAAGTTTTAAAGTACATAGGAACTTTGATCGTAAGCCCCCTACGAACTATGGAGTCGCGCCCTGAACAATGGGTTCCGCAGATCGTGTTCCAGCCACTAACTGCCAAAGTCTAATCCATCGTCGGCAACATTGTTTATTCAAACAGTGGTGAAATCAGTTGCACTTGGGGCTGCACAATTGCTATGAAAGCGTCTGTCTGCTCAGTAAATACCGAAGAGGCTAAGCGATCTACACAACGGATCGTTGACAGTCCTCGGGGCACTGCCTCCTAACAGTGCTCCCCTCCGTGCTTAGATCCTAAATTTCCTAAACGCCACCGTGTTGACATGTATCCTATACCTGATCCTACGCAGTAATCGTGCAGGACTTGCTTGTACTGGTTCCAAAAATCAAACCCGCCCCATCCAGCCTGCGACGCCGCGATATCCAGGCACGGCGCAAAAAATGACATCCCCTGGTCGCACTATGTGGCTGTGAAGAAAAAGGATCGTGGATACGAGTTGCAAAGTGCCGCGAAGGCCCGACTGGCTCTGTGCAATTGTCGCGTCTGGCCGTGCTACGCTCTTTTTGTCCTTCTGCAAGGCCAAAGGCCATGTGCAGGCGATCATGGCTCTCTTTCCCAAGCCTGCGGAGACGCAGAATATCGGGCTCTTCCTCTTGAACAAACGCCTGATTCGCATCGCCTTTGGCGTGGTGGCCTTCTTCTTCGTGGTCTTTGGGCTGCTCTGGCGACACCAATATGATGGCGAGGCCCTGCTGAAACTGCCTGCCGAATCACCCGCGCCGGGCATCGCGGAGACGTCCGGATACTATCCCTACGAGACTGTTAGCGACTACGACCCCGTGTCTCTCGATCCCGCCAACAAGTCCACCGCAGACCTCTGCGCAACGTTTCCGAAGCACTTGCTCAATCTTATCCAGCCTGTCCTGAAGATAGGCCATAGCGAGGATCGTGCAAAGCTGGACGCACAGCTCGACAGCGTCAGTGCGTGCTTCCAGCCGGGCGAGCTGCTCATATTCTCCGATCTTGACGAGCCCATCCGCAACCACACGGCAATCGACATTCTCGCAAACCTTCCGCCCAAGTATTACGATCAAGAATATAACCCGGATATCTCGAGCTACCTGCTGCAGAGAGAGCTGAAAAAGAATGGCAAGCTAGATCAGGACAAGGAGGCGACCAAGAAAATCGATGGCTGGAAGATTGATAAGTTCAAGTTTCTGCCACAGATAGAGCGGGCTTGGCTGTTGAAACCCAATCGACCCTTTTATTTTTTCTACGAGACGGATACGTATGCATACCCTTTCTTTGTACAAGCTTCCCTACCCCTCGATGGTCCGAGATAATAACTCCTCTTTTGTGTTGAAACAGATATGTCGTATGGGACAATGTATACCGATTTCTCTCAACTTTCGATCCCGATACTCCCGTGTACATGGGTTCACCGTCCCCCGGGCGCCATGACGACGTCCGCGATATCAAGACATTCTTTGCCAATGGCGGCCCTGGATATGCTCTCAGTCGAGCAGCCGTCAAAGCGCTTATACACCGCGATGTGGCCCCGCATGGCCAGTATAGCGGACCTTCCATTACTGAGAAATGGCTCCCTCTGCTCCAGGGCGAGTGCTGCGGTGATAGCGTCGTCGGCTGGACCTTGTGGAACAACGGCGTGGCTTTGCAGGGATATTGGCCCATGTTTAATCCTCATCCGCTGCATGGGATTCCGTTTAGCGACCTTTACTGGTGTCAGCCTATAATGACCTTGCACAAAACATCGCCCAAAGACATGGTCGATGTTTGGAAATGGGAGTTTGGGGAAAGGAAGCATAAGGTATGCCAGTCTTTCCCCTGAAATAATCACTGTAAACTTTGTCAAAGACTCTAACATGCGTTCATAGCGTCCATTACTTTACTCCGATTATTGGCGATTCCACCGTCCTGGTACGTCTGACACTTTGGAGAACTGGGATAACGGCGACTGGGGCACATGGAAACCCGGTCCAGAAGAAGGAATAGACTCCTTTGAAAAGTGCGAAGAGGCATGTAAAAAAGACAACAACTGTGTTCAGTGGAACTGGCGAGGTAGAGACGAAAAGCAATGTCTTCTCTCACGAGATTTTAGACACGGGGCAGCGCGAGAGCCAGAAAAAATTGGCGACAACAAGTGGGTGGATTTCAAATCTGGCTGGATGCAAGGGAGGATTGAAAAATGGCGAGGAGAGAGACAGTGTGAAGTCGTTGAATGGGTTGGACCAAGCATTACACGGATATTTTGAACATTAATGGATATAACGAAAGCGAGTGATTGACGAAATACGATGTACAGATTTGGTTGGATTTACATTTACTGTATTGGAGACTCATGCTCGGACCATGTGGATAAAACGCGTACATAATTAGATCATATATCAACAACACTAGTATTGGCATTATATGAATATGTTGAATAAACGCAGTGCAGCGTCGGGTATCATTTATGAATGACGAAAGCGATCTAGTAAAGCCCAATCTGTTTCCATGCTAGTAAACGTAGCGAAAGTATGGATTCTCCTTGTCGGTTAGATCCTGAAATGCAAGCTTTGCTCGCTCGGTCTCATCCTCTGGAAAGGCCATCTTCTTCTTGTTTTCAGCCCGTAGAACAAAGTACAGTGTCGAAGATGCAACAATGCAGATGATGTAACTATACACAAATTAGTAAATCTCGGCTACAGGTCACATTGGTTAAATAATCGTACCATATGATCAGGCCAAGCCAGAGGGCGGGATAGTGTCTGCTCTTGGTCTGCGACCAGATCAGCTGTGGCCCAACGATGTTGCCAACGCAGTAGGCCACGAAAATAGTCGCGGCCATGAAGCTCTTCTTCGTATGGCCTGCGACATTAGACATCCCAATGGTGATGATAAGGCTGACTGTACCGCCAAAGAATCCTGTGATGGAATATCCCACGACAGGCAAGGCGGCATGGAAGCTCCAGGTGCTTTTCCAAATCATGGCGCAACCAGCAATGACGGGCAAGCAGGTAAAGATGAGCATGAAGATACGGATGTTGTTGAATTTGGAGCCAAGGTAGCCTGTCGCTAGGATGACAATGAAGCATAGCGCGCCGAGGGGAAACTGGAAAACGATGGACTCGACTGTATCCCAGCCAAAAGTCGATACGATAAGTGGTCCGAAGCCACTCACTGCGCCGTTAACAGTATACGCAGAGGCCATCATAATGGCGATTAGCCAAACTTTGACGTCTAGAACTGCTTCTTTAAGCTGAGATGACTTGAATTTCGTGCACCGCACCCCAGTCTGTCCGTGCCGCAGCCTTTCCACGGCTGCAAATCGCTCATCATTGGTCAGGAACCAAGCTGATACCGGAGAGTTAGGCAGCGCGAAGCAGAAGAGGCCAAAGAGGAATGTCAATGACCCAGCCAGCAGATATATGTATTGCCATCTCTTTAGTCCTCCTCCTGTGATCTGAGCAAATCCATAATTAAGCGCTCCGCCAATGATGGTAAACAGGCCGGTGCTGCTAAACCACCAGCTCTGCCGTAGCGACTGCTCGGACTGCGTGTAATAGCCTGAGATGATGCACATGAATCCTGTGGGAATGATGCTCTCGACGAACCCCAGGAAGAATCTCTGGACAAATAGGCCTTGCCAAGAAGTCACGGCCGCAGTGAGCATACAGATGGCGGACCACAGGATGACAACGGCACCGAGGACTCTTCCTATGTCGAAACGCTGTAGAGCGAACGTCATGGGGTACAAGCCTCCCAGCATACCAAAGTAGAAGATTGAGGTGGCCCAGCTGAGGCGCCTAGTGTCGACTGTAGGTGGGACAGTTGAGTTGTCGACGACGCTGAGATGAAGATCTGTCGTCATGCCAAAGAGGACAGCTGAGCCGAGAATCGCCTTGTCGTAGTAGACGAGGCCATCTATGAACGCAAATCATGTCAGCACGTTTCTAGCATCATAGCCAACCTCTATACGTCGAAATAGATAAACAACTGACATCCACAAATCATGGCCGGAATCAGAAACAAGTCAATTTTCCTCACGGCTCTTGCTTCCACAACAGGATCAATGGCATGCTGCACCTCGCCTACCATGGCCACCGCATCATCCTTGTCAAACGGTCTCTGGTTTGATATGTCGTTGTCCATGGTTGCACGGGAAGCGAGCTTGCTAGTATACGGCCTCTACTATTGGCTCTTTGTTGGGAATTTACAGCGCAATGAAGCACCAAACGCCAGCAACTCCTCAAGAAAGGAAGAGGGAAAAAAAAAATATCTCTACCACATTTTCAAAAACTTTGAGCTCCCAGATAAAGTGCTTAGTGTCCGATTGCCGGCGCGATAATAAAAATGGTCATGGGTAGCTAAGCTCAATTGCGAACGAGTGACATAGAAAAAAAGAGCTAAGCTTGGGGATCACGACTGTAATTGGCGGCTGGCAGTGGTATGGATCGGTTAGAGCCGGGTGGAGTGGACCAGCTTCAACTCAAGTTAATCAAAGCTGTTGGGGGAAAAAAAATCACACCATAGCATCAAGCAGCAGAATGATGGTTTTTCCTGGCAATTGCTGCTTTTTGCCTATTTTTTTTTTTTTTGGCTTCACAACCGCTAAACTTGACAAGTCATTGCCTGAAGCAAGAAGGTGGAAAAAAAGAGATGTAATTCGATCACATCACTGAAAGCCGCAACAGAAGCAGGAGTATGAAGTAAGAAATTTTATTCGTTTCTGCTAACGCGTCCATGCCATGCAAACCAAAAACTATATACAACTTTAGTCCATTGTCATTGAACTTATTATATCTTCAGGGGGTATTTCTATTTATCTTTCTTTCTTTTTTTTTTTATTTTTCGCGTTACATTTACAGCTTCGAGGGGGTGTCGTTGGGGTTCTTGATTTCCACCAAAAGCTTGCCAGTGTTTGAGCCCTTGTACAGGTCAACCAGGCCCTGCTCGGCAACCTTGAGGCCGCCGGTGAGGATGTGCTCAGTCTTCTTGATCTTGCCCTCGGAAACCCACTGAGCGAGCTGCTGGCGGGCAACGCCGTACTCCTTGGTGTAGTCGAAGACAATGAAGCCCTGCATCTTGATGCGCATGGTGATGACACGGGAGATGTTGGAAGGGCCCTGGGGCTTTGAGCTGTTGTACTGGCTGATACCACCGCACATGACGAAGCGGGCGTGCTCCTTGGCGCGGGCAAGGCACATGTCGAGGATCTCACCACCGACTAGATTGGCATTTGTTAGCGGCACTGAATATCAGGGGAAGGGAAAGAAGCTGCAGTAAAAATGGCTGCTTACCGTTGTCAAAGTAGACGTCAATGTAGTTGGGAGTGGCCTCCTTGAACTTCTGCTTGAAGTCGGCATCCTTGTAGTTCAGGGCAACGTCGAAGCCGAGCTCCTCAACAAGCCACTTGCACTTGTCATCGCTGCCAGCAAGGCCAACAACGCGGGAGCCGTTGATCTTGGCAATCTGGCCAGCAATGCTGCCAGTGGCACCGGCAGCGCCAGAGACAACAACCGTCTCACCAGCCTTGGGCTCGCCAATCTTGGTCATACCAGCCCAGGCAGTGAGGCCAGTCATGCCCAAGACAGAGAGCATGTCCTTGGGCTCCTTCAGGCCGGGGTAGTTGGAAGAGGGCTCAAAGGCACCCTCGCGCAGGACAGCATACTGAGTCCAGCCAGTGAAGCCGCAGACGTAGTCGCCAGCAGCAGCCTGCTTGCTCTTGGAAGCAATGACACGGCAGACGGAAGCGCCGCGCATGACCTCGCCGATCTGGACGGGAGGGACGTAAGATCGAGCATCTTAAAGATATCAGCCATACTGACTTCAACGGAAGGAAAAGTGAAATAAAATACTCACCGTTCAACCAGCCACGCATGGCAGGGTCCAGAGAGAGGTAGAGAGCCTCAACCAGAATCTCTCCATCTTTGAGGTCGTCGGATGTGGGGGCCGGGGAAGTCTTCTGGGTGAAGGTGGTGCCAGGAATGATTTCAGCGGTAGGGCGCTCAGCCAGGACAACGGAAAGGTTCTCAACAGCCATGGTGAATGTGATGTGTGGTATGTCGTAGAAAGCAACACGCGCTAATGGACAAGTAGATGTAATCTAAAACTGAGATCTGAGACTATTCGAAGCAGCTCTCGAAAGCTGGCGTCACCGCCGTCTTTATACCCGTATATTCTACCACCGTCTAGTCTGTGTCAGTAAGGGTGGCCGATCCAGCTAGCAGTTTAGCTGAGCATCGACGGTGGTGGCGGCGACACACTCAAAACGGCTGTTTGCTCCATTACACTAGGACGGCCGGTCTCTGAAACAGCAGCAACATGGAGATTCCGGAGACCCGCATGCATTGTGTCGTACGTGAGCTGAACTCCGTGCCATTGGGAGTTGCCCGCAGGTGCCCGGAATGGAAAGTTCCCCATCAGCGTTGCGCACATGGTGGGTTTGAGGCTGCTGCGTTGAGCCGCCACTACGACGATTCGGAGCCGCAGGTCGGAGCCGTAACTGTGATACACACGCCTGCTATTTGATGCTAGGTACGGCATGCTATGCTAATGCAGTTTAGCAGCAGCATGGGACAAGCAGTATGTGGTCTCACACGGCGACGGCCCCTTCCAGGCTACGCAAACTACGGCTCCCCACAAAGCCACTAGGCCGCCATTTCGCAATAGGGATATTCCTCCGGCCCGGAGTTCGCTCTCGCCGTGTCTTGCAGCTCCGCCCAGCTCTGTATGTATGCATCTCTGACTATCGACCCGGCCAGCCAAGGCCTCTTTTTAGAAAAGAGCCCGGCCGCTGGCTTCGATCCAGGGCTGGTGGATGAGGTCAAAGCCCGCCTGCGCATAATTATGGAGAGGAGCAAGTTGCCGAGGTGGTTCGGTGTCCATGGAAGGCAGCAGGAGAAACAACAAGTCCGAGACTAGAGGAGAGAGAAGCAGAGAGAAGAAGAGAAAAGGCAAATACTCCTGAGCGCGTAAAAAATAGTCTCGGTGAAGAGACCGATGCAGGCAATTTCCCGTCCTGCGTCGTTTCCACTTGCGACTTTTGACTCGCTAGCGCAAGATCTGCTGGGTGATTGGTAATCCTCGATGTCTATACAGTAGATTTTGAGTGCATTTTAGGTTGGTTGCTAGATTCGTGGTTTGACACTGTAGATGCTGTCTCACGATTGGCTGCTGCACAGCATCAATGTGTTTATAGGTTAGGTACATGTAGCATTCCCTGCCATCAATCTCGATTGCAGAGAACGAGATACCATATGCGCGTATTCATGGACACTGCCTTGTAATCGGTAGAATTCAAGTGGCCGAGTGCCATCAATTGCCCCTTGATCTCGAGACAAGATTTTCATAGACATTGGTTACATACGAGGGCTATGTCAGCTATTTCTCATCCAATATGGAGCCTACAGTACAAACCACCACGTAGGGCCCAGGATACATACCGAGGCCCATTTTCAGCACTGGCCCTGAGAAAATTGATGCTAAACCGCCTTGATTAGAAACCTGTTATGTTAGCGGAGCGGAAAGGCTAGTGCTTTACGAAATCTGTGAGTTGCTAGATTAAACAAGTTGAGCTTGCTTGTAGTCTTTTGAATGGTCGAAAAGGCGCTGCTACAGTACAGACAACGTAGTGCCGGTACCGAGGCCCATTTTCGGCACTGGCCCTAAGAGAATTGATGCTAAACCGCCCCTAATCAGAACTTGCCACGCTAGCGGAGCGGAAAGCCTAGCGCTTTTCGAACTCCGTGGATCGCCAGATCAAACAAGTCGATCTCGGTTTACATTCTAAGAACGGTGAAGACGCTGCCTGTATCCCGACATTGCTCCGTCATCAATGAAAGACCGCAGCCTATCTGTTTGCCGCCCTTGATCCACTGGCTTCTCTGTCCTATTTGCGATACCATGTACTGTTTACATGCCAAAAGGGTGGAAACTAGATACATGTAGCTGGTAACAGACAAAGCTTTTCGTGGACAGTGCCTCGTAAAAACTTGACGGCCCCAAAAACGTCACACGATAATACTGGGCGTCCACACGAGGAAGGTCGTATGATTACGAATCAAAAATCCGTCACAGGGTGACAGATTCGTGTGCCGAGGATGTTCTTCTCCATTGTAGACGAAAAAGTATCAACATTGCCTTTTAGCACCTGCGTGGATTTATAAACATGTTCGATCACTGAAGAGCATCAACAGATCCATGGAACTTCCCGACATGTACATATTGTGACTATATCGGGCAACTTCTTCAGAGTAGGATATACCTCCGTACTTCACAGCCAAAACCGTATATGCATGCATTAGGCCTAGCAGTGAGCACATAGGCCTAGCTTTAATCACTCTGCGTTACTGTTGCTACGGCTGTTGACATAAGCTGTCCGCGTTTTCTCAGTAGCCGCATTATCTTGTTCAACATGTCTTGAACGGGGCCTCCTTGGAACATGTCAACGAAAAGTGCTTATTGGTCAGGCAATTGTGAGTAAATAATGAGTAAGCAACTAAGAGATTCTAGTCGAAGAGCCCTCTAACAGGAGAGGTGTTTCAAGAAGTACCGAGCGAATCGGTATTGGTGTTTCACAAGTTCAGGGTTCTTCGATCTCCGCCTCTTTCATGCGACGTAAAACCCACACCACTGCCAAGTCTCTGTTAATAAGCGCCACGAATGATCGATCGCTAGACAGTATGTACAAAGCTGATAGCCGCTGTGGGGCATCCTGGTGACGGCCGCGGCATTTGAAAGATGGTATGGATGCTCTATAAGACGGGTTTGCGGCCCTCATTTTCGTTTAACTGTACGGGCAGACTTTGTCCACAGAGGAAGAGGCCTGCACTCATCTGCTACGAAAAAAAAAAAAAAATGATACCATCATATGCTGAGGAGTTATTCTCTGTGGTGTTTTCATTTTCCGAAACACCAGCACCACGAATTGCGCCTTCGGACTAGGTATTTCGGAGTTGAATCCAAACCTCAAGGGCTGATCTACCACTTTTCCACATAAGAGCGACTGACAAAGACTGCTGAGGCTGCAAAGTACCAAATATTTTGCATCATACTTCATCAGTCGAGTCAAAATTAATGTACTGTTAAGCAGAAGAAGCAGCCGCTAGCTGGAGACAATACGTCTTGGCTGTTGACTCCGTCTCATCTAATGAGCCTATTGCCATCGAGCTATGTGCACAGAGCACCCAATCTCATGGATGAATATTCAAATTCATTCAAATTTCTCTTGTAAAGTGATCCCTTACGTCATGGATTTCCTAGTCTACGAGTGCTGTCTAACATGCAATGACAGATCAAACAGCTTCTCTTTAGCAAGAGGCGGGAACTAGCGTCGAGATAGCCACATGTGCCCAAGAAACAACTACTACGGCTAGTTAAACTACAAACACTTAGCGTCTTCATTCTTAGTCGCATACGGAGTACACCTTGCGTCAATGAAGAGTGGAATGAGCGTTTCCAGGCGAAACCAGGACTTGGATGAAATATTCAGGTCGGCCGCATGGTTAAGAATATCACCATGAAGACCACTTCAGACCCAGCCAACCCTTAGCTGACCAGTACATCATTAGTGGCCCTATCACTCAGAGCGTATCATCAGCCCTGCTTCGATAAATCCATAATATTCGTCACGCTCACGAAGTCACGAAGCGATGCAGAGTTGACACTTCGCAAAATATGCTGTTTATACACTAAGAAAGCTTGTGGCCGCCGCAAGTCTAAAACACGAAAGGGCAGACTTCAATCATCCGCTTGACCCACTTGGGCAGCAAAAAAAATTTAATACTCTCAAGGGCCTTGAATTCTGTGTTACTCCGTGCTCCGTTTATTAACAGTGTTCTTGGGCTAGAAACCTGAATGGCCTCAGAGCAAGATATTTCTACTGCATCATCACATTCCATCTGACAGCATCGAAAATTCTGTGTATAGGCGAAACTGCACAGCATTTATAGATCAGGCCGCAACTTGATGACGAATGAGCTGTTTTTTACCCCGGCTCTCCTGTTCTGCTTTCTGGAAACTTGCGCCGCAGTAAGTCTACCATGGCCGTAAAGTTGCTCCGACTGGCCGCTCAGGACGCCCGGAGTGACTTAACACGTTGATATTTGGCGAATGCGAGCACGATAAGACTATTTTAGAACGCACATTATCGTAAATCAAAAATTATGAATTGTGAATTGTTTATTTTAACACTTTGAAATGATTATTAAATGATGAACGCCCCCATCGTCAGCGCAGACTTTGTAATTCACTCTCTCCGTTTCACCGGCTCTCCGATGCGTATCGAATACGAGACTAGAGGCACATGTCGGAATTATATCTAGACATAAAGCACCGCTCTTCCTACTTGTAATATCAATCACTTCGGCATCTTTCAACCCTTCTTTCGACTTGCGTATCTTCTACATTTTTCCGACGCGTTCGAAAGCCAAGACATCGCCAATCTCTCCTATTCTCGCTGCATCTTCCACAAATCTATTGGCTACAATTCTCAATTTTCGCATCAGCTGATTTTATCATGTCGACGACAATTCCGGGACCACCTGGCAGCCCAGGCGGTTTGGTTACATTTGGTCCTCACGCCAATTGCACGCTTGATCTCTGTCCGATAGAATATAGCGTCTACAAATATCGCCCTTCAGTTCCAGCCAACGCAATCTTCGTTGCCCTCTTCGGAATTTCGATTGTCGGCCATGTTATTCTTGGCATTCGCTGGCGCCAGTGGAACTTTATGGCCCTTATGATAGTCGGATGCTTGGTTGAGATTGGAGGCTATGCCGGTCGTCTCATTCTGTACAACAACCCTTTCTCATTCGGCGGCTTCATGGATCAGATTGTCCTCATCACTATCGGCCCTGTATTCTACACTGCTGGAATATACATCACCTTATCCAAGACGTAAGTCGACCTTCAGTCGGCCAGACCTGCATGCACCATTAGCTGACATTCCACTTAGCATTAACTACCTAGCTCCCGAAGTTTCTCGTATCAAGCCCGAACTCTTATATTGGATATTCATCCCTGTTGACATTATTTGCCTTATCCTACAAGCCGCCGGCGGAGCTATATCTGTTGTCTCATCCGGGTCTAGTTCAACTGGAGTGGATATTGCTATGGCGGGCCTGGGACTTCAGGTTGGAGGCCTGTTCTTTTTCAGCACATTATTTGTCGATTATTTGATTCGCTATGTCCGCAAAAAGCCTGAATCTCCCTTGACAACGAGGATGCGTATCTTTTTCGGCTTTTTAGGTGCTGCGATCCTCTTAATCTTTGTACGATGCGTTTACCGTTGTTATGAATTGAGCAAAGGATACATACATTCAGACTTAATAACAAACCAAGGACTATTTATTGGGCTTGAAGGAGTGTAAGTATCACGCTAATATCCTTCTAAATGCTCTAGACTAATGCTGATTTTCGCTTCAGACTCATCATCACGGCTAGCTTTTGCCTCTTCCTTGGACATCCTGGTTTTATTTTCCATCGAAACGAAGCCAAAGCTCACTCTCTACCTATGTATGATGAGCACGATAGCTCGGACTCCAAAGCTTAAAACTGATGGAAATAGCATAACTCAAGACGCTAGAGGCGGTTGAGCTCTTTCGGATTAAGACGTTCTAAGGAATAAATAATGTGTACATTTAATAGACAGATAACAAACGTAATGTAATGTTTCTAAAACACCTTGATATTATCCCATGGTCAAGGCAAAATTAATAAGGCCTCATGAGAAGAAGGTATATTTAAACCTGTATCTAAGACGCGTTTTCAATGACCTGACAAGCAATTTAGCAACTCGAAGATAAGAATTCAGGCTCAACCTAAGCCGAAGGTGATATAAGCTGTCCAGTATTAAGGCTAATTTGAAGTTCCTTTCCACCATTGAAGTTTGTTAGCTCATAGGGTATGTCATTGACAGAAAGAGGTGAATGAAACAAGGGCGTTCTGAATGTTATCAAGCTTCAAACACAAATGCTCATTGCTTGCGATCGTATTCTTCGAAGCATTCCGCACTGTCGCTCCACAAGAGAACTATCGCAATGTCCGTGAAGAGACTACTATCATCAATGCCAAGGCTAATAAGAGTTATCTGCTTAAAAAAGAGCACTTCGCACAACTCACATCAACCGTCTTGCATGCGTGACCTAGTATTTGAGGCGAAGACGTAGACTCTTTCAACTTTCGCCGTTTCCTTCACATTGTCAATCGAGCTCGCGCTGGTGTTAGCATAGAGGGGAAACTCATCGATCTCGCGACTCCATTCAGGGACTCCAATGGGAAATCACACAGTGGCCCCTTTCTCACTGTTGGGAGATATGCACTTATGTGCTGGAGGTTCTTTGCTCAGACAAGCGTCTAAAGCGCTGCAGCGCTCTTTATCGCCCACATTGAAATGGAGAGTGAATGAGGCGAAATGTATCACCTCTATTTCGTAAGATGCGAGCATTTAAGTTGCTATCAGTAAACAAACTGCAAGGCGATGTGTAAATTACCGTGAAGAGCAGAGACTATTTCTATTTCGAGGACGCGGCATAGGAATTTAATTTCGCAAAGAGAAAGGGCCATGAATGAGATAGCGCAACTAAATATTCAGTCAGAATCGATGATGAAGATATTCATGCAAGCAGCTTGTCTTCAACACGGAAAATCATCTTTATCATTAATATTTCAAACAACTCTTATTTGACAGCTAGATATTAGTAACACGAGCCTGACAATATAGGCCAATTGATTGCCAAAGTGCGCATATCTCTGGCTTCATTCAAAATAGTATGAATCAATATCATGAGTTGCAAGTGAGGCTTACTATGGGGTTTTCACCACATGCTCCGCAGCAAGCAACATCCGCTATTGGCATTGCAAATCACTTTAGATGCGACGAAATACGCCGAATGATTCGGGAGTCGCACTTTAGTGGGGTATGAATTTGATGAAGGTGAGCAGCGACAGCCCGGCGTTAACTATTAAAGGCCGGTAGATGCGTGGACTGGATGTGGGATTTAATTATGTGTACTCCGCCGCTGGCATGTATTTAGCTTCAGAGTGGTCTCAGTTGAACCGAGCCATAAACCAAGCTTGTGCTCGATATTCTATTCCATCACCCTGACGCTATTCCTCTCTTCCAGCAGACCGCGCCACTGCACAGGCTAAGGGACCACCACCCGGGCATAGACTCCAGACATCAACATGGCATCAATTGCGAAGACTGTGGTCGCCACGGGCGCTTCTTCAGGCCTTGTAAGTATATTGGTTGAGAGAATACTCACTTAGTAATAGCATACTTGCAAAACAGAGCTGCGCGCGTTATACACGTCTGCCAGCTAATACCATGTAACTGACCCGGCTGCTAGGGATTTGAAGCTATCAAACAGCTCCTTTCTCAGCAAGCTCAGCCCTACAAGGTATTCCTGGGGGCTCGAAACGCTCAGAGCACTGTAGCCGCCTATGACTCTCTTGGCTATGACCGCTCTGGCCACGCGGTGACGGTCCTGCCGCTAGAACTGTCCGACCTAAAGACGGTCAAGACATTTTCGCAGCAGGTGCTTGACAAGATTGGAGGCGAGAAGATCGACTACTTGTTCCTAAATGCAGCCATTTCCGAAGGCGCGGAGAAGCCTGGCCCCAAGGGATGGAGATGGTGCGAGCCGTTGGTTGTGAATCATTTCTGTGGGTGCTCGTCATGGTCAGAGTCATGAGTATTTCGCTAACAAAGGATATAGCACAACACTATCTAACGCATCTGCTGAAGGACAAGCTGATTGAGTCAAAGTCTCGGATTGTCGTTGTGTCATCTGGAGCGATTCGGCGGATAACTGATCCCAGTAAGTGAATCTCTGTCGTTTCGACGCTCATTCTTCGGCTCATCTCGTACTCACTGACATCACCAATTGTAGGTGTCCTCGATGAAATGCTGAGGGGGGGCTCCGGCGCAGATTTCATGAGCGTATATAGTGCCACAAAATTTGTTCAGCTCCTTGGTGCCCATTGGTGGCGCCGCGAGCTGGCTGGCCAATGTGACGTTGTGGCCTGTTCGCCGGGCTTGATTCCCGGCACTGGCCTTGGTAGAGGAAGCGGTATGAAGCTCACCATGGATATGGCTGATGCAAAGCCCGTTGCTACAGGTATGCTGTTTACCTACTACGTGAATGGTGGCAGTCAGCACACAGAAGATGCTAACGTAACCGCCCAGGAGCACAAAGCATACTTGCTGCGTTCACCAGATCCGATTTCCCTAGTGACCCGGATCAGATCTTTTTAACCAGCTGGGGAGAGTGGTGGAGCAAGGATACCATTGAACCTTCTCTCGACAAGAAATTGCAGGATAAGTGGAGTTGGAGCAAGGAGGAAATCGAAAAAGAAGCCGGTATCACTGCGTGAACGGCAGTGAATAACAGGACTGCATCGCACAGGCATAGCTACTTATAATTGATGCAAAGATACGAAAGTCACACAATGTCGGAAGCCGAACAATATCATGCTGAGGGAGAAATTGAAACAGATCTGATTGAATATTATATATTCACTGTGTCATCGTTCCACAACATCTCATTTTGGCGCCCTACTTATATAAGGCTATCCTTCATGGTAAACAAAAAAAAAAAAAAGAGCAACATGCAAAAGATAAAAAAGACATAATTTTTTCTCATACCGAACCACTGCATGCTAGTAAGAACAATAACTTACAGTAGTAGCTATGCTTGTTATGCGCATCAATCACTAATGTTTAACAGATAATATGTGTAAATTCCGAATCTCCGTCATGCTTTGCGCCTGCAGAGACCCGGCCTGCATTAGAAAAACGGACGACCTAGGCCAGCTCGAGAGCGAAGTGATGCAGCAGAATGGTGGCCACATCCTCTGGATTAGCACGTATCTTAGAGAAGGCCCTTTGTGCTTGGGCTATTTCACCAACGAAGACCCCGATCGACTAGTCGTCAGACATGGTATGGATCCGAACAATGGCAACAGTAAACAAGATTGCAAGAATCGCGTTATCGTCATCGATCCAGCCATCAAGAGATGTATTGTCATGTGTAATCCTTGTCGAGCTTATTGTGAACTCGGTCCGCCTTCGCCAGGCTCTATCAAAAGTCAGGAGGAGTATATAGATTTCAGTCGTCTCGCCGAAGAGATATAAGCGCTTTTACGGGCTGTAGGATTTTGATCCGTGGAAGAATGCATTCATCCAACGAAGGATGGGAAAATGGGAAGATATCACATGTTTAGGGAGTGTCTATTGATCCTAAGCGAGAGGTGTTCAAGAAAAGTTACTTTTATATGCGTGTAATAACGAAATATAATAATTGTCACATCTTTTTGTACCAAAAAAAAATGGAAATAGGAAGATCTAAGAGTAAGAAAAATATCGCTTCCAGAGAACCGCAACCATACAATGGCAATAGAATATCTAACCACTCTGCCTCCATCGCCCAAATTATCCTAGAATTGGTGTATATAGGCCAAAACCATCAAAAACTGTTTCCGATTCAGTACTTCATGCTATCTAGCCCCTATGAAGTAACGAGAGGAGGGAAATATTGATCCTTGCCCACATGGCAAGTCGCGCCCGGAGAAGGCATCGTGCCGTTGACGAAATATGCCTTTACGTAGTTATTGGCACAGTCGGAATTTTGATAGAATGTGCAATGCCCGTAGGCGTTCAATGTGACTAATCGCGAATCGGCAAATGCCGACAAGGTCGCATTGGCAGAGTCCCACGCAGTGACCGGGTCATACTGGTTGGACATTAACAGCAGCGGATACTTCGTCTTGACGCCTTGCTTGGGGACATAGCTGTGTGTTTTCTGGATCTGCCACTGAGCCTTGGCCCAAAAAAACGAATTGGCGCCATACGTCAAGGGATTCACGACGTAATACGGCTCAAGCAACTTGATCATCCCTGCGTTATCCTGTGGCCAAAACTTGTTCCCTGAGACTCCATCATTCAGACGGTAAAAGTAAACGGACTCGTCTTTTATTGCTGATCCTGCATTGGTGAATGCTCCACCAAATGCCCTGTACGCCAAAGTCGCATTGCCTCGCATGGCTTCCGAGAGGACGAATGCCAGGGGTTGGAAAGCGAGAGCTTTGTAAAGAGCAGGCAAGATGCCATAGAACCACATATGAGAATAGCTGACACTACCAAAATTCGTCGCATTGACATAGACCGCCATCTCGTTGGACTTGATTTTTTCGCCAAAGCTTTCGATGGCACGGCTGAGATCATCGGCGTTGTCTGCCAGAGCAGCCAAAGGGCAGGTTTCTTTGCCAGCCTTGATGCACTCGTCGCAAAAGCCCCAGAAAACACGCTTGCCGTCCGTGTAATCCGATTGCATAGTTTTATTGTACCACCCGATTTGGTTGACCACGCCGTCAATCGTCATGCGTCCTGTGCGGTTGGGGAAGAGGCCAGCGTATGTCTGACCGAGGAGTGTGCCGTAGCTCTGGCCCCAATACCACATATCTTCCTGTCCAATGGCATCCAAGACGCTGTTCATGTCGGCGGCAACCTGAGGCGTGTTGATGTACTTGCCATACTCTCCAGAAGTGTGAGAGCAAGATTTGGCAAAATTAGGGGCCCAGCTGCCAAAGAAGGGAGCATCGGTAACCAGATCATTCATCGGGACCTTGCTCATGACCGCGCGAATACCTTCACTCTCATAGCAAGACGCGATAGGTGTCGAGCCATTGATGCCTCGGGGGTCAACGGCAATTATGTTGAAATCTTCTCCAATAATAGATATTAAATCGGAACCAACCCCGTACAAATACCCTACGGCACTCGCACCTGGGCCACCCGGGTTATAAAAAATGTTCTTGGAATCGCCATTCGTATTGTTGCCACGCAGGCGGGCAAGGGAGAGATTAAAAGTCTTGTTACCTGAATTGTCCTTATTAAAATGATCTATCGGTACTTTAATAGAACTGCACTCCACGAGATGACCAGTGATGTCGCCACACGGTGTCCACGAAATATGCTCCCTGGGATAGGTAACTGCGCCATCTTTCTTGACAGCGCCTTGTGGAGGAGAAGCCTGAGCTTGTCCAATATTGGTACTAATGAGGCTAGAAATGGCTAGAGTCCATGACAGAACTGCTGTTCTTTTCAATGAAAACATATTGATTCCACTGGCTATTAGCAGTTGAGGTATGCCATTCAAGGGATGCTAAAAAAGTGTAGCGTCATCAAAAAGAATACAGAGGTGTGGGCAAAGAAACCAAAAGAGAGAAGCTATTCGCCCTTGGAATGGTTGGAGATGACTAAAGGAGCTAAAGTCGAAGAACTTGCAAACTCTAAACTGCCCATGATCGACACTTTTATATCTTTGGTTACAAAGCCAAAGCGCCAGGTGGATCAAGGACGTCAATCAACTTCATTGCCTCTCGGCGGTGAAAGAAAGACAAAGGAGGGATAAATTGGTAAGGCACGTTGATCGACACACTCCCTCGGAGATGAAAGGGAATACCATCAGAAAACGTCAGTACCAACATCGTGTGGTTTACGCCTAGCAGGTCATGGCGTCAAGCCAACTCAAGTATAAGTCACGAGCCAATGGTACGGTAAGTGTATCAAAGGAGCAAACTAAAATGCCTTTGAATCAAGCACCAGCAGTAGAATCACAAGTCTGGATAGAGCATTGGCATAGATGTTGCCGGTTACTACACCCGGCCGTTGATCGCCCAGGGTTATCCCCAGGACACCTTAAGCGAATATCATGATAGCCATAAGCCGCTGCCAACATATTTACCAGTTGATAGGTGGAAATTAAAGTCACGGTGCAGTGGCCAAGCTCTTGCTACTCCTCGACACGTGGGGGTGGAATTATAGATGCGACGCTCAGCTACCGAATTTCTGGAACTGTGACACAAGAAGGCGAAATGAACTCCCGCGCGTCGATCCGGCCGGCAGCGCCTTGGGAGTACACACAAGGATGGGAGTTAAATACATTATTGACAGAAAGGCGAAGCGCGGTACGAGGAGTAGCAGAAGAGGGCGTGCGTATGTTCGATCATCTCTCATGTCTGTACTATACATCTACATGCGATTATGTGCAATGAGCTTGAGGAGGCTGTAAGGGACAGTCAGAGGTAACCAATCTCAGTCATTTGCTCAAGAGGGAAACTCCTTCAGACAAGAGGAAACTTGGACGACACAGACAAGTACATGCTATTAATCCATCTGTAGAGATGTCGATGTTTCGTTACCTCGTACATAGGAGGGCGTCATCGAATTGAGGGCATTTACCTCGAGTTTACCAAACCAGCATTTGCTTTGTTGGTCGCCCGTTACAAATTTTACCATCGCTCCCAATCATAAAGAGAGAAAATCCTTTCTTTCTAGCCGCTCTATGAGGTTCTATTGGCTTAGATAGCGCCAACTCACCGCGGATCCCAGGTAAAGGCGTGTCAGCTCCGCCACCGCAGCGCTCATAGCCCGGTAGCCCCTAGCACCCAATCGCAGAACTAAATGCAATGCTCAGATGAAATGATTAGTGGAGCTGAGCGAGTTGAGCTATGACAGTACGATGGGGCGCCTGTCACTTTGACAGGATGCTTGGTGGAGTATGCGACTTGGCAACACAAGCCAACGGAAAGCGATCTGAGCATTGTGCTCTAACGCCTTGCTCTCTATGGGTAAGTTAAGTTATTAAATGTACTGTATAGAGAACATCCATCTGGATAACTATTGTTCGTCAGATGTCGGTTCAAGCCTCAGCTTGATTAGCATCATTAACCACTTATAATCACTGGTTCCGCCTACAGGAAATCCATTGACCACTGTCAAAGTAAATCCTTTCAGCTCCTTATCCAATCATCTACAGCCCTTATATCTCTCACTCTCATTATTACAATCCCTTTGGCCGATCTGCAGAGGAGAAAAAGACGATGGGGCACGAATGCTGATTCGGCGCCTCTTTGATCAGGTACTGGCTGGTGAAGGATGAAGAGGAACTCGCACGTTTCATATGGTGGTGGCCAACAACATCTCCACCGTAGCAGCTTCAAGATCATTGTCACTAAAACAAGCGACAATCATAATCTCAAGCCAACAGCATCGTTCCCTTCCGGAAGCCTCTTCCATAAAGAAAGATGGCTAGCCTAGAAGATATTCGCATCTTTTCCCCATCCAAGTCACTTATAGCCTTCCTTTCTCTTTCTGCCAAGACCACTTGTCTCACTCATTCCTCCAACGCTTCATTTCTCAGTCATTTTGGTCACTATACGCCCACGAATGACTCAAAGATTCCTTCTTTTAGATGTTCTAAAGGGCGCCCCTCCCACAAGACCATAGCTAGCATTAGCGCATCAGAGCCATTGTCTTTTGAAGAGAAATGATATGCTAGCCGTGGGTAGAATATGGCTTCACTTTTGCCTGGTAGTCCGGTAGTTCCGCGTGATAGCTGCAGGAAATTTACGACATGCTGTCTCTAGCGCTGCAATGCAAGCAAATGAAAAAAAATTGCCTTTGTTGTTTTATAATATTACAGTATATTTTGCGATGCAATCTCCCTACAACAATAAATAATATGGCATTGGACCGTCTTGAGGTGGTACCATTTTGAGGAAACTGATCTAGCATCAAGCAGCCAAGACGGCTTACATTTTCGCAGTGTATCCGTTTTCATTAGAGATTTTATCAACAACATTTTAACATTGGTTCTTTTAATATAGGTACTTGGTAAGTCTCCCATAGAACGTCGTTTCTACATATTTTCCCTTGATCTGCAGTCTCTCAGCCAAGACTTTCTTGCGGTCAACTGCAACAAAAGAAATATAGAGCATGAGACAACAGACATTCAGTGATTAACGTAAAGTAGAGGCAAGAGCAGGGTAAGAGTCTCACTCACCCTTCCCATGTAACGACAAGGGCCTGAATCAAGCGCGAGACCGTCTGCGTATCACTGCCCTTGATCTGTTCTCTGAATCTAGCGCATCACAGACCACTCCTGGAGGCGTGCATTTACCGGACATGCCGTAGCGTAGATCAGCTTCAGACCGTATCAATCGAACACCAGTATCCTTTCTTTCTTAATCTTGGACACAACGATTTACAGTACAAGTCAGCCAAGAAACAAAGCGATCGTAGAAGAGGGACAGTAGGAAGCTTTGGTGCAAGGATAAGCGAGAAACACGGTCCATAACAAGGAAGGCCTCAATATTGTCAGCAGCTGTACTGGCACATGTCTCGGGTCACTGTCTCAGTGCAAAAAATGTCACCTTCTGTCCTTCAACTAGACATTAGACAACCAGTCGCAGTTCCATAATCACATACAGTATTGCCCCAATACCAATAATACAACTAGCGTACTAGGAGGGTGAATACGAAGCAAGGATTCATGCAGGGGGCATCAGACGGACTCTACTCCTCATGATGCTAGCTTAGGCTTACAAATTTACTCACGCTACCCCGTAGCTATGAAGGCTTAGTGCCCTTACCTGCGAGAATGAAAGCAGTACCATATCAGTAGAGGCGGCAAGCACCACGGCATTCCCTTTTCCTCTCGCGGAACGTCAACGAGCAGCAAACAATCTCTTTCCATCTCATAGGAAGCTGTATGGCAGTGATATTGAAATTAACTGGCTGCATGTCAGTGATGCTGTATTAAGGCAAACGTAAAGCAGGTTTGTTACACGAGATTATTAGCACGAGGGAACCAGTTACCTTGTCACCGGGTGTGTCTTTAGAACCGGGAGAGAAACAAAAATGGAAGGAATAGAATAGAATAAAAATCATGTTTGCTAGGGGTCGTTGCTGTCGACTTTGACCACCCAATGATCCTCCTCTAGAACGTTTCAGTCAAGATCTTCGGTCCAAAGACAAAGAGCCCGATATCACAAAGGCGCTCGTTTAAATAGCTTTAGTGTGTATCTCACTCGTATGATTTACGTCGCCGTCCCGGGCCGCTGGGTTAGTCCAAACTGCAACGCAATCGACAAACAAAGTTAATGGCAAATAAACACAGCCGCATGACAAACCGGAAGCAGCCCGATATCAATCTGGCTAATATTAAAAAAAAAGATGAACTAAACAAATTCGTGGTGTCATTGACACCTTCTCTTTTTGTCGCTTACCCCCGTATTCATGACGTCCATGGTTGCGTTCGTCTCGTGAGAAATCTGGCCGTCAAAACTGCTCAAACGACGTATCACGATTAACTTCAGAGACATTCTGATAGCTCACTCTGGAAACTATGCTTACGGACTTGCAGCACGCTACAACGATCTGTAAGCTTCTTAATCAAGGAACTAGTAGTGATGACTGGTAGTGAATCAGAAACGCTTCTTCCCCTCATCAACCGCCTCCTCTGCGGGAGCTGACATTTTACATGCATACATAATAACGCCTTACACCTATCTAAAAACCCTCATATACGCGCTCACATCCATGAAAAAGCCATTGCCTGGAATAAATGTTTACACATGTACTTTGCGTATTCGGGCGCATAACGCCATCCTACCCCAACCACCCCCCAACTCCCCAAAATCTGTCATGAGGCCCTTCATCATTTTTCCCCTCCCCCTCCCCTTTTCCACACCCCCTGGCGCCATATCAAAGAGACTGTGTCAATCCTGCATAACAAAGCACCAAATATTCAGCTTAGCGAATAATAGGTATCGACACCTTTGCCCGATGTGACTGTCACCCATCGCCTAAAGTTGCCCGGTTATCAAGACGTCCTTCTTTTTCAATATTTATTGTTGTACACCTTTCCGCCAACATAGTTGACCAACTCGCTCACGGGCTCCAAGTCCTCGTGACCCGCCCCGAAATTCATACCCTGCCTCATCACTCGCCGGTAGTTTTGTCCAGGACTGACTTTCCCCAGCACATAGCCACGTCTTGTTTCGACCCGAGATGGCACAGGGATGCTTCGTCCTACGATAGCCTCCATCCCCTGCCATGCAAACGTAATAGCCTCCTTGGCATCCGCCGGAATACCCGCTTCGTCCAACATGACGAATTTCGTTTCTGGGAATGACTCCTTCAGATGATTCAGAATGTTGGGGTTCTTCGCTCCACCGCCGCACATGTACACCTCAGCCAAAGGCCCATACTGCGTTGGCATATATCGCTTGTAGTGCTCGACAATAGCCTGCGCAGTGATTCTCGTAATCGTAGCCACAATGTCATTTGGTGACATGCCGTTTATGACTCCTCGCTCGATCAAGTCGTGTGCGATAGTATCCCGGAATACCTCCCGGCCAGTTGTCTTGGGCGGATCTAGTGCAAAGTAGAAATGTGTCTTCAAAAACTCATCCACCATTTCCTGATTCACCTTGCCCTGCTTACCCATTTCTCCATCTTTATCATACTCCCGCTCCCCATTTGTAAAGTAACGCACCGCGGCGTCAATGAAAACATTGCCCGGGCCCGTGTCGAAATCAAAGAACTCTTTATTCAGCTGCCCGTTTGAGTCGGGAGGCACAAAGCACACGTTGGCAATGCCGCCAATGTTTTGACATGCCCTCAGCTTGGTCGGATGGTGAAGGACGAGGGAGTCAAAAAAAGCAATAAGGGGAGCGCCCTGCCGACCGGCCGCCTGATCTGAGACCCGGAAATCCGTCACAGTGGTGATACCCGTGCTAGAAGCAATAAAAGTCCCCTCCGCCATTGTGAGGGCAGACTTCTTGCGTCCTCCCTGAGGCATACTCTCCAACCAGATCGTCTGTCCATGTGAGCCGATGACATCGATGGATGACAGCGGCACACTATGCTTCTTCGAAAAGGCCTTGACTGCATCCGCAAACGTCTCACCAAGAATGACGTTAACTTCTGACAACTCCTCCGGCGTTGTCGTGTTGTGAAAGATCATGTCCATGACCCTCTTCTTGATTTTTGGTTCGAGAGGAATCTCATCATATTGAAGCAGCTCAAAGTGCATAGGGCCGTTAGGAGACGCCTGTCTGAACCGGCAGAGAGCGCAGTCGATTCCATCCATTGAAGTGCCCGAATTCAGCCCTAGAGCCGTAATCTCAAGTTGTAATGAGTCCCCGTTATACATGATGTCCGTAGCAGAGCCCATTGTGTTCTCTGTTTTGAGAGACGGACTAAGTTCAATAGGTGTGGGTGAATTGGGCTTTGAGAGCAGAGGCAGCCTGACCTTTTCAGTCCACGTCAAATAAAAAGAGAGAGAGAGAGAGAAAAAGAGTAAGAGCCAGTTGGCCTACTTTCCCATGATCCAGTCACAGTTGAAGGGGGAGAGAAAATGCGCCGCTTAGCTGTTCACGAGTTACCGTCCAGAAAAGCCCCCTCAAACCCTATCGGCGTTTAGACAACTATTCCCAACGCCTCTAGACTATTGTGTGTGCAGGAGTTGTGAGCCCGATGAGACTAAAGTCAACAGTCCGTCACACCCCCCCTCCTACTGGCTCTCGTCAAAACGCCTGCCAGCAGCGGCTAAACGGCCCCCAAGCGGCACATTTCCATTTTTGGAAAATCCTAGCCTCATCATCACGCAAGCGGAAAGTCTTTAAACGTTTAAGCATTGGCTTTAGCCGATCTCGCCCTTTTGTTTTCTTCTTGCCTTCCGCCGCGTCCCCCCGCGTGGAGCTTCACCCTGGAGCATAGTTTATTCCGGGCGTGCAATCTGCGTGTTGGGTCTGGGCTCCGATCCCTTACTCCACGACCACTGTAACCAACGCGTTTGCGAGCCGTGCCTTTTGGGAACAGCTAGGTGCGGGATTGCTTTGTGGTTGAGAGACTGTTTCAGAGGCGCAGAGGGAGGCGCAACGCTCGCCTCGCGATACTTTTCATTGTCTTTTTTTGCCCGTGAAGAGTTGGTTGATTGACTAGGCGGTATAGAGAGGTTCGCGACTCCCGAGTCGGATACCGTCTAGTTTTTTTCTCCTGCCACCCCCAAAGTCCTCCACGGCCATAACCGTTTCATTCTAGCGGCTCTTTTTGCTTTGATCGAGATCGACCACAACGGCTCCAATGGCGGGTCTCCAGATTTGGCGGCATGTGCCGGGAAAGGTCCTCTTATTCTTAATCAACCTCGTCGCGGCGACGGCTCTGATCTTCGAAGGTGAGTGGGATGCAAGAGAGTATTTCTTTTTTTTCCTTTCTTTCTTTGTTTCCCTACCCTTTTCGCGTGTTGAAGCTTCTTCTAGAAGCCTAATATCCCTACCATGGAAAATACTAATTTGAAAACTTTTTTTCCTAAACTCCAAAAGGTTATAATCAGGGTGTCCTTGGAACTGTTAGCGCCACGCCAGGCTTCATCAAGATGGCAGATATTGGCCACGATGGGGTTGTAACCAACACGACTAAACAAGGCGGGCTTGCCGCAGCGTATTATTTCGGAGGCATGTGGGGGTGCTTTATAGGTGGTACGATAGAATCCTTCGCAAATAGGACCTATGTCCAATAGTAGCAGGAAGCAAAGCCGATGAATACTAATAAGAGTTGCCGCAATAGGATGGGTCGGCGATCGGATAGGACGCAGAGGGGGCGTCCTCATCGGAACAGCCTTTGGGATCCTGGGCGCGGCCCTCATGGCGGGCAGCCAAAACGCCAGCATGTTTATCTGCGCGCGTGTCATTGCAGGCATCGGCATAGGTTTCATGAACGCCATCATCCTGCCGTGGGTCAGCGAGCTATCCCAGTCGCACGACAGAGGCTCAAGCTTCTCTCTCGTCTTTATCGCAAACTACCTGGGCATCGTCATCGCGTACTGGATCAACTTTGGAATTCGCGACTCCAACCTCGAGTTCCGTTGGAGGTTCCCTCTGGCATGGATGATCATCCCGCTCCTAGTAGTCGATGTGGCAGTGCCGCTGCTTCCTGAGTCGCCTAGGTTTGTCTATCCCTCCACACCCCATCCACCTATCCGTATATATATGTGCATGCCCCACGCTGTTGGTTGGGCTCCTGGAATTACAAGAGAGGCGCTAACGGCTGCAGATGGCTCATTGCCAATGGCCAGCGCGAACAGGCTATCGACATTCTATGCAGGCTGCGAGGAGACCTTAGCCGAAACGACCCTATAATTGCTGCCGAGGTCGAGCAGCTGGACGCTATCGTCGAAGCAACCCATCACAAGCGCAACGATCTCGCCAACATTGTCCTAGGAGGTCGCTTCTCCGGGAAGCTGCACCTTGGCCGACGAGCAGTCCTCGGTTTCGCCCTGCAATGGATTCAGCAATGGACAGGAATCCTCGCCATTGTGGGATGGGCCAGTGTCCTATTCGAGCTGGCAGGGTTCGATTCCTATAAGGCTCTCTGGCTCGCGGGCCTGGCCAACACGTTTGGCGTGCCAGGAACAGCAGCCGCAGCCTTTGTCATTGACAGGATGGGGCGTGTTAAATCGCTCATCACGTCGTTTGCCATCCAGGCAGTGTGCCTCTTTTTGGTCGCTGCCCTGATTAAGACGTCGCAGGACAATGCCACGTCTGATCCGGAACTGTCGCAGCGGCTAGGAACTGCTGCGGCCAGTTTCGTCTTCATTTATGTCTGGTAAGTTACCGCTATGAAACCCGATTTTCCTACCCCCATTTAAACGCTTATACCCTCCAAAATCAGATGTTAATATTATTATACAAAAAGGTTCTTTACGATGTTCAATATCATCCCTTGCTGGATATATGGCACAGAGATTTGGCCGCAGGAAGTCCGCGCCAAAGGGTACAGCTTCACCATCTTTGGCTGGGCCACAGGCTGTGGCTCAACCACTCTGATCATGCCCATCTTTCTAAGCAGAATTGGGTATGGCACATATCTCTTCTTCGGGGCCATGAACGTTGTTGTCGCCCCAGTGGTTTGGCTTATCTACCCCGAGCTTGCTAATCGAACTCTGGAAGAGATCTCGCTTCTCTTCACGAGCGACAGCTTGTTGGCCAGCGAAAATATGAAGGAATACTATCGTCGCATTGGTGAAGCGGGAGGCAACACTGCTGTTGCAGCTAGACAGCTGCTGGATGAAGTCGACGGCAAGTACTTGACAGACGCTACGGAGCCTGGAAGCCCTAATGAGAAGAGAGTTGAGGTTAATCACAACGTAATTATTTAAATTTGTTGAACAGAGTTAGCGCTTTTTGGAACATACAGTATTTTAATCGAACGCCATATCTCGCTTCATTTTACAAGAGTCAAGAGGAACAGGGGGGGGGAAGGGGTAAGTTTAGTTCAAGTCCACACGGGACCAAAGTCGAAATTCCAAGTCAGGTCGCCTAACAAATCAGGAGGTACTTGGAACGACCAGTCGCCTGCTATCTCTGAGCCAACATGCTCGTAAGGTGGTGGAGGAGCACTTCTTGTACCATTGACTGGAGGCAGCACTGGCTGCGCCGTGGTATTCACCGGAGTTTCCTCAAGAGGCGGCCTTTGGTGCTGACGTTGAGTGGACATGTACTCGTCGATACGAGACACTTGAGATCGAAGATTCTCGCTGGCACATGAGCTACGGTGTATTGTCTCGAGGTTCTCCAGAAGCCGAGCCATTGATAGCATGACCGATCTCACCCGGGTGTACTCTGCCTCGCTAAGGCGCTCCTCGAAGACAGAGCCCAGAATAGAGCCTATTCCGCCTAGATGGTGTAGGAGCGGCTTGCTTATGGCTAAGCAGTATTGTACGGGAATAGAGTTGAAAGCATCCACCACGTCGGAGGCGATATCGCAGCGTTCTGCGATGCTGGCGCCGCCGGCTGCAAATAATACGATCCGAAGAAGCTGAAGGCTGGCGGTGATGTTGGCCGCCTGGAAGCCGAAGAGATCTTGTTTCTGATTGAACGCCATAGCAGGGGTGTGCTTGAAACATTCGGGAAGATTCAGGTACATCTGGAGTACCTTGTTGCGGATTGATGTCTCAGTCACTGTGGATTGATCGTCAATGATTTCAGACATGAACGACCTTCTCCGATCCCGAAAGCGTGCCAGAGCATGCTCCAGCACTCGGTAAAGATCAGTGATGAAGTTCCAGCCAGATATCCAACAATCAGACTGTGCAGTCAAGACTAGCCGAGCTATAGGAGGGCTCAGGCCACTGGGAGAGAAGCCGGGCTGGGCAATGCCTCCGTCGCTGATATACTGGTCATCCACTTCTGCTGGGTAAGTAACGTTTGACTGCTGTTCACGAGATCGGATGACACCGCCCCAGACCACCGATGTGAAAATGTCAAGCGTATAAATGGACCAAAACTGCGATGAAAGGAGACGAAAATTAGCCGAGGTGCTTTTAGCAGGTTGTAAGTAAGTGAGAGAAATGGTCAGAAGCCTACCATTCTTCTCCTTTCTTCCCTTTCGATAATTCCAATGCCAGAGGGCCAGTTGACCTCGTCATGGAGTCCATCCATGTCCATGAGTGTATGATAGATGCCAATATGATGATGCATTTCCCGGATCTTGCCATTTTGAATAGCAGTAATGGCCATGATGGCGTGGCCGCGGAGGATATTGAAATCAGAACTCTCACAGCCGTCATCTAGTAGTTGCCTCTTGGCCTCGGCATAGAACGTGTCCGGCAGCGTCTCTCTCTGCAGGGCTTGGACATCCCACCTCGGATTCATGACTGAGCCGTCGCGGACTCGGCCGCTCACCAGAGCACACACAGCCATGGTGGTAGCGAAGAGCGGCTTATTGTAGTTGTATTCCGCGCGAGAGATCTTGCGGGTGAAGGACGGCTGGTGGAAGAAGGGGAAGATGGGATAGACAATTTCAAAGTAGAGGTCAACAAGGTCCACCACAGTGGCCTGGCTGACAATGTACGGCGCCCGCCAGGCCGTCGACGACAGCCGGGGCGAGGCATCAGAGCCGGCGCCGAGACTGGCGTGCTGCACCTCCGGGATGATGTGCAAGTCGCCCTGCGACGGCGATCTCGACAGCTTCACATCCGGCAGTCCCTCCGCCGAGCTTCGGTTGGCCGAGGCTCCCCCACTGCCTCGAGCGGGTACGCCTCGCCGCCGCGGCGTCCGGTGATACGTGCAGGTCTGGGCAAAGTCTCTGCAGTTCTGGCAGCCCGAGCCGTCCTCGGACGGGCGGCAGCGGATGCTCCGGCGATGGCAGTAGTCGCAGGCCCGCGAAATGCGGCGCTGCTTGGGCCGGCGAAGACTCGCATCGGACGACATGATTCAGACGCGTAGCTGCTTGCAGTCCCGGATTCGTGTCAGGAGAAGCCTAAACGGCCCAGAGACCCATGTCCACCTCGCTCACACGCGATTTAGTGCACAGCGATAGCGTCCGGCTGCTGGGCGTTTTGGCGTGTGACAGGCGCCGAGGCAAGATTCCGGCGGTCCAGATCTGTGGCTTTTGTGTCCACTGCGAGGGGGTGGCTGCACAACAGCGCCGGCTTAGCAGATGCATCGAGAGAGGAGGCACAAGCAAAGAGAAAGTTGGCCAGACGAGACCGCAAGAATGAGCGAGCCTGCGAGGACAGTGCAGGATATAAGCCGAGGAGGGCCTGGCACGGCGCGGCAGCTGTTTGTCCGCAGCCAGTGGCACAGTGCGCAGACCAGCCCAGCGCCTACGACGCCTAAATGCAGGGTGTCCCAAAGCGGACGGCTGTTGCAACCCTCGAATTTCAAGGGGCCAAAGCAAGGCTACATGTATGGCGTTTAATCTTGTTTGAGTATTTTGTTACCAAATCATTTTATGGTGCTGAGTTTCTATTTGCCAGTCTTCTATCTGCCGGCCTAGCCCCTGAAAACAAAAACCTCATCCAAACTCCGTCATGACAATGCATTATACATCAGAAGATCAAGGTCGATATAGCCAGCTTCCTGGCAATACCTATAAACATGAGTATTCCTGGAGGCCACGCTTGTACCGATGGATATACTTTCGTTCGCGACTACCAATTATGGCTCTCACTTTCGCTTGATAGCACCCGGCACTATTCCCACTAAGACGAGGATGGTGGCATAAGCAGCTCAAGAACACGTCGAGTCAGCACCTTGGTGCCAAAGTACTATCGCAACTCCAAACTCGCTCAAGCAATAAAGCCCTAAGCCTGATTCCGCTCAATCTCGAACAGTTGAGGCACGGCGTCAGTCAGGCTATCCTCTAGGCTCCTCCATTTCATCCCCAGATGATTGTCCGTCTTTTCTGTGCTGATGCCAAAATGCGTGTGGGACTCCCGTTTGCCAGGCTCGCCAATCGGGATTCTATCTCCGTATTTTGGAAACATTCGTCTGCTTATGTCTGCGAGCTCCTGGTTGCAGTAAACACCAGAGGCTAGGAGGTAGCGGCCGCCACCAAGTCCTACCCCTCGGAGAGCTTTGACGTGAGCATCTGCGACGTCACGCACATCAACCCAGATAGGACCCTTTGTTGGCGGCACAGCGAAGTCTCGACCAGCGGAGATGGCAGCCCAGAGCAAGAGATTGCTTGTGTTGACGCCGGCAATGCTCATTGGCTCAGCCCCTGGAAGAAAAGGGCCAAACACCATGGCAGGACACAAGCTAACAAGATCGAATCCGAGCCTCTTCTCCTCCATAAATTTCCACGCTGCCTTTTCGGCTGCCGCCTTGCTTGCTCGATACGCCGTGGGCGCGTTGTCGGCTTTTACCCCGTCTTCGTATTCCAGCGGACTCCAGTCCTGAGATGTGTAGATTTTTCCTGGACTTGGACCGGCTGCAGCGTCGTATATTGACGCAAAACTGTTTGTATGAACGACTCGCCGGATGCTTTTAATCTTTGTTGCCACCTCTAGGACGGCTATCGATCCCTTTACCGCGGGGATCATCATCTCTTGCTCAAAGTTTTTCGCGTTGTAGTGAAATGGCCCAGCAATGTGAAAAATCGCAGTTGGTGATAGAGGTTCAAGAATCTCGAGATATTTTTGGACGTCTGTAAGGTCTTCGATGACAACGACTTGCAATTTAGGGTGTGCATGATGTGTCCTTATTACAGTCTCGACTTTGGCGGCACTCCTGACTGTTCCAACAACCTGAAAACCAGCTGCTAGTAATGCAGCGACGCAATGCTGTGCAATGAATCCGTTGGCGCCTGTGACGACAACCAGCGCTGGGGGGTCAATATCTGGTACTAATAATGAAGGCATTGTGAAATAAAATAACGATTCTGATGGGTGTTGTAAGTCAGAGAGGAGGGGGGGAAAACCTGGGAGAAAAGGGAAGGCGACGTTATGTATTCAGGCCTCTTCAGGCATCCACCCAGAGATCGTCGTGTCAGTACCTGTCTATGGAGAATATGATCAAGCAAACAGACCGCTCAGACCCGCGGCGCATCACTACTTCACGGCGCCATCCGTGATGGCGTCCCGACGGTCAAGCCAATCCAGCGTTGCAAGCCACTCCCCGTGTTTGATGTACAGGATTGAGGCAAAGTTGACAGGAAGACAGATCAGCATCGGCCTTCTCTCCACACTATCGGGCGACTGGCAGACACGGCGTTGAATAGCGTGCGAGCTGACCCGACGCCTGCAGCCGTCGCAAAGCTGTGTCGTGTGTTTTCCAGCGTGCTCCGATGTGGGGCGAATGGGGGGGAGGGAGACCGGCATCCGGCTCCGGCAACCTCACCGAGCGCGGACCGGTATAGGAACTCGCAGACCTATAAGGCAGCAAGGTGAATTAGTTGAATGGCTAGAAGTGCCTTGGAGGATTGTAGCTCATGACGAAAAAGAGAAAACAACACCATTGGCTGCCTAGTGTTATACAGCACGCGGCATGCTCTGTAAGTCGCCTACATCAATTAGTGAAGAGTCCGAGTCCCATTAGCAGCGCTCTTTGAATTCTGGCTAACGATATGCGTCTTTGATTCATAACTCAGTCTAAGTAAAAAAAAAATGCTACATAAGTTGCGTTTTGCCTGTGTGGTTTCGTTTGTATCTACCCTATACATTAAGCCAACTGGTAGGCTTTTATGTGATAGATATCGTACCATAAGTTTTCTTATGCCTCTTTTTTTCTTTTTCTTTTTTCCTACCTTTCCCCCTTTTTTCACACTGTTTACTCTTTAAGGAGTCTTCCCAGAACATTATCCATTGAGGATGAGCTGTCACTGCTTCTGCATGTGGCTGCTCTAGCCGCATGCATGTGTTCGGCCTGGACCACACATTGGGCGATTCATGCAGCCACAATTGATAACTCAGTGCGTAACTAACACAGGGGCGCATATATCCCTTAGCATATACTTCATAAACGATGGTACTCAACTTATAGTATGTATCTAAGCAAAGCGTGCACTGCGAAACATAACACAACTAGCTATAACAGATGTGACAGAACCATCCCATGTTGTACGGAGGTAGACAGTAACAACGTTCAAATTTCCGCTGATTGTTATGGGACTTTTAAGCTTCAAGAGCGTAGGTAGAGTCAGCTGGAATGTGTGGAATGCCCTGCAGGATAGCTGTTGCCGTGGCCGTCGCTAAAAGCTACGTGCGATGTGCTCCGCGGAGCTGTAGCAGTGCTGATACATCATCCTTCGCATTAAATAACAGGCCATTTCTATGTAGCACGAAAGGTGACATCACATGCTACCGATCTATTCCACGCCACTGGCTTCGTGCCTCTCACCCCAACGCTAAGTCATAGTTACACAGAGTTCCAAGCACGCCTCCCTGCATTACTATTCGGTGACACGGCAAAACTATTTAGCTTCCATACTTCACACATGATTCTAGAGGGTGTGGAGTGGCGTGTAAAGAGAGTAGCCAAGGAGGTAGTCTGCTTCCCAAGTACAAGCAACCGCGCAATAAGACGACCAACGGCGGAATCAGATATAATATCACCACAAACATGTGCCTATTTCCGGGTAGCACAAAACAAACAAGCCCCCAGGAGGTAAATGTCCACTCAAGAATGCCTGGCCATGACTTCTGTGCACTGTTTCGGCTGGTGTTTCAGTCCAACTATGCCTAGATGGCCACTCTATCCGCGGCGAATGCAACGACTAGGGTGGATGTTTGCTTCGGCTGCTGGCATCGAATCGCCTGCCGCTCACGATTGTCGTTGCGGCCGACTTATTACTAATCCCTGTGTCTTATCCAACACCTCTCAGCATTTGTACGGAGGACATACATACACATGTGGGCCATGATAAAGCAACATGTCGATCATGGGGTTGGGTTCTGCGCGGCAGTCTTTGCGTGATGCATCTGTAGCTCGCTCCGCGGATAGAAAAGCGGCGAGGATATGCCGGACGTCTCCACTGGCCACCGGCATTGTATCCACTAACACTCTGAACACAGAGCACATGTAGTTTACAAAGTATCGACGTTGCAATTCTAAAAGAGTTTAATGGACAATTCATCGAGGAAGTATCCATAGACAAGTGTCTGTCCAAATTCGTATACTCGATGCCCAGTCAATACCCATTCACGCGAGGAAAGTTCGCGTATGTGCCACATCAGTAAGCAACTTGTACTTCCGTATTACTACTACCCCTTTTCATGTAGGGACCGAACCTGGAACTTTCAGTATGTTTGCTTTTGGACGGCACAAAGAGACTGAAAAAGAATGTAATCTATAATAATATATAAGAGTTGCCGTAGCTAACTAGAAATTGACTAAATAACTAAGATAATATTGACTTGATACTTCTTTGCTCCTGAAAACTTAAACCCCATTGACAAATAAAACAAAACCTGCTGATCTTCTTTTTTTATCCTTACACTCTCAACAGCTCGGAAAAGCAACCAGGCCCCCGGCACGCTTAGTATACATATTGGAAGGTAGGGTTTGTCATATCAGTCTGCTCGTCGTCCACCGCCTTGGGATCAATCTCGCCCCGGTTGATAGCCTCCACCTCTGCTTGACGAGCAGCAGCTGTCTTGGCGTTGCGCATACCGTAGAGCACCCTTTGTAGAATCGTAACCACAATGGATGCGGCGGCGACGGCAAGAACGGTGATTTTGGCGGGAAGATACTTGGGGGCATCCTTGACCTGGAACGTCTGTGGGCCGATAATGTTGGCGATGGAGAAGGCAATGGCGATGATGGCATTGACGGTAACCTTTTTCGTGTATCCCTGCGTATTGGCACCGACCAGAGCGTAGATGAGAGCCAGAGGGGCCACGTCGAAGTTGATGAGGTAGACACCAGCCAGGGCACCACCCTTGGATTTGGCAAAGGACATCAATGCCGCGCCGATGATGGTGGGGATCAGGAGTGCAATGATGCTCAACCAGCGAGGTAGGTTGAAGTAAATCGCATAGGAACCGGCCAGGGTTGCAAAGATGGAGATGGCACCAGAAGGCATGTTGAGAAGCGCAGACTTCATGGGCGTGAGGAAGATGGAGTTGATGATGGTCGCCGAGAAAGTGGTAATGATACCAGAGGGGATCACAATAAGAATGGTGTTGACAAACAACAGCCACACCTGGAGATCCTTGAGGGCATCCCAGATTCCGGACACATGGAAAACCTTCTTACCAGATCCAGCCTGGTCTCGGGCCAATACTTCCTCGACAAGAGCCTTTTCCTCCTCGGTCAAGAACTTGGCTGAGGTGATGCTGTTTGGCATGAGCAAGATGACGGCGACGGCGACGAAGAGGTTGAAAACGCCAACAGAGACAAACATGATGCGCCAGCTCTGGAATGAAGACGTCGTTGAGCCGTGCTGAGCCGCCCAGGAGATCAATCCTCCCATAATCTGCCCAGCCCCCAGTCCGCAGTACCAGATACCCGTGCGTAGAGTGGCCTGCTTTCTAGTATACCACTGAGACGTAATCATGACCAAGGCCGGGGTGATGACGGCCTCGAACATACCCAGCAGCGTCCTGACCGCAGCGACGCCGGCAAAGGTCTGCGTCGCAGCGGTGCAGCAAACAACGATACCCCAGAGCAGGACGTTGAATCCCAGCACCTTGGAAACAGGAAACTTCTGGATCAAGTAGCCCTGGGGGAACTCGGCGACGGCGTAGCCAATGAAGAAGGCAGTAGCCATCCAGGAGAAATCGTTTCCGACAAAGTGAAGGGCCTTGGAGATGCCCATGATGTTGGCGTAGTTGACGAGAACTTTGTCGAGGAACTGCAGGAAGTAGCAAAAGAACATGAGCGGCACAATGTTCAAGTCGATCTTTCGGTAGATGCGCTTGAGCTCCTGCACCTTGGCCGCGGGATCGTCCAATGACGAGGCCGAGTGGCTCGAGCTCACTGGCGAAGCAAGCTTTTCATCCATGGTGGACGGATTGTTGATATCGATGTTGTTGTTGTTTTTAATTTGCGAGCAACGGAGTATAAGTGAGTTCGAAGTCTGAAGGAAGGCAAACGAAGAGAGAAACAAAATGACAAGTCAATGATAACACGTTATTACGTCCAAACAATAAACCGTAAAATAATTTTAAATAAGATGAAAAAGAAGAGGTATGGCTCAGTTCATAGTTTTAATAAACAGCCAAAAAAAAGAGTGAAGCCGCCGTTTCGTAATTGAAGCTGAGCGAAAAAGAAGGGGGTGTCATGAATCAATGGCTAAAACATCAACGCATGAAGGATTCCAAGAGCACGAGAAAAATTCAGTCTCGGAGATCTCATACATATATCAAACATTTGCCTCCGCACCAGTTTAGGAAAAGATCGAAAAGCAGGAAATAGAAAAAAAACATACGATCCCCTATTCTATCAAGGGTCCTCATTTTTGCGTCTCTGGGCTTTGCCAGTTCAATTACAATGCCATGCAATCTAACATGTTCTCGGCCATTCGTCTGCCATATAGCGCGCTCAGCTCGATTCCAGCTTGGCAGCGTCCTTTTTTTTCTCTCTCTCTCTCCTTCCGGTGATTCACAAAAGATGGCGATGTAACCCTTGGCGGGTTTCCTGGCAAGGCTAAGCCGCAAGCATGCCTGCTTGTGTCAATTTAATTTACTGCACAGAAAAGAGGCCGTCCTAAGCTTCAATGGAACATCGGCCGAATATCTTCACAGACGGACGGGGGAGTGGAGACGCCTCGATATCATCTGCGCCAAACAGAACGAGAGATCCAGCATCAGCCCATGCGAACAGCTCGGCAAGGGGCATGAACCGAACGAGCACCCATGGAGAAATAAGAGTGGCTTCAATGTTCCTCATCAAGCATCGTGGGCCAGCCCGGCATTTCGTGGTACTAATCAAGATTTAATGGGGAAGGTCATACAAGGGTGCTAATAGATTGATTGATTGACTGGCTCCTCAGTGCCTGTACTCTGTTCCACGAGTGCTCCATATGTAGCACAGCGAGTATTACTACTATTTGCAATTTGTTCTCTCTCTCAGCTCGGAGGATTTTGCTTCGGCACGCAATGGGGACTTCTGGATCTGGGCCTGCTATTCCGCGTGGGCCGTGCGACGACGCCGTACATATGTGCAACCAATGCTCCATGGTATAAATCGAAAATCACTCCCATATCGAGATTTGCAAGCCACCTGGGCTGCTGGCTGAGCTCGGCCGATGGATACGAAGTTCGTATGCTATTTCGCCCATTCAGAATGCAACCTCGCACGAACTGCTTTCCCCGGAACGCATTGATGCCAAAAATTTCCTCATCGTTACAGATTCAGAAAGCGTGGAGCCCAGCCAGGCTTGGCTTTTTTCGCCGCGGATACGAAATATCTGGGCTGGTAAGATGCCACCGTCGAATGGGTTATGCCGGCCAGCTTCCACTGCTTCGTAATACTACTACATACTACTGTAGCACCCAGTGTCCAGTTTGCGGCATTGAATCTGCAGCACTTCTACACTCACCGGACATCGAAATCTCACCCTGGCAGGCCCTGGGAGCCGCCACCGAAACCTGCTGCGGCCGTCGGAAACCCGGCCTGGCTGCCATTCTGCTCTTCTTTTTTAGCCCGCCGCGCTTCTTCCCGCGGATCCGGACGCTCGGGTCACATCCGGGCCAGCACCAACACCGAGCTAGGCATGAGCAGAGGCAGAACGCATAAACGCAAGTTTGAGGCAAGGAGCCTTTTAGTGGAGAAGAGAGACAGACAAGATACAGCCATTTCGTCTTGCTGTTTTATAAGATTCCCGGACCTAAAAACATCGTGAAACCGGGCGTCGTGAGAATCAGGAGATCCTTACGGAGTAGCATATTAATTGCAATTTTCATAGATAAATATAAATTGCATGCATACGAGAATCTGGAGGCACAGAGGGCTAACGACGATAACCGACGGCACATCATCGCTAGCAACCGAGAATGGCTGTTTGTTCATTCGCCGTCTTGTTACCGCTAACATCATGAGCACCCCATGAACTTACTAACAGATGTCTCCGAGTTCGCCTGGAGTAGTCGGTTTTCTTTAGCATTATCACTCCATACTCCGTATGAACAGAAAAGCCACATACCTACCTGTAAGCTGCGTACGTGTATCCGTTGCATAGCCCTCTTCTTCCGGGAAGGAATGCCGACGCAGTCAAAGCCATCCTTGGAAGGCAATGATGCGCATGCAAATGATATGCAATACACGCTGTTCTATCCGCCTGCTGCATCTTCCGACGGCTGCGACATCGTAAAAGCCTGCCCAACAAAGGGGACAAAAAAAAAACACGTCTTAAACTTCATAAGCGATTTAAACGACAATCAGCTCCGACGGACGCGGAATTACGACTGACAATCAACTGCAAGCCAATCCTTTGTTTTGCCTCCCCCAGCTCCATGAACGGGGCACTTTGCTTAGGATTCCAGCTGAAGTCAAGGATATAAACCATGCTGGCGGCATTTGCTCACTCAATATCAAGATACAAGAAGAAGAAGAAGAAAAAGAAAGAAATAGATATTTCGTTTACATGGCAGCCATTGTTTCCATATTCAGTTTTATTCGTCTTTGATATCCTTCGTGATTATATCGTTTCGAGTTATCTCAGCACATCTAGATTTTCATTCATCAGTCTCCCCTTTTTGCATTTCATCAATCGCTTGCTACTCCTCTCTCATACACGCTATACGCTTAAAAAAAAAGGAGACATAAAATAAAACAAAATCAACACCCGAAAGACAAAGAACAAGGGGGGGAAATATTTCAAGAAAATTGCATCATGCATGCAACGGCGGAAAACCAACCGGCCCCTTCCTACAATATAGCCGTCATTGGTTCCGGCTTGGGTGGCCTATCCGCCGCTATTGCCCTCCGTCGCACCGGCCACCAAGTCACCGTCTATGAAAGATATGATTTTAGCGGAGAAGTTGGTGCTTCGCTCTCGCTGGCTCCAAACGGCTCTCGCTTCCTGGAAGAATGGGAAGTGGACATTCCCTCTGCTAAGCCCGTCGTCCTGCAGAAGCTCATCCGCCACGATTGGTCCTCGGGAAACGTTACCGCCGAGTACCCACTGGGAGACTACCGTGAGCGGTTCGGCACAGACTACAACAATTTCCACAGAATAGATCTCCATAGGCATCTAAAAAATGTGGCTATCGCCGAAACGGGAGGCGGGTCTCCAGCGCAGCTAAAAGTCTGCCATCGGGCGATCAAATTGGATCCCGCTCAGGGGAAAATAACATTCGATAACGGCAAAGAAGCCGGTCACGATGTTATCATTTGCGCGGACGGGATCCGGAGCCAGATGCGAGAGCAACTTGGCATCATTCCAGACGTCGCACCATCCACGTCATGTTGTTACAGGTGTATCATAAGCACCAAAAAACTCCGTGAATTGGGACTTGGCGAGTTTGCTGAAAACAGTGCCATCGAGTTTTGGGGCGGCAACGGCATCGATAAGATTGTCATGAGCCCATGTTCCAACCATGAAGTTGTTAGTTGTTATTGCTTCTATCCAGTTGAAAAGAATAATCTCAAGGAAGATGGCTGGAATATTTCCTCCACAGGCGAGAATCTTGCAGCAACATTCCCTGATCTGGACGAGCGGCTGCGCACCCTCTTTCGTAACGCAGAGGATGTTAAGATGTGGCGCCTGTACAACCATGAGCCCTATCCCTATTGGGTGAGCGGCCGTTGCTGCCTACTTGGAGATGCAGCCCATCCAATGATGCCCGATCAATCTCAAGGTGCATGCATGGCGCTGGAGGATGCAGGGGCACTCGGCATACTCTTCTCCACCAAATATGCACACCTGTCTATACTAGAAAAGCTTCAGTTGTACGAACTGGAGCGCAAGCCACGCGCCACGCGAGTACAAGAAAGCAGTCGAAGGGCCAGAACAGATATCACAGAAAGGATCGGCTGGAGCAGCGCCAACGACCGCCCGGGAAAGCTGACTATTGAGGAGATATGTGGATACAATATGCATTCTCATGTGGCTGAGCTGGTTGAGAGAATCTCACAAGCTTCTTCGTCAAACCCCCCGGTAAGCGAGCAACGGTGATATTAATTGCTGCTGCTGCTAGCTGCAGCACTGGTCGTGGCGGCGAAAACTTCTAATATCCGAGAATTCGACCGCCAACACAAGTCGGAGATTGTATAGGATTATTCCATAAAAGGTAGAGTGAATTATGCCAAGCCTGGTCTCCTTTGCTAAGCGACGGCGAACCGAATGTGCTTAGAATACAGCTAGGCCATGCATCTCCTCGTATCGAATCCGTGCCCAGTTGACAATAGTACCGGTGCCATCGGTCTCATCTCTCATCTTCCAGACGCGTTCTACCAGCTCCCGCGCATTGTAAATGTATCCAAAGCCGCAGGTGCGCTCCATGACGAGGAGGCGGTCTTGGATGACAACGCGCTGCTCCATAGTCCAACATGCACCCCCGGCCATAACTAGGGGGTACATGAGGCAAGGTTCCAAGGCACTACCGTAGCGAATCTTTTGCACCGACTCCAGGATTCCCTCAACGTTAGTAATGACTCTGGGATCGTTGACCTCGTACCCCTCAACAATCTGGTGAAGGCGAAGCCTGATGGCATATTCGTAAGCCATTGTTGCGTGGAGCACATCATCATTGGCCAGGTTAATGGTCCAAGCCGCGCGTGATAGGCCGCCATATTCATAAGACCAGTGGTTGATACGCTCTTCGATTTGTGTGGCTTCCTTGCGAAAGATGGCTTCTGAAGCGCGGTCAACGCGAGTTTTCCGCTTGTCAGCAAGTGCATTGACTACGTCAACCAGGTGGAATAGTTCTTTTGGAATGCCATAAATGGCAGAATCTTCCTCGTCGGGAGCAGATGTTAAACGATCCAGCGTGGCCGCTTCGTGTGCATCCTCGCCCATAAGCGGGGGCTTGCACGTTGATGTAGTAGCGGCAGAGTCGAGAAATCGAGCAAGCCGCACGAGAAACTTGTTGTGGCCATGGATGCGATCTCCCTGTTGCTGGTTCATCAATGCCGTCAGCAGCCTCTTGGCCCCTTTTAGATGGAGCTGCCACCCCTCGCTGGTGCCATCAAACAGTTCTGTCATGCAGAGTAGCAGACTGCTGACAAGGGCAATGTCGGCATTTGATTTGTCCACATGAGGCAAGAGCCTGGCCAGTGACTGGGTTGCTTTGCTTTGGTGATAGATGCCTCTTTCGGCCAGCTGAGGCTGCAATTTGCGCCAGTGATTGGCCGAAAGAGCCAGCACACAGTGCATCACGAGATCGTTGGAATGAGCAATAGGCAGCAGATAGCCGTTGTAGGGATTCGAATGTGACATGCGGCGAGAGAGCAGAGAAGACACAATGGTTATATAATGGTTGAGTAAAGCTCTATCGTGTGGTGATGACAGTTGCGGCAACGACTGCGGGTTATACACCGATAGAGTTGACATGGATGATACGGGTGATACAGTTAGAGAATCGTGAGAATCTGAGTGAGGGCTGCCGTAGCTCATTGGCGTAATGGAATCCTGCCAACTCACCGGGGGTGAGCCGTGCACATCCCAGGCTGCCCTATCGACGGGCAGTCCAAGCTCAAATCCACTGCCTGATGATGATGCAGGCGGTAAGCTGCCAAAGTGGTGGTCCGTGGAATAATGGCTGTCGCCGCTACTGCTGCTGCTGGAAGAGCTCATGGCCGGGCTGTTGCCGCCTCTGATAATAAGTTCGGTCGACATATCGGTAACGGCATCAACCAAAACAGGGTCCTGGGTTGGGATAACTCGTGAGCCCGCAGATTCTGGCGACACCGCCACAACTGTGGCCGTCGCCGCCGCCGCTGTCGTCGACACGGGTGCCGAGGCATTCATGGTTGCGACCACGCCAGCAAGTTTATCCTTGGGGCGCTCAGGAGGCCATGCGCATTCAAGACACAGGCGTCTGCAGTCTCCGCATCGTGGTTTTGTCTCGTCGCACTTCTTCTTGCGGCGCTTGCACATGAGGCATCCTGTCTGCACTCTTCGGATTCGCGCCTTGGGCAAGTCGCCCATCTGTTGGTTCAAAGCACCGCTGGCATCACGCGGACGACAGGGTAGACTCAGACGCAGGCACCGCGCACATGGTACACTGCCATCGCAGGCCTGCTTGATCTGGGCACAGCGATGGCACACGGGACGACTTTCGGAGACCATGCTGACACCGCAGTTCTGATCCGTGCGACGTCGTGTCTCCCTCTTCTCACGTTTCCTCTTCTGCTTTCTCTCTCACTCCCACTCTCACACTCTCCAGCAGTTTTCCCAGGCTCCTCTGAAAATACGGTTTCCTCCTGTCCTGAGAAGGGCTTCGAGCTTTTGCGTTTCAAACGTTTGGTGGCAGGTAAGTAGTGAATACGGTTGGCTGAGCCCCAGTTTTTCCCGCCTCGAAATCACTCGTCCGTGTGGCCGTAGGAAAGCGGGTAAGGCTAAAAGGAGGCTTTCTGCAGCGGGTGCGGGAGGGAACGCCCTGCTCTAGCAGGATCGTCTTGGGGCCTCAAGATTCGAGAAGCTCGACGGTGCTTCTCATGGCGGGATCGCGCTCCAAGAGGCCACAGTTGGCAGAGAGCTGGTCGAAGACGGGGCGACGATCGGGAGAGGCTGTCTGAGCCCACAGGAGCGGTAGGTGGTATAAGAAACCAAGTAGGATTCGGGAATATGCAATGGAGGAGGACCCCGGTAGATAATATCAGACTGCTGGATAGACCAGTACTTTGTACGAGCGGCGCCGATCTATCTGTAGCGGGGACGGCCTTATTTGGAGGATTCCTTAGCGGGAGCAAAATCCGACAGCGTTCCCTAGAGGTGGTACTTAGTACAAAGGTAGTTGGCCGATATAGCGCCATGACAGGGCGAGATAAACCGCTAAACCACCACTACTCGCGCCATAAGTACTGCTACCAAGGGTCCTGCTGCTACCTCACTTGTCAGCCGTCTGGTGCCTTGCTAGGCTTTGGCGAGTGAACGGTGCTACCAGGGTCGCCAGAAGCCCCAGACTTGCCCCCCCGTAAGCACCAAGATAAAAAGCTGAGCGCATGTGCTATTCGCCTGCCTATTCGTGGTACTATTCCGTACGAGTGCTTGCTCTGCGGCTTCAAATGGCACTGAATCGTCATCTGCAGCCTCCACGGCGGGTACAAGTACTTGGCTGTAAAACAAGCTCTCTGCGGGTTTGGCGTTGGCGATCAATCAATAGGGATCAAACCCGCCAGCGCCGCGCCCGAGCTAGGCTCCATACAGGCGGTATTAGCTCTGAGATAGGCACGCATAGTCTTTCTATGTACTCGATTTTCGGGGCGGCTACGCCTCGACTCTCGTCCTCCTTGATGCGACATGGCTCGACTTTGACGTACGTAGTATATGCACATATATTTCCGGCAAACCAGAATTGGAAGAGGAGGGGTGGCATATCAAATTGCCCTGGCACTTCGCTATTGTGCCCTCGCGAGTACTACACACTGCTATTTTTGGCTGAAAGCGCACGAGCTGCGACAGGTACTCCATACCGCAACTGAGTACCTACCTTACCTGTGGATGCTCTCGCCGCACGGTTGATCGACGATGCCATGCGATGCGCATGTGTGTGTACATGATGCACGCAGCGTCCCTTTGGCCACTCACTGCCCGTTCGGGTACCGGCAGAGATGGTCGTAACAGGTACAGGCACATGCCCGGCTCTCACACATCGGTGGCTCGTCTCGTGTCCAGGGCTGTCGTTGACCGTCCGCTGGCGTTCTACTGTATCTGGGCCCCGGCCTCGCTTCCTCTATTACTGAGCAGGTTCCATCTTGGCAGCATTTCTAATCCGCATGGACCCGAATCTCTTCGCTAATCAGACTGCTCTTGCAGCTGCCATCGCTGGCGGCATCGCAGCTAAAGCGCTCTAAAAACGCCGATCCTTTCTGGCCCCTCGACGCCGTCCGTCCTGCGATGTGGGCTGAGAGGGACTGAGAGCACGGCAAGCGTTTCAGTTTGTAAACGGTTCCAAATTGGTGTGCGCAAATGGGCCACCAGCGCGCCCGAGTTCTTGTCTCACGCCAGCCTCTTCGAGTCTCTGTTTTCTTCCAGAAGCCATGCCGCCGAGCGCCCCCTTCACTAAGGAGTCGCGTCCATTTCTCCTCGCCGGCCTTATCTCCGCTTCTGCAATGCGCAAGCTTGTCCACCATCCTACAGGTCTCTCTTGTGCTGCGTTGCATGAAGCGCCACGCCAAAGAGAGACAAACGCCTTGTGCTAACGCCCGAAAGGGGATGTGCTACTGTAGATTCCCCGACAGCCCAGCCAAGCCTATGCTGCTGCAATTGGCCAAGGCCCTGGCCACAGACCCGGTGGAAGAGATTTGGTGCCGTGCCAATGGTATGCCTACTTGAACTCCATATCATATTGCGCAGAATGGGCAATTATAATTGGATCCATGGTGGTGCCGTACGGGGTAACATGGATGCTGCTCGAACCATTTCTTCACGCTCTTCGTGCCCGGATGAGCGAAAGAAGAAGGACTCCATGGATGTATCGGGCCACAGCTCATCGTATCTCTTTAAAGCAGATGATTACGGAGTACTACTGTATTGTTACTCCGAACATGCTGGCATTAGTAGAGCTCTGTGTAACGTCCTTTATACGCGACAACAAGCATAATTTGCGTAGCGTCCCCCCAAACACGGGCCATGCCGAGCTGTCAAGAAGCGTAGCTGGCTGCTTGAATCGCGTACCCGTCCTATTTAGCTGATATGTACGAGTCTGTAGAGAGAGAGGGCAGACATTGGCAGTTATTACCAGACACTAGAGCGTTCTTAGTCCTCGTGCTGCTCCGTACTCTGTACCCCATTCTACTTTATACGAAGCACGAACTTACTCGTACTCGCAACAAGGAACGAAGAACGAACGTTCTGAGCACGCTTGGTGCAACCTACCTCATATTCGCTCCGGCCTAGGATCCTGATCCCAGCGGAGTGTGGGTTCCAGATACAGATCACCGATTCGGAGAAAGAGTGCTGTGTCTTCGCCAGCGTAGCATCTACGCGACCTCAATTACTAATGCGAGTGCCCGGCGTTACGAAATAAACACGGAACATTCGCTGTCGTACGGAGTACTACATGATAAGTCCGTTTTTGCATTTCATTCGCCGTGTGCGAAGTTCGGTGCAAGCACCAAATTCGGTTCAACATGTTGGCCCAACGCTCATCTTGTGATGCCGAATTGCAAGCAACAAAATGGAGAGGTCGTTGGGAGCGGCGTGTGTGCAAGTGCAAGTCACGCTGGACCTCGGCGGGGAGAAGAGCGGTGACCAATTTTCTCTTCTGCTTCCTAACGGTGCTAATGCAATGCAACAACAACTCCGGGGAGTACTACTACAGAAGTGCTTGTAGTACAATATTATACAAGGTAATAGTGTACCAGTACTTTGGCAAAATCACCCGGCAGTAGTCAAGAGAGCCTGGTCCAGATGAGAGTCAATTCTTCTCGTTTAATGCTAGGGTGAGATCTGACGTGCCGAAGCGCTGCTTGCTATATGATATACAGTCAGCCAATAAGCAGAGGGCCCGGTAACCTACAAAGAGGGCGAAAATAACACAGCAAGATGGCTAGACACAAGAATGGCAAAGACAACGCCATGTCAGCTCGAGCCGGCAGCCCTAGCCGATACTACCTGTAGGAGCACTGTGAACCACAAGATGTCCATAGCCAACCTCTCAAGTATGGCGCAGAAATCTGCCCCTCCATCACGAGTCACCATGCGCTATCCGAATCGCCCTTGCTGTTCCATCAATGAAGTCCCTCGCCTGCCACAGTGTCTTGTCCATGTGCATAAACGGGTGCGGAACTCCGGGGAAGCGCCGCTGCGTTACCTCGACGCCATGCTCGATCAGCAGCTGCGCATACCTCTCGCCCTCGTCCCTCAAAGGATCAGCCCCGGCTGTGTAGATGAGCGTATGTGGCAAGTCCTTGAAGTTGGGCGCCTTGAGAAGGTTGGCGAACCAGCCGATGCGCTCCTTGGCGGCCTCGTGCGCCTCGGGCTCCGTGGGCAATGAAGACATCTTAAGCTTGTCGAACCAGGCCAGCCGTGCCCAATTGAGCGTCGGTGCAAACTCGTTTTCGCGCATCGATGGCCAGGGCGAGTCACTAGCCGAGGCGTACTGCGAGAGGTCGTCAATAACAGGCGTTCCCACGGCCACAAGGCGCAGGGGAATGGCAGCGTCGCGGGCCAAGTGCGCCATTGCCAGAGAGATGCAGCCGCCAGCAGACACGCCGCCAACTGAGATGCTGTCTGGGCGGATGTTGAACTTTTGTGCGCCCTGGCGGTGGATATACTCGACCGCAGCGAAGCTGTCTATGATGGCCGTAGGGAAGGGCACCTCGGGCACTAGGCGGTAGGCGACGTCGATGACAGCCACGTTCGCCTTTTTGCAGTAGTGCTTGCAGATATGAGCCTCCGTCTCGAGGTCACCCAGGCCCCAGCCGCCGCCGTGGAAGTCTATGTGCACTGGCCACGGTCCTGGAGTCTCCGGTTGGTAGACACGCACTGGAAGCTGCGTGCCATCGGCCAGTGGCACCACATCGTTGTAGATGCGCCCAACGTCCGGCGCGGGAGCCATGCCATAGCTGTAGAGAACCGAGTAGGTGGCACGCAGCTCCTGGAGGTCGATTGGCTTCAGCGGCCTGTGGGCAACGTTTTCGTTGTAGAGCTTCTCGAAGGCGGGATCAAGTTTGCCCTCCATGGACGGATGGAGGGGTTGGAGAGACTCGTGCTTTGTGTCAGCCGACATGGTCGTGGAAATGGGAGGAATTTTGCCTCTTTTCTTGATCGTGCTCTTCTTCTTTCGTCCTATCTCTAGGCTTCGCGATTGCTGCGATGGTGAGTGCAGAGCCGACCCTGGCGGTTTCTATATATCCTGATAGCTCCAGGCTGCAGAGGAGAATAGAGGGGTTAAAGAGCATGCAGACCCCCACATGCTGCACAGGTCACAGCCTGAGCCTGCGCCTGCGCTGCAGAGCTGCAACTGGAGCGGAATTGTAAAGAGGAAACAAAACAAGAGAGAGATGAGCGACGCGATGCATGCTGGCTGGCCGTCTGCTCAACGGGGTACATCGCCAACTCTCAAATCTTGTGGCAGTCCCAGCTTCGGTCAGTCCCGCGGCACAGGCTTGCTATGCGGCGGCTCTTCAGGGCTCGAGGGTCCCTAAAATTCCAGATGTCTCCAGATATCAGGTCCGACGGCTGCAGGGCTGGGATCGGAACCCACTCGGAAGCGGCACCCACAGCCGCCGCTTCACGATCTTGTCATCGATTGGACCCTCCCTTTGGAAAAATGATGTCTCTGTTGAATCAGAATGTGAGATTGTGGTCCGTTGCTCAGCTCACGCGGCGGTTCCAGAAACCCTCGTCCATGTAGGGGCGAGCACGGAAATTTCTTGGAGGGCTGGAGGGGCGCCGCGCCGCGCCGCGCAGCTTTCCATGGGCGTTAGCTGATCAGACGGCGGATTTCGAGTCGATGCTTGAATCTTCTTGGTGGCCGACAGACAACATCTCATCGCCACCCCCCTGCTCTGCAAAGTCTGCATAGAAATATATGTACCATGTTATACAGATGATAGACCTCGTCGCCTTGCGAGAAACCCGCGTGCTGGACTCTCTCACCGACCGCTAGCAAGCCTGAATTCCGCTGCGTTGTTCTTGCACGCACAAGTATCGAAGAGAGCAGACAAACCTCCAAAGCAATCATCACCACGTTCAAGATGACGGTCAACGATAAGCCCGTGCTGATCATCGGCGCTGGAGTTGTGGGCTTGACATTGGCACACGGGCTTAAAAAGGTAATGTCGCAAACCAACAGCTCAAGGAAATTTTCCAGAACGACGCTCTCCTGGCTGCGCTAAAGCTGCTAGGCCCCTCAAAATATCATGACGGAGCCGCATGTATTGGTTATTGGTTCTGCAGCAGCTGCAGCTTGTGATGACAGCATGGCCGAACTGGGGTTAACAGCTTTGAGCTAAACCATGGTCTATGTCATTATTTTTTGAGCCGAGATATGCTAACTCAACGGCCATATTCTTGTTCCATCTAGGCAAACATTCCCTTCGAAATTTACGAGCGAGACGAGAATATCGATGCCCGAGGACAGGGCTGGGCTATTACTCTACACTGGGTGCTGCAATACCTCCGAGAGGTAGTTGACGAAGAAACATTTGCTGGCTTAGATGACGTCCAAGTCGATCCAGAGACTGGTCGTAACGACACGGGCAACTTCATCTTCATCAACCTCAAGACAAAAGAACCCAAATTCTACATCCCTCCTACCGCGCGCCGTCGAGTAAACCGCGAGAAGTTGCGCCGGCTTCTACTTAAGAATGTCGCAGAAAACGTTCACTGGGACAAGCAATTGACAGATGTCCAAGTCTCTGACAATGGCGTCAAGGCCACTTTCGCAGATGGAAGCACGGCTGAGGGGAAGATGCTCATTGGCGCTGAAGGCAGCAATTCGCAGACAAGGAAATATCTTGTGCCAGAAGACTACCAGAATTACTTGCTACCCGTGAAGTTGGTCGGTGTCTCTGCGGACTTGACGTCTGAGCAGATCAAGCCGCTGCGACAGATTGATCCGCTGCTTTTCCAAGGCTGCCACCCAGAGACTGGTGTCTTCATTTATGTCTCCGTGCTAGAGACGCCAGAGGTGAATGGCAGTGCTGGAACTGCAGACGAACACTATCGCGTGCAAATCATGACCTCATGGCTCGCCAAAGATCACGACGAGAATATCCCCGAGTCAAACTCCGAGCGCATCACCATGATTAAGCGCCTGGTTACCGGCTTCCACCCCGACTTGTACAACATCATACAGGCCATTCCCGATACTTCGCCCACTCTACACCTTGTCTTGCAAGACTGGCCCTGTCGAGAGTGGGACAACTATGACGGCCGAGTGACTCTGGCTGGCGACGCTGCGCACGCCATGGTCATGTACCGTGGCGAGGCGGGCAACCACGGTATTCTCGACGCTTGGCATTTACTGCGCCAGATCAAGGCAGTTCATACTGGCGAGAAGACTCGGTCCGAGGCCATAGACACGTACGAGAAGGAGATGAAGGAGAGAGCTGCACCGGCTGTCTTGCTGAGCCGCCAGGCGTGCTTGGATGCGCATGACTTTCACGGCTTGAATGAGAATTCGGCAGTTCTCAAGAAGAGGGCGATTAACGCTGCCAGAACATGAAATATGAGCCAACCTATGTAAAAACTGTAAGATAATCTACAAAGTAGTTGAATTATCTTAACAATAGCCATAATTTGACATACTATAATTTGAAGAACTTGAAATAGTCTTCCTATTTAGCATTCCTCACTGCATGTCGAGAGGATGTAAAGTCTGCTACATCATACATTAAATGTTCAGCAATACGAGACAGCTTCACAGCTATTCTATATTAACTTCAACATTTTATAGCTAATACCTTTACATTGATACCTATAAGTGCATATTTAAATTGGAGATGAAATGCCAAACAAACATGTCTCATTTTGCTGCAGGGTAGCAATCACACTTCCTAATTTGGAAACACTAACAGCCTCTCATCAAAACCAAGAGATCTGTCGGATTGTGTATTCTACGTCAGCGGTACTATACTCCGCCCCTATTTAATGCTTGTATCAAGATTAGATTTGAGATAGTCAAGGGCAGTTCTCCACATTTGGCGGTGTTTCTCTGCCACTTTGATTTCTAGAGCAAGCTAGGCCGATGGATCGCCTCTATGTTGGTGATGCTCGATGACGCATGTACCGAAAGCGTCGATCGAGATAAACTCTAACGGCACAGTAAACCGGTAACGTAAAAGACTGGGAGATCTCCCTGGGTAAGAGGTAAGAACACATTCTACTGTTTTAATTCGTATCACATGTGAACAAAAAAAGTCAATTTCTTTGAAGACGGAAAGAGCAACAATTGCTATCAACAATGAAGGAAAAGAGTGAAGTCATCCAGGAGTTCAGGGAACTCGTTAACATGTCGGCGAAGGAATTGAAGGAGTGGCTGAAAGGCGATGAGTCTGAAGGCGCAGGATGGCCCAAGGACGATGCGAGCGGCGAGTCTGTTGGCCACGATAGCGGTCGACAGATTGTCGATATCCTAGAGGCCAACTCGGAGAAGGACCCGGAAAAGTACACAGATGATCATGTCAGCCACATGAGAAAGGTTGTAGCCTACATGTAGGTGAAAGGGCTTTCTGTCTCTGCTAATCAACACAGCGATGCCGAACGCTGATACAAAATTAATTTAGCAAACGGCACTTGGCTCAAGAAGAAAAGGCGAACAGTAAAAAACCCGTCGAGGAGGTCAAAAAGACCAAGTCATACGCATCGCTCAAGAACTGGGGCCATGATACTATCAAGAAGCGTGAAGCAAACGGAGGTGGCGCGGAAGCAGATGCCGAAGGCGAAGAGCAAGAGGAAGAAACGGCAGAGGAAGAAAAGGCAGGAGAAAAACGAAAAGCTCCAGATGACCAGTCTGGGACAAGCAAGAAGAGAGAAACAGAGGATGGTGCTGCGGCAGTAGACAATGGTGATGAAGAGAAGGATGAGCAGGCTGACGTGGAGGAGGAGAAGGATTCAAAGAAAGGAGAGCATCCGAATGGAAAAGAGGGTGGAAACGAAAAAGAGGCAAAGGGTCCTGAGAAGGGAGATACTGTGAGCTGGAATTGGGGCCAAGGTCAACCGGAAGGGACGGTCAAAGAGGTGAACCCTGGAGAGTGAGTTTTTCTCATCGCGTGTTTTAGGCTATTATTTCGAGGCTGACGTTGGCGTACAGGGCAACTATTGAAACAAAGAAAGGAAACGAAGTCTCGCGCAAGGGAAAGGAAGAGGACCCTGCCGTTGTAATTGATACAGGAAAATCGGACGCGGTTAAACTGGCCCACGAACTGAACGAGACGAAGGATTAGATTTACCACCATGGATCAAATTGAATGTGAGGGTTTGATAAATAAATGAGTTTGTGTCTCGTCATGTATCTCCTCCGAGTCTATGGTGGCCGTTCAGACTAGGTAACATAATATAAAAGAACCGTCAGTATTGGACATTGACAGCCCAGCAATTTCTAAGCGATCCGGGATATGCATTGCGAGGGCGTGAGAGCAGCATCGTGTCTAGATGAAGCATGAAGAGCACATGCGGTTACATATATCGACGCTATTGATATGATAAGTAGTTTCCAGCTTTTTGGGGCTTCCTCGGCACAACCGCCCGTAGCGCCTGGCAGCATCCACTCTAGCGATTGAGGCTAGTGGAGTTCCCCGGCGGAATACAGCGGGGTACAGCGGGGTCTGCAGCGCAGCAGTCACGTTCGGCTGACGACGATAAAGTTCCAAAGTCCAGCCGGCCGGGCTGCTTATTCTTCGACCTCAACCGCCTGGCAAAGTTCTTCCTCGTGGAGACTCAGCTCCCAGCTGTTGTCGGGAACGGCGCCAGTTCGTCATCTCATGCGTTTCTTTACCAGCGTTTGCCCTTCAGCACAGCATGCGTTTTGAGTCTTGAAAACCTCCAACCATGACGACTTGATCCATCGCCATCATGTAAGACACGCAGGAAAATAGCGCCCCTCCAATTGACGTCTGAGAGATTGCTAAATCATCATCAATGTGCCACAGGATCGAACCTTCGATTCGACTGCGGCGCGCAATCTACGCGGGCGACGCACTGCTCGTGAAGCGCATCCTCAAATCCCACCCATCGCTCCTCCACAATCCCGATACCTCTCCAGTTGGGCTCTCCAACTCCAACATGCACCTTGCCGCCTCGCTCGGCCACAAGGAGGTCTGCAAGGTGCTCCTAGAAGCCGGCCACGAATATCCATGCCCCGCCCTCAACGAGAATCACCAGACGGCACTCATGCTTGCCTCTGGTGCTGGCCACACGGAAGTCGTCCACTTGCTGTGCGAGAACGACACAGATTGCATTCTACGAAGAGACGTCCGCGGCCGAGATGCCGTCATGGAAGCCAGCGTAGGCGGCCACGATACTATACTACAACTGCTGCTAACATATGTCCCCGGAGGACCTTATGAGGCGGTGCAAAGAGCTGATGCGGAAGGAAATACGGCTCTCCACTATGCAAGCGGTAATGGCAACTTGCTAGGCCTGCGGACCTTGCTCGCAGCCGGTGCGGATGTTGAGAGGCGCAACATCTGGAACTGGACGCCGGCCGCGTATAGCGCTACTGTGCAGGCCGAAGTTTACCTGAAAGGCTTGGTTTCTGAGGTGGGAAGGCTCCAGCAGCAGCAGCAGCAGCAGCAGCAGCAGCAGAAACGCAAGAAGGAGGTCGAGGTAGCCGCCAAGAAGATGGCTGTTGGAACTGTGAGGATAGTGCGAGAGAATAGCATTGAAGACGAACGACTTTACGCCCTCTGATGTAGGAGACGCTTCATGCGTGGAAAGCGATATACGACTCTCTTATAAGACGATAACCAAGAAAAAGATTGACAAAGCTGGTTTATGGGTGATGGGTTGCGATAAAGCCTCTTGTTTTTTTTTTATGCTGTTTACTGCGTTTGCCTAACTGGGCTTGGAGTATGGAGCACAAAGTATGGAACACAGCACAGAGAGAAGAGCAGATAGCCGTGATTTAAAATATGCTTTCAACCATTTGGTCCCGGTCATTACATGCATTAAACACGTAAAAGGAACCAACTGTGATTAGTAGTAGTAACAAAGCTCGAAATCAATTCCCACCTCCCATTGGTTAATACGCAGAGCTGCTCAGTTTAGCTGGGTATCTAATCTTGGGACCACCCGGACTTAACGCTGACCAGCATCTACAGATTTCCGATCACCGTAAAATGCGGTTTTCCCTGGAAGAAGCGCCCCCTAAGTCCAGCACAAGATTTCTGTATATTATGTCGCAGTATTTCTTCGATGAAAGAGAAGATTCTGGAGTTTAAACATAAGAAATCAACAATTCACGCTGCACTGCAACTCCTCGATAGACCGCAATGCCCATCATTCTCATCACCGGAGGAAACCGAGGCATCGGGTTCGGCATCGCCCAGGCGATTGCAGGCCGTATACCTTCTTCGACTATAATCTTGGGCTGTCGAAGACTCGTGGCTGGCCATGAGGCCATTGAGCAACTGCGAGGCCAGGGCGTCTCATCTCCACTAGATGCGGTCCAGCTTGATATTGAAGATATCCAGAGCATAACGGCGGCGGTCGAGACTCTGGGTAGAAAGTATGGGAAGCTAGATGGTGCGTACAGCGTATGACGGTTAAATTCATGACAATCTTGAACTCACTCAATGTACTTTTTCTTGTAGTGCTCATCAACAACGCTGCGAGCCTTCAGCTGCCTATAACCCAGAATCTCGTTGAGCTCAAGGACTGCTCCAACGCCAATTTCAACAACTGTGTTACATCCAATATTCTCGTGACCAAAGCATTTATCCCGCTTCTTCGGAAGAGTTCCTGGCCGCGAGTCATCATGAACTCTAGCGCTAGAGGGAGTCTTGGTCGTACAGCAAACAGAGAGGTATAGTATACCCCCTTTTCTTTCATTTCCATTAAGATATTATAAGACGAATAACTGCTAACAGATCTTTCTCTGCCTTGATTGTACCGTACAGCTTCCGCCTGTCGCTCTAATTGATTACTGTGTTTCGAAAGCCGCACTGAACATGTTGACACTCCATTATCAAATTTTTGAAGATAATTACGAGGACGAAGGGGAGAAGATTACATTCTGGAGCGTCAGTCCAGGCCATACAAAGACGGCGTTTAATAACTACAGAGGAAAAAAAGATCCAGTCGATAGTGGTGAGGCGTTTGTGAGATTGCTGGAATCCGAGAAGGGCGCAATTACGCCGGGAACCTTTTGGGAATTTGAAGACGAAAAGTTTCAAGAGGTTCCCTGGTGAGGCTCAACTTGATGGTGCCTGGACACATGTATCAAGTACATATAGTTGTTGTATGCTATGTAAGACTATATGTTCACCTATGTATGTACATTTGCGTGCGTAGGTACTAAATACACAAATACTTTACACTCTAGAAATTGCTACGGGAAAGCCTTTGGTGAATCATCTTTCTCCAACTACAAATTTGGTCAATACAATTCATGTGTGATACACATCCTGCAGTTCAATTGCGGTTCCTTCTGGCCATGCTATAAACACCTCCAGGCCGAAAAAAATGAAAATAAAATGCGGTGAACAAACCAGCCATGCTTCCAGCTTGGCCATCAACGTGAACAAGCTCTCTCAAACCACCGACACTGTTGCGTATCCTCATCCAATCTGCGCCACCGATGTCCGCTCATGATTCACCAACTGAGCTGCCATAGTACAAGCCGCGCTCTAAAGCCATCAAAGTTTGCGCGCGTGCTACCGGGCTCTGGGCCCATCATGAGGTGAATCATGGCTACGCCTATAGGTACATAATCGACAGCTCCTGACGAGTAATCACGGAACGGCGGTTCTCCTTTTTCCAACCTTTACTCCTCAGTAAGAGAGAGATAACGTCCATCTTTTCCTTTTTCTTTTTTTCTTTTTGAAGGAACAGCCATTTTACTGAACAACTCATTCTCTTTTACTTCTGGCCGTACTTATCGGCCTCCGCATCTACCATCTCTATGCCCAACGGTCCTCGTGTGAACCGTAGGACGATCAACGTCGGGGCAGGCCAGCTTCCATCACCTGCCACCAAGCTCATCATCACTCAGATACTCAAAACTAGTCAAGATCATCCATTCTGGGCGTGGATCATTGTTGGGGCGTTTTACGACAATCAGGATCGCATCATTTGGAGCACAGAGTTGTTTGTTGCCCACCTTGACATTCAGTTCGAGTCGGACGAAGAGGAAGATTCGGAAGAGGAAGAAGGCCGAGATACAGACATTAGAGCTGGATCTGATTCACCACCTGGTAAGCCTTCCATAGATTGATTGGCATTTTGGTTTCGAACCACCATCATCTCAACCTTCGCGAAACATATATGCACTTGGATTAGCCTTGATTGACGCTAGCTTGGAAGTACAATCTCCTCAAGTTCATCACTCTGAATCGCCTCAGCACCAGTCTCGACCATTTGAGAACTACAGCCGTACACTCAACGCAGATCAAAGCTATATTAACCGTGGTCCGGCTATTTCTTCCTCTAATTACAATTACAATATCCACTCTCGCCCTCATATCCATCCTCACCCTTATTCTTACCCCCATCCTCATTACTATAATCATCACATCCCGCATCATCTACAAGCACCACCATACATCAACTCCGCCTCTATCTGGGATCCCACCATCTCCGGTCCTGTCCCCGGCCACTGGCAAGCCTCATTTGACCCCACCGTCCAACGTTGGGTTCATACCTGGCAGCCTCAGTCTTCCGCGCATTTCTTCTAAGCTTCCATCATGTCTGGAGGCTGGAACCCCATCACCGGCCGCGACTCGGGATCCGGCCGTCCCGCATTCTCCCCGTACGGAGCTCCTCAGCCGGCCCAAGGCCAAGCATACATCCCTCATGCTGGCGGACCAGGCTACAACTTTGGTACAGTGCCTCAGTACACCACCTGGCCTAACACGGCTTACGGATACTATCCTATAGGCGCCGCCCAAGGCTTCCCGCAGTACGGAATGCCTGCTCAGGGAGCCTTTGCCGGCTTCCACGCTCCACAGACATTTGCCTATCAGCCTAACGGAACAGGCAATCTCCTCCCTCGCCAACCACAGCCTTATCCCAACATCGATCCCACAATGCCGGCTGCCCAAATGACAAACACCACCGGCGGCACGGGCTGCGAGCCGGGCTACAACTACTTCTTCCCCGCAGAGCACACCAAAGCTCACATATTCAAGACCAACACTCCCCCATGGCAGCTCCCTCCCACGGCACAGATCCCTTTCAAAGCAGCACATATCCCGTGTAACACCACCATGGCAGAACTGCTCAAGGGGTTTGGTTGCACTAATCAGACGCCGAAAAAGAACAAGTGCTTCGAGGTTGTGAGCGGAGGAGGGGGGAAGTGGTACAAGGGGCTGGAGGTGAATGGCGCGGACAAGGATCTGCTAAAGAAGACGATTAAGGACGTGGGATGGGATTCTACGCGGACCGGCAATCCGAATGAGAAGCCGGTGGTTTGTTTGTGGTTTTGCAGAGACTAGGTGTATGATTTCTCGTTTGAGTCGTAATAATATTGTTTGAAGGTATTTTTTTGGTGTTTAATAATTTCCATGCAGGCTGAAATCGAAGTTATTGATATTGATATCTGTAGCTTTTTCTACGAGATCATTCCTAAGGTATCGATTGATTGATATTGATATCCATGTCTTTTTCTCCGAGATCATTACACACGCCTTAGATATACCAATGTCTCCTAGGAAATCACAGTCAATGGCATGCCCTCTTGTTTGAGATATACATTTAGTTTCTCTCCACGGTCTTTCATAATCTTGAAGAGGAAGCATATGTGAATAATCAAAGAAATTTATGTGATTGACTAATATAATAATAATGATTTAATAAGTGAATAAATAACAGTGGCGTCACTCAAGGTCATCCTCTCAGGCTAGCGATTTTAATAGAGCTGAAGAGGAGCAAACTACATCATTTGATATCGTATCTTATCAACGATAGAAATATGTATGATATACAGTAATATCACTGCTTGCTTATCCGTAATAATTACATCAGCTGCTATATTCTCCCACTGTTCATTTCATTGGGGTAATCAATTGAGTCAAAAACCTACATCCTTTTCTAAGCCCAAAAAATCTGCAAAGGAAATATGGAATTATTATCACGGGAGCTCTAGTCGTAGGACGGAGGTAGTCACTCCAAAGACTTCTCGCTACATTCAGTCATCCAGAGTGCCCTCCGACTTCGCAATCGTGTGATATTATCGCAGAGACGCCCATATTCTCAGCTGCGATTCTTCTTGGATTAGTGACGCTTGCCATGGAGGATTTTCATATGAGGGGATTATGTTCCGGAGGAGGGATTCCGGACCGCATGCAAGCCAAGGTATATAATTTGGATGCCTAAAAGCCATAGCCAATAGCTCAGAAAACATGCGGCTTCATTGCAGGATAGCATGATCCGAGTATTCGGGGCTGGATCTCGGTCATCATGCTTCATACTCCATACGTGCTAGCAACCCCCGTGGGGGCGTGACATTGCCGAGTGGCCCCTTTCATGATACAAGTGTGTTCCAAGCGGGCGGTGTACTATTTTCAGTCCTCTCCCTAGCTCACATGTCCGTGTCCATGATGGCTTTTTCATAATAGGCATCAACATTATCACAGCTGCCACTGGTCAAAGTTAGATCCCTAGGGCGGGTCTTCCTTGTGCCCCCGGCTCGGGCAAGGATAGAACGTGGAGCAGAATGGCTTTGGAAGCGGGTGGTCTAATGCCAAGCTAACGGTATGGTGTGTGGAGATCGACAAGACGGTTGAGAAAGGGTGGCGTACGAGGGCTGAGGCACTTAGCATGGCAAGTTGGAGGTGGCGTATCAAGATATTCCATTCATTCACTACAGAAGCCCAAACATTGTGAGAATCGTTTCCTAAAAGAATGACAACAATCGGAGCACACGTGTAGTAGCTTGAGTGAATACATTAAGTTTCATATACTCTAGATGTCGACTAGCCATCACCATTTTCAATCGCGGTATTCGGGAAGCCAGTTATCAACCCGCCGAGTGACACAGCCACCAGACCAGGAAATCCCAGGTGCTAGTAGAAACATGGATACATGAACACGTGGTGGATAGACTACAGCACAGGCTTGGAGTTATTGTTTCTATAGACCGCCTAGCTCATAGCCAAGCTTTCATTCTCTCCTGTACTCTGTACTCTGCAGTATGCACTCTCCTGTCTCCACATCCCTCCGTTCAGATGGACCACCGCTTTAAGTTCAGCAAGCTACTGCTGATTTTGTACTTGGTAGATCTTATCCAAACAAGTCAAGCTGAGAAAACTGAGACCTTTCTGGCTGCAGCATGACTGATGGATCGAATCTACGATTCAAAACTGCAGAATTAAGAGCCTGATAAACCCAAGTCAGGACGGAGTAGCATCCAATCTACAAATCATCAAGTCGCAACACATGCTAAAGCAACTACTAGGGAAACGGTCTCCTCGACAATGTTTTAATCCACATTTACCTAGCAGTCGGAGCTTACCGCCCAGCCTCCCAAACCAGACTAAAAATGCCAAGGGTTGAAATATTTGATTACATACAAGCCAAGCTTTTCGGTCTCGGCGCCTCCAACGCAGTCTCGATGGAGTATCCCGTGTCTGTTGCTCGCTCCTGATATTGACTTTATTGCAGTAATACCCCAATTATGTACAGTAGTACCGTCTATCACGTATCTGTACGCGTACTGTTTATTAGTTCATCTTCGTCTTGCAAATATCTTGTACTCGTATTTGACTGTAACTGGGCTTGGAGACCTCGTTCATTATTCTCCACCCAAGAACAAGCATCTGCTATAAAGCTAGCCTAGAGGGGAAAAAAGCGGAATTTCGGTCTTTTGATCGACAGGTTACCTTTTGCTCTCTCCTTCTGGCAATGATCAGGCAGCAGAATTAATTTTGTGGGAGCGAATTAATGGATCATCTCCACCATACTGTTGCAGCAGCTGAAGAGTACTTCAAAGATCAGCGGATGGCACCGCGGATACGAAATGGCTACTTGCAGTGTTAGACGGCACTTTGGGTCAAACAAGATAAACACTTCAGTTGACGCTCGCTCTGTGTACAGATATACTGCATAGTCAACAAGAAGTTCTCAGCTCCTCACTGGGACATATTCGTCCAGGTCAAGATCTAGGCGTTAATAGTCTGGCGCCACGCTAGGCAAGAAGAGGAGCCCGCTTGTGTTACTGCATGGTGGTGCCGGCCGAGAGCCGTTAATTACGAAAGTGAGGCGACGGCTGATTTCTGGCTCTGCGTGCTTGTGCTAGCATCGTCTGTAGCAGCAGCCACTCGGCCATGGCGTGAGCTTTGGCGCGCGGGATGGTTCGCAAGCGGACGCTGATAGTGCCGCGGCCCCAGCCTATCTCTTGGCATGCCGGCTCACTAGTGGGCAGCATACCCCGAAAGCATCCAGTCAGCATGTGAGGAATTCTGTTGCCTGTTTCTCGCTGCGCATCCTGGGCCTGGCGATCCATGTTGGCTGCTGCGGTGGCACACAATTTTCCACCTGTGTCCTGTGGTACCGGCTCCTGGTACGGCGTAGCAGTAGCATTACGGTAGGTACATACAAGCTCCCCAGCTCAGTGTGAGTGCCTTGTTCGTGGCCAATTCTTGCCCAGGTTCGGAGTAGGTATTCGACGCTGCGTGTAGTATTAGTCTGCCGTACTTGATCCTGGCGACATTAGCTGTGGCGTTGGCGCCGGCAGGCAATGCGGATGCCGTAGATGAGCAAAACCTTGCTCAGATCTCGAGGTTCTAGGCCGTGGCTGGCCGCCGTGGTGCGATGCTTTCGTCCGAGGACAGTCGCATCCGGCGTGCTAGAAAGAAAGAAGAGTTTAGCTACGGATGGAGGGGTTCGCAGAATGCAATGGTACCGCCTGTATGTACCTGGCACATGCTCAGCCTGTGCCTTGGCCGACGCAGATCTTGGGCCTTTGCCCTCAGCTTCTCACCAAGCGTAGCGAACATGGCCGAACCTGGACCCGTTGGTGCTCTATACCCAGCAAACACGCCGGCGCTATTATTCACCGGTTGGTGCAGCTGCAGTGCCGATCTGCACGAGTAGCACGCCAGAAATAAGCAAAGCAGGGCGCGAGTACACGAACCAGCGATTGCACAGACGCTTGCAGGGCAGCCCTGGGCAGAAGACTCGGCACCTGCTCCCACCTACGTCAGGGGACGGCGGGCTTGTCTGTAGGGCCAATTACAGCGCTGTCCAGGGGGTTCGGCGCTAGGCCCACAGAGGCCAAACAACGTGTCTGCGATTCCCACTTTCAACCTCCAGTCTTAGACACAACCGTCGACACAAAGGCAAAAGTGGCTTGCTTTTCTTTTCCCATGGGGAACTGGAGACTCTGCTCCTCTCCTGTCTGGGGTGCGGGGATGATTCCCCGTCTGGAGAATTAAGAGGGTCAATCTCACGTTTAGCGATGGCTTGCTCTGGGGGAGGCGGGATTCTGGGTATCTGTGGCTTGCGGAGCGTGATGTGATGCTCTCCAGACCGAACACGGCGATTCTCTCAGCTTGGCCGGCACAGGTATGTCGCAATTACCCGTCCGCTGCTGCAGCTGGTAATTAACTGGCGTGTGGCAGCACCAACGCGGGTGGTCCTGATCCCTCGGCAGCGCACAGATGGCGCTACTTGGACGAATGCATGAGTCGCAATGTCTTGTCTTCCATGCATCTGCGGACGTTTCTGCGCCCAAGCTCCACGCCACCCTCAATGTCAGCCAAGCTATACGACTGGACTAGCTCGTCTGTCTATCTTCCAGCCAAGAGTGGGCCGGACAGGGATAAGCCTCAATCCATGCTGCTCGACTTACATGCACGAATTGCTGGACTGTGCTAATGCTACGCCTCTCATGCCATGGGCTCATTGCGTTTTTGGCTGTGGAGAGACACAAACCACGCGACAAAACTCAAATAGCTATTGTTCTCCGCCTCCGGACTCCAGTTTTTGGTCTCTCTTCCCCAGACTCCAGTCTCGGCTCAGGACAAATAAGTATATTAGTCCTCCTTGCCTCCCGTTGTCTTGACCTTCTTTTGTTGTCTCGACAGTCGACTTCTTCAGCCCAGGAGCAGCATCACTCTTTGCCTCACTCACTTGCATTGATCGAGGTTAGAAGAGCAAGCCAGCTGCGGACAATTCCCCTGCCCATTATGGCGGAAGTATTGTCAGTCAACCTTTTGGCATGTTCATCAAGCCATTTGCTAACTTGGTTGATACAGTACTCATTCAGACCCCAAGGGTGGTCACGACGCAACCATGGAGAAGGGAGTCACCTACACCGAAGAGCAAGAGTATACCCAGAATCTCCAGGCCAAGATTCGCAACCCGCTCAAAGGCATCCCCCGAGAGCAGCTTATGAACGATGTCGAGTCCTTTGCTTCTCGTCACGGGCTTCAAGAGCACACTCTCCTTCTCAAGAAGGGTGCGCTAATTGCCCAAAACCCCGCCGAAGCACACAACATTGATGGCGACGAGAAGCTCACCTCCCATGAACTGAACATTCTGGAGCGTGAAGTGACACACAAGTGGCATATGCCCACAAGACTCTTCATTACCATCGCAACATGCTCCATTGGTGCCGCCGTTCAAGGTTGGGACCAGACTGGTAGCAACGGTGCTACCATCTTCTGGCCCGATGTGTATGGCATTGGTGACCAGACCATCACTCGCAACGCTATTCTTGTCGGCCTCATCAACGCCGCTCCCTACATTGGCAGCGCGTGCGTATAACCTTCCCGAGTAGATTCATTAATGTACTCTTGGCTAATTATCTCTCAGTTTCATCGGCTGCTGGCTTTCTGACCCCATTAACAACCACTTCGGTCGTCGTGGTGTCATCTTCTTCGCCGCTCACTTCTGTATCTGGCCCGTTATTGGTTCTGCTTTCTGCCACACCTGGCAACAGCAGCTTGCCTGTAGATTGCTCATGGGTATTGGTATGGGTGCAAAGGCTTCTACTGTACCCATCTATGCTGCAGAGAATGCCCCAGCTTCCATCAGAGGTGCCTTGGTCATGTCATGGCGTAAGTTTTCTTCTGGACTCATATGCTAAAGCGTCTCAGCTAACGGAATTTCTAGAAATGTGGACTGCTTTCGGTATTTTGCTTGGAAGTGCATTCAACTTGGCTGTCTACCATGTAAAGGACATCAACTGGCGTCTGATGCTTGGCGCTCCTTTCATCCCCGCTATTCCCCTGGTTGCCCTCATCTACTTCTGCCCCGAGTCACCTCGTTGGTACATGAAGAAGGGTCGCTATGCTGATGCTTGGAAGTCTCTCATGGTCCTCCGAAACGACCCAATCCAGGTTGCCCGAGACATTTACTACATCTCTGCTCAGCTGGAAATTGAGAAGGAGCTCATTGGCAAGACTAACTACGTCACTCGATTCACTCAGCTCTTCACTGTTCCCCGTATTCGCCGTGCCAACTTGGCTGCTTTTACCGTCATGATTGCCCAGCAGATGTGCGGCATCAACATCATCGCATTCTATTCGACCACCGTCTTTGTTAATGCCGGTTTCACTCAATTCCGGGCTCTGATCGGCTCATTTGGATTCGGTCTTGTCAACTGGCTCTTCGCCTTCCCTGCTTTCTGGACTATTGATACCGTAAGTTTTGCAGCTGTATGGCGTAAATCACGAGTGGCATATACTAATAATCCTGCAGTTTGGTCGCCGAAGCCTGTTGCTTTTCACCTTCCCTCAGATGTTCTGGACTCTCTTGGCTGCTGGTCTCTGCACTTTGATCTCTGATAGCCATGAGACGGCCCGAACCGGTCTTGTCAGCCTTTTCGTCTTCCTGTTTGGAGGTGAGTAAATCCGTGAAATGATAATACCCATTTGCATGAATCAATGACTAATTCATAATATAGCTTTCTACTCTCCCGGAGAAGGCCCCGTTCCTTTCACCTACAGTGCTGAAGTGTACCCCCTGTCCCACCGTGAGACTGGTATGGGTTTCGCCGTCGCCACCTGCTTGTTCTGGGCTGCCGTCCTGGGTACTTCATTCCCCTTCCTGCTCGAGCGCCTCCAGACCGTTGGCGCATTCGGCCTCTACGCAGGCTTCAATGTTGTCGCTTTCATCATGATTTTCCTCTGGGTTCCCGAGACAATGCAGCGCACTCTTGAGGAGCTTGATTATGTCTTTGCTGTCCCCGTCCGCACCTTCATGAAGTACCAGCTCACTGTTGCTCTGCCCTGGTGGTTCAAGAAATACGTCTTCTTCCAGTGGAGCGCGACCAAGCCTCCTCTGTACCAGTTCGACGCCGTCGCCTCTGACCTGCGCAGAGCATCTATTCACCAGGCTACAGTGCCATCATCGGATGATGAGAGCAAACGAGCCTACTAAGAGTATAAAATTTTGAATATAAAAATAGGTTATGACTACGTTTGGATTAAGGGATGATGTTCCATTTGAGTATATTGTTTTGTTATTTCGTGGATAGGCAATGCGCCGTTGGGAATTGATACCCTTTCCTTCATCATGATATGATTTAAGAAGGATATATAAGGAATATATGAGTTTTTATACTCTAAACCGCGTTCGCTTTACGCTGTATATGTGTATATGTGATATGTCCAGAGTCTGCTCCTAAGAAAGTTTTCTCTTACAAGAAAAAGACGAAGCTGTAAACAACTCTACATGCAAACATAATTAGGCTTGTAAAGGTTTAGGAGGATTGGGTAGACACTGCTTACCACTAGCCGAGGCTGGCTAGCAGTGGTTTTGAGATTCCCATGTGATGAGATCTAGGAATCCTATGGCAAGAATTATTACGACTAACCACCATTTTGTGGCACTGCACTATTTATTGGTGTATCTCAAAGAGGTAAAACCAAATATGATAGCTCTCGTGCAGAGAAGAAAGGCTGAATATTTCATTTTGTTTGGTCGAGGGTGCTGGATTTGAACTTAGTTATATTACTGATTGACAAATAGGCATGCTCCGACGACTGGGGTGCATCACTTAGGAATACGTGTAATCGGCGGAGTAAGGTAATTAATACGGGGGTCTACTTTGAAGTGACTTGCATTAGTTTTGAACAGGATGCAAATGCAGGAAATGCTACAATCTCCATAGAAACTCAGTAATTCGCTGCAGGCGAACACAATATAGAGAGAGGTATTAATGTATTGTCCATGTATAGGTGCGTATTGGCTACATGCAGCTCGGTTTATGCCCAACTCCAAATACAGGTTCAAGTAGCTGTTTAGAGAACAAATTAGCCATCCTTCGAAGGAGTCGTGAGATTTAAAACTGCATGAACTAAACTTCGGGGTTCGGATTGCTCCGTCACACACTCTCCGTTGGGGGTCACAGGGGATCAGATCCACAAAATCAGAATGCTTGGCCAAATCCGAGCATGAAATAACGGCCATATCGCCTATCTCATGCTTTTGCCCGTGTCTTTTGTTTTCCATCTCTTTTTTTGTCCTCCAAGAGGGGGCCGATTTGAATCTCTTGGGAAAGATCAGCCATCCATCCGCCGCCTTGGTCTCAGCTTTGAGTTTCCATCACTCTGACACACGAACGATTTTCCTAGTTAATAAGCTGGGATTAAGCTGTGGCGCAACCGTCTCCGGTTATTTGGGTCAAACATTGTCAGCATCCTATTTTGCTTTCCAGCCATACAGACATTTCCAACAATTGCCAACATGCCCGTATATTGACTAGCCATCAAGCCACCTTTTTGAAACTTCGAGCCGTGTGGCGCGCGTCCTTGAGCCATGGCTCTAGCTGATGAAAGCAAAGAGCATGGTGTTGGGCCCGTCGCCGCAGTTGATGTGGAGAAGGCGGAGCTTGCAAGCACAACGGATGTATCTACAGATGTGCCCCTAAACCACAACAAGCTCGATCAGAGCCGCTTCTCCATCGCCAACGCGGCGAATCTATCTCTCGACGATGTCGAGCCTACCGATGTTCAGATTCGGGGACTTACAATCACCGTTGATACTTCTCCCTCATGGCTTGACCCTTCTACATATCCCGAGCTGTTCTCCGCCAAGTTGAAGGCTGCACCATGCATCAAGACCCTCTTGCACTCAGTCGATGCCAATTTCAAGCCCGGGACACTGACGGCCATCATAGGCGGCAGTGGCTCCGGCAAGACTACACTGCTTAACAACCTCGCCGAGAGAGTTGTAAGCTCCAGACTCAGTCAGCAGGGCCTGGCAACATTCAACGGCCGGGTCGGCGTGAATAGTGTCCGACATGCCTATGTTATGCAGCAGGATATCCTGTTACCGACTCTAACCGTTCGAGAGACCTTGAGATATTCAGCCGACCTTCGACTGCCTTCGTCAACCAGTACTGAAGAACGCGAGAGGGTCGTCGAAGAAGTCATTCGTGAGCTTGGCCTCAAAGAGTGTGCCAACACTCGCATAGGAAATAGCCAACACCGTGGATGTTCCGGAGGTGAGAAGAGACGTGTGAGCATTGGTGTCCAGCTCTTGGCAAACCCATCCGTGCTATTCCTCGATGAGCCGACCACTGGTCTCGACGCAACAAGTGCATTCCAACTTGTACGAACCTTAAAATCATTGGCACAAAAGGGTAGAACCGTCATCACCACAATCCATCAGCCCCGATCAGAGATTTGGGATCTATTCGACAATCTGGCCATCTTGTCCAAGGGCAGCCCCGTATTCTCCGGACCCGTCTCTGAATGTCTCCCTTGGTTCAAGGAGCTTGGATATCAACTACCGCTTTTCGTCAACCCTGCAGAATTCGTCATTGACATTGCTGCCGTGGACAATCGCACCACTGAGCTAGAAGAAGAAACTTCAACTCGCCTCGAGAGACTGAAAGCGGCATGGAAGGTAGAAAGCGAAAGTCGATTTCCACCTATACAAGACATTGCCGTGATGGGGAAACGCAAGAAGCGCCCGCAGGCGGCGAGGCATGCAGGGTTCTTTCGCCAAGTACGAATCCTGACGGACCGGACTCTGAAAGTCACATACCGAGATCCTCTCGGCATGACGGCATCTCTGTTGGAAGCTGTCATCATGGGAGTTGTGGTTGGTTACTTGTTTTTCAATCTCGGCCGTGATCAGGCTGGTATTCGATCTCGCGAAGGCCTCCTCTATATCGCCACTGGTCTTCAAGGCTACTTGATTCTCATGTTCGAAACGTATCGCTTAACCATCGACATCCCAACATTCGATCGCGAGTCATCAGAGCACTGCGTCGATGCTGTACCGTATATCCTATCTCGGCGGTTGGCCCGTCTCATTACAGAGGATTTCCCGGTGCCATTCTTGTTTTCTCTCATCCTATATTTCATGGCTGGATTCGATCATAATGCCGAAAAATTCTTCACTTTCTTTAGTATCGGCTTTGTCAACCATTATGTTTGCGTCATGTGTGCTTTTACATGCGTGGTGGCGGTGAGGCACTTCCCTGGGGCCAGTTTGATTGCCAATTTTGCCTTCACAATGCAGAGTATGGCATGCGGTATGTTCATACAAAGTAATACTATCCCGGTTTACGTTCGGTGGCTGAAATGGATTACTTGGTCGGTGAGTAATTTTCCCTTCGGCTTTATGCATATTGCGATCAATCCTTGGAGAAAGTTGGGAGCTAACGATACCACAATAGTTTTATACCTTTGGAGCATACTGTGGAAATGAGTTCCAAGGAAGTTTTTACGACTGCCCTGAGTCGGGTGGCCCTTCAAATCCAGCCTGTCTTCAGTATACCGGAGAATTCATCATGTCTTCCCTTGGCTTCCCCAGAAATTGGGTTGCACGCCCTATTGTCTGTCTTGCATCATTTGTCGTCTTTTTCTTCATCTTATCAGCTATTGGGCTGCATTATATAAAAGTCGAAATGACCATTGCTCGATCACGAGTTTCAGATACAGACTTGTCAGCCGGAAAAGAGAAGATGACAGCACGATCTATTGCAGAAGTTCGGACCATTGATGTCGAGTTGGAAAACTTCTCTTTAGATCTCGATAAACGAGCATTAAATGGCAAGAAATTGCCACGCAAGAATATTCTTCAGCCTATAAATGTGAATTTTCAGGCTGGTACTCTGAATATCATTATGGGCCCGTCTGGAAGTGGGAAAACATCGCTTCTCAATTCAATGGCACTGCGACTGCGCAACTCGATTGGCACTCACTATCGTCCGTCTGGGAAAATGTCATTCAACGGCGCAGTTCCATCCGCTTCGGTTGTTCGATCTGTTTGCTCCTATGTCTGCCAAGATGACGATGCTCTTTTGCCCTCATTGACGGTTCGTGAGACGTTGCGATTTTCCGCTGCACTGCGACTGCCATCCTTTATGAGCAAAGAGGAAAAGTACCAACGCGCTGAGGAGGTGCTCATGAAGATGGGGTTGAAAGATTGTGCGGATAACCTGATAGGTAATGATTTGGTCAAAGGTATCTCAGGAGGAGAGAAGCGGAGGGTATCCATTGCTGTACAGGTTCTCACAGATCCTCGAATACTCCTCCTTGACGAGCCAACGTCTGGATTGGACGCGTTCACCGCGAGTTCGATAATGGAAGTTCTGCAGGGTCTTGCAAACGAAGGCAGAACGCTCATTCTTACCATTCATCAACCCCGATCAGATTTGTTCAAGCACTTTGGCAATGTACTGCTCCTCGCTCGTGGCGGCTCCCCAGCCTATGCTGGTCCTGCGAAGGATATGCTTAATTACTTTAGCAGGCAGGGGTACCAGTGTCCGCAACACTCAAACCCGGCGGACTTTGCCTTGGACATGATTACCGTCGATCTGCAACGAGATGATAGAGAGGCAGAGAGCAGGGAGCGAGTGGGAAAACTCATCGAGCACTGGAAGAAACACTCATCGGGAGAAGATATGTCTCGACTTCCGGGGATTATTGAGACCGATGAGATGGACGAAAAGAAGACATCCCATGATGATATCAACATAGTAGCGTCGAAAGAGTCGGAACGTCCACGTAAATCTTTCAATAAAGCCAATCTTTCAACGCCAGCAGAACTCGGCGCCCTTGTCCACGAACCAGCTTCCCTCACCACCGCCTTACCTTTACTCCTACATCGTGCCGCCATCAACACACGCCGCCAGCCTCAGCTCATCATGGCTCGCACGATGCAAGTGGTGGGATTGGCCATCATCTTCGCCCTCTTCTTTGCACCGCTGCATCATGACTACTATGCAGTGCAAAACTGGATGGGTTACATTCAGGAAGTCGGTGCCTTTTATTTTGTCGGAATGCTGCAGAACGTGGCCATCTATCCAACCGAACGAGATGTCTTTTATCGAGAAGACGACGATGGAGTGTATAGTGTTGATGCATTCTTGCTTTCTTATACAATCCTCGAAGTTCCCTTTGAGATTCTCAGCTGCTTGATTTTCGGCATCTTAATGTGTCTCGCTGTCGGTCTTCCCAGGACAGCAACCATGTATTTTGTCTCAGTATTTGGCTGTTTTGGTATAGTTTCATGTGGCGAAAGCCTTGGCATCATGTTCAATACTGTCGTCAGCCACATCGGTTTCGCAGTCAACATCATGGGTATGTTCCTCTCAATTGCTAACGCCATGGCTGGTATCCTTTCTATCGATGCTCCAAAGGCCTTCAAGGCGTTGAACTACCTCTCGCCTATCCAGTATTCTCTGCGCGCCATCGCCCCTTATGCCCTTCGCGATGAGAAATTCTACTGCAAACCGGAGCAGCTGCTTGCAGATGGTACGTGCCCAATTGAAACAGGTAAGCAAGTGCTTCAGCTGTATGATTTCGACGACAATCCGGTGGTGAACGTGGCAGCTTTGGCGGGATGCGTCGTTGTATATCGGCTGTTGGCCTGGCTTTTGCTGAAACTGGCGAGAGCACGATGGAGCAGCTCCAGGAAGTAGAGAGACGGAGAGAGAGATGTGCAACTTATTTTCTTCACTGTATATACTTGGAAGCAATCGCGTAGCACGATGTAGATACTGTAGATATAGTAGTAATTCTAAATTGATATCCGTATACCCGCGAACATGCACATGTCTCGGCCCCTCGTATCGATACAGGCCCATCTTTAATCCGCCATCGAACATTCCCGACGCCCGTCAGCATGCTCCAAACCGCACTCAGGACATTACGTTACTCCAACGTTGTCCTATTGAAAGCATTTCTCAATAGTGCATTCCAGAATCCATCGTCTTTCAGCCACAGCCTCTAGCAAAAATCGCATCATCGTATTACAACGTTACTGGCTGACGTCATGTCCACCCAGAGACACATCAGCGAATGATTATCCAGAACCCTCGCCTCCCTTGCGTCTCTCCAGCTGCTTCATTCAACCTCCACTACAAAGTTCGGTCAGGCGTCAAACATTTGGTAAAAATGTCTCAAAGCACAAGTGGTGCATAACGTGCACATATGTATGTAGAGTTCTGCGCTCTTTAGATGGTTCATTAATGGAATATTATTACTACCTCAACATTATACTCCCAAAACAAAATGTCAGCAAGGACGTTGCGCCATCAAAAACAAAAAAATCATCGCAGTCGTGTACAACATTGGTATGCCCAAGGTAAAAGATGCCCAGAACGCCCGCCCGCTACGCACCGAATTATGCCATCTATCTCTCTAGCCGTCCATGCATATGCCATACTCTCATCTTTCAAAATGCCTTGACAAAATCATAGAATCGTTTTTCATGTCGTTCAAAAAGTTCTCTTCTCGGTGATGGACTCGCCAAATGGCTTGCCCTCGATAAAGCCGTCGCCGGGAGCATTCAAATCAAACACCTTACGACCACGAAGCCACGTCTCCATAACGCGACCGGTAAATTCGTGGCCCTGCCAAGGTGAACAGCGGTTCTTCCAGCGCATGTCGCCCTGGGTAAAAGTCCAGGTGTGGGTGTCGTCGAAAACACAGATGTCAGCGTCCATGCCAACCTTCAGAGCGCCCTTGCGATGTGACAGACCAACCTGCTCGGCGGTCGCTTGGCAGCAGAGGCGAACCATGTCCGTGATGGTTGGCGCCTTGGAAGATTCGGAGCGCTTCTTGGCAGCGGTATGCAGAATAGGCAGACCAAGACCGACGGAAGAGATGCCACCCCAAGCAGCGAAGAAATCGCCACGGGCTATGGTCTTGCCAGCTACAGCGTCTTTGGGCCCATTGATGTCAATGGCAGAATCCGAATGAGGCATCGAGGGCCGCTCGAGGTGATCGGGAAGCAGTTTCAGCTGCGGAGTGCAAGGCGAGTGATCGGATACGACGGTCCGAATGCAAGAGTCGTCGGCCACCAGTTCTTCCCACAAACCATCTCGGTTGTTGGCCTCGCGGATAGGAGGGCAGCACTTGTGTCTGGTGTCACCCTTTTCGATCTCCTCCGCCGAAAGTCCTAGGTAATGGAAGCAGGTTTCGGCGGTGATGTTGATGCCCCTTTGGCGGGCCGCCTTGAGGATGGGGATCGCTTGCGTCGCCGACAGGTGTACAATATGCAAGTGCAGCGACGGAGCGATATGGGCGTGTGCAAGAATTTCCTCAATGGCATACGTTTCGAAAGAGGGTGGTCGTGACTCGAGGAATGTGCTGTAGGCGGTCAATTCGCCTTTGGGAGCGGCAGGAGGATCAGACGTCTGGACGGCGTCTCCAACCGAGTCGGTAATAGGGGGAATCATCTCGGCGTGGAACATCAGAGTGGTCGGCTCGTGCTTGAGAGTTTCCATGGCCAATGCAACATCTTTGGCTGACACGGCAGGAAACTCGTCAACGCCGGACTCAATAAGAAAGCCCTTGAATCCTCTAACGCCGGCCTCGACGAGTGGCTTCAGCTCGTCTGAATTTCCGGGAATGACTCCGCCGTAGAAGCCTACGTCTACCCAGCACTGGCCGCGGCTGGCCTTGAGCTTCTCCTCGAATCCTTGGAGAGTAGTTGTTGGAGGGATGGCATTGAGCGGCATGTCAATGACTGTGGTGACGCCGCCGCTCGCCGCCGCTCGGGTACCGGTCCAGAATCCCTCCCATTCGGTGCGGCCAGGCTCATTCAGGTGGACATGGGCATCCACGAGGCCGGGAAGCAACAGCTTGGGAGAGTGGTCTACATAGGTAGCGCTGGGAGGGAAGGCGGAGGCAGGGAGGATCTCCGGCACAACAGAGACAATCTTGCCGAGCTCGGGGGATACGCATATGGTGGCCGGAGAGATGACGAGGGAGTTATCCGGAAGTGTGAGGACTGCTCGAGTCGAGACGAGCACGTTGAGAGGTCCGACGTTGGAGGTGTGAGTAACGGTCATCGTGAGGACTACAGACCGTGGGGATCCTTGAGGGCGCTGCGGTCGTGGGGGTTAGGCGAGATGGGCTCTTGGGAGCGAGACACCGCTACTTCTAAGAGGCCTTCACGACGAGAAACAGTAACACGAGGCGCGCAGCCAGAGTACGATAACTTCACGAACTACTGATGGAGAGGAGAAGCAAGAGGAAATACGAAATAAGAAGAAAAGGAGAGGAGAGGAGAGAAGGAGGTGGCCTGCGTGAGGCAACCGCATCGTCGGCCGGGCCCGATGACACTCCTGAAGCAGTCTAGGCCATCTGGTGGATAGTGGCGGGCTGGCCTTATCTCAAGTCGCGATGATACGGGGCGAGCGGTAGATAAGAGTGGCTAAGTGGCCGGAGATGTTGGTATTGCACGGTCTCAACCTGGGATTCGGTCTATCTACCGGCCAACTAACTCGCTGTTTCCTCCTGCGGCAGGTCTCCTAGCGCAACTGCAAAATTTTCACTCCATAGCGGCAAAAAGCGAAACGGAAAAAAAAAAAATTATAAAAAATGAAGGGATTCGCAAAGTCCGAAGATCACTAACAATCAGAGAGAAGGCAAAGGAAAAAAACCGAAGGCCCACCCTTATCGGCCTCGCCCGATGGGCCAGAGCAGCCAGGACAAAGATCGGATCGCATGGCCATGGGTGGCAGGCTGCGGTTGCGCGCGGCCAATCAGCATTCGATCGAGTAAGAGTTACTCGACCGGCGCCAACAATCGCGAAAAAAACTGAACGACTTCGGCGGAGTCGGGATTGACGATAAGCGAGAGCACGGCTATCAAAGGCGTTATCAGCGGTGGAGCTCAGGGTCTTCCGGATGTCGGGGCTTGCGCCACAGGAGAATGGCGGCGTGGCTGAATATCAGCTCTATTACGGAGTACATTCAGTGGTTGATATTTCGGATAAATGGACCGTATAGCCGAGCGTGGCACGATTCCACAAGAAGAGGAAAAAGAGGGGATTCCACATGCGCGACACTCGCCTTGCCTCAACTAGGAGTAGCTGCGCCTATTGTAAGTGCATTTCATATACCACCGGCGTAGTACTTCGTATTGGATATTCAACTCTGTCGCTCCGGATGGAGTATAAGAGATAGAACAGAGCATCTTCATACCAACGATCTGATCCCCAACAGTTTGATGCAGCTCAGGAACAAAGCACACACTCATGCTATCTATCTAACCTGTATCGGTTTGAAGCCCTGTGAAAGAGTAAATGCGCAAGGCCTAACATATTCACGCAAAGCCGCGCATAAAGCACAGTTCGCTAAACCATATCATATCCTCACTGCACACCCAATGACCGCCGACCGTCTGTCGTATTCTTGTCGAATCGTCTTTCAGCTCAGCTCTCTCCCCTCTGTTACCCCATGGCCTCAAGATACGAGGTTGTGAGACAGCTCGCAGTGTTTCCCGGTCGAAAGTTAAAGGCCTGTCTGAGCATAACCTACGGTTGATGTAAGGGAGATTTTTGACAAGCCCCGCTCAAAACAATGTGTCAATAAAAGGAAAAGAAAAGAAGCATGTGAGGGAATCGCTTAGGCAGCATATGAAAAGCAGGCTGAGGCTGATTCGCTTGCTGCAGCTAACTTACTACTACTACCGCGCCAACCAGCTTGATCCCCTGGAAGGCCCATACACTCTCTGAGAGACTCAGAGATTGGATTAGTCTTTTCTGTCCCACACCCGTTAATGTATGTTTTAGTCAAGCCAGGTTACTGAACTTGCTCGGATGATATCCTATTTGCTTTCCCCCTTCCCCACACGAGAGAGGAGTGGGAAGCCACTTCACGGTAGCAAGTGCTTCTGAATGAATTAAATTCACACAAGAGAGACGTACATTACTGAGTAATATATCGTATAGCAATAAGTTCTACTGACGGTGTAGACAATTATTGACGACGCATGAATATGCATATATGCTAGGAATGACTGCTATTGATTGCCACTAGAGGCTGAATCTTTTGTGCCTATTTTCTCGCACCAGCGCTACTTATAGGTACTCGCTACAAGAGTTACCAAGGAGAAAGTTACGCTTGTATTGTCGATGACGAACCAGAGCGGTCCGCTCAACTATGAAGCACCAGCCCCCCGACAAACTATGTTACAGCCCGTGTATTTGTCCAAAGGGATGTCTCCCGGGCTATACATGTTCAAAGCTGTCACCGAAGAACGCTTTTATTGGCCAATAAAGAGACCGGGGAACTCAAACGTGACAGCTATTCAGATGTAAATGAGGCTTGTGCAAGTGGTCGTGTCTCAAACTGACAAATATCTGTCACATGTGAACAAGATATGGAAACAAAATAGCGCCAAATATGTATCTTGCTTCAACTGAACTGTCTTGGGCTGACCAGGCAGAGACAAATACTAATGCTTTTGCAGGAATTTATCTTGACCTCTCAACACATTAGTGCCGCTGCAACTGTCTTGTTATTTCCTAACTCTGGTCGACCACTGTAGGAACCTCGACCGACATTGAAGCTGAAGTCCTAGGCTGCTCATCTTTTCTTAACCTTTTGGGCAGATCTATACACATCTCCTCGTAACCTCGTTCAACGACATCAAACTATTCCCATATATCCGAATGACGCCTAGAGAGCCTGGCTGTGGTTGAAACAATGAGGTGATTCTGTCAGTTGTTTGCTACGTGAATTGCGTGAATATGCTTAACTCACGCTGATTCCATATCCAGCCTAGCAATGACTATGTCTTGGCTGCGGCCATTACTATTCCTTGGCTTGGGTGCCTTCTGAGACATGGATCTGACCGTCTAGTTAAGATGTCTCTCATTTACGACTCACGCTCTCTATAGTGACACTATTGGACCCTTGCTCTCTTTTTACCCCTCCTGGAACGACTGATGAATGGCAAGGCTCGCTATCTCAATTGTACGCTGACAGTTTCCTACACGAGTAAACTGAGATGTCACTTATCCCAAAGAGGAGCACAGCATCTAATAATCTCAAGTGCGAGATATATGACAATGATAAAAACTCTTCATATAGCTCTCTTAACGAACAAGCTACTAGCCAGATGTTGTATCAGCATTTATCATGCGTGGCCAGCCCAGTTCACCGTTTCCAGCAGCCGGGGAGGAAAGGAGGGGGAGGAGCAATTAGACTTGCTTTTGTTTTTACAACCCCAGGCCCCAAATAAAACAACGCAAAGCGACTAGTGACAACGATAGCCGCCGCCCCCGATCGCAGCTAAATTAGCAGCATGTTCCATCACAGCAACCCACTTTGGAGGTGCCCCAAACATAATTGTGACAGGTCCAACGTGCCGCATAACGCGCCCCGGAAAGCTGGGGCCTGTCGTTTGATGTCAGAGGTCTCACTGGTTGAGCCAATGTGTATTTCCCCTCGAGGAGGGGGAAGTGATCGCTGGGATGCATGAAGAGAGTGAGTGACTGATTGATGCTCCTCAGAACATGTTAAATACCCCGAGAGTTCCTGCGTTTGAGAGCAACTTCTTTCCTCAGAGCACTCATCTTTTTTCATACATACACATCTCTCGTCTACTCCATCCTCTCATCTTGATTCAAGCAAACAGTCATTCACCTCTGCCACATTCTCTCGCGGATAATCCCACACTGCAACCGTCACATCTCAGACTCTCCCACTTCAACCAACAATGTGTCCAGACCACACGGATGTCCGCCCCTTCAACGAGCAAGAGACCGACGTCGTGCTGCAAAGCACCCTCCGAGGCCCCTTCCACAGCCCTCCCGTTCCCGCAGAAATGCTCGACGCCATGTCGCCAACGTCCTACGCCTCACCCAACTCCCAGGTGTTTCCCAACCTCGCCATTGGATCGCCCGGCCTATGGACGGCCGAGAATTCTCCCCACGCGGCCATATTCCCGTACATGATGAACGAGGCCGGGGAGCATCTGCCCATCTCTCAGTACACAAACTGCAGGGCCGATGCTGGCGTGGACCAGATCAACGGCTTCGTCTTCGTCTGTGACACTGGCGTGGAGGAGCTGCAGAGCCCTCAGGGACGCTACCTTTACAAGGACTGCAAGAAATACGGCTCAGGAGCTCAGGTCAACGGCGTTGAGATTGTGGTGCACGGCTCCATCAGGAGAGCTCCAGCACCGCCCGCCCTTCCCGGCCGATGGGATGGGATGGATATGCTCACTGCAGAAGGCAGAGATGTCAAGGGGGCATATCGGAATCAAATTAACGGGGGGAGGATCCGGCCGATGAAGAGGGCCGATATGGGGATGCCATCTGGCAGTGCCCACTGAGGCAATAGTGGTTCGGTTTGGTTCATTGATGTGAATGGGGGTTTGTTGTCTCCGATTTAAAGAAGGGGCCTTTTGCATTTTGCCGGCCAGTCTCGTTGAATCTTTTTTTTTTTTCCTATTTTATATTTATATGGTTATTTGACTTTGATTCTATTTGAGATAGTAATATAGAGCTTGTTCTGTGTTTATCTGGGTCATTTCAAGTAGGCAGGCCAAATTGATTGTTTTTGCTTTGAGCCATGAGCTCTATAAATTCCATGCCGCCGTCAACCATGTTCATAAAGTATATGCCTTCTCGGTGCTCAAGTTGCAACTCATGCCCAAAAATCGCATCATACGTGAAACTGTCCTTTCAGGCATCCTCCACGTAGTAATAAGGCACAGATACTACATGCATGTATGCGCTTCCAATCACGATATACCACGTCGTCTCTCCACATGTTCTCTATAGGAGATGGACAGACAAACGAGCATGAGAATAAGCAAATGGGACGTTTTATTGCAGTAGACACCGCTTTCAATTCAATGCTCCTCTACTCCAATCCAACCCGTCCACCCCCAAGTTGCCCACTTCAGGCAGCCATCCATGAGAATATCCAATCGCAATGTTTATTTTAGTTTCTCCTCTCGTGTTGCACAACTTTTGTCTACACTTTTTTTTTGTCTCTCGTTAACTTTTCTTCTTTTTTTTTTTTTTTTTGTCTCCCACCTTCTAAACAAATAATCGACCTTTTTCTATCAACATCTGCATACGTGCGTACTCCATAGATAAAATGATCTCCTTTTTTTTTGTTTCCCTTTCCTGTCTCCAGAATAAAAAAATGTAATAAAGGCGGAAAATGACTCTTCTTAGTTAAACACCGTACCAGATCCCCTCTTTTCGGCCAACCTTTTGTCCTCTTTTTTGGTCTTTCTCTCATTACACGTTTTTCTCCGCCCAGTGAGTGGAATAGTGGTACAAGGCGCCGTATCAATAGTGCGCTCTCTTCGTGATGCATGCTATATCAGTATTGTGGTTGAGTGTGGTTTACCCTTAATGCTCTTGAAATTGGTTATTTCTGGCGCTGAATCGTCTTGTGAGCCATTTCAATGAGTCCATCCTTGGCCTCGCTATCGGGGAAGTCGGCAATGGCAGCAATCGCTTTCTCAGAGTAATCATAAGCGAGAGCTCGGGTCTGCTCAATACCGTCGCTCTGAAGCACCAATTGGCGAGCCTATAAATCATGTCAGGTTATGGAATTTAACTTGATATGTACGATAGGCTATATAAGCAACTTACCCTTTCAACGTCACCCTCTTGGGCAAACTTGCGCCCAACGAGAGCACCAAGCTCCGGCATCTGCTTCCAGGCAAACAGCAGGGGTGCTGTCGCCAGACCCAGCTCCAGATCCGCTCCACTGGGCTTTCCCAAGTCTTTGCCGGTCCGGGTGTAGTCCAGCATATCATCGACAAGCTGGAAAGCCAGGCCCAAGTTGCGTCCATACGAATAGGCAGCCTCAACGGTGTGCTGGTCAGCGTTGCCCAAAAGCGCAGCTGCTCGGCAAGACTTGGAAATAAGACTGGCAGTCTTGAGGTACGTCTTCTGCAAGTAGTAGCTCAGGGTCTCTTCCGACCACTTGGGGCTGCGCTCATCGCGCTCCGTGTTCTTCAGTTGCATGAACTCGCCCTCAACCAGGTTGGCGATGACAGTAGCCAGCAGCTCCACAACCTCGGCGTTACGTAGTCGTGCCAGCGCAACAGAGGCCCTGCCCAGGAGGAAATCACCCGCCAGCACAGCCATCTTGTTGCCAAACTCCAGGTTGGCCGACGGCGCACCGCGCCTTGAAACAGAGTGGTCGATAACATCGTCGTGCAGCAGAGATGCAGTGTGGATCAGCTCCGTGATTTCTGCGAGCCGTCTCTGGCTCGGGAGGATATCGAGGTTTGCCGACTCGGCCAATTCGTTCTCGTACGATGTTGTGCTTGACATTGGGTTGACATCGCTGAGAATCTGCAGCGGGGATAGTGACGTATCAATTCCCCTTGACGTCTCGGGAGCGGCATGGAGAGGGCTCTTGGGGCACAGATGCGTGGCCCGCGACATGAGCAGGACGATGAGCGGCCGAACATGCTTGCCCTCGGCTTGCGTGTAGTACTTTGCGACTCGGTCGAGGGCGGGGTGGCCTGATCCCAGCAGCTTGCGGATGTTGCCCGTCAGAAACTTCATCTCTTTGGCGACAGTTCGCAGAGGGTCAATCGTCATGGTATCCTTGGCCGCTCGCTTGGCAACATTGCCCACCATGTTGGAGGCCACCTGGACGGCGGCAGCCCATGCTGAGTTTCGGTTCGCGCTCGAGTGCAGCGCGGCTTGCTGTGCGCCCAGGACCCTCAGGCCAGAGCTCGAAATCATGGGTCGCTGGCAGAGAATGCAGGTCGATGCTCCCATTCGGCCGGCGACTGCATCGCGCAGCGCCGCCGAAGCTCCCGCACGGAGCTTCATCTGCGAACAGATCAGGTTGCGGCAATCGAGGGAGGCGGCGGATGCTGGCGGGAAGGTCCTGATTGCGGCGACTCGCACAGTGTCTCACAGCGTTCGAGACGCTAATTGAGAGAAATCGAGGATTGGTGAAGGGCCGCAAAGTCGTGCGGTTCAATCGGCCGTTGAGATGAGGAGATTCCTTCGTCTGGTGTTTTGAGCGCCCGTCCAGCTCGAATCCAGCCTTCCGAAACTTTTGCGCAGCCGTTTGGCGGGACTTTCTGATGGAGCTGAGGGGCTGAACCGGGACCGGTCGCAGCTGGTCATTGGCCGGTGGCCTTCAGCGCCGCACGCCTGGGCCTACAGGGGCCTCGAAGCCCTGTAATGCTACTGCACAACAGCGCTGTAGCTGTCCTCTAGCGCTCCGTAAAGCTCCGGAACGCCCGCCTTGCGTCCTGAGGCCTTGGCGAACCGATAGCCTATTGAAGCTTCCACCTGCAAGCGGCCGCGCCCCACTTATGGCCGAGCTGCGTATCCGTTGGGCTCATGGATTGAGCCGACCAATCTACAGACACCATAAAGAAAGAGCAACGCTCTCCAGGCCATCATGGTGCTTTTAACAATGACGCCGTCCATTGTGGACGCATTAAAGGAGGTGGAAGAGCCGCACAAAGCAGACGACCAGGGCACAGCAGACGAATACAGCAACGAGGCAAGCCGGGATCAGAGCAATGACGCAGCTTCATCATCGACAGAGCCAGCCGTTGGCAACCCCATTTCCCACAGCGATATAGTCGGCCTTTACAGGAGGCTCAGGGCTACAGAGGCTTCAGAGCCCAAATATAGTCTAGAGCAGCTGCTTCAAGGATCTCACGTCTACATCCCTCCTCCGCCACCAAAACCAGAGCCGGTGAGTTTCAATTCCGAGCCATGTAAACCAAGACCAACCACCAATATGCTGACAATTGCCTTTTCATCACTAGTCTGAAGAATACAAAGCTCTCATGGCCCGGCTTCGCCGCGAAGAAGATGCCCGCGCCTACGAACGCATGGTCAATCCACCGCCTCCCCTCGAGACATTCCAAAACCGATTTCCCAACGCCGCCCATGCCTTTGCAGAGGCCAACCGACCTTCCAAAGCAGAAGACCTTGGCGACGACGAAATTACATACAACGAGGTGCAGCGTCAAGTAATGCTCATCATCAATTTCCTCGTCAGCATTGTTGGAGTTGCGGCTACGTTATGGATTGCCGGCCGGTGGTGGAGCCTATCGTCTCGAGTGTTCTTGACGCTTGGCGGCAGCATAGTGGTTGCCATCGCGGAAGTGGCTGTCTATTCAAGCTACATGTGGAGGATGGGAGAGGCGAAGAGTAAACAAGGTGCTGTCAAAGAGATCAAAGAAGTGGTCCAGTCCTGGGTTGTGGGACAGGAAGGAGATGATGGCGGTGACAAGAGTGTCTTGTTACGGAGCAAAGGCGAAGAGGACGAATCAGTAAGGAGAAGGATACCGACGGTCTCGGCAACAGAAGGCCCAGAGTCTTGATATTTTCGTTGTATGCATATTATTTGTACACTATTTACAAGCGTTTTGTTAATTCATCCATCTGTATACATTTGTACTTTTGGCCTTGTGATGTTTGCGTTGTGCCTTAACCGCAGACTCGAGTTGTCGCTACTCCTAGTATAAGCTGTCAGTCGGAAAACACTCCACCTTCAGAATGCAATACAGCGATTTCATTAATTCTTTGTAAGCCTACTTTAGCTACAAAGTAACTTTTTCAGAGCTTAGACTCTTCCTACTAGTAGTAGTACTAGCAGGATAGAGCAGAGCCAAAGCTCTCAACGGTGAACTGCAGAGAAAGTGGATGCATGTGACATCGCGTAAAGTGTTCGCCGTCGCGTCTCGACGCGTCTGCGTGGGGCCAATTCTCGAGAACTGCCGTGAGCTCTGGGCCTCTATTTTGTGTTACTATTTTTCCAGCGCTCCCTTAAGCCAACATCTTACATTTTCAGGATCCTCGCTAGCCCTGTGCTATATCTCAAAGCAATACGATCATATTTTTTTTTTTTTTTTTTTTTCTGTATTCGCAATTCTTGGATGCCGGTTTTTTTTCTATTGAATGACACTTAATTTTATCATTGAGAATCCGAGTCACACGTGCGAGTTCGTTTTGGAGCAGCCATGGTGAATTCCTCGCCCGAGTTTTCAATGTCAGTCTTTTTGTTTAAAAAAAAAAAATTCATCACCAGAATTTCCATTAATTAAATACACATTTTTTGCTTACCGAAGATTCATTCAGAACCAAGCCAGGACTACATCACCTCCGCAAAAGAGACAAGCCACTCCGTACATACGGCAGACAAACATCAACGCCAGAGGCGCAAAGTGAGCCACTGTCTAAAAAAGCACGGTTATCAGCACCACGAGAGGAGCAACAGCAGCGACGGGACAAGTCTACGCCACCTGATGGCGTCACAAAGTCCAACGATAATACGACGGCAGCAGGCGCATCAGAGGCAGCTCATGAGCAAGATACCTCAGCTCAGAACAACAAGACCGATAAAACTGGCGAGTCTCTTAAAAGGGGATCCATCCTGAGCTACTTCAAGCCAGCTTTACAAATCCCCAAGGCCGCAGCGCCATCGCAACAGCCGCAAGATTCACCCCCCGAGGAAGAACCCGCTCCTTCTCCGCAGTCATCTCTGAAACCAAAACAGCCCGCAAAACGAAAACCTCGACTCCTCAAAATTAAAGCCACCACCATACACGAACCATCCGATCAATCATCATCATCATCTTCATCACAAGAGACAGACAATCACGCCCCTCCCAAACGCCGCGGCCGCCCTCCTCTCAAAAGCACAATCTCCAATGCCCCCGCCGTCACACCGGAAGCGACATCATCAAACAAAGATACCATCAGCTCATCCTCCTCCTCATCGCCATCACCAACAGAGAAACCCACCACCAAGCCGAAAAAGAAACCGTCCCCGCCCTCTATTCAGACCACGCTCAACATCTCCGCCCAGGCCGCCTTCTCGGAATGCAAAATCTGCAATACCGTCTGGAATCCTCTCTATCCGGATGATGTGAAATATCATACTAAGACGCACAAGGCCGTTTTGAGGGCGGAGAAGAAGCGGAAAATGGACGAGTTATGATGTACACACAAAGGCTTTGAAGTCTTAAGGCATACACAACTAGCATACGGGAGAGCGATTGATATGTATTTCCTTTTTTTTTTTTTTTTTTTTTTTTTTCTAAATTTGCAATGTATGGGGATAAAAAGCGACGTTAGACTGGTAAAGAGTAATATTTCATACCTAGGTAGGTAGAGGTATTATGGAATAGGCCATAGAGATATCTTTTAAGATTTCACGATACCACTCCAGTTACATAAGAAATATTTTTTTAACTCATATATCAATTCAACATCCCATCAGAACTCATAACACCTAACTTAGCCCCCCTCTCGCTCATTAATAGTAGATATACACATCACAAACTGCCCCATTCACTCTTCACAGGATATCATATAAAAATGGAAAAGAAAACTCCTCGCTCCTTCACTCAGTCTGCCTCTGAAATCTTTGACCACTCCCAACCTCCGTCCACATACTAAGCAGCCGCAGATTTCTCTTCCGACGTCACGCCCGTAATGCCAACTTCCTGCGCTTGGTGCTTCTCGGCCGACGAAGTCGTTGCAACAGGCGACTTTGGTTCAGTAACCTCCGACTTGGCTCCAGCGACGGCAGCAACCGCGGCTCCTCCGGCCGCTGCGCCTGCCGGAGCGGTCATGGTAGGCGAGGTCGCCGTCACAGGGGATGTAGGAGCCGAGCCAGCCGCTACGGTAGTAGACCCGATGAGGCCGTGGATGACCTGGAACCATCTCTGGGCATCGGCAGGGGTGTGAGCCTTGAAGTTCAGCTCGGAGCTGCCAGTGAGCTTGCTGCTCAGCGTGCCACTCTTATCCTTGCCCTTGATGGTGAATTTGTCGCCGGTAGGACTTCCAATAACAGCATCGGGGAGGTAAAGAGACAGTTCGGGCTTGGGATCGGTGCGAGTATCGTCCGAGTCCTTGAATTCGTGCAAGAACTTGGAAGGCGTAACCACATAGTAGCCGGTCGAGTAGCCAAACGACAGCTTATTGCGCGACTTACGCTCCAGTGACCCCTCAATCAGCGTCTTTGTCGAGGCGTGCTCCATGTTAGGGAACTGAATGGCCTCAACAGAGCGCGGGGGGTCGTTAGCGTCGACGAGTCTGTCCGCGAAGCGCTGCGAGAAGTTTGCCCACTCAAACTCGCGCGGGATGCACTGGACCGTGCCGAGCATGTCATTGTGCAGCGCGCGGATCTTCTCTCCCTGACCGCCGGCGAGCTGCGTGAACGCCTCCATGGCCTGCTGGACGACCTCGAGGACGTGCGACTCGAACGTGCGGAAGTTGTTCTGCACAGAGACGAGGTCGTTGTGGTGGTTGTTCTCGGCAATGACCTGATTGTTCAGGCGGTGCGTCACGCCGCGGCGAACGACGTACGGATCGTCGTGGGAGTCGATCTTTGCGCCGTGGGAGTCGAACGCAGCGGCCCGCTGGCCGAGCAGCTCAATGTGCTTCTGCGTCACATTGCGCAGCTTCTCGACCTCCTTGGCCCCCGCCTGCGCGCCGCTGGCGAGTTCCTTGGCCTTGTGCTTAATTTCCTTGTGCAGACGGTCGAGGATGGGCAGGACGGAGCCCTTGATGCTCTTCTCGGTCTCCAGGTTGGAGTTGATCATGGCTTGGGTATTAGTGCGCATGTTTTCGAAGAAGCCGGCCACACCCCCGAGGCTCTGGTCGAAGTGGTGGCCCTCACGGAGCGGGTTCGAGATGGTCTGCTCAGATATTCACCATGTCAGTGGCCTGCGCAAGGAAGAATCAAACCGGAATCAGGGGCTCATCGCGCACCTTTAGGACCTTCTCGTACTCCTTTGCCTGGCGGCCGTGAATTTTTTCCACCGCCTCGACATATTCCTCGAGGTATCCCACCATGTGTTTCCATGCCTGCAAGCGCTCTGCAAGCAATCCAGAGGTCTACCAATTTGCGAAACAAAAAGAAGAATGTTAGCCACAAGTTCTCACGTCATTGCATTAATTCAAGGTCTCCTCCCCGCCATGCATTATGCTCATGCTGCGCCACGTACAGTATTGGGATCCGCCTCGGGAATAGCACCATCGCTCAATCCCGTCGTAGCACGCGACGGCAGCGCAGTGGTAGTTGGCGAAGCAGCAGCGGCCATCGTGTAAACAGAGAAACGACTGTTTCGAGTTTTAGTTTGGAGCTCTTCCGGCTGAGTTTAAAAGGGGGGTATATCGTGGAGTCCGCGCAAAAGGAAAAAAGAAATGAATAGAAGGCAAAGAAGAATGAGAGAATACAGGAATTAAAAAATATGGACTCAAAAATACAGGGCTCGATCTTCTAGGTTCCCCAGATGTAGAATCAGGAGAAGTTGAAAAAGTGAGAAGATATAGCAAGGAGCGCAAGCTGAGGAGATCAAATTAGAGCAAAAGGAGCGTCACCGATCTGGTTTTGGCTTGGCTTGGGAGGTTGCAGTCAATGAGGGACAAGATGCGTGGACAGAGTCGCCGTTGATTGGCCTGCTCGTCTTTGGGATGCCACCTCCCTAGTCACACATGTTAACTGCAATGGCGTTAGCCGGGAGGGTCCTCCACGGCGTTGCAGTAGGAACGTTCTTAAAATCGGGCCATTGAAGAAAAAAAGCAGAGATAGAGCCGCCACCGGGCTGCTAGCGCCCATGTGTTTTAGCAGCTTTGGCGGTGATCATGGTCGTACATCACAGTGTTTCGGTTCAGATGATGTAAGTGCCTACACAGTCATTGCCTACTGACTTGCCATCACTCAGTTAGTTTTGCCGCCTGTGGTTTTCTCTCCCCACAAAGCCACCATGCAGGCAAAACGAAGGTCATCGTGTCACTTTTCTGCAGAGTGGGGGGTTTGCAACTTATTCGTGGTAACTTTGCTGGGGTTAGGGGGATACGAAGCACAGGTACGAGACTCTCCGTACTCGTATTTGCCATTGACTCAACTCTTCCAGCGCCTCTTGTCGCTTTTTTCTTCAAAACAATGAGCTTTCTTCTATCAAGATGCTGCATGTTCCAGGCCCCCTCCAAATCTTGATTTACGGCCTCTAGCTCAAATAGTCCAGAGACTTAGTCTCAGTCGTGACGTAATGGGTACAAGCCAAAGTTTGTCTCAGAGGACCCTTTTCTTGCCCCGCCAAGTCGGGTGCCAAAAGTGACGCTCTGCAACGACTCAAGCATCGTGGAACTCGATCAGCTTGCGCAACATATGTACATCGTTGCAACCGCAGCCTGTTGATTGCGTCAGACACAGTGCAGTAACCTCATCCGCCCAATGAGAGGCAAGACGGCCAATTAGCATTACTAGTCCCCTGCATAAGTAGAGTTTTGCCCCTGGACAATAAGAGGCTGACGCCTCATCCAAAGTAAAAACGTAGCTTGTGGGGTAAGCCGTACGAAACACTGTCACTCAGCATGGATTGATTGATTGCGAGGAAGATGGAAATGCTCTCGGCAGAGATAATATTGAATACATCAGCCTCCTCACCATTGCTGTATTGAAAGCTTATGGGTATTTTCGTCATACAATAGTCCCCAGCCAATTCGCCAGTACAATATCCGTATATCTAGAAGGAAAAAAGAGAAAGAAAGAAAAAATAGAACAGAGAAAAAGAAAAACAAAAAAGCGATGATACCCTCTAAACCGCTGAAAGCCCAAGTCTATGTGCTGTATCCTGAATTCCAACTTGTAATCGCTGACGCCTGAATAAACAATCCGACCGACCGTGTGAAACCCGCCCAAAAGGAATAAAGTAGAGTATAGAACAAAAGCAGTTGCTTGACTTTAAACAGTTCTGAAAATGAGAAAGTATGATTAAATCGCTTCGTGGTGCAAAATTGTATATTGTCAAAGAGATTTACTCTGCGACAGTCTGGTCTCTGGCGCGGAAGAGAAGAGATCTCCTGTGCGACGTTGTGTCATCCGAGTGAGATCGGGCCATGGGGGGCGATAAAGCTCTGGCAACATGTTGCAAATGCCCCTCGCCGGTTGTGTGCTCGGTTATAGTCGATAGAGTGTCATTGCCGTTGCTGGGCTCAAGATTTGGCGGTGTCCGAGGAGCGCTCAGAGCCGTTTGGTAGTCGGGAACAAAGGCGCTTGTCTGGGTGCGAGATCGTGCAGGTGTCTTGACTGCTGTCGAATAACTTGGCACTCGGTTCAGCTCGGCGAATTCTGCAACGTCTACCTGAGCCCGCTCCCCTGAGCTCCTGGCGCTGGATTCTTCTTCTTCGCTGTTCGTTCGGCTCAGGTGAGCTGGGGTTTGAGAATTTTGAGATGCATGGCTTGATCCGTGCGTAGGTGAGGCTCTGCCGGACGCATTATGGACGGATTGATATGAGCTGTTTCGCTGCGATGGATCTAGCGAGACGTCTGCCAGCCTAGACGAAAGCGCAGCTGGCGTTATAGCCGCGCTGAGAGAAAATGCTGCCAGGTTTTCGGAGGAGCCCGTCCGGGAGTGTCCATAAAAGGGGCTGTTGAATCCAGAATGGACGGCTGGTGTCTGAAACCCGGTTACATCCACTTCATCGTAAAGCTGGTCGAGTACGTGTTCGCCATATCCGGGAGGCGCAATTGATCCAAGGTCCTGTTCAAGGGTCGCGCCTCCGGGAGCTTGGTTAACCAGGTTGCCTTGCTCGTCGAATGGAATGTTGGGTGAGATAAAGATAGAAACCGGGAGAGTCGCTCGTAGCTATTGTGCGCATTAGCCAATGTCTCACCTTGCCGAAAACCCACAGCCCCATCGCCGTGAAACACTCACCTCAGAAATATGTCCGTCCGGGTTCTTGAGAGCGACAGTGAGCTTAATCTTATGTCTTACTCTGATGCCATGGTGATTCAGATCCTGGATACACTGGCGCAGTTTCTTGGGCAGCTCAAGCGGTTTGGTCAGCAACCAGCCCTCCTGTCCACTGTCTTCAATCATGTCATGCCAATGCTCCTCGCGGTCCACTGCAAACTTCCAAGATGCAACGTCTCGCTCTGTTCGGTGTTCTCGCATGTTGAGGCCAGTAGCTCCTTGGATGAAGCAGTCTCGTATCTCGACCATTTTGGCAGTGATGTCTCCCAATTCCAGACCCTTTAGTAGCGGGGTAAATCGCATCTCCATGTTAATGGTGCCGCCAAAGACTACGGCCTTTTGGGGGATGACAATGGAGTATTCAATCTTGTTGGGCCAGATGTTCTCGACGCTCATTGCGTGCAGGAATTCAAGCGCGCCAGGCTCGAGTGTTCGGATGATGCGGAGGTGCTTGTAAGCGTGCAGGTCATAGGCAAATTTGCCGCGGCTGACGGTGGCCTTGAGTCGATATGTGATGGATGCTTCGGGGATGCCCTCGACACTTTCGGCAGTGTCTCCAGGTAGAGTATATTCGAACGGATATTCATAGTTTCCGGCGGGGAGCGTCATGCTCTTGCCGTGCGTGCCGACAAAGGCTGGCCATCTGTGGTCGAGGATGTTGACCGTTCGGTCGACTCTCTGGCCCGTCACACCGGGTGTGCTAGATCCGGGATCAGACCAACTGTGAAAACGGATGATAAAGTTAGAAATTATACACACTGATAAGGTGAATGGTGGGCTGAGGTTCCATACTGCAGGCGGAGGGTTCCAATCAGACGTAGATGGACGTCCTCCATGCGAAGTGGTGAAGACAGGCATAGTACCACGACGCCTTTGAGGAGCTGTCCAGAGGACTCCTGGTCGTTGCCACGGAAAACGATGAAATCATCGTCTAACCTAAGAATCAAGCAGAGTTAATAGGCTGAAAGGCGTAGAAGGAATTGGCATAAGGTAGTGGGCATATTCCCAACATGCCAAATGGTGGTTGCGCCAGAGCTATAAGGATAAGATAAAACTCACCTAACATCGAATAGGCTGTAGCTATGACGTCCTGTCACCGCGTTGAAGGGATTAAACGAAGGCATGGTTTAGGGCTGCAAGACCGCAACAGGATAACAGCGGCCAAGAAAACAACCCAAGGTCGGGGAAAAACAAATAACAACAGAGATGGTATGAAGGAAGAAAAAGAGTAAGACAGAGGAAAAATCCAAGCGAGAATCAATAAGAGGTGGAAACGCCGAAAGCGCAGACAAGACGATCGTTGGCACTAGGATTCAATGGGCTGACCTGCCACGCGCCGCTGCGCTACCACCCAGACGGTTTTTTTTTTTTTTCCTTGCTTCCTTTTTTCCTTTCCCTCGCCTCTGACACACACACCCAGAGCTGAGCGACCCACGACTTCTCCGTGCAAAAAAAACTCCCAAGTCGCTTCGGTTTCGGTCCTATGCCACCGAGAGCGCCTAAACTTGATAGCAGTGGGGCTAGATAAACGCCTCAGCCAGGGAATAACAGAGGGTCTTCCGTCAAGAGCCGGTGCGGTTGTTGGCCTCGCAGCTAGTTGCCCGGCTAGTGGATCCAAAGAATGCGAGTGAGAGGGACTGTGATCGGATGGCGCAATGCAGGGGGGTCTGAGACAAGCGTGAAGAAGCTGATGTTGAGGACGGATAAGAGAGGATTGAGTGGTGATTTGTGCGAAGCAGGTGAGTGTATATGAGAGAAGAATGTTGCGTGAGAGACGAAAGGAGGAAACAAGTCCAGATCCGGAAGAGAAAGAAGATGAGATGAGATGAGGCCTGGTCTGACCTGACCTGACCTGGCGGCAGAGTTTGGACAAAAAACGATACAAGCTTCAGCCAAGCCTCGGGAAAACCCAGAATCACAAGGCGTCCAGAAGTACGTGCAGTTCGTGCAATGCATCATCGATGAGGAGGTGTGGAACTCTTTTCGTCAACCAAGGACGCGGCCTCAGCCCGTGAAGCTTCCAGTGCAGAGCGGCAGGCCGGGCCAACCTCCAGCATGGCGCAGCCGCATCCGTATCTGCAACCGGAACAATCAAGGTGTCCGTCCAAGATATTACTCCTACGGGTATAATGGCTGTTTTGATCCATGATACGGATGCCCAATCGAGCATCAAACCCAAGCCGGCAGTTTTTTATTTTATTTTATTCTAGCAGTGGGACAAAGGAAAAGCCCCCAACGGAATGAAGCGATCTCCCCGCGGCTCAATGCCTGGCCGCAAAAGGGTTTCAAGCAGTACCACAAAGGAAAGGTGTGCACATGCCTCGTGCCTCGTACGTGCAGCGGTCAAACAGGCCACAACTCAGTCATGATGATCACAGCAGGACGAACGCCGGGATGCCGAGTGCCGGCGCGGGTTTTCGGTGGGTTTGGGTGGCGGCTTGACACATGCCAGCGCATGAAAATCGAGGCGGGATGGCTTCTAAAAATCGAAGCCTGGATGGAAGCCCGAAAACGGAGAATGTCGCCGCCAGCCGAACCAGGTACGGCCACCGCCCATGAGTCGTGGCACGCAAGGGGAAAGGCCGTCAAGATGACGCCAGGGCGTTTTGTATATACGCAAACGGCACGGGCATAATTTTTTTATTTATTTTTTTTTTTCTGCTCTGAAAATTTTACTTGCTGAATTTCTTCCCCTTTTGAGTTTCGCCGTCAATGCTGGCCGTGTTAGGGCTAATAATATCACTTATGGAGCCTGATGGATGGCGTTTTATGGAACGCTTTGCTTTAAAGCTGAGCCGAATCGATCAACGGCAAAATACTTCGTACAAAGTATCGCCAGCTACGCGCATCTCAATAGTGCTAACCCGCAATAGACTGGAATGCTAGAGATGAAAGCACTACTTATTTTAACAGCCATCTTAGCTACATACAAGCAAGAGTCATGAATAGCTCAAATATCTTGGCGGCTAGTATAGCCGTATTCATTTGCTATCTAGACCCGGCATCGGCCGTCACACAAAGGAAAAAAAAAAAAGCTTTTTTAATTAGGCAACCTAGCCGGCACTTTAATATGACAAGCCGGCTATTTGCTTGACGGTGCAACCTCTCAAGCCGGTCTCCTAAGACGTCCAACCATCCATCTCCAAGATCTTGGCAGCACCGTTTCAGCTCTCTAATATGCAATCATGAGGCTGTGCTGCTCTTCTCCCCCTCACCTGATGGCTCAGTGCAGGCTTACGGATAATATCTCACATTGCCAGCTGACCCTCTCTTGAAGATGTCATATATTATGAAAGATATGAGCAAACTTTGCCTTGTTTGCTGGCTGCACCCTGATAAACTCGGTCTCCAGCTCAGTCAGCAATCAATCTGGATATTTATATAGCCACAATTACCACTAGTACTAGTAGAGGCTTGGCCAAGTTTCGTTGACGTGCAGTCTACCCGTTTGCTGTGGCTTGCCCTATTTTATGCCATCATCATACCGTCCCTCCACCCCTGGGCCTCCAGTGTACTCGTAAGGCTTAGGCCTCGTCGTCTTGAGATGCTGCTCACCTTTGATCATCCAAGTAAGCCGCCATGTAGGTCATGCCAACCTCATCATCACATGTCGGGTGCTCGTCTTTCCTCCCACTGCCGAAATAAACAGCGTCCTCTACCGACCCAATGACACCTCTTCTTCACGCATCGTGGAGCGGATGCAACAGAACAGAGCAAGCAATCTACAGTATCAGAGTAACCCGTGGCCGTATCAACACGCCCGCAGCTACATATGTCAGTTCCGGCATCGAGAACGCCATCTTATCACAGGGAAGCTTCATGCAAAAGCTATTGATACTGGCCCCATGCGTTTGACCAGGGGAGGACCCATTAGCGGTTTCCCTTGTTCGCTATCTAGAGGGTCCAGCCTTGATACCCGCCCTGTCTGATCTGTTGATAGCATCAGTGGAACACAGAGCGGGCCGAGCATAGGGACCCCTGCGGCGGGTAGCGCTGTCTCATCATCCACTTTCTCATGAAGCGAGCTTGCAAAAAATAGCAACTCTAGCGAGCATAATAAAGACTAGCGCAAAGAGATAAGGGAAAAAATCACTGACACGAGGCAAATTTCGCCCACCGCCTCTCAGCTGATGGCACCAACAGGCCCATTATTCGAGGAAAAAATTTCCTTTTTTTTTTTAATCTCCATCGTAAACACTAGACTAGTAAATCATAGAGAAACTCCTGTCTTTGATAAAGCTCCATAGTGGATGTGAGGATCTACGAATCCTAGATTGCGCCTTGAGCACGAGATATGACAGGCCCCCTCCATCTTGCAACGTTGACATTTTCATGTCTGCCTACCGTGAAATCCCGGCTGTTCATAATAAATCACGGCGAGTGTCGGGTCACAAAGGTGTCTTTCGGGAATCCAGTTCTGCATTATTAAGTCTCGACTTTCAATGCTCTTCTTGTTGGGGCGATTGACCGCGTAATGGTCCTTGAAAGTAATAAGCAGTGATTAGTATGGCATCTAGACTATGGTTCTCAGCCGACTCTCACACTTTGGTCCCGGAATCCACATGTAGCCGCCGGGAGCAGCAAGCTCGCTTAAAGCTCCGACTCGTCCATTTCCATGCTCCCTTACTCCCTAGACCCAGAAGCTTTGAACTGATCGGCTTGCTAGGGGGTCTCAGGTGCTTCCAATAGTCAACAGTCAACGGAGCCTGCATGTTAGTAGTGCCCAACATCTGCCTTTACGGAGTAGACTTCCCGTAAATGGCTCCGGCGTCTCGAGTCGGCAATTCGCCGAAATAGCCTTTTTCATTTTTGGGGGGCCCAGATTGATAGCAAAATTACAGCGGGAAATCCCATTTACTCTGTTTTGGGATATTAATGCTGCCTGGAAGGGGGGTGGCGCCACAGCATGGTCCGACGCTGCATCATGACATAGGCAACATATGATCAAGATCAGATGCGTCAATTGCCGCCTGCCAGCCGAAAGGGTAAATGAAAGAGAGTGAGAAAATCTCCTACTGCTACCACACAGCGTCGCATTGCAATATCACACACAACCCCACGCCTCGATTCGCCTAGCCTTCCAGAATCGGGTCTCCGTACGGCAAATCTTCAATATGGGATGCAAAGCCGAAAAGCTTTCGACTCCAGAGAGAGATCTTCCCACCCTCCCCCCCTGCTTCTCTAGTGTCCTCGGTTGATGAGCACTTTTTTTTTTTTTTNTTTTTTTTTTTTCCAATTTTTTCACATGAGCACCTCTTATGCAAAGGACGAGCCTGGCTACTCCGTATCTCTAGAGCCGATACGAAGCTCGGCGGACTCTACCGACACGTGCGAGGATTCGTGCCATGTTGGTAGAGTACCCGCCGCTTATCAGGCCATCGCCCTACTGGGCATTCCGAGGGACGAGGGGGCCCTGCCACTTGTTTTCTCGGTGCTTTCGGGTCAGCATAGCAGCGATATGTCGACGCAATCTGAGTGAGGCTCGTGAGGCTGAATGTTCGTTTAATGACTTAAGATTGAGTCTGTAAGTGTTAAAATACGCTTGTAACATAACATGAAGGGATAAATCCGTTCCGATATTCAAAATATATTCATCTCAAAGCATTACACATGAAGGTCCACAGAATTAGATACAAAGCATTCCTTTCCAATGCCCTAGTAGGTAGCAGTCATGCTGGAGACACCAAGCAAGAAGAGACCCTCGCTCCTCCTCAAAGCTATAGCCAACGCAAAACAAACATAAGAAAATAAATAAATCAATCAAAATAAATTAAAATCAAAAAACCCGCCAAAGTGGGAAAAGCGCCATCGAAACGCCCAGTCCATCTACTATCTATCCATCAAGCCCCTCGTTGCCTGTTGGGACGCCTGGTCGGTTCCAGGTTCTTACGTGCCCTGCAAGGTTTGCTTCCGTTAGCTCAAATCTAATAGATGCTAAAACGATCAAGATTCGCATGTGAAGGGATCTTACCTGACTTGCAGCTTGTGATAACGGCATCCTCGGTGAAGGCTAGCCAGCACGCCGGATGGCTATCAACCACGTGCGTCTGTGGCGCCATTGTGTTAGTTGATACCGATCCCATCATTGTTGGTTGTTGGGTACTTACCAGCACAGGTGGCAGCATTGGAATTACCGCCCGCGGCTGAACAGGATGCGCAATCACATTCTCTTCCCACTCATCCTCTAGTATGGAGCCTTTGCCGCCCGAATTTACCGACGTGTTGGTATCTGTTCTATGTGGAGCCGTGAACTTGGACGATACCGATCCTCGGTGGCGATTAGGGGCCTGAGAAAGGGGCAAGCACATGTTAGCAGTAGCCGTTAGATGTACGTATATTGACAACTCACAGCAGTCTTAGGGCGGTGCAGCATGCCCACGCTAAAATCCCAGAGACAGAGTCGTCCATCCTCTCCCACGCTGCCAAAGCGATAGTTTCGGTCGTCACATCGCCATGGGTCGAATGCCAACGCAGAGACCCAGGATCGATGACCCTGGCATCGGGCAACTAATGCTGAGTCTGCCATTGACCAAATAGATATCAAGTCATCTTGACCACCAGTTAGGACGTATTTGCCATCTGGAGTCCAGCAAACACATGACAGTCCCCCGTAGTACGAATGATACAGGTCTAAGAGCCTATTTTATCAGTTAGTACACTGGTCCCCCCAAAAAATGCCATTTCTAGACGCTATAGCTGAACTCACTCTTCTTTGAGATAGTCAATTACTCTCAATGTACCGTCCTCGGACACAACCGCAAGATGTCGGTTATCAGGCGAAAATGAAAAGGCATTTATCCTCTGGTTCGATAGTTTCCAGGCGGCTACTGGATTAGTCTTCTGATTCTTGGAGTGCACCGACTTGTTGATCCTGATGCCATTACCAATGGCAGATCCGTTGGACAGCTCCCCCTCACTCCCACTGCCGCTGGCAGTCAGCCCTTCCTCTTCCGGATTCAGATGGCCGTCCTCCTTCTCTTTATCGTATACCACTAGTAAGCCATCCATGTGGGCTGCAAGGAACAGATTCTCGGAGCCAGGAATCCATCGTATTTCAGATACGGGTGTGTTATTGATTATGCCCTAGTAGCGTTGTCAGCAGCCTCTTGGACGAAATTAAGACGGTAGTAATCCTTACATTTTTGTTGAGTCGCGTATATCGCTGGGAAATGGGCTCCCACCAGATGATTTCGCCAGTAGAGAAACCCATAATCACATCGATATGAGAAACACTCTTTGTCACCATGTTGACATCGTGACATAAGCAGTGAGCCTTGGTGAACAGTATCTTTGTCAAGTAATCTTGCTAAAATGCACATTAATTTAACCCACTAGCACATATAGTAGCATTTCTTGCCCAGCAATAACTTACCTTTGTCGGCGATGACATGTCCAGCCACTGAAATGCTCGGTTAATATTGGCAAAAGCAAATAGCCCATCGCTCGGCCGTTCCGTCAGCTTTCGCGCCAAGCTATCATTAACAATGACACGAGAGATGAAAGAAGAGTTGCTCTTGGTAACATTATTCTTGGGCTTCTTCTTTTTATTTACGTCTTTCGATACCGTAGGAGCCAGCAGGGAATTTCCTTCGCCAAATGCAGGAGCAGAGCCGAATGTAGTTGATGCAGCTGGGCCTTCGCTCGACGCTGCACGGCCATCATCGCTACCCATGCCACCTTCAGTCGAATATCGGCTTTCGTTGGGGTGTTCTTGAATACTCAACGTTCCACCACCCAGTGACAGCGTTGTAGCAGAGGGGCCTCTGTAGAAGAAGGGAGCGGGTCGGGATTCCAAGCTAAGAATCGACATTTTTGTTCCAGCAGTCGCAGGCTGAGGGTTCGTAGCCAGGGGATTCGGATTGACAACAGGCGCCTCGGACGGGTGGGGTGGTGGTGTGGCCAGGTTCAAGTCTTCCTTGAGCACGTATGTTCCTGTGCGCCCTCCTGTCAGCTGGAGATGTCACATCTGTGCTGCCGCATTGTGTTTGACCTACCCTCTCCTACCAGGAACCGATACTCGGGTCCGCTCGGGTTCGACAGTGTATTGTTGGTCTCGATCAGGGGCACGACGCCCCCGAGGCCGACGCCATAGGCGCCTGCGGGATATCGCGGAGGGGGTGGCAGAACGCTGCTCTTATTAGTCGCGAACATTTCGTCAGCCGCCGGCCAGGAGACCAAGAGGCCAGAGACAGAGGGTCGATACGCACAACATGTCGACAATCTACTGGAGTATGGACCGTCAAAGCAGAATGCAATAGCCGTCAGAACGAGGCCTCAGCGAGGTTGACTGCGTCTCGTATCTGGTGAGGCAGCCGATGATGAAGGAGTCGCAGTCGTCGCGCAAGAACGCTTGCTAATCGATTCAACGTACGCACGTCGTAATGCCAAAAGGAGCGGGGTGAGCGGCGAGGCAAGTGATATGGACGCTGGTCGTGAGCAAAGCTCGAATTACTTGCTTCTCGAATCGGAACGGTCGTCCTGGAGCACCAAGAGGAATGGATTTGAACATACTCCAGAGGCGGATGGAATTGCGACGCCGTTGCTTAGCCCGGCGCCTTTATCCGGAGAGCTGATAGACTGCTGGACTAGGACCAGGTTGGAGGAATAGCGTGTGGGGTAACGAATTATAGGCGACCAGTGATGCTCTCTGTGGGGATTTGGGCGATGCCTGTACGCTCACTGGCCGGTGCGCACATGGCACGGGCAAACCGCTAAACCACTAAACCCTAAGATGGCCAGTGTTCCCTTCTTGCAGCGGATGCGTCCATAGGCTGAGCTGTTTATGGAAGCAAGCTCCGTATTTGGCCATGTTATCTGTCCCAGATCAGACGAAACGATGCTGCTGCTGGGCGCTGTTGGGCTTGGCCGGCGACGGCTGGATCCAGCTTTTGCTGTATCATAGTATCTGTTACTCCACGAAGCTCCCTGGAAATTGCCTCATCATACGGAGCACGAAGCACAGGAGACGCGAAGCATTGATCGATACGCTGTTACTGCACCAGCAGCTGCCCACACCCACCTCTGTGATTTACTTGTATGTAGAGTATTAGCATTAGGGGTCCTACCCATTCCTTCGCGCCCTCCACCATCTGCTGGGTACCTATATAGCACCTACAGTACCTACCTACTAGCTAGGTGTAGGCGAAACAGGCACAGGCACAGACACTCTGCCCCAGGCGTGCGTAACGTGAACACCACCAGCAGCACAGCACCAACACCCAAGCGCCGAAAACAGCGTCAGGCGCTCGGCCCACAGCGCATCATGCGTCACCGCCTACCAAATCAGCCCATCCCACGCCCAGCAAGCCCCGCGGGCAATTTAGCTGCAGCAAAGCAACCTGCAACCGCGCTTGGCCTGTGACGTGGAAGCACCAGAATTCCCATCTCATCGCTGTGGCTCCACTGACAACAGCTCAATTCTCCTACGGCTATCATTATACGTTGACGCCTGAATTGATCGATACCCGGACCTCACTGCAACGAAGGATATGGCCCTGAGGTAACCCCAACCTTTGGCATACCAGGCTTCGTCTACAGAGCTTGCACAATGCCGACTGCAGGTAAGTCCCGAGTCAACTCGCTTGTCGCAAACTATCATCTAGAGCTTCATTGGGATGATTCTTAATATCTGCGGGCCTTGGGTTGAGCTGAGCTGACAGGGTGTTTAATTCTCTCAGTACGGATCTGCGTTTGCGGCGACGAGAGCACAGGCAAATCCAGCCTGATTGCATCTCTTGTTAAGGACCAGTTTATGACGAACAAGATCCAGCCGGTCCTCCCCCAAATCACTATTCCGCCCAGCATCGGAACGCCAGAGAATGTCACTACGACAATCGTTGATACTTCAGCCCGGCCCCAGGACCGAACTACCTTGCGCAAGGAAATTCGGAAATGCAATGTTATTCTGCTTGTATATGCCGACCACTATAGCTACGAACGTGTGGCCCTGTTTTGGATGCCCTACTTCCGATCGTTGGGTGTAAATGTTCCAGTCGTGCTGTGCGCCAACAAGTCAGACTTGGTGGGCCAGGGCAGCACATCCCAGGTGGTGGAGGAGGAGATGCTACCGGTCATGGCTGAGTTTAGAGAGATCGACTCATGTATCAGGACCAGCGCAAGGGAACACCGCAACGTCAACGAAGTTTTCTTCTTATGTCAGAAGGCCGTGACCCATCCGATTGCCCCCCTCTTCGACTACAAAGAAGGCCATCTTAAGCCAGCGTGTGTTGATGCTTTAAAGCGGATATTTTACCTTTGCGACAAGAACCAAGACGGTTACCTTGATAACCAGGAAATGCGAGATTTTCAGTCTCGGTGTTTTGATAAGCCTCTTACAGACGATGACCTCGACAATATCAAACTCTCCCTATCCAAAGCACTTCGAGGTGCAGACCTATCAAAAGGTATCGATCTGAGAAGCTTTTTGCAACTGAATAAGATGTACGCCGAGAAAGGCAGGCATGAAACCATCTGGATCATATTGCGCAAATATCACCATACGGATAGTTTAAGCTTGGAAGAAAACTTTCTCCATCCAAAATTCGAAGTCCCAGAGTTTTGTTCGGCCGAGCTCAGTCCAGCTGGATACCGCTTCTTTGTGGATCTATTTCTGCTCTTCGACAAAGATAACGACGGTGGCTTGAATGACGAAGAACTCGAGGCTCTATTTGCTCCCACCCCTGGACTGCCACCATCTTGGTCAGACTCTGCTTTTCCGTCCTCGACGGTTAGAAATGAGGGCGGGTACATCACACTTCAAGGCTGGCTGGCCCAATGGAGTATGACCACATTTTTAGAGCCCAAGACGACTCTGGAGTACCTGGCCTACCTCGGTTTCGAACCTCCTAATCCAAAAGATCCCATCACTTCAGCACTAAAAGTTACGAAGCCGCGCAAAAGGCGGAGGCGACCCGGCCGTGTCGAAAGGAACGTCTTCCATTGTTACATTCTCGGTGCGTCAGGAGCAGGCAAATCGTCTCTTTTGGATGCTTTTCTGAACCGTACGTTCGACGGGTTATACCACCCCACAATCAAGCCACGCCGAGCGGTCAACAGCGTGGAGCTCCCTGGCGGAAAGCAAGTATACCTCATTTTTGAAGAACTCGGCGAGCTGGAACCAGCTATCCTAGAAAACCAAGCAAAGTTGGACGCCTGTGACCTTCTTTGCTACGCATACGACTCGTCTGATCCTGATTCTTTTTCCCATATTGTGGATATACGGAAAAAGCACCCCCAGCTGGATGAGCTGCCCTCTGTGTATACCGCGCTCAAGGCAGATAGGGACAAGACTATGCAACGCAGCGAGCTTCAGCCCGATCAGTACACGTCATCGCTTAACATGAGCTCTCCCTTGCACGTTAGCGTTACGTGGAATAGCATCAGTGAGCTTTTCGTCGCTCTCGCAGAGGCAGCAGCAAACCCTAGCACTGCTTTCCCAAAGAGTGATGACGACATGATTGATCGGACAAGCCTGTATCTTACTCTGGGCGCAACAGCGTGTGCGGCGATAGCAGCAGTCATGATTTGGAGACGATCCACAAACGCCATGTAGGGTGTCGCTGCGAAGATTGTCACGACGAACCAATGACTCTACTACTTTCTCCACATTCATTGGCCCTTTTTGGTGTTTGGCGTGTCGTTTGTAACAGCGTGCTTGTTAGTTCCAGGAAGATGAGTCGTTTTGGTAATTTTATGCGTAGAGAAGGCGTTGCGTCTTGGGGAGGGGTCCTAGGAGATCAAGCGAAAAAGGATAGATTGGAGCGTATGATACCCGGTTTACAAATTTAGTGGGTTTATTGAATATATAATTATTGAATGTTTGATTTTTGGTAAAAACATAAAAGGTCGTGATCCTTGAAATAGCAATGTAAAAAATCGTTGTTACAAAAAAAGAAGCAAAAGCAAAATAAAACTCATTAGCTCTACGTTAAAAGATGAAAAGACCCGAACGATGAAGCAAAATCCGCAATTATACTTTGTAAAAGCAGAATCCAATATAAAAGCTGGCCGCCTCCATCTCTTCATCCGAGACTAGCAGCCTGCCACCACCTCTCTCGCGGACACCCATCCTCTCACTCAGGGGTCCAAGTTCTGGGTCATCCTTCTCCGTCTCCCAGATGTCCGAGAAAGATTTGTGGAACTGCAGTTCCAGGTTGAAATCCTCGGCCAGCGCACGGAAGGCCTCCCAAGGGACGACATATTCGGGGACTTCCTCAACGGCCTCGTCCAGGAAGAAATTATACTTCCAGCCGAAGGCAGGACGGAAGACGCCGTCTTCGGGGGTCTTGCCCGGAAAACGCACACGATAGATCGAGTTACCCCATTCAGCTGTCGGCTCAGCCTCGCCCTCTTCGACCTCGCCGTCCTCAGGCTCTGCGGGAGGTGGCGTGGATGTGGGAGTGGTAGACTCTTGGCCATTTTCCCTCTTCTCGTCTTCTTTGGCTTTTCGCTTGGCAGCCAACTGGGCGTTGAAGGCGCGGACGCGCTCGCCGAGCACATCGGAATTGGGGATGCAGCCGATGAAGCGGCCGCCCTTTTTGAGCGCGCCGGCGACGTTGCGAAGCATGGTACGGGCATGTTTCTCGGATTCGAAAGCGTAGTGCATGCAGAACATCATACTCACGACGTCGAAGCCGCGGCGGTTCATCGTGGATGGGTCGAAGCCGACCTGGCGGATGATCTCCACGTCTTCGATGCTCTCTGAGTAGCAATCCTTGACGTGGAACCGCGCATCAAAGAGACGGGGCGGGGGTCTATGATTGAATCGTCCGCCACGGCCGCCACGGCCTCCACGAGAGCCCATCTGTCGATATCGATCTCTGGCTTGCTCGATACTGACATTGGCAGGGTCTAGGCCGACATAGAGTTGGATGGGCTGTGGTGCCTGCTGCCACTTACTAAGGTCGCCGCCCTTTCCACAGCCAATATCAAGAACGAGGAGCTCCTTGCCGCTGGAGCGGCCGGCCTCCCGCGAGCCAGGATCATGGTCCTCGTCGGGCGAGTAGCGCTGGATGATGCAGCTCTTGACCCAGTTGTTGAAGACGCGAAGGCCCTTGATCTTACTCTCGCGGGTGCGCCAGTCGCGTCCTCGCTGGGGCACGCTGTTGTAGTGCTCTCTGACGACATCGTTGATGCCTCGTACTTTGTTCGCCTCGGCAGTCAGGGCGGCTTCAGCGGCTTGACGATCGCGTTCGAGCTGGCGCTGGCGGATGGCTTCTCGCTCGGCCTCGGAGAAGCGGGCTCGCGCTCCAGGACGCTTCAGCTTTCGGGGCTGTTCAGATGGAGATATGGCGCGCCGCTTAGGCGCTTGGAGAGAGTTGGCGTTGTACGGCTGAGGCAGATCGTCTTGCATGTCGTCTTCAGCTGGTCGCTTGTTGGGTCTCCTCGGAGGGGAGGAGTCGGCATCAGAGTGTTGGCCCATTGCGAGATGCAAATGGAATGGAATTGAATCGAGCTTTTGTATGGGTTTTAATGAGACTTTTTGGTAGGAATTCGCGTTGAATAGATAGCAGAAGGTTTTTTGTGGTTGATGAAGCAAATTTTAGTTGAAGTTCGCTGAGTGGATGGAGAAAGTTGGAGTGCTCGTGAAAGCTCAAGTACCCAAAGTTTGATAAGCCCGTGCCAGCAGTGGGAACTCTAGTGCCTAGACTATGACTATGACCTACACTTCACCTACAGCATTAATTGTCACACCTTCGACTTTGCACAAGTCCACGTAAAAGATGTCAAAGCTTTCTGAAATTTGTGCTACTGTTAGCTAATTCTGTAAAAAAAAAAAATAAAAAATAAAAAATAAAACAAAATCGTCCGTTTTAGTCCAAGTAGCAAAACTAATCGCTTCGTTAAATGACTTCCACGATCATGGTTATTACGATGCTACCCGGCAGGCGGTTAGATTCATAGAGGTCGAGACCTTGACCAAGGCTTTCAATAAGCTCTGCTCATTCGCTGATTGTTCTAGCCCTAGTATTCTGCAATTGTCTCATGGTCAAGTCGCGACACCGGGTTTCCCTTTGCACTGCTAGTGATTCGTCGTCTGCTTCCGACAGCACTGAAGTAGCAATAAGAATGTACGATACGGGCGACATAGCATTGGCAATGTTGACCAAAATTTCTTTGACGGCGTCGTCTGGAAGATTGTCAAGTGTCCCTGCTAGAAGATACACTGCAGCTGAATGAGTGGGCTGCTCATCGCGAAAGTCGTGAGCGAAGAATTCGATTGTGCCAAGAGTCCTGGATTTCTCATGGTGACAAACTCTTTCAAAACATTCAGTTTATCTTGGGGACCCTGAACTTCGGATTGAAGATGAGAAAATAGTTCAGCCAGCTCCAATGAGCATGGACTACACGAACCGAGCTATAAGATCATGTGTCAGTAGGGAGCCATCCACATCGTGTTGAACAGCCGAGGGATAAACACTTACATCCACAACTACCGAATCTCTCGGTAGATTTGCCCAATCGAATCCGTGAACAATATCGGCAGATAAGACAGTCTGCTGGCTGGGCTCGCTGCCAAGAAGCTTCATCAAACTAGTGTATCCCTCAGCTTGGTTGCTTTCGGTCAGATATTGAGGCAAGTTCAAATCATTATTCTGGGCTATGTTGCGAGCGGTCTCATCTGGATCCTCCGAGCTGGGCCAACGAGTTGTTGCATCCACTATTTTTACTGCAGCTGGCATGACGACATCGCAGAAAAAGGGGATGCCTCGTCTTGTTTTTCATCATGAGTAAATGCCTTGAGAAAGTAGTTTGCTGCACCGTTCCATCCTCGAGCTCCGAAAAAAATGAAGCTGGCCATAACAATTCTGAGCATCCGTTTGAGCTCGAGGACCGGCACATTCGCAGATTCTGCCAACTCGTCGTATTCAATCGGCTCTTCTGGGACGTGATCAAAGATTTTGAAGTGGAAAAGCCATTTAAGGGCCATCAAGGTTTGAGACTGAGTCGAATAATTAGCATGCCACCAAGACAACGATTTACCAATCCCAGTAATGAAGATATGGTCTTACATAAGATATTGCAATTGAGGGGATCTTGGATGGACCTGCTGCTAGCTGAAGAAGCTTGAATGCCGAGCCTATGATCTTTTCCCTGGCATCAAGGACATAGCGCGGAGTTTGAGGCGATAGAACTGGAGTGCGAGTGTAAAAGCCAGCAGATGGCAGTGCCAGTCCGGACTCACGACCATATTTTTCCCAAATTGCAACTTGCTGCGTGATCTCGTCAGCAAGAAGGCCCATCTCTGAGTCCATTGCGGATTATTATCTGTAGATGAGGAAAAAAAAGTTGGGGGAATGATTATGAGGTGTAGAGTGCTGGTGGATAATCAACATTTTACAGAGTGAGGATTAAATATGTATATATGCTAGAATTCTTGTTCGTTTTGGCACCTAATCTGAGGCAGAAGTGAAGAGACTCTTACTACCCTATGCGGGTTTTCTCTCAGGATTAAGCTTTCGATATCTCTCTTCATAATTCACTTGCGATTCAGATTGATTTCAACGCTATACACGTATCTAGGCGGGCAAGGCGCTCGCATTACTTAAATAAGAGATCATCTCTCCAAGTAGCCTCTCTCCAAGATTAGGCGGTAGTGACTGACAACATTTCGCAATCAAACTATTCATGAATGTATCCTTCTCAGCTGAGCTGAAAAGTGAATAAAGAGTTGCATACCAGTTCAATACAACAGTGTCTTCTTTGAGTACCCATGGAGTATTGAAATACTGTTGTTGCCAAGTGTCCAACCTCCCTATCTATCTTAGTAGTCTTACATAGTAGTAACTAACTATTAGGAAGCACCACGGTCAATTACTAGCATATGTTTTACGTCATGCAAGTGCGTTACCCAAATGGGATAAAATAATGAGCCCTAATTTAGCGTTGTCAAATTGGGCTTGACGAGTTGGAGAAGAAGATTGAGCAGCGAATTCGCCCAAGTCGCTAACAGTCTTTTTTGGTTGTGGTTTTCCGAGAATGCTAATGAACACCACATGCATCTCTAGGGTACTCCACAGGGAGAAGACAGGCAAAAAGGCCTTTAGCTGCATTTACAGTCTTTGTACGGAGGCACGGATGGCTGCTTATATAATCGGCTGATGTCGGATACAGGAGGCAGGAGTTGGATTGCGCCAGAAAATATTCCGTAACCAGTGCCCAGAATTGCCGACGAAAACGACCAAGCACGAGCACCCAGCACCAAGCACATGTGCATGATCTGGGTTTGCATGCGCAGCAAAGCCCACGATCCAATACCGAGCGATGCTGGTCTCCCCGTGGGGTACATCGTCCCAGCCGACATGCCCCGTATCCACCAGCTCCAAGACCCCCACAGCGAACACAACACAGACCACCACTGAATGGCATCACATTACAGAGCCGTTGCAGAGCCGTTGCAGAGAGAAGGGCGCCGGGGGAATTGGGGAGGCGGGAAGGCTAGAAAAGGGAAAACCAAAAGGAAACGAAAAAGACGAAGCAAAAAAAGGCCCCAAATCAATAGCCTGGGGCCGTCTCCAAGGCCAAGGATGCATGGCGGCTTGCCACTATAGCGCACATGTACTTGTACGCCGGCGACGACGGCGCTGCTGCTACTGTACGGCCTCGTCCTGCTGGCTGTCGCGCGCAACGACGAGATTGCCAGCAGCCCGTGTACGCGTTGCAGGCTCCCTGCCATTGGATCGTGCCACCGGCCGTCGCCATGCCACAGTGGGCCGGGCTGGACGCCTTTCAAGGCGCGAGATCTCAGGCTTGCCGAGGCCGGCCTAGCACGCGCACCACGCAAACGGTGAACTCGGCTCAAGCGCGAGCGTCCAGGAGAGGAGCGTATTCATGTGTCATGGCCGGTTCTGCGGTGGCTTCTGCTGGTGCTTTGCACGCTCGCAGCACAAGTACAGGTACCCGCACACAGCAGCCCGTTTGCTCTTCGTCTCCCCCGCCTCTCTCCGCCTTTTAGCTCGCCTGGGGGGTCTTTTTGGCTTTGTCTTTTTGGCTGCTTCTCCAGCTAAGCCCACTCTCCCCCTCAGCTTTTCCCCGCTTGACACAACCCTGTACCTTGTAGCATCCCGTATCCCGAGACGCTGAAAGCTCAGCCGGGCCAGATGAGCTTTGCTCTGCCATCCCATCTGCCATCCAAGCCAATCTGCCGCGTCTTGGGCATGAGAATTGGCATTAGTGCTGGCATTGACTGTGCTATCGCTCGTTTCCCGCTGGCCGAAGGCACATCCTGATCAGGTATAAGCCGTCGATCTCGAGGCGATATCCAAGCGACGTCCGGCCAGGTCTTTTTTTTTTTTTTCTTTCAACTCCAACCCCAACGGATGGCGGCACGCGACTGACCGGTCCCAAGCGCAACGCCTTCAACTGGTCCTTTCCCCCGATACGACGCAGTACTTCGAGTCGCCTCCAAATCGGGAGTGCTTTGGCCCTGCGCCGTCTCCACGTTATAGCCGCCATCTGAGTGCTGGGGCCCTGGTTTATCCTGACGGACTTCCATCGCCTTGCCTCGCCGGATTCTTTGTCGTCTGTGCTCCGTCACATCTCGTCTCGCCGCCAGCCCTCGCCTGCAGCGCGGAGAAACATCCTGCGACTAGGACATCCGCTGCCAGCCGAATCTGCTGAGCTTGCCGGGGCCTGGCTCTTGTCTGATGAGACAGAGCCTCAACAACGAGGCTTGATTGGGCTGTCCACCTCAGCTTCTCCTCAGCCGGTTACATAGTCGGTCACTTACGTCTAAGCGACTCACTGCATTTGCAGTCTGAGTGCTAGCCTGTCCAACCCCACACTGCTGCTTCCTCTAGGCCTTGTGTCTCGTCTCTCTCTCTTCCTTCTCTCCTGGTGCTGAAAGCCGGGTCTTGTTGGAGCTCTGATTGTTTATTCAACTGCCGTTCTCTGATCGAGCTCATCCCCCACACCATCAAATCCACCCCCAAATCTGTATAGCCTGATAGTCCTATCCTGTTCTATCCCGTCCTGTTACTTTCGCTGCTACTCCATTCCTTGACACTATCTTATACTCGTACGACCTGTCGCTCTTCTCAATTTCTCGTAATGCTTGCCCTCCAGACCCTCGAAGGGCCGGCGGCTCTTCCACCGCCAGACCAATCCACCGCCCTTGCCCTCGCTGATATGGGCGAGAACCGCAATCAGAAGCCCAAGACATTGCCTTGCAAGTACTGCAGCAAGCGATTCAGGTCAGTCCAGCCCACTCCGCACCGCTTCCCCCATCTTGTGCTTGTCCGACTCTGTTTTTTTTTTCGTGCCGTGTTGCTCACATGGGTCTCTTTTCTTCAAACTACAGACGCGTTGAACATGTCCAAAGACATGAGAGGACACATACTAAAGAGAAGCCTTTCGCCTGCGGCTGGGATCGTTGTGGGAAGACCTTTGGACGACGGTAAGCTGCCTCTCACCAATTCACTCTCCCCAATGCCATCCTGATCTCCTCCCCTCCTTACACAATGGATACTTGCCTATGGTGCGGCTCGGGTATGATGTGATGCGAAGCGATGGCATGTGGTGCTTGTACCCATAGCAGTACCCGCGCCTCCTCACTCCATTACATATTCCCCCTTTCCCCTCATCTAGCATATCGCCTTCTATCTTTTACCTAAGCTTCAAGCCTAAGCTTCAATATTTTCTGCCTTTCTTTTCACCTTGGCCCACTCTCTATCTCTCGCCTCATCGCTGCCCTTACACGATCCATTCCTTGATAGCTCGTCCCCCCCCTTGCGTTTAGTTATACCTACTTACATGGACATCAGTGATCTCCTCGTCCGGCACGAGAAGCTTGTTCACCTAAATGAAGGACATAAAGATGCCTCACGACCAAGAAAGCTCTCCGGGGCCTCTATGCACAAGCCATCCCTTTCAGATAGCCATGTTGAGCTCGATGTCATGGGGATTCACCGGCTGCGGCCACCTCCACCGCCTCCACCGGCTACTGCCACGCTGCTGCCTCCACAACCATCGCCGCCCCAGCAGCATCAGACTCAGGCACCTCCGCCACCATTTCACCATGAGCCCATGACTTCAAATGCCGGAGGCCATCTTGTTCAGCAGGATTCCCAAGCGGCAGCAAGAACAGCGGCATGCAACCTGGACCTCCTTTCTGATGCGGCGCTTGCCAGCGAAGTAAATACTATGCAGCCTATTCTTAACAACATGCCCCAGCAGCCTCCCACGCATGCAAGAGTCAAGAGCTATCCAGATAATATGGAAGGGTATGCGGAGCGTGCACGAGTAGATGCACCAATTCTCACCGCTGGATTTGCCCCTCAGCCTCCACAGCCGTCCTATGATGACTATAACCTGTTCCTTGACGATTACACAACGCCTCAGCATTTCCTCCCTCCACACTTTGAGCCTGATCAGCAGATTAATTTTTTCGCTCGCTCTCCTGCAGCGTTTCAGCGGGGCAATTCAAAGCCCAATTCACAACTTCCCTCTCGCTTTGGATCTCTTGCTCCTGATGTACAAGAGCCCGGCTCTCGATTACACGAAGAGGTCTCTCGATCCCCTCTTCGTATCTCTGTGGTTGATCACACTGCTATCAAGAATCGTCTGGAAGAATTCTCATCTGTACTGCCGGCTGATTTTGTGTTCCCTTCCCGCCATACGCTGACACGGTTTTTGGATGGATATATTGGCGGATTTCATGAACAGATTCCGTTCTTGCATTTGCCTACATTGTCCCCCACAGAGCTCGCCCCGGAGCTTCTTCTCGCTATTTTGGCCGTTGGTGCCCAATACAGATTCGAGAGCAAGAGGGGATATGCCCTGTGGTATGCTGCCAAGGCAGTCTCCATGGAACAGATACGGAGGAGGCACAGCTCAGAAATCCATGCGCTTTTGCCAAACGCATCGTCTTATAGTCCGCATTCGACGCGTCCGTCTCCAAGTACTAGTTACAGGCATTCTTTTGCTTCAGCTCAGTCGGAGAGACCGATAACCCAGGATACACATCGGGAACCTTAGTGAGTAATGAATCGATGGCCTTATGTGAGCGTAACTAACACATGGATCTTCAATTATAGTTCCCCAAACACCCCCCAATCTCGGCTTGAAACAATCCAGGCCGTCTTATTGCTCTTTTCTCTGGGCCTCTGGGGAGCCAAGACAATTCTAAATGAAGCACTGTCTCTGCAGAGCACTTTGGCTATCCTGATTCGAGAAGAGGGCCTTACAGAGGATATAAGCCAAGCGAGCGTGACAGACTGGGAGTCTTGGATCAGACGCGAAGGGGCGACCAGAACCAAGCTCATTGCATATTCTTTCTTCAACCTTTGTAGCATCGCATATGACTTGCCGCCCCTGTTAGTTACATCCGAATTAAAGCTCTCTTTGCCTCTTCCCGCTAGACTCTGGAGAGCAGAGACTGCCTGGCAATGGCAAGAGCTGAGACAGTCGACGCCATTGGTCGAGATTACCGTTCACGAAGCTATTGCTAGGTTATTTGGCCGCACTAACCAGGGCCTGCCAAACCATCTATCATCGCTGGGATTTTATGTCCTCATCCACGCACTGATTCAGCACATCTATTTTTTGAAGCAGACCTCACTGGCTGCTGGCTTACCATTTGATACCCAGCGCACTTTGAAGGTAGAGGATGTGGATGAAGTCACTGGAGCGTTGCGAGTGTGGCACAACACCGTTGAGCAGCATCACTACCTGCTTGCCACAGGCTCGGGGCCCTTTGCCAGCACAGACTTTGCCCCTGGCGGCCTATTGGCTTATAACGCGACAGCGCTGCTGCGCCTTGCGTATATTCGCCTGTACACTGATACTCCTCTAAGCAGAGAGCTGCAGTCAAGAGACTCGATGCTGATGGCGTCGGCCATGATCTCCACTCCGATGGTTGTGCGCAGCGTGCGACTTCATGGAGCGGTGTTTCAGGCTGTTCATGCATTGTCCATGCTGGTCAAGGCTGGAGTCAATTATGTCGCGAGGACGAAGTCTACGGAATGGAGCATCCAGCATTCATGTGAGTTATGCATTTCCTTTTAAAACTAGCTTTACTACTGTGTGATTATGATGCTGCGGAAGTACAAGATGGCTAACCGATGACCGTATAGTATGTAACTTTGAGTGCGCTCTACTTCTTGCCAAGTGGCTCTTGACCCTAGCGTCACTTTCACCGTCTGATTCTCCTGTTACTCTCGACGAAAAGAATCTCTTGGAAACAGTGAGCAAAATGCTTGACGAAACTGAATTTGCCGTCCCCGTTGATCCCTCTCTGGCTGGAATGAACGCGAACCCGCAGATGGAAGCAACAACAGGCCCTATGAAGCTAAGGCAGCTGGCAAGTGCAGTAGTGCGCCTCTGGGCCGAGACGTTCAAAGGCACTCACATCTTTGATATGATCAAAACGATGGGCGCTAGCTTGGACGGGTATGCCGATTTGGTGGACAAGCCAAGAGATCGCGTGTCTATGGCGTCAAATGCGACTATGAATTGAAGGAGGTGAATACGAACGCCAGAATCGCTAGACAGACTTTGGTTAAAGATGCATGGAACATGGGGGGACTACTATAAGTAGTCTTGAACTACAAACTACAGGCGTTATTTGAGCACACAGGATACCATACTGGGGTACATAACGTACCAGCGGCAAGAAATAGCTTGCAGTAAATGGGAAAACGGGACATGGAACGGGAAATTTGTGAATAGGGTACGGGTACCTTTTACGGTATGACAAGGGTTGGAGAAATATTGGGCTGGACAACAGCGGTAACTTGAATGGGAGCATTTGGATATTGGTACAAGAAGAAATTTGTATATTTGCAAAAGACAGCTTGTTAGGGACGAATTCTCAGAATACCCCTCTTCTACATTACATCAGATGGCATATCATGACGTGAAAAACTATTGTATGTGACTGTAGTGGCATTACGAGGAAGGGTTATACTAGCTCTCTTCGATGATAAGTCGGCTATTGAGGAGCCGAGAAAAGATTGTGAGAGGCAGCATGTATTTAGTTTTAGGCTTCCATCTCAGCATTGAATTCAACGAGTAGCAGCAGTACGATTATGATGCTAATATTGGATGGATTATAAAACGTTGAGTGAGAGCCGAGGGCAAACAAAGCCCGAGGTGAGGGACGGCAGACGCGCGACATGGCAGCTCGCACTCGCTTATTTTGCTGATTTTGGATTACTCATTCCCCAGAAACCACGGTAGCGCTATCACTAATACTGCTGCTATTGTTCCGATGAGTTAGTGCTGCCGTAGACGGTGGTTTTTTGTACATACCTCCATGGGGAATCGAGAAACTCCTTGCATGAAGGCCCTTGAATGGCAAAATACGCAGATCAGAAATATCACATAATACTAGACGTGCTTTTGTAGCAAGTCCTAGAGTATGCTTGATAATCCCAATACACGATAATACCTATTAAGCCTTCAGCAGCAGGTATTTCATATTACTGTACTTGTACGTGCACTTCGTATATGCTTCAATATCATGTGAAGAAAAAGGGCGACTGCGGGGCCGAGCCAACGCAAGGGAGGCCCGATTTTTTTATGGGGAACTTGGGGAAACAAAAGTTGCCTCGGCACAAGCTTATTTGGTTTCGGGAGACGGCAACGTTCTCTGAATGCGTTCCAGGGCTTATTGTGAGCTGAGCTGAGCTGACCTTTAACAGTCTTTTGATTCCCCGGATTTTTCGTCTTTCTCTTCTTTCTTTTTTTCTGATTTATACCACATATACTATACATTTACATTTTTTTTTTTTTTTTTTGCCAGTGATAGACGATAAAGCGCGGTCGTTATAGACAAAGGTTGCGCCATAGAATACCTACCTACAAGCAAACACCATCACAGCCCATCGTCACTCCCGCCATGCCTTTCAACACTGAGCTCACGCGCCGTCTGGGCATTCGCGGTATGCTCTTCTCTGTCATGCTAACGTTGATCCGAAATCTATCATCAACCAGCTAACCAATACATCTACCCGCAGTCCCCGTCGTCCAGGGCGGCATGATGCACATCGGCACCGCCGACCTCGCCGCGGCCGTGTCCAACGCCGGCGGCCTGGGCATCATCACGGCCCTCATCTTCACCACGCCCGAGGCCCTGCGCGCCGAGATCCAGCGCTGCCGCACGCTGACCAAGAACCCGTTCGCCGTCAACCTGACGCTGCTGCCGTCGATGCTGCCGCCCGACTACCCGGCGTACGCGCAGGCCATCATCGACGAGGGCGTGCGCATCGTCGAGACGGCGGGCAACTCGCCCGGCCCCGTCATCCGCCAGCTCAAGGCCGCCGGCGTCACCATCCTGCACAAGTGCACCACGATCCGCCACGCCCAGAGCGCCGTCAAGCTGGGCGTCGACTTCCTCAGCATCGACGGCTTCGAGTGCGCGGGCCACGTCGGCGAGAGCGACATCACAAACTTCATCCTGCTGAGCCGCGCGCGGCAGACGCTCAAGACGCCCTTCATCGCGTCGGGCGGCTTCGCCGACGGCCAGGGCCTCGCCGCGGCGCTGGTGCTGGGCGCGTGCGGCGTCAACATGGGCACGCGCTTCATGTGCACCGTCGAGGCGCCCATCCATAACAACATCAAGGAGGCCATTGTCAAGGCGCAGGAGACGGACACGACGCTGCTGCTGAGGCGGTGGACCAACACCACCAGGCTGTTCAAGAACCAGGTTGCGCTGGATGCCCTCAAGATTGAGAAGGAGAGCAAGACGGGCGAGTTTGCAGAGGTGGCGCCGTATGTGAGCGGCAAGAGGGGCAAGGAGGTGTTTGTCAATGGAGATCCCGAATTTGGCGTGAGTTTTCTTCTTTGTTCCAGCAAGTATTTTTTTATTTTATTTTCTTCTTTTGCTAACTGAAGGCGTTATATAAATAGGTCTGGACGACGGGTCAGGTCATTGGTCTGATTCACGATATTCCCACGTGCGGTGCGTTGGTGGCTCGCATCGAGAAGGAGGCCGAGAGCTCTCTGCGGGAGAAGCTGTCCTTGATTGTGCCTGACACGAAGCTATAAGAAAAAAGAGAGAGAAAAAACAAATTGATCTGTGGATGATAGAATATGTTTCTTTTTTTTTTTTTACTTTGCGGAATGAAACGGTACCCAAATTAACTTTTTTGTATTATAAAGTCATGTCTATACATCTCTGTATGGTCTTAATGCGATTCAATCATGAAACGTTGAAGATGAAAAAAAAAAAAAAAAAAGGAACCTGTGTCGTAAAATCGTGAGAAAACGTTCCCCATCAACTTCTACCCCTTCTGCTAGCCACCAACGCCGGGTCCAGTCGCCGTCCTTCCTCTCTCTTCAACGGCTCTGCTTCTTCAGATCCCGCCTCTGGAATTCTCCATCGTTCGTAGTAATACAGCTCTGGCATCCTCGTCTGTGTTTGTTCCTCCAGCTGCGACTCTCCGTCGCGGAGCCCGACTCCCGTCTCCATGAGCGAAACTCTTCCCTCGGGGTCGCTGGCCTGCCATCCGTCTGGAGCTGATCTGCGGGAGACTGCGGCTCCAGAGTAGACGTCTTCGCCAAGAGCATATGTCGCCTCTACGAGAGCCCCTCTGACACCGCAGTAGAAGGACGTTGACAAGTCAGATGCCTTGGCGAGACAATGGACTCGGTCCATGGAAGCGCTGTAGATGTGAATGACTGCATCTGGCCGCCAGCTGTCCTGCTTTGATAGATGATGCCATGTACATGTTTGACCACACGAGGGGTTGCATGTATCAGTCGACTGGATCTGCAGACCATTGGTTTCGATAATATCACCGAACTGATAAGGTCGTCCAGGAGTAGGAACATCCACAGAACAAGGCATGGCATTGGTATGATAGTACGACTTTGGAAATCGAAAGTCGAAGAATCGAATGTCGGGACTGCAGTTGTTGCCTGCCACAAATCGTTCGGATCCATATACCAGCATTGAGCTACTGGCCTGATAAGGCTGGAAGCCATCACGATACAGGACGTCGTGACCCAATGGAGATCGCAAATCAGACAGCCTGCCATCGATATTAGCAAAAATTATCCGCCTGAATTTGGACAGCGGCTCTAGCATAAATTCGTTTTTCCATCTTACCTGTGGCTTCCGTCGTCCCAAGCGCTGAGCAGCAGATTCTCATTCATCTTAGGAACCGGCTGCATAGAGCGCACCGTCGTCTTCTCAGCTAGTCTCTCCGTAGAGTCACCTACAGCACCCTCCTTTGCCACATTGAGCATTTCGATTCCTGTAGGTCGAATCTTGGCCCATCTCAAGGGGTCGCTGCAGCCACCAAGTCCACAGGCTACCACATCCTGGCTCATGAACTTGACGCTACGCAAGAGCGATATCTCATCTGCAGCGCTATCCTTGGACACGTCATAGAATAACACAGGTTTGAGTGTTGCCTCTTCTGTGTCGGAAAGATTGTATAGCGTCAAGACTGAGCTTCTGCAGCTTGCCAGAAGCTGACTGTCGGGTTGCCATTCAGTCCACGAAACCGCTCTCTGGCCAGGAGACCTTCGTGTCAGTGGTGCTTTGGACTCATTGTTTGTGTCGTGCGTAGGCGGGAATGTTTGAGATGCATCCGTTAAGATCTCATCTCTAGCAGACAACAGTTGAAGGTCCCCGGTAGCTCTTCCAACAACCACCTCGGGGAATTGTTGGCGCTGAATGATGCTTATCGCCGTCACATCGCCGGTTCCAGCCGCATAACCTGTTTCCCGGCCAGCCAGCTTGCTCCAGCTGTCTTGGCCCCTCCCACTCGTGTCCTTTCGTCTGAGCACCAAGTTCTCTCCCGCACCGTATACCAGCATTTCCTCCTGCGTTGATAAGATTGTCGTAGCATCCATGACTGAGTGAAAGTTCACCGACTGTCTGCTCCTCGCAAACTCCCTCCTCTTAGGCCGCGCCGGTGATTTTTCTCCGTAAACCGTGAAAGTGATACCACGGCTGTCCCAGCACCGGTCTAGATACGTCAAGCGGTCTGCCACGGCATTCCACCCCATCAAGGCTCCTGGCGCAACGTCGATAGATGGGAATTTGGATCTCACGAAGCTGCGCCATCCGCTTTGGTTGATGACGGTATGAGCGTGCTTCGACACGGCCCCCAGATGGGCCACATCTCGAGCCGCATCAAGATGCTGGGCGATGTCGAGAATGAGATCGCCGGGAAGGCTTCCCAGCGATGCCATATTCATTATTATTACTATTCAAATCGAATTCATAGAGTTGTATGCGTCTTTGTAAATGCAAAAAGCAAGAAGAAGAAGAAGAAGAAGAAGAAGAAGGAAAAAGTAACGATGTCTTCAGCCCGTTTTATCTATTCATCTTTGAAAAAGATCCTCTCTCATCAGCATCAAGTCCTATTATTGTCTCCATACGTGCAGAAGCACGTACATGCTTGACAGAGCCTGCACGCGATGGATGATTCATCCGCTAAAACTTACTAAACTTGATACAGTGGCGCAGGCAGAATATATTGCAAGCAGAATGACTCACACTCAGACTCAAGTCTCTCTATCCAATCCAGAAACAGATGAAAAAAAAAAGGAAAAAAAAAAAAAAAGCCTAACCAAAACTTCTACTGGGATTGGTTTTGTAAGGAGAAAGGAAGAACAAAGAGACCTGCGACAAGATGGATGACATTCTCGATAGCGTGACAGGGTTGGAGAATTGATGCTTGTATGCGTCATTGGCGTCCTTAGCGGGGCAATTCGGTAGATGCACTACACCGCCTAAAAAAATCTTCTAGAACTTACAGATGGATTCTCATAACAAGCCCCATAACATATTGGACCAAGTCTCTTCCGACTGGGAATATCGGAAATCAATGCAATTTATTGCTCCATAGAGGTAGGTATACTGTATCCCTCATTTAAAACAAAATATATATGTATACATATACTCCGAATATCACGCCTCTCCCCTCACCCAACATCAAAATCTATCTATAAAGCCGCAAATGTCATCGCCAGCCTTATGCATAGATATGCTAGAACGAGACAAAACACCTCCTGTGTAATAGGATGGTCTGCTTCCAACCTCCCACCCTTTCTATCACTCCCTTAATCAGAAAATGAAGACCACCTCTGCCTATACCATACCCAACGCCAATGAAAAGGGAAAAAAGGTTAACGCCAAAGAACAAATGACATGTTTCCAACGTTTGTCGTCGTATAGAGGTAATAACAAACAGGGGAACTTCTCCCCTGCCTAATCATGAAAATGACCTCACATTAACAGATACAGCGCACGCACAGCTTTTTCAGCCGCTGCAACGTGCCAGGGTCGAACATCCCCTTCCTTATCCACCACTCCACGCGCCCTCGCCAGCGTGCCTAGTCCCCTAAAGTATCCCAACATCTCTCTTAAAAGAGGTTCATGCACTCGTGGAGTTGCCTCTGTGTATATTAGATTGACCTCCATAACGATGGGGGGATCTTCCAACCTAAGTCCTGTCCTCTTGATCAAATACCCACTCATTAAAGAGAGCTGTACCTCTAAAATACTAGTGGAGTTGCTTAGTCGGTGGCTGGCTATAGCTCCCCAAGTTTGGTCGGTAGCGTCAACCAAAATATCATCCGAGTCGGCATCGCCAGCGCCAGCCGCGGCACCATCGTTAGAAGGAGTAGCGGCCGTCGCATTAGCTGCAGGCGTTGCAGGAGTAGCAACAGGCTCCGGAGACTGCATAGAGGGCTGCGGAGTAGAAACTGGAGTATGGAGAGCAGCTGTGGGCGCTGGAAGCTTGATTGCCGGTGGTAAAAGTTGAAGCGATGGACTCGAGTCAACTGTGAGCAAGACCAGTGTGACCTTGGCATGGATCTCGGTGCGAGCCAGGTCAACCCAAAAATCCACCTCGTGCTGCGGCATCGGCCCGCATTTAGTGATAATGACCCTCCAAAGAACATTCCAGGAGGAAATTAGTTCCAGCGTTGTCTCCCATATTTCATTGGCGATCTCGGTCATGTTTCGAGACGGTGGCTTTCCTTTTCTTCCCATGCAGTAGGCAGCCGTCGCTTGCTGGTTACCCCTGTCGTCTGTCCACGCCGCAGTAACCCATCGCTCATCAACGCTCTGGGAGTATGCCACGTGAATGCATGAATTTTCACGGATCAGGGAAGCTGAGGGATTCGTGGTCAGCTTGAAATCAATGATACGCGGCAACAATTGTTCAAGTCTGATTGCTGGGGCTGGCATTGGTCCCCCAAATAAGGTGCAGCGATCATACGTCTCGATACAGAGTCTGACAAGATCTGAAGTCTGAGTAATGACCAAGGCTGATGGGGAGGAGAGTAGATCTGTGGATACCAGCTGCAAAACCAGCTCGTTCTGGGGCGGTTCTTTTCGGCTTGCTAGAATCTTTTGGTAAGATTCGTAAAATCGCTGAAATGCTGTGCATGATTCGATAATGGTCCCAGGATTCTCGGGGGAATAAACAAAATAAATAACAAAATTCGTCTCGGTAATTGTGAGGCTGTTGAATACTCCACGCAGTGCTTCCATGCATTCAACCATGGCTGAGCCGTGCCTGGTCACGGTGGCATCTGGTGAAGTGGTTATTCTATCAACCTCATATGGCAACAGGCCTGCTTCCACATCTTCACCAAGAGGCATGACTTCAAATGTGCCCAACTTCAGCAGTTCATAGACACTTTTAACGCGATCCAAAAAGGCTTTAACATTATCTCCCATTCCAGACCACCCAGGAAAGACACAGATCGCGTTAATGTTCTTGCTGCCAGAAGAAGGTGAGAGACCCAAACTCTCCCAAAATGGTACAGCTGAAGGCAGAACAGAGAGTTTTGTGTCTGCTCTTTGTACTTCTAAATGAGGGCTTGGGATTTGGTATAGATTGCTTGGGCGCATCGCCTCAGAATTTCCTTCTCTACCAGTTATATGTCGTGGTATAAACTGACTTAAGATCGGCAAGTCTTGTATATCCAGTAGACCCTTGAGACGCACCGGCATTGCATCTTCGAAAAAGTGCATAATAATCCCTTCAAGAGTATAAAACGCGTCTCGAGCATGTATAGATAAATCTGAGCGCTTTTCGCTCGCTGATAGAGTTGCAGGCTCGAAATCCGACGCATTGAAGATGTCTAGCGACCCAGTTGCGGCTTGCTCAGTCACAATTTGGGCAATTTGGATTACATCTTCGTCGGTCAAGCCCATATCTAACAATAACGGTTCTGGATCCAGAAAAAGTTGAGAGAGTGGCACTCCTGATATATCTGATTTCGATAACCGCGGTAATTCCATTGCCAGCTGATGATCGGGCTCCTCAATATCACAATCTCTCAAGGAGGTAATCTGAGACAGGATATCGTCATCTCCATGAATTAACCTGATGCTGGCTTTGTGCGGAGATCCAGGTTCGTCAGACGTGTAGCTAGAGTCATCTTGATCTGATTCTATGTTACCATCTTCTCTGTCTGATATTGACCCATCCAATTTCATGGGGCTGGTTGTCAGTATTTGCGGTTCCAACGCAAAATATTGCTTGCCTCCAGCATGGCGAGCAGTCGAACGATCCCTTGGTTTCCTGTTAAGTTTACCATGACGTTTCAGATAATCAGTCTCTGGTACAGCTCGAACATCACCATTTGCCTTTTCCATCCTCTCGACCTTTGAAAGACCGCTCAAGTCGAAAAAACCTCCTTGTTCGTATTTTTTGCTAATCATTGGTATTGCTGGATCGAAATCAAGGCTCTCAAATACTTTTGCTTTCCTCCAGGGATGTTGAGATGAAATGGAGGAGTCATATTTAGGTATTTTCAAGGACGCCTTTACCCGCTTAAAAACAGCATGAGGGTCAAATGGGCTGGACTCGCGCTTTGCGGGTGTAACTCGTATGTCTCGGTTTCGACGGGCCGCATCTTCATTCTGGCTTCTGGCATGCTTTAATTCGGGCTTCGCAAATACTACCGTTTCTTTCTGCGGAGGAGGCGGCTGTGGAGGAGGCGGCAGTGAGGTCGCTGCTGGTAGAGCAGGAGCAGGCGCAGAAGTTGGACTCACGGCGGGAACTGGAGTTGGCGTTGAAGGAGGGAGAGAAGGGGCAGGTGGTAGGGACATAGGCGTCGGTGCCAGAGGCTGTTGCATGGTTTCGACAGGCCGTATGGGTTCTTCAGCAGCTTGGGACGGCGCCATTTCTGAGCTAGGCAGATCGCTCATCGCCATATCAACATCAAGGTCGCCAGGCTTCTCATCAAAGAAGTTGAAGTCCGCCTCAGTTATATCGTTGTCGTCAAACATGTCCCCCCCTACATCTCCTCCTAGCATGTTGTCGGTATCGCCGAGAAGATTGTTATCACTCCGCCGTCTCTTGGGTTCAGCAACATTAGGAGACTGGTCGAGGCCATCCCCTCCTGCCGGCTCATTCTGTATTGTCACATCTGCTTCTGGCATGATTTGTGCTGACAAGGGATTGCCTGGGCTGGAAAAAGTACCATCCATTGATGGAGTGACGCCGTTGGGTTGCTGGATCCCATCTGGTGGTGTCGGGTACATGATACCAGCTGTTGCCGTGTTAGGGCGTTGCAAAGCCACAGGAGATAGGCCGCTCAGCTTAGGTGTCTTCGAATCTGCAGGTTGCGGGTGCGAGTCTTTGGGCATAGTCGCCGTGCGCTCCATTACTCGTTTGATCCTCTCTTCTCTTTCAGTAATAGAGCTGTGCCAGCCTTTCGCGTTGCCAAGAGGATCGTGGCTTTCTTCATGGCCACTCAGCACAGTATCTACGACGCGACTAGTAGAGGATGCGTCGACATTCTTCTTGCGGAAACACAGACGCCTTGGCCATGGTAGGGTAAATGAGGAATGTGCGCCAGAGGATCGGTGGTCGCCCTTGGAATCTACACTTTTGGACTTGGGTACTAAGAGGTTTACCCAAAGACATCCCCCCAGTGTCGAGGCAGCTATTCCCCTGAAATCTAAGAATCGTTGGCAAGCTTGTTTCCACAAAGACTCCTGGCCGTCCAGTCCGTTACGGAAGCTAAAAAAATGGGTCATCGGTGTCTGAGCAAGGCTTGACATGCCACCGTCTCCAGGAACAAAATTCTGGGTAGCAGTCATGATGCCAAAAGGAGCTGCGAGGACGGAGTAGCCAGAAGGGGCCAGACTAGAGGCGGCGGTATCGTCTAGTGACAGAATCCCTTTGCATTTTGTTAGAGAAATACCGACCACCAGTGCCCCAGTAGTCGTCAAGTAAACTCTGAATGTGCCCAATATCTGTGGTCTGCCGATAGCAATTCCGTGCGGCTGTGCGCTATACGCAGTTGGAGACATCAAAATCGTCCTGTAGTTGAGAGGAATGGCCCCAGTTCGACGACAAAAAGCAGTCGATATCGTTAGCGAGACGGCCGTGATAAGTTTTTCATATAGCAAACTTTGCGCTGTTGTCTTGGTCCTGGATTCGGCTTTCAATTCGTGATCTTGCGAGGATGGTGTAGTGGTTTGCAGAGGTGAGGAGAGAGCTGGACGGTGGGCTTGTTCCAAGGTAGAATTAGTTGACAAGAGGCTCGTAGGCGTGTTGCCGGATTGAAGAGCCTGAGAACGAGGCTTTGGCATTATCGGAGGCTCTATGATGCCCTCTTCTTTTACAACGAGGCCCTGCTCGAGCACATCGAACGGCAGTCTAAGGCTGTCGCCCACCTTGTCCAAGTTCTCCTCCTCATCCTTTGTAAGAAATAGGAAGTGCCATAGCCCTCTCCTAGCTGCATCGTATAAAACAATGTACCCTCTATCCCTCAGCGAGTTCTCAATCTCCAGGGCAACCGAAGCGAAGTTTTGCGACAAGTTGGGTGACGGTTCGTATAGACGATAAGTGATGGACGAGACACTATTCTAAAACTCGACGTTAGCTAAAGATGAGGGGCAATGGCGATCAAGCAAGGCGTCAAGCTCACTATCGACAGTGTATTAGTTTCATATTCTCCAGTCTCCATGTCGGCTGCTTATAGAATAATCGGGCTCGCGGCAGCCGGTGACAGCGTAGTCCGCCGTCGTCGGCACCGAGCCACGGCTTTCCAGACTCTATCGCGCAAACGACGGGACAGAGGCCCGCGAAGGAAAAATGTATGGCAGACGAGATCAAGAAGTCCCGATGAGGATAAGCGATTCTGATGCTCTTAGTTGTCCGAGCTCCATCTCAACTGGAGTCTCTTCGGTCGATGGGGTCCAAGAGCGTCACCCAGATGGCGCGCCGAGCTCGAGGAACAGATTGATGTTAGTCACGAGGCGTCCAAGGGTCGAGGGTCGAGTAAAGGGGAAGGCAAGAGTTTTCAGGAGAACAACAGCCGCCCTATCGTTGCCACCAGGTGCAGCCGCAGGCCATGGACCACGCGAGCGGCAGAGGAAATCTCGGATTAGCAAGCAACTTCGAAAATGCACCGCATCGCGGATCAGAGAGCGGAATTGACAGCGCCGGGCCAGTGGGCTGGGAGTCCAGGGAGTCCGGAGCGTGCTGGATCCAGCGCGTTGCTGGTTATTGGCTGGCGAGTCTTCGGTCAGGCCAGTCCGCATTGCTTGTGTGGGGGCGTCAGACCGCTCACCGAAGCGGGGCCGGATTTTTTCTTCACCTTGATTTTTTTTTGTTAGGCCAATTGCCCGCGCGCGGCAGAAGATCTTTTACCTTGACGCAGAAACTTCACGCAGAGGAGGTCCAAATCCCATCTTTTGATATTCCCTTCCCGTCCTCGCCATGAAGCTGTCCAATCCGGGGACTGTCCCCGTCTACACAATCTCGGGCGCATCCACTGCGCGCCCTCTTCCAGATTGGCTTGCTCGCCGCCGGAAGCGCAGTCTGAAGGACGATGCCGAGTATCAGAGTCGCGTTGAGCTTCTGCAAGATTTCGAGTTCGAAGAAGCAAGCCAGTGTGTTCGTATCAGTGAAGATGGCGAATGGGTCATGAGCACGGGCACATACAAGCCCCAGTTTCACGTCCACAACTTACCACAACTCTCTCTTTCGTTCGCAAGACACACGACTTCCACCAACGAGACCTTTGTCCTACTTTCCACCGACTACACAAAATCTCTCCACCTGCAGAATGATCGAAAGCTCGAATTCCACACTCCTATGGGCTGCCACTATGAAGTGCGCATTCCTAGATACGGCCGAGATCTGGTTTACGATCGACACTCTACTGAGGCTCTCGTTCCGGCTGTTGGCATCGACGCTGATGGTCAAGGAGAAGTTTTTCGCATGAACTTAGAACTTGGAAGATTTATGAAGTCATATCAGATCGAAGTTGGAGGAGACGATGAATTCGGCGGTGGTCTACAAGGAGGCGTCAATGTTGGCAGCGTAAACTGTGCAGCCATTGCTGAAGATACACACAATTTGCTCGCCTTTGGTACATCAATAGGCACAGTGGAGTTTTGGGACCCTCGTTCAAGATCACGGGTTGCATTACTTGCCGGCCATGAAGGTGGTGTCACGACAATGGATTTCCATCCGTCGGGCCTGTCACTGGCGACTGGCAGCTCAAGTGGCATGATCCAGCTATTCGACCTTCGTCGACCTACTCCCTTACTCAAGAAAGACCATGGCTACGGCTTCCCCGTGAAGAAACTGATACATATGACGACATCATCACAAGAGAAGAAGATACTGTCGGCCGACAAGCGCATCATTAAAATCTGGGATGAAGCTTCGGGTGACCCATGGACATCGGTTGAACCTGTGGTGGATATCAACGACGTGGCTTGGTGCAAAAACACCGGCATGCTGTTGACAGCCAATGAGGGCAAGCAACAACACGCATTCTTCGTGCCCCAACTAGGCTCAGCTCCAAGGTGGTGCTCGTTCTTAGACAACATGGTAGAAGAGATGGCGGAAGAAGTCCGCACTGAGACCTACGACAACTACAAGTTCTTGACTCTGCCAGAACTGAAACAGCTCAGCTTATCCCACTTGGTTGGAAAAACCAACTTGCTGCGGCCATACATGCACGGATACTTTGTGGCATCTAAGCTCTACGAGCAGGCTAGACTTATTGCAAACCCCTATGCATTCGAAGACGAGAGACAGAAGCGCATCAAGGAGAAGGTTGAGAAAGAGCGCTCTAGCCGCATCAGAGGCACCAAGAAAGTCAAGGTCAACCAGAGATTTGCCGACAAGCTTCTCAAGAAGCAGGAGAACAGAGGCCAAGTTGATACCAATGCTGGTCTTCTGGGAGATAAGCGATTCACCCAGCTTTTCGAGGACGAAGACTTCATGGTGGACGAGAATAGCGGTGAATTCAAGGCTCTCAACCCTAGCACCGCTGTTCAACAGGCTCTGGAGGCAAAGCATGGATCAGTGCAGTTCCAAGGCAAAGACTCTGACGAGGAATCTAGCGATGAAGAGGAGCCTATCTCTAGACCTAAAGACGACGTGGTGATGCGGATCTCGTCGACACAAAATGAGGGCCGGCCACTGAAGGACTCTGCATTGGGCTCAAGACAACAGAAATCTACGCGCGTCAACAAGGCGGATCGTGGCGAAGTTCGTGGAGAGCGACAGGTTACATTTGTGCCAGAGAGAAAAAAGAAACAGCAGCAGCAGGAAGAGGAAGAGGCTCCAGCTCCACAGAGGCGAAATCCAAAGACCAGGCGAAGCGCCAGCTCGAACACATTCAGAAAGATGTGATACCCATAAATTTTGAAATATCAAAGAGAATAAAAAAAAAAAAGAGCAAAAGGATATATGTACATACACCGGAACGCCCGTGAGCGAAATCATAATTTCATCAATCAAAAAAAGCACTCGCCATTAGCCGTTCCCATCCAAGTCCTTTGCGCTTGAACTGCATATCCCCCCAACATGCGCACAGCCACACACATACACACACGCATACACACACGCATACACACCACACCAATCTTCTCGCCGTTATTTCCCACCCGGGTTACGTCCAACGGATTTGCTTTCGCTTCGAGCCAGGCCCTTCTCCAAGTCTTCAGGCCGGAGTCGTGGAGTTGGCGGGATGTCGTCGTTAAGCTTCGTTCGTCCCTTGCGATTGGAGCGCGTAGAGCCTTTGACGGAGCGAGGAAATTCAGATCGCCTTGGAGTAAGAGCAGTAGCAACTTTCTTCGTCGATCTCCTAATAGTTTCTTTGATGGTCCATTCACGTTTCTTGGCAATGAAGAAGAGGGAAGCGGTTGTTACTAGCTTGTGTGAGCATACAGACGAGTTTGGCCAAGGAATATGGATATCTGCTTACCACCGATCAAGATAACGACTACAACTACAACAATAATGGCAACCAGGGCTCCGGTCGAGAGAGTGATGGAATTGGCGGAGCTGTCGCCCGCGGCGCCAGCATCCGTTCCATCTTGAGGAGTAATGCTGCCGGATTGGCCCTGCCACGAATTGTCCGTCGCCAGAGGGAAGTATGCGGAGGTTTGCGACATGATAATATGCCCTTGATTGGTTTGGCGGCTATGTTTGTAGGCGTCTGTATGTCATGCGAAATTCGAGATGGTCGTATGAGAAGTCTAAATATCGTACGAGATATCTTCAAATAGCAGGTAGCGAAAGCAGAGTAAAAATAAAACTACAAGATGCAAAGCTCAGACGTCCAGACCGGAGATGGGTCAAGACCAAGATGTACTGTGCCGCAGCCCAGCATTTATTATTGCCGCCTTCGTGTTTCTCGCCTCACTCCTCATCCACTCTACCCAGCTATTTCCGCGACAAGTTCCTGCATGTCAGTGCCGGCAGCGATCCATGTAGTATCAGTTACCGCCCTCCAACGCTCATCCGCCCCATTTTGCGCAGCTCTTGGCTAGGCTTCTGGTGGCTCCTGTGCCTGGACATGATAGAACGCTGGCGGTGCGCCGCCATGATTGGCCTCGTCTCCCCAAACAAGCGCCGACGCCAACGGCTCGTGCAGGGGTTGTGGCCAATGAGGTGTACAGGATTCAACCCTGCTGTCTTGGACACCACTTGAGCGCACCAACGAGCGAGAGCCATCACTGCGCGCCCACAGGTTTTGTCTGTGACGGCTCCGTGACGATGTGAGACTAAAGAGGACCTATTTTTGTGACTCGGGGAGCTGGTGCATCGCGCTTATGGAGATTGAGAAGGCCCAGAGGTGATATTGGTGATATAAGTGATGGTCGTTCGATTGCCTGTTCTGGAGGGGTGCCTTCGTCGCTAGCCATTAGCGGCGCTGGCTGTGGAATCCGAGGGGCTTGAGACTGTGAAGCTCTGTATAATGCAGATGTGGCGGATTGGCTAGAAGGCATGCGGCTTCTAACGACCATGAAGCGGCCGCGAGGCGAACATTAAACGCCGACTATTTGCGGCGTCTCAAGATTTCAATTGCTTCAGGTGAGGCGCTCAAGGCACTCATGGGACTTCGCTTTAGGCTATTGAGGATAGTCGAGTCGCTTCAACTGTGGCATTGGGCTTGATAGCAAGAGATGATGATTGTATCAGCTTATTACCAGAGCAACATTAAATTGTGATTCTTGGCATTCTGCATTGATTTGAACCAATCTGCGCCAAATTCTATTAATACTCTGCTGTTTCAGACCGGGACCTGTTACTCCTGGGTTTGACTCGGAGAGAACAATCATATTGCTACCTTTTTGAAGGAACCCGCGAAATAGCCACATGCTAATATACTCTATAGTTCAGAAACAGCTTGAATAACAAATGCAAAATACAAATACAAAATATTTCTGCTTCTATCAGTGTTCGAACCATTACTATCTGCTCCGGCCGCAACTTGTAGCGATGACGGCTATCAACGACTGGAAGACGCATCGTTCTTTCCTTCTACAGCTACTGCCTAGATAGACTCGCTTAGCCACAAATCGACCGCCTTGACGGTTAAAATTCAATTCTGTGACCAGAAAATAAATTCAATTGCTCTTTGTCCCAGATTCCAGACCCTGCGGGAGGGTATCGAGATACTTTGGTCTTTCAATCGTGCAGTGCCTCTCTACGCATCAAGCTCGTGCAGTTCAGCCAAGCGCATAGCTACAGTCTCGCGCCCTACACTCCCAAAGGCGATTTAAAGAGGTGCTGTGATGGGACCGCAGGGCCCTGAACACGGCCTTGGAGGCTCGCCTTCTGGGAGAAGAAATCCTGGCTATATGTGGATGAGCAAAGGAGCAGACCTCGACGACATGTCGCAACTAGTTCCTGAGCCAAGTCTCCCCAAGGCAACCAAAGATTATCGTACCAAAGACTGGCCTCAGAGTAGCTTTGATCATAGAGAGGAGATTTCCGAGGCCTCGCTCGCAGAGGGTTTCACGTTTCAACGGCGAGAGCCACCTCGTCCTGGCCAATTTAGCAATATTCCTCGGCATGCTTCACTTGTAATGCCCGCTGCTACACAGCTTTGTGAATCGTTCGAGCATAAGGTTGCCTCACCACCAAAGAACAAAATCACAGTTCCCTTACCCAGAGCTTCGCCTTTGGACTTGCCAGAGATTTGTCTTCCGAACAAACCGGCTGAGATAAGGTCCGGTATACCAGAAGTATCTGAGGAGTCTAAACCTGTATGTTACAATCTAAAGAGTGTGACACGTTATCTGACCTATTCTAGAAGCCCATATTTTCTATTCATTCTGGCCATTCAGATGTTAAAAATTCGTCACATCCTCGAGGTGGCTCGCCAAAGAGTGCCGACGAAGCAAACAAGAGTATTAGGCTGTTATCGCCTCCTAAACTTACGTCTTCGCCAACAAAGAGTCGATATCAAGAGAGTCCGCCTGCCGCTGACCTCAAAATGGCTCCTCCTACGCATAATAGCACATATCGCTTAGCACAACAGCCTCCTCACACAAAGCCAATGACTCGAAATGAACATCATAAGTCACCACCCAGCACCTGTGGTGATCTGGAGCTTCCCACATATCGTGCCCACCCCAAATCTCGGCATCACCGCCACAAGGACTCTTTGGTCAGGCCAATACACTGTAACTCAACCAAAGATCCTAAGCAGCTGCCTCGCCACCGATCAAGCTCAGTGGCGAGCAGCAATATATCCAAAAAGAGATCGCGAGTCCATAAAAGGTTCGCTAAACAGTTTCAAGCCATGACCCATTTTACTGAATGCCTGAATGAATGTCTCGATATTACCGACGACGAAGTCGTGGAAGCCCGCTTAGAGATTCAAAGGCTCCGTGGCGATATGCAGCATCAAGAAACAGAGCTTGAAAAGTCGCGCTCGTTGTTGGATCAGAAAGGTGCCAAGCTCTGCGAAACTGAGAAGCTTTACAAGGCATTGCTTGAAGAAGACACCCGTGTCCTCGAAGATAACAAAAGTTTGAACTCTGAGCTTGAATTGTTACGCCAGCAGCTCTCTGAAGAGAAGAAGCGATCAGAACTTTTGAAAGAAAAACACCAAGAAAGTCGATCGCGGCTTAATGACGCAATCAGAGAACAACAAGATCTCTTTTCGCGTTCTCGCGATCTTTGTCAGGAGACAATGGATCAATTACGGAAAGACAAGGCGGTTAAAACTTCAGCTTCGGATGCTGTTGATAAAGCTCTAGAAACCAGCCAGAAGAAACGCGCAGAGATGAAAAGATGTCTCGACGAGTATCGCTTACAAACAGAGAAAGACATCCACCAAAGTGAGACTTCATACTCAGGTGTAAACGGGGTATAACTGACAAAGAAACAGAGGATCAGGTCATAACTGTGTTAAAGGAGAGGTTGAGCCATCAAGAAAGTTTATTGGCTCAGGAGAAGCTATTCGCTGATAGTCTGCGCGCTCAGGGAGAAGAAATGGGTGTAGCACGAGAATGTGTTCAAACGTTGGAAGCCAAAGTAGAAGCTTTGATGACGCACCATGCCACACAGAACGAACAACGTGAACTGGATGCTCGGCAAAGCGCAGAAATGATGAATATGCTAAATTTGAAGTATTTCGGCGTGCTCCGATACCCTGAGAAAAAGAAAGGCTAACATATAAGCAGGCTAGATACTTTGATTAATGGCGGGACATTCGTCGCGAGTAATATGCTTTCGCGAGAGGATCTCACCGTCGAGCTAGGTGCCGTCGAAAAAAGCATCAAGGAGAGGTAAGATTCTCCATGAATATTTCTTGCTGTGCTCTCCAATCTCACCATAAATAGTCTTTCGCCAGTAATTTTCTCGCTAGAGAGTGCGCAAAAAGATTCTTCCAGTGCACTCACACAGTTAGAGTCATCCATTCGGCAGAATCTTGATCAATTCAAAGACAAGGCGCTTGAGCTGGTAAATAGATGGGGAAAAGACAAGGAAGAAAATGGCGTGCAGATCCAGGATCTCTTCAAACAAATTAGAGAACTTGGCGGCGGTCTAAAGAAGGCAGAAACTGTCTGTGAACACATCGGGCAGAAATTCGACTCGTTGGTCGAGAGCGAGCAAAGTCACCAGCGCATCGCCGACGTTCTCGCACAAGACTTGACACAGCGATTCTTAGACCGTGAGGTGAGGCTCGACGATATGGAATGTCGGCTTCAGCAGATGCATCAAGGCTTCGCAACAAAGATTGATACAATGATCTCCGGGGTTCAAAATAGTGAAAAAGAAGCCACCAAATTAGTTCGCAGCGCTGCTACCGAGCTTCAGGGCGTTTTAGAACAGGGTTTTGGGCAGGAGAATGACAGAATATCACGGTTACTCGTTGAAACCGGAAATATTGCAAAAACTTTGGCAGCTCATGTCGACGAGCATAAGCAGCCTGTCCCACAAAAAAATCACAAAGTCTATGAGTTGCAGACGACTTTAGAACTTGAACGTGAATCTGCTACACAGCTAACTCGCAAACTCCATGAACTTGAGCAAAAAGCTCAAGAAAACGAAGTGCTTCGTGATAGATGGCTGAAAGAGATTCAAAGTATCGAAGCAGTACGAGCGCAGTTAAAGACAGTACAAGAACAAACTTCACCTGTCAAAGTTTGCGAGAAGAAGATCGATAGACTTGTGGAAATCAGTAGATTTATTCAGTCTTCAACCAGCTATCTCGCAACAGAGAGCGAATGGGTTCAACAAGAACTAGTATCTAGAGCTCCAGAGCCAACTATCGAAGCAGACAATAACCCGTCGGCACCTTCCACTAGATCCAACGGAGAGGCAGAAAACCAACAACCGGCTAAAGAAGATGGTGCATTCCGCAAAGTCACCGTCCATAGTCCGGATCCGGGTGAGGGTTCGCCATCACCGCCACCAACGGTGATCCAAGAGCAGAAGCGGCGCCGTGAAATTACACAGCTCAGGTCAATCCTCAAGGGGCAGGTCCAGTCTGGCATAATCGAATCAGGCAGTATAGAAAGCCACTCCAACACGAACCAGGCTAACCAGAGCAAGCCCCCAGGCCTTTCGAATAGCTCTCTTAACAAAACAGGTTCTTCATCAAAGCAAATGGTTGCTGAAATTTGTTCTAGAATGGTTCGACATGACTGGAGTTTTCCTACTGTAGCCGATTTTGAGAGGGATATTCAACTAGCCAGCAAGAAGCGAGAGAGACCCCAGGACACTCTAATGTCTTCGCAACTGGATAACCCCCGCTACCGAGACCCGAAGAAGCTCAGAACCTCGAGTTACATTGACGAGTAGCCCAATGGAGAAGTCCAATACGTGATGGGCTAGATCCATGTTGCTAGTTTCTTGATGATTGCGTTTTGGACTGGGAATAGCTTCCCATCAGGTAGCTTAAGTTTGCAATCGTACATGAATTGACAATCTTTATTTTTGGTAATAGTCTTGTGCATAAATGATTTGAGAGTGACTTTCTTTTCTTCCTTTTATTTCCAAACAGATCATATATATCTTGACTTTCTAGCGCATCGAGCGCAATACCAGCCCACCCTCGAACTCCAGAAATGCTCTTCATGTTGTACATATACATAGCTGCGGGCTCTGAAACAACCAGACTGCCCGCAACCCAATCATTATTTTCACATCCTCTGAGCGTACAGTGGGATTGACGTCGCTCGGGGGAGAAGGGGAATAATCTTTCTTTTTTATTTCGATCGCTTTTTCGTTTCTAGGAATAAGACCTTCTTTCGGACTAATGGGGCGGCACCTTTAGCAACGTTCAAATAATAGCACTGATTATAGCTCGATGTCATACCTATCGGATCATATTTCAGCATTCCCATCATGGGAGCTGTTCTAGGCCGCTTGAAGGTATAGAAGAAGCCGGTCATGGCCATGGAGATGAGCCGGACATTGATCAATCTCGCCTTTGCTACAGAGGATGTTAGCTTCATTCAATTTGTTGATATGTCTACAATGGGAGCTCCCGAGATTCCATTGAAGCGAAGAAGCGGAAACTCACCTTTCTTGGCCATTTTGTCGATACCTCTGGCGCTCAAATGATGTCGTTCGACATAATCGCGATAGCAGCGTAAATTCCTGGTATGGCGGGATGGTTTGCTTGGCCCGGAAGAATAAGCTGCCGACATCCGACGTGCAGTGGATATTCGTGTTTTTGGCACTATAATTTTGCAGTAAAGGTTTGAGGCGGCAGATCTATGAAGCTTTGCATACAGTGACCAAGCCGCGCCGATAGCGGCTTACTTTTTGCTTGTTCCAGCTATTTCAAGTAAGCTTCTTACTAGGGTCCCCAGGGGTACCGCTGCCACGGCGCAGGGGTCCGATATCAGGAAAACGCAGCGCCGTAATTACAGTATCACCGGTCTGAGAAAGTAGATTACTCTCAGCTCTGCGCTGACAGAGACACGGCGACATAGGAATGCCAATTTCTACCATGTCCCTTTAGCTTACGGAGGATGCAGCGGCCTATCACGCAACAGGCTTTGATGGAGTATGTAACCCTATTATGTAGCGACAGATAAAGGCTGCAGCCCAAGTGCCAAGTGCTGTAGGGGGGAAGCCACGAAGTCGGACTCGAAAGCCAACGAAAAAAAGCATCCGCCCTTTTGGCTTTTGGTAGCGCTCCAGCTATATCTCCGCGGTTTGTGGGCTTTGGACTTTCTCTCTTTCCAACTCATCAACATCTCCCCCATCGTTGAAGTTGGGCATCATGCCAAGAGCACTGTTGGCTGGCAGCAGTGCGCTGTCTGGCGCCGCGAGTGGGCGACTGCTGCTCGGTGCTTCGCGGATAACAGGTAGGATTCTGAAGTCTCTTTCTTGCGTTACTCTTTCTTCCAGGCTTCTCTCTTTGGTTACGCCCTTCGTGACATTCCACCTTGCACATGATCCAAGCGGACGTCGAACAAGAAATCCTGGTGCGACGACAATTATACGGATCCGGGGAGCGCAGCGCAAGCTCTAGTCTACGACTTCCGGGGAAGCTCTGTTTCTATTATACAACGACTCATGCAGAAGCTGCAATATCCAACAGCCCAGAGGCTGCACCTGGGCCATCCTTGCTGTCCCAAAACGACAAATGCCGCAGCCATCCTCCCTGCTCCACCAATCTGGACAGAGCGCGACAGACGATGCGTGGAGCGACTCATGCGCTGATTTCATTCCGTTGTGTCACGATATGCCAGATGAGGCGTGGTGGTGAAGCCCTTCCCGGCTTACGGCCTGGACCAAAGCGGCTGCTGCAAGCGCGCAGATCCCGTGGCTTTCCTTGCCATCAGCCGACAATTTCCTTGGCCCAGAGGCATAAGAACGACGCAGAGCTGCTCCACAGATTTTCTATTCCCCCGCCATCAGACTGCTTTCTTCCCCAACATTTTGAAAGTTTTTTTTTCTGGCCCTTATCTAGATCTCTTGCTAACTTGAAGGAAAAAAAAAAAAGATCTAGAAGCCGCCGGTTATCGGCGATCCTTGCTCACACTTTCCACCCCGCCATCTAGAACATTTCAACCCCACCATCGCAGACTCGTTCCTCGATCATTCTCAACTACCGCGAAAATGGGCCGCCTCAATATCAACAACATCAACCCGCACGTCCGCGCAGCTGAATATGCTGTCCGCGGTGAGCTCGCCGTCAAGTCGGAGGAGCTGCGTGCCCGCCTGAGCAAGGGCGACACCAGCCTGCCCTTCGACAAGGTTGTCTCGGCCAACATTGGCAACCCCCAGCAGCTGGACCAGAAGCCCATCACCTTTTTCCGCCAGGTGCTCAGTCTGCTTGAGTACCCCAATCTGCTCGAGAAGGAGGATGTCCTGATCAACGGCCTTGGCTACAAGACCGACGTCATTGAGCGTGCCAAGTGGCTGCTCAAGCAGTGCGGCTCTGTTGGTGCCTACAGCGCCAGCAGCGGTGTGTACGCTATCAAGGAGAGCATTGCCAAGTTCCTCGAGAGTGAGTGGCATTCCCGTGCCTGATTTTGCGGTTTGGGTTGAATCTGATTGACTAACGTTGTGGCTCTCTAGAACGAGACGGCTTCTCTGCCGACCCTGACCACATCTACCTCTCTGCCGGTGCCTCGTCCGGAGTCAACACTCTTCTTCACATCCTCGCCGAGTCCGACAAATCTGGCGTTCTCGTCCCCATCCCCCAGTATCCTCTCTACACCGCCACCCTCTCCGTCCTCGACGCCACCTGTGTTCCTTACTACCTCGACGAATCCAAGGCCTGGGCCACTGATCTCGCCACAATCCGGGGAGCATACGACAAGGCCAAGGCTGACGGCGTCGACGTCCGTGCCATTGTCGTCATCAACCCTGGTAACCCTACCGGAGCTTCCCTTTCTGAGGAAGATGTCCGCTCTGTGATCGACTTCGCCAGCAAGGAGAAGCTCGTCATTATGGCTGACGAGGTCTACCAGACCAACGTCTTCATTGGCAAGTTCCACAGCTTCAAGGGTGTCTTGCGCAAGCTGCAGCAGGAGAACCCTGGAAAGTATGATGATGTCGAGCTTGCCTCTCTCCACAGTATTTCTAAGGGAATGGTCGGCGAGTGCGGTCACCGTGGTGGTTACTTCGAGCTTGTCGGCTTCGACGCCGAGGTCGAGGCCGCCATTTACAAGTTCGTCTCCATCATGCTCTGCGCTCCCGTCATCGCCCAGTGCCTTGTCGAGCTCATGGTCAACCCTCCCCAGCCTGGCGAGCCCTCATTCGAGCTCTATGACAAGGAGTACAACGCCGTTGCCAACGGTCTCCGTGAGCGCGCCAATGCCCTTCACAAGGCCTTTGAGCAGATGGAGGGTGTCGAGTGCGGCGAGCCCCAGGGCGCCATGTACCTCTTCCCTTCCATCACCCTTTCCCAGAAGGCTATTGAGGCTGCCAAGTCTGAGAACCGCACGCCTGATGAATTCTACTGCATGAGATTGCTCGAGGCCACCGGCGTCTGCGTCATCCCTGGCAGCGGCTTCGGACAGAAGGAGGGCACCCTGCACTTCCGTACCACTTTCCTTGCTCCTGGAACTGAGTGGGTTGACAGAATCACCAAGTTCCACAAGGAGTTCATGGACAAGTACAGGTAAATGTTTTTAATCAAAGAAAAAGTTTTGCACGTCAAGAGGAGGTGGGGGTGATTTCATTGGGAAAGTGAGCGAATACTTGGAAATTTCTTGTCGTGGCGTCTTCTAAGTGTGAATCGGGATGGATATAACATAGTCTCCTAGAAAATGATAGATATGGGCTCTTATTTTTTTTTTATATATATATACGAAAGATGGCCTACCTTTGTGGCAAACACACTCCACACCATTAGATCAAATATTGTTGACGCTCTAGTTTCATATTTGGGATCATTTTGTTTTCTATTTGTCTGTTGCAATCACTTCGTATTAATTCGTGTGATACACAGCTCATGGGGGAAACATGTTGTGTTGTTTGTTCTCCCTCTTGATGTAGCGAATAGGAGGTGAAAAGAATCTACGACCCCCTCATTTCCCCCTCTCTCCCCTTTAATAAATCATCACCTTTCTATCAATTCGCTCATGCTCTCTCACTACCCCTTAGTCTAACAGCCTGTCCGTACTTTTGCAACTTTGTAATCAGCTGGTCACCCTGGCGAACGACATCCTGGTACTGCTTGTTTTTATCATCGGGACGGTTGGTCTCAATGACACCCTTGCCAGAGACACGGTCGATGGTGCAAGGGATGCGGCCAGCGGCGATGAATCGAGCAAGATCACTATTACAACGTTTATTAGCAGCCGCAAAAAAAAAAGAAGAAGAAGAAGAAGAAGAAAAGTAAACACTTAAAAATTAACAGGAAAATGGTGCCACAAAGCCAACTTACCGGTCCAAAAAGTCAACAGTGACGCCAAAGTCGTTTGCCATGCTTTCTAGCCCAACAACCCGGTAGCTCTGCAGCAGCTGCTGGTAAGCACGAAGGCGCATCTCTCGGATGAACCAGCTCTTATGCTCGTGCAGGTAGCGGTCGTGGTTTAAGAATTGCTCCTCAACTGAGGCAAGAGACTGGAAGAAGGTCTTGTAGTTGCCGTTGTACAGGCTGCTGACCAACAGAGCGAGAGGGCTGAAATCGATGGCCATCTCCGCCTCGGGCTGGTCGGAGCTGGAGCCCAAAGTCGTCAGATTAACCGCCGTCGTGGTGGCTGCCTTGGGAAGCTTATCGCCCGTGGAGTCATCCGCGCCGGGGCCAGCGCTCAGGGCACCGCTGAGAGCTAATAGCTTGTCCTCGCCATCGCCCATGATGGCCTTGATCTCGGGGGCATCGACAACCTTGGACTTGAAATCGACACGCTTTAGGGATACGGAGCCGGCGAGGACGGAGTAGACGACGAGGTTGGAGTAGGTGCAGAGTTCGTAGCTGGTGAATGTGGAGAGGGAGTCGAGCAGGAGAGGCGCGGCTGTGTTGTATGCGCGGACGGTGAGGAGGTGCAGGCCCTCGTAGGCCTTTAGGCGATTGCGACGGTCCCAGTCACCACCAGTCTCGACCAGTGCCTTTGCTCGCTCAACTTGCTTCTTGACGAGGGGCTTGTCGCCGTAAAAGAGGCCCATGCGTATCGTGGCGAGGACCAGGTCGATCTTGGTGCCCAGGATGCCAGTCTTCTCGAATAAGCTTTCGAATTCGGCAATTGCTTTGTCCTGCAGTCAAGTATGGTCAGCAGCTCAGCTCGATAACCCCGCCACTACTCTTGCAAAGAGCGCCTCTGCGGCGGTTGCAGCAGCGTTGCAGCATCAGAGGAATGAATGCGTACCTTGTCGCCCACTCGAGCCCAAAAGTCAGCCCGTTTGCCCTTGGCAGCCATGACTTCGGTCTCGCCAGCCTGCTCTTCCGCCTCATCCTGCTCCTTCTGGAACTCGGCCAGTTCCTTGTCATTGTCCTCCTTCAGCTTGTTGTATAAATCCTCGTCCCATGGTAGGTTGACTGCCCCAGGTGCCGCCTTGGTCGCCACCATGCCCACCAGGCTGGATTTCCGGCTCGGGGGCTTGCCCGCTGCTGAGGAGCCGCTCTCGCCGACTGCGTTCAGAATACCCTCGATTGGGTGGGCCAAGTACCGGTAGAAGGGGGCCATCTTGTCCTGGGCGATGGCATCTTGCAGGGCCTTGGCGGCGGCCTGCTGGGCCTGTTTGGAAGCGTAGGCATTTGTGAGGGTGAAGACGTGCTGGGAGAGCGGCAGCAAGGGCCACTTGACGTATTGCGGATCTGAGCCCATGATGGCGACGGCAGCTCTGTCGAGGTCCGGGCGGATTGGAGTCAGAGCTGGTGAGGTGAGCTGATGCGAAGTTCGGAGGGAGCTGTTGTTGTGGTATAATGGAGCAGACAATATGACGAAGCTGCGATTCGATTGCCTTGTTCGAGCTTCCAGGCAAGGCACTGGGCTGGCACCTTGCCGCTTGGAGACTAGTGGCATCAGCGCAAGGCTTCAGCGGGACACGCACCACTGAAGCGCCGACGGCTCAGGCTCTCTGTACATGTACATAGGAGGGGCAGATGCATGACAGCCAGTTGGAATGGCCTACCCTGGAGCCAAGCCACAGCAATCGGGGATTATCCGCTATTACGTCGTTCTATAGACTCGATCAGCTTCAAACAACCTGCAGGACCAATTCGCGTATAATCAAATCTTCCAAGCGTTTGCTTTACTTTTAGCTGTCTTTGCTCTTTTTCTCGAAGAATTGAGATTAGGCTGCGCCTTTACCACCTGCTCGTGAGCATTGAGCCTCACTTCAAGCACATCCCTGTCAGTGTCAGACTTTGGTGCCTCACATTCAGCCCAGCCTCTTGATGACAGTCTGTGCCATCAAATGACACGCATGGCCTTATCTAGTGTTTGTCTTCTGCATTTGCCGCTCAATTTTATACAAAGTCAATCTTTTCGTTCAAAAGCCACGCATATATCCGCCTGCTGACTCTCGTTCTCTCATCTATTGACTTGTTTTCTTGCTCTGCTGTAATTCTACATCTCATCTCATCTACGGTACTAAATCTGCCGATAAGATGGTCAACTTCTCTCAACTTCCCTACGAACTGCGCGAAAAGATATGGCTCGACACCATAGAGCCCCGGCTTGTTGGTCTCATCCCTCGCCGGGTTGGAAGAGGTCTTTGGAGTGTAAAATGCACCGTTCGCCCTCCCGTTGCCATGCATATCAACCGAGAAGCTCGTGCCATCATGAACAAGCATTACCAGTACCTGGAAGCCCGCACTGTTTTGAATCACAAGTTGGTCTCATGGCCTTATGAAATATGGCCCATTGTCCTGGATTCCTCGCCGTGTATCCTATTCAACTTTGACATTGACACCCTTCATTTTGCGGATACGACTCCTCCTGATAAGCCTCTGCCGGATACCGAAGCGCAGAGAGAGAAACCGAAAATCCCTACAAATGCCATGGATCTGCTTATCCTTAAAGAATCCATGAGAGTGTTCGAAGGACCGGGATTCCGTGGAATGATTGATGCATCCTCGCGCATCCAGGACTGGCCATATCTTCTAGAAGCCAAGGACATTAGCCTTGATTACATCTATGGTGGAGATCCTGGGTTACTCAACTGGACGCGCATCCGCTATGTCCGATTCGACTTCAACATGTTCCTATCAGATCTCGCGATCTGGTGGGGAATCATGCATCCTTTTGTGAAATGGATGCAGCAGGCTGCTACACGTGTCGAGGTCTCAAGTGACCCGATCAGGAGCTGCGATCTCGTCATGGTGAGCGGCAGAGGAGACAAGAGGAAGCTAGAGAGAACGCTACGACTTGCTCTTCGGCCAGAGAAGGAATCCGATGCAGACTATCAATCATTATCTCCTATTGAGCAGCTAGAGCAGTACGGTGCGGTGGTGTTTGAAGAGGTTCTACCTACGCCTGAGAGTAAGGCCATTCTTTACGAGGTTGTCGATCCCCTCATTGGAAATGAGGCAATCTCCAAATGGAAACAGTTTTCGATTAATCAAAGAGTTTCAAGGCCACCAAATCCCGTGGTTCTTCCCAGAGCAACAGCATTTGGAGTAGATATGGAAGTGTTGTGGCAGATGGCGAAACTTAGAAGGGGCTTGGTTCATGGCGAGATGTCCCCAGTTCATGGATTGTGTCTTGCAGACTATGGAATAGACGGCGGGTTCCGTGGCAGGACTTGATTTCTTTCTCTCTCTCTCTCTCTCTCTTTTGGAATGACATGGCCATATCCATTGGCATTTTCTTATGTTTAGACTCTTGGAATCCAGCTACAAGTCACAGAGTTCATGTATAAATGTGTGGAGCGAAATTTTGATTCTTTTTGGAACGAAGCGATGAGCAGGATTGAATATCTAAACAAAACATGAAATTTGAACACCATTGCAAAAACCCCCCATGACGCCACCCATCATACCGACATTATAAATATGCTGGTAATAGTTGCAAAAATTCTTCCACGTCCTCCCATATAGCCTCTGGCTGTTCCAATGCGGCGAAGTGCCCTCCCTTAGGGTGCCGCTTGAAAAACACCATATCGCCGCTTGTGGCAATCCACTCCTTTGGCGCTCCCATGACCTCCCATGGGAAAAAGGAGTAACCAAAGAGCTTCGGCTTAGCAATGTACAGGTCCCGTTGCACTGTGGAGGCTGCATCCCTGCCTTGAGGAAAGAATTGGCGGTAGCAGTACAATGATGTTCCTATGCATCCGGTAAGGTAGTATAGGGCTGCTCCCGCAATAGCCTCGTCCATCAGTTCTATAGAATATGGAGAAGCTGTGGATCCGTTTGATTGTTGGTTGCTGGTATGAGATGTTGGAGGGAACGAAGCTGGGTCAGTCCAGTCGAGGAACTTCTCGCCAATCCAGGCGAGTACTGCGATTGGATTGGTCATTATGGCCAGCCCGACGGTAGACGGCCTAGTAGCATGCATCCCCATGTATGATACAGCCCCCGTGACAAACCACTCATATCGCTTCATGGCAATCTTGTCTTCCTCGTCCATGTCGTCGAGAGTAGCACCCTCTGGCTTTGGGACTGGAGAGAAATTTATGAGAACACCTTTGCAGTTTGGAGAGTTGTAGCCGTTATAGCGGGATATGAATGATCCCACATCGCCTCCTTGGCTAATGTAGGACTTAATTCCAAGTGTTTTGGACATGAGGTGATCCAACATGTAACTGGCATCAGTGACTGTAAAGTTTCGGTTCATTGGAGGGGCGTCGGAAAGTCCGTAGCCTGGGATTGATGGCACTATGATATGGTATGGTAGGCTGTCTTCATCTGGGTATTTCTCGCGTAGTAGCTTGAGAAGGGGCAGAAATTCAAAGAAAGACCCAGGCCAGCCGTGCACAAAGAGCACCGCCACAGAATCCTTCTTCTTGGAGAAGAGGGCTGTGAAGTGGACGTTGATGGAGACATCACTTGGAGAACCATCTTCATTGGGAGTTGGTATCGCTGTTTTGAAATTTGGAAAAGAGTTGACGAGCTTCTCTCTCTCTTCCCTATAGCAGATAACGTCATTAATACTTATTCTAGAAATGCTCTGATTCTTTATTGTTAAAAATCAAGAGATTACTTACCAGATGAAGCTGTTCTGCCATCTCTCCTTGGCGGCCACAAGCCAATCGCGTGTTACACCGAACTCTTGAGACTTGTCGGCGCCTGTGTTTTCGTAATTTGGGGTTGCTATGTTGGAGAGTTCCACAAGTGTGTTCATGCGAGTTAACTCAGCCTTAGGGATGGCCAATGTGTATGACTTGATGGCTTTCTTGTTGGCCGTGCTTGGTAGCAGGCCATAACGCTTGACCAAAACCATTGTGAGAAGAAAAGGAGAAGGAAAAGCAGAAAAAGAGATAGAAGAGACAAAGAGGAAAATGATGTATCTTTTCAGGGCGTAAAATTGGATAATATGTATTTAAATATGACAGTTGACAGAATGTGAACCAGGCTCTTGGCTTTTCTTGACTCGGGTCCCGATGGTAAGATATGAGAAGATTAATATATAGGCACGAGGGGGACAGCTTCTTCCCCTTATCTTACTTCTCGGCCCGGTCCCAATCTTCCTGGCTTGCTGATCTAGGATGCCAGCTTGAATGGATGAGACTAGCATACACTACACCTATACCTGATAGGATAATCGCCATCGGAGCCGTATGTATGTATGCATTTTCCCTTCGGGCTTCGCGTCTCGCTAACCATTTTAGAATCGGGAAAGGTGTATGGATATCAGCCCTCGTACCCCAATATGACAAGGGAGTATTAGTAGAAGAGTATTACTAGCATTACTAGCAGTAATGGCAGAGTCTCTCGGCGCTCATTAGCTGATGCTGGTACGAAAGTCCTGTAGTTTGCTAACGATTACGGGGCGGGAAGCAGCTTTTGCTTCTTTATTGGCCGCTTGATGAGTTGTTTGTTACCAATCGTTGCTTTTAATGTCTCAAAACTTCCAAGGTATTTTCCAAGTCAGATTCCAAGGTAATTAGTGAGTGGGTGTAGTACCCAGTGGTGCGTCTTATGTGAAATGCCAGATCTATCGTGACACTCGTTATTATGGCGCAGGGGTCGGGCCGTGATGATCTTTGCCCACTTAGGGCCGCCCTGTCCACTAATTGCCTGAATAGTAAAGACACCCTGAAGGGGAGAACAAAGACTAAATACCGAGTGCGATAGCTGGCTAGACAGTACACAGGATTACCTTTTCTTTCTTATTCAGCACCCAGCATAACCGGAAGAAAGACAGTTAGGCGATTGGTTGCATACGTGTATGCGTTTATACTGCCAAGAGTCCCCTGGTGTTTCTTCTGTTAGGGCATGGTGAACATACGGATGGATATGGATTACTACTCCCGATTAGGCATTTACATAGCCCGATAGGTATGAGTAGGTAAATCACACTAATACAGCCAAGTACCTGGATATTCCAGACAGGATCCTATTCAAGGGGAAGTATTGACAGGGATTAGAACTGCTAGAGTCTTTATACTAGGCCCTATTGCTTTTCCTACTACCGCTTTTAGGTATCTTGACCAACTTTACAAGTAGTACGTGCATTGTGCAACAGCAGATATTATCTACTACCCAGGCAGCTGTTAAGCGATAACGAAACAATAAACAGCATATACCGATCAATGCTGCTGTACATGGGTATTCGGCAACCCCTCATCCGAATGCGAGTAGACACCAATAGCCGAACGTACCGTATAAGCGGCACATGCCGCTTACTACACTACATAGGTGTGTACTGCCGTAAAGTTGGCCGAAGTCAATCCACGCGTGACTCTGAGCGGTCATGGGCCATGGGAAGCTAGATGCCGATTGTGCCTGGTAGGGAAAAATCCTGGTATCCTGGAATCCTGGACTGAAAAATAAGACTGTCTAGCTCGCATCTGCCAAGGCATTCAGCCGCACTCCACCAACACAAGAGCAGCAAGGGCACAAAGGAGAAGTCAAAGAGAAGAGGGCTAACAGGAAGGACGATCTCGCTGACCGCTCCTGGTTCCTCCAACTTTGCTATTAGCTGTATCACTGACACTTGTCAGAGGAAGCTTGGGAGACCGGGCCTACACTAGGCCCAACTGTGGGCTCAATATAGCGGGAAAGGTGAGAGGAAGTGTGACCTCTTAAGCTAGGCCGTTGACGATCTAGGCTCCTGATGATGGAGAATGACTTTATACTACTACTTTATTCAAGGAGAGCCCGTGCGTTGCAGGCCATGGTTAAATGGAGTAGATGCATCGATACGCTTCTCTCTAAGCCCTCCGTGAAGGGACAGCTACACTCACTCGTATTCCATTACCTACTCGTGATATATAGCGGCTTCACAGAACTAGAAAAGCTCAATTGACAGTTAGTTTACGCTCGAATTGCTTCTTCAGTTTATAGCAATGACCTACGGACGTAAGGAGTTGGTAGGCGTGGCGTATACTCCGTAAAGGAGATGCATTTGTATGATACAAGGGCACATGTCCTACCAGCTACTAGTCTCTTGTCTCTCCCGACTATCATTCCATAAAGATATTTAGAAAGAAACGCTTTAGTAGAATATAATAAGTTGCAATTGAAGGAATAGATCACGCACACCATCTACTCAGAACGGATTCTTCGGCTCTTCGCCTATGTACAACCTCGGATAAATTGGCCCTACATAAAGTCTAGTGATGGTGGCACTCCCCAATTGGTGCGTCGCATATGCAAAATGTTCCCAATCGGGATAGAGCATACCCTTGCGTATATGAATCGTGCGGTGGTTTGGGGCCAGACGATATGGGTACATGTAACTGCATAGCTAATCGCAAAGAGATCTTCCTGAGATAGATAGTGGGTATAAGTGAGGGTAGTGAATTTTGAACTTTGTCAAATTAGGTAGGTTTTATGGTATATGTAAGCGGCTGACATGCTGAATGAATCATCCAGCGCTCGTATAAAGGTTCTAAAACGTTATTTGATTAAAAATATTACGTGATCTGATAAATGTGCAAATTCTAGGTTAGATATAAGACGAGGCACAAAAGTTACCCCCCCTGTCCAACACCCCTTGTATGTATGGCGTTTGGAGACGCTCTTAACCACTTTCATCTCTTCCCGCGGAATTCTGGGTTCAAGGGGGCGCATCCTTTAACCCGCGAGGACGGTAAGTACCTACATGTAGATGCCATTACGGGGCACCACTACGGGGTACTGCTACGGGGTATTGTTATTCGTGCTTGCACTAGCGTTACCTACTCATGGTAGAACAACAGACCTGGTCCATCGCGGCCTTGCCATCGAAGTTGCTTCCGATCGATATCCGGATCGTCTGTGTGTTGGTTACTATGGTACCGCTGTTGTGGCGATACTGCTATCAACCCGGTTTGCGGAATAGGGCAGCTGGGGTTCTCACCTCGGGTCTCGCTTGGCTTCCGCTCCACACATATAAGGAGTATCAGTATGCCTACGAATATGATAGAAGCCTGGCATCATACACCGTCGCATGAGAGGGTGACACCCAAATCGCATGCGCGTGGCTGGTAGAGGCTACTGCGTCTTTCATTATGAGTGTGTATGAGTCCATATATTGGATCCACCCGCTGCAACCTCTCCGGATGGCAGTTTGCTTGATCTACACGTGTCAACGTGCCTAACCTCGTAGATCCTAGATATTACTACTTTGTACAATATAGTCACTACTAGTAGCTACTCATTTCTAGTCCCGGCTAGCTGCCACTACCGCTGCGGCTAAATTATGACAATCCCAGATCTTGCTTGTCAGCATAAAGCCGTGCTCAAGTGGTTGCTATCCCGCACCAGCTGAGAGTACCTAGATTAACACCCCTGTTTCCCGACTACCACCTTCGGCAGCCATCAACGCGGATCTACTCTAGCATTGGATTTCGCTGCCTCGATAAGGATTTATTCATGGGGCTGTAAAGTTGGAATTTAGTCCCCACAGCCTGCAGAGTGCGAACTTGAACTCTGCCTTGTGCCGATGATACGGCTCCATACATGAGGATTTTCGAACGCCTTGTTTGAGATTTTCATGGCCGATGGAACGGTAGCATTTTCACACGAACTCCAGTGTATTACGACTGAAGGTAGTTAGAGAGGAAACGTAGTAAACCGGGTCTTTCTCAGAAAGGGCTACCAAGGCCGAGAAAGAGAGGAACCATTTGAAAAGACAACAAAAACCCTAACTATCCTTGTCCTTCATGTCTCTTCGCACGTATACAAGTATTCTCCTTGGTATTTCCAAAACCCTGATTGGCCACCGGATCTTGCCGCGTTGTAAGTTACCCAACACCTGCTGCCAGTACCATGACATACTATTACCTGAACGCTGGTATGGATCACAGCTTCAGCTTCCATGCTCCCCGATCCTTGCGCCTTTCAAGGGCCCCTCCAAACCACCATCGTCCTGCGGGTGGGTGAACGCAGGTCACTACTAGCGTGCGTCGCGGAAAGGGCATCTGTACATTCTTCCATGAGTCATCATGTTTAGCAATCTATGAAAGCCAATAGTTGGAGGGGAAAGACTCGAGGCGTATTCGTACTTTGAGAGTTATCGCCATCCTTCAAGGACTAAGAGTAAGTGCGAAGAATGCCTCGGAAAGATGGCCATTTATGGACATAAACATATTCAATGTCTAGGCTTTTGAAGTTAGCTCGAATCAATCGCCTTCCGCATGATCCTTGTCGACAGGGCTTTAATTCCGATGTTCAGGAGCTCTGTGACGTTATTCTTCTCACTTGCTAACCGGCCATATGACGGATATGAGCTTGCATGCCTTCTTAATTCCTTTGATGTAAGATTTCGGTTTATTGGATCCCTTCTACCTCGTTTGCAGGTCTAAGCGAGCACATGTCTTGAACACAACGGCCTTATTTCAGAAGGTGGAGAAAGAAACCTCGGTATTAACATAGCCTCTGTGGATAGGTGAGAAACCTGGCGACGACTGCCCTCTATTTTGTTTCAAGGCCCAAACTTTGCCAAGTACTACTACTGCTGAGCTAACCGTCGATTCTTGGAGTAATATTTTTTACACTACAGACTGAAATAGGGTAATTGATAGCCAGACTTATTTTTTAGTGAACAGAGATTACTATTCTAAATCCTTAAACTAGCGGGATTTGCAAAAAAAGGGGAGGGGAGCTCAGGAGTAGAAGTCACAATTAAGCGATGGATAAATAATATGCATGAAATATTGAAACACGCCCCTGGTAATACTGCTTGTATTGTCCAGTGTATTTGTATACCTGCTCGTTCTACGAGCCTTTATCTTTTCATGGCTCATTTCATGGCTCATTTCATGGCTCATTTCAATAATCTTGGATCGTTGACGAGTTGAATAGCGTAGTTTCAGAGGAATGCTGCTTACTAGATAGAGTCGCCAATAAGATCGTAACACTAGCACGAATACCGTATACCTGGATAGTTGTAATGGTTCAATTACCGTATAAAGCTATTGCATAAGGTTTGTCAGATTGGTCATTGCTGCGTTATTGGAGTTCTTTCCTCGCCTTTATACTTTATCCTTCAATACTTTTACAAGGGCGGTTTTTTTTGCACTAGTTGGTCCATGGCAAGCGTTTACATATACACATATATACTCATTAATTATTACAATGGTGACTCCTCAATTGCACACCAGTTTTTAGCTTCTCTCAGGTCAACTTCAAAGCGAATACGAAGGACATCAAGTTGCAGTAGATTGCGGTACTTTTTGCAAAGCCCCGGTCTACTCTGATCATGGGAACTATTAATAACCGGGGCTTCACAAGATATTGTAGAATGCCCACGATGAATGGAGTGGCGAAGAGGGGTGAGAGCCTTTGCACGATAGAAAACATTCTATAATGGTCAAACTAGCTAGCTATAATTACAATATCCACCCTTAATATACAGTAGTAACATATCCATAGATTAGGTTGTAATGGACTCTACACCTGCTCGGCGAGATGAACTTCCTGCGAGATGTAAAAATTACGAACGATTCCCCCGGCACTCACATCCACGGGATCAGGATTTCCGTGCCCATTTTTGATACCTCCTTGAATATGGACTATCGGGGGAGGATAGTAGTTGCCGAATTCGTAAGCTGTGTTTTCTCTACGAGGTACAGATCGTTGCAGGCTCTTCTCCGAAACATTGCGTTTGGCTGCCTGTCCTTCACTATGGCCAGTGCCGTTGCTGTGTAGTCTGGAGCTAAGCGTTTTATAACAGCTGGAAGTGGTGATATGCTTCTTCCAGATGGCTTTCCAAGCTGGGACACAGCCTATGATCAGGGCAATGCTGTTCTCAACAACACTGGAGACAGACTCTTATTAGATAAAGTGAGATGAATGATATTTCACATGACATATACTCACACGCAGATAAGACACCTGTATTGTGTGTAGACCATGTCTATCGTGCTCAATAGAGCAGCTCGGTAGACAAGCCCAACAACGCTGGTGATGACACCCCTGTTTCTTTTGCATTAGCACATGCATACATACTACCGTTGCTACTTGGCCGATGATCGCGGTGGAGCTACCTACACCAAAGCAGTAAAAAAAACGGCCATTACGGCAATTCGCTTCCTGAGAGACATGTTTAGCCTCCACAGAACTGGCTGTGGTAGAATAAATATGTACAAGTCGATGACGACCGCCAGCGATCCCTGGATTACTCCCCAGGGGAGGAGCTTAGCCAAGTTATCAGCCCATGAATGGCCCGAGTTCAAAGCATTGAATGCAATGTCAAGAGGTATGGTTGGCCAGTAGATCAGACCAGTGAATATGATGCCCACGTATACAGCAATGCGCATACCCTTATGCGCTGCGAAGATCTGGAGATAGAGCAGCAATATGGCGCTCTTAGCGAAGAATGTTGCTGGACCAACGATAATGCCCTCGGCAAAGAGAATATTCATATAGGTTGCGTCGAACCAACATGCAGGAGTATCCCATTGATGCCCAGCAAATTTGAGATCTAGCAGAAGGCAAAGTAAGTATTTGCTCTAAAAAGGGACGGTATGTGCTTTCCATAGCAAGAAGTGGACAGAACATACTAGATAGTACGAGTCCTACATAGGCTACATGCAAGACGTAACCGATAATTGCAAAGTCTGGAGATGGGAGTTTAGCGTATGCCGTGTATACATGGTTACGTCGTCTCCTTTCGCCATTCTCTTTCACTTCTACTCACAGTCTGCAACTTTTAGTCTGCGCATATTTATCCAGACTCTGCCAACAACAAAGACAGTTGACAATGTCAACATGACTGCTGATACTGCGATGACAGCCGGCTCAAGAGTTGCATGGTTGGTAAAATTGGGAACAATGCCGGGAGGAGGCATAGCTGCGGGGATTTGGCAAGGATCCGCGCCTGGAGGTAATTGTTGGGAGGTCATTTTTGTCTCTCTGACGTCTTTCCTTATTTGTCGCCTCTTTCCATTCCAGCTGAAGGTGATTCAATTTTCTGCAGCGGTTCGGGAGAGCTGACTGCATACAGCACGATGCACATCTGACTATGCACCTCAAAGCTTCAACAACGGGTTGAAAGAGTGTTTACATGGAAGCCATAGAAGTACATGGGATAGTTAATTAGCAGCATGAAGCTGAAGTTTGGAAAAGTAGCATTGGGATCTTGTTTTAAAACGAAACTACAGAGCATACGGCCGTCGGTCTCTATGAAATGGGAGAAAGAATAAACTCTAAAAATACCTAATATATGTTGTTGGTTAACGATAGTGTGTAGAAGGCGTTTCACTCATCGGGTATCTTCAGCTACGGCTAAGGCCCATTGAGCGCCTACGTACCTGGAATCCTTTGTTGAAGAATAATTTGAGGAGATTTAAGAAAAAACAAAAGTAATAGCCGAGCTGAGAGAGTTCATTATGACATCTACATACAGGGCTGTAGATGTGGATCCTTACTGCGTGTTTGCGCCTGGCAGCGCGCAGAATATGCTTGGTCAAGTGTTTTGCCATTTCTCAAATTCGTGTAAGGCGATCTGCCTCGGTTTCTTTTGGTGCTCTCCGACGCGTCGTCGTCGTTGGTCGCTGTCAACATTGGAAGTATACTGCGGGGCGTTGATTTGCTAGATGTACAAGAAGCCGGAGTGGCTAAAGTTAAATAGAGGGCAACTCCTTGCGAGGGCTGGAGTTTACTAACTTTTCTAGGCTTCGCCAGCTGATGAGCGATTGAGTAGACAGGCGCCCTACGATCATCAGCCTCTCACTGGTGAGTTTGTAAGTGTTAGAAAGGGCAATTTGTGTGCACAGCTATGAGCCATTGCGGAAGCTCAACACACGTCCACCCGCGCAAGAAATGATAGTGTTCATGTTACGTTCCCCGTTATCACCGACTCATATTGGAATCAAATGGATGTGCTCCGTGATGTTCTACGTACCATACAGTTCTTCCGTGCGAAGGCCGCAATGTTTTACAAGCTGATGCCCTGATGCAGATACCAAAGCTGGTTGTATCCGCAAACCAACGTATACGTATGTAAGTGGCAAAATAGAACTGCATGTACTACTCACTAGACCAAGACACAAGCTAAGACAAGACCGGGAGATCCTGGGAATCCCGGGAATCAGACACCCTAAATCTTATCTTGCGAAGAATGGAGATGAATAGAATCCCGCTTATGCTTCAACTGACAAAGTACAGCGGGATCCCCACAATGGCGCTGAAAGTTAGCTCCTCCGAAGGACAACCTGTTGTTTTTGGCTGCCATTAGCTGCCATTAGGTTGCATTAGGCTGCCTGAAGCAGTCACCCACCCTTGCGCATCTGACGGCTCTCGCCGCTATGCTGGTCCTGGTGATTTGCAGACTAGGATCGCCTATAGTCGCAGTGTTGCTACGTCGCACGGAGCAGCTGTGGAGAGTGCCGTACTTGTAAAAGGGAGTGGGTGCCTACAAAAACACATATGGATGGAGAGATTCATCTCCATCCCTGCTTGAAAATAGCCGCTATAAAACATCCTTGGTGATGAAGCTCTATCTCCTGGTCCGGCTGCCTCCATGAAACAAAATTCAGTATATACGTTTATATTGAATCGAAAATCATTTAATGGCCTTGACTAATATTAAAAAGCTTTCATAGTCCACAAATAATTGTAAAATTGCTCTTTTCAACAGAGTACAAGTATAGAAGCAAACGTGTTGCCCGCCGGAGCTCTAAGTCACAGGTTTTGAAATCAAAGAGGCGTATGGAATTAACGCACCCAAAAAAAAGAAAGAAAAAAAAGAAAAAAAAAAAAAAANAAAAAAAAAAAGAAAAGAAAAAAAGAAAAGAAAAAGGAAAATGGAAAATAGAAAATCAGCCGAAAAATATGCCGAAACTGAAAGGGAGGGATGAGAGGAGAAAATGAAGAGAAAAGAAACCCATGCATGATGCCATAACCGTGATGCTTCATGCAGCAATAAGACAACCCCCACAGTTGCTAGATATGGATCAATGCCTGCATGAATATCGACGACACGTGCTGAAATTTCCAGTAAGATAGGTGTATGGCCAACTCACTCATTCACTCATCTCCATAGACCAATTAGTAAAATAAAACACTCAGATGTTTGAATAAAAAAAAAGGAAAGAAGATACCCCAGTTAGAGCAGCTTTTTGCGGAACATTACAATGGAATTAGCCCAAGCGGCCCCACGCCTTGGTTCTCGGCGCTCCGAGATGTGGCTTTCTGCACTCCCAGTCGTCCAAGATGCGAATCAGTATGAGCTTTATTACTGGCGAAACGTCAAATCCACCAGGACTATGTGGAAAGATGGCGCGTTAGTTTTGCACTAGTGAATGCATCGTATATGACCGCATATGAGACAGCCTTTCAGCTGAGCGTGGCCAAATCGGGTCAGTAATTGAGACCTACATGCACTTGCCAAGACATGTTGCCGAAACTCCGTATCGGCCAATTATGGCTGACATGTGTCAATCCGGACTCCTCCTGATCAGGCATTTCAGCGCATGGCTTAAGCTGCTGGAGCTGGGCGTTGGCTCGCAACGAATCCAAAGCCGCCAAATACGCATACGGGGGTTCCTTGTATCGAGTGCCATCCTGCATCAAGGCTCGCCGGGGAATGCATACCCAGTCGCCTCTGTTGATGGATGAGCCATCTTGGGAAGTGTATGAGGCAAGGGCCTTTCGCCGGCATTTTACTGAAAGTGCCATTACAAGGTAAGTCATCTTGGCAGCCGGCTAAGGATACACATGCAAGTTCTTCATCAGAGTGGCGGCAGCGTTTTGCCTGCTTGATGAAGCTATCAAGAAGCGGCAGCTTATCCACATCCTTCAGGAATTTGGCTGAATGAAACCCCCTTTGAATATCTTCCCGTAAAGCTTCAATATACTCGGGGTGATTGCATAGATCTTGGATTGTGTAAGTTGGCGTCTGATTAACATACACACTATTCAGCAAGCTATGCTATCCAGAAGGATTTTCATACTTGCCATGGACAACTGATGCGCCGATCCGATACAAACTGCCATTTTCTCACCCACCATTCTCGCAGGCACCCAGGGGGTTTTACGAGGCGACGAATCAATTAGCCTGAATTACATGCAGTCCGTCTGAATAGGTGGTTCATATGTCTATTCCCATGGATGCTATTTTGCACGAATCGTAGGCCTGTGATATTGGGCTGTTGGGGACAGGGACAGCCATCCTAACGCACCGGAGTGACTCTATGAAGCTACAGATCCTTCACTGCTAGACGCTGCCCAAGGCATCAGGCGCTGGTAGGGCATTTTTGCAACTCTATGTCAATCGGTGGCTATTGATGTAACTAATGGTCTCATACCTATGGCCGTGATGCGTAGAAACCTCGGCTGCGAAGATGACAACTTATGGGAATTTTAATGCTGCAGCGGTGAATTCGGGGTTTGGGCTATTTATATGTAATTTACCGTTGGTGAACTCTCTATTTTATCGCATATATAAAGAGGCAAAATCTCGTACAAAGCTCCTCGCAAAAGGGGACAAAGCAGTTAACTTTGGTGATGAGTCTCTTCATCAAAGGAAAGAGTTCTACATGCGAAAAGCCTATAAGTCCCTGCCCGGATTGCATCATCCCATAAGGCAGTAGCTTATTAAATAAGAAAAGAGAGATGAAAAGACTGTTAAGTTACCATCTGAATGGACATCCTTGAACGCAATCTGCAAAGAATCCTTCACTAGTCGTTCTGGATCGAGCTGGAATTTCAAGGGGCGGGACCTAAGAAGGTCAAAGAGCACGAACAAAGCCCGTGCCCTCATTTCATGCATCGTAAATTTCGGCTGAAAGATCTGCATACATCATTACGCACATAAATCACAGGAATACCACCGTCACATCGCATACCTCTTAAATCACTGCATGAAGCGATGGCCGCCGGCGCGGTGAATCTGCAAGCGCCATGATTAGATCCATAGACTTAACCAGAAGGTCGTTTGCTAGAGTGTGCACTTTGGAAGGATTTCCTCACGCCTGCCACGTGTTATGCATCGGAAATATATCTTAAACTTCATGCATTGTTACCTTGTTATATGTACGATCGATGAGATTGGTACCTCAGGTAGGGTATAAAAGGCCCTGCATGCATCGAAACAGAAACGACGTTGCCTAATATAGATCCATCAGCGTCTAAGTTGCTCCTGGAAGTCTTTATTAATACATTACCTGTCTAACCCATTGAATTTGAGCCAGTATCAAGATGACAGCGAGTATAGTAGCTTCGAGTATGTACGAAACTTCTAAAAAGAAAACTTGTGTCTATGAATATAGATATCCTATTCACTTTTTAAGAAACCCATGATGAACGAGAGTCCAGTACTAAGAACTGTCAATAGAATGGAAGAATTGCAAGCACTTTGAGTCTAAGGCGATTAAAGTTCTCCCGTAAATATCTTTTAATATACGAACATATTTATAGACACAATCCGAGAGAGATACGACGGCTTTGAACGCGTTTGAGCAAACTTTCAAGCACGAAGGCTTCGCTCTAGAACCAACAAGTACATACAATAACACGTTAGACAAGCGAAAAGGAGGAAACCCAACCCAATTTCCATGATAATCCGATATTAGTAATATGAGATACTTGAGGCAAGCATTGATATCTCTTTTTAGTACAAAATTCAACACAATGCTAGAACATGGGTAATGAGAACAGACTGATAGTTAGCATAGGGAAGCGAACCAGCTATGCTATCATACTGGGATCTAATCAAGTAGTATTAATAGATACATTAGATACTTATTCGTTATATGTTAATTGTGGATTAAAATAATTCTATCTTTGTTTTCAATCTTTATTCTACCGCTCATTGTCTAGACCTCCATCCTTCTCCATAGGCTATACTGATCGAGTCCTTACAATGCCAACTAGAAAAGGTGAAATATGCAGCTCTTGCTTTTCCAGCCTCTCTTTGCTTTTCTACAGTTCCACCGGACTCACGCGCCATCCAAAGGATAATATACACGCTCGTAAAGTCTCATTGCCAGGGGATCAGCTACGGAGGTCGCTCTTTGAAGGCTCTTTCTCATTAACTAATTTTGTTTTTATGAAACCCATGAGAGAGGCTATTATCATCCTTAGATATAGTGTTAAATAAAGAAACCTCACGAATATGGGCGGTAAAAGTCGACCATAAACTAATATTGACTCAGAACTATGTACACCGGTAGTCAAATAGATGAACAGAGATTATCAGATGTTCATACTCGGTGCTCCATAGCTGAGCTCATTTCCACTTCTAAATAACCCACTCTAATTGTTTGCTTGCTCGCGGTTTAGCGCTTGAGACGACATCCAGTCTTTTTCGTTTAGATTGTCTAATGACAATATCATTAGGCGAGACATGAGCTAAATACTGGGCTACATGTCTCCAAGTGGGTAAAAAGATGGTGACAATTATGATGGTGGCGCCGCGGCGCAGTTGTTATAACAATCAGCAGCCACTTCTATTGGTTGTACGTTTCGACCAAGCGTCTGGAGCATTCCAGTTGCCTGGGTATCCGGTCTAATGGGCTAATATTCTATTTCATTACGCTGTTGAGGAGGGAAACACATTATTCCCAAATCTTTGTGAGTGATATTATGATAATCTAACCAAGAATAGAAGAGCCCGTAACAGTATGCTGGTGAGTAGAGGGTAAATGCATATGGATACTTACATGTCTGGTGCTGCGTATTATGCGTTGACAAGTTCACCATACACTACAGTATTAGAAACTTTTCTACCACAAAGTCCAAAGATTCCGCCGAGGCATATCAAAACACACATACTTGATTTTCAACGAATTTATACAAGCCATGTTGCGGGCTTGGGAAACACCGCATATTGCGTACAAGCAATGTACACGCCACTACCAACAGACAAAGAGGGCCGTCAGCAACATTGGCGCGAGATATACACATTCATCAGCTATATTAAGGAGACTATTTGAACTCTAATCTTCCTTCTTGAAGTGTTTTGTCGTGCGTCTAGACAAGTTGCGCCATGTTTGCATGTGCCCTTGTGCCGCTAGATCGACAGACTTTGAGATTGCTGTTCCTCGCCCGTGCGAATGTACGTATGAACTGCATCTTTTGAGTGAAAAAATAATCTCACTACGATGAAACATACGATTAAATACTGTGACATGCGGTAACATAACAAGAGTTGGGGATTGAGATGATGGGACTGTTGGATGAGTTAGACACTCGGTTCAAGATGTGCTTAATGTCTGTATCCATATTAAAATATCAATATTAGCTACCCACATGGAGAATTACTCCGCCCATGCATGTTATCAGCTAGCCAGTAGGAATTGATCCGTAAAGTTGGAGAAGTTCATCGTATGTCACTGCATGTAAGCAGCAACTCAATTGCCTTACCTAAATAGCCCGCCTCAGCTGTACGCGTAGGTCGTTACTCAGCGGTTGGTCAATACGAAGCACTGGCGCATCGCATCCTGGTCGCATAACGTCACCTCGGCCATCTCACCGTCTCGTATTGAGCCCTCCTCTCTCATCTCATCTCATCTCATCTCTTCACCTCCCTCACTCATTGATTTCACCAGCAAAAATGGATGACTTTGCGCGTAGAGAGCCTTTAGACCAGCCGTCCCACGAGCCTCCCCCTCAGCCTCACGACGAAACCACGCGGCAGTTCTTCCACCACTCCGGCGCCAGACGCACAAACACCGACACCGTCATCGCCAAAGCGCTGCGGCAGCAGTACCCGAATCTGTCTCTGTCCATCGCGCCAGCCGCATCATGCAATCTCACAGCCTACGCAGCAAGCGGCCACGCCCAGTCCACGCCATTGACCGACAACGACGACCATCACGTCCCGGCATCGCTGTCATGGAAGGTCTATCTGCCGCCCGCGAGACGCATGGACGGAGGCCTCGGCGTCGTTGCAAAGGACACGCAGTTTGAAAAGTACCTGTACCAGTGGAAGGACCACGACTTCATCGTCTACTTGGTCAACGGCCGTGACGGCGGCCAGTCGTATCCAAACGTTGTCAACTTTTATGTGCTGTCGACGAGTGAAGAGCTGGCGACTCAGCTGATTCTTGCGGCTGGGCAATGGTCCAGCGACCTGCATGAGGAGATCTGGGTGTTTGATGGAGGCTACTGGTCCAAGAGCGCTGAGCTTTACCAGAGTGCGATGAAGGCGTCGTGGGAGAGCGTTATTCTGGATCAGCAGATGAAAGATGCTCTCATCGAAGACCATTTGTCCTTCTTTCGGTCGAGAGCTACCTATGATCGACTCAAGGTGCCCTGGAAGCGAGGCATCATCTATTACGGCCCGCCTGGAAACGGCAAGACAATCTCAATTAAGGCGACGATGAACATGCTTTACCATCTCAAGCGGCCGGTCACGACATTGTATGTGAGGTCTCTGAATTCGGTAGGTTTACCTCTTAGCTTTCTTTAATTTGTTCGCGAATTATTGTTTTATTGTTTGGCGCTGGTACGTTTTAACACAAACCGAGCATCTCGCTGACAAGACCGTTTGAAATAGTTCTATGGACCAGAGAAGAGCATTGATATGGTCTTCTCAAAAGCGAGAGAGTTTGCACCGTGCTATCTCGTTTTCGAAGATCTCGACACCATTATCACGGATGACGTTCGGAGCTACTTCTTGAACGAGGTAGACGGTTTGAAGAGCAATGACGGTATTTTCATGATTGGAAGCACCAATCACCTAGATCGATTAGATCCTGGTATTGCGGTAAGTTTTCCCTCAAATACAAGTTTTGTGTTGCCTCTAAACTAATATCCGAATGATTGTCTGTCTTTTAACCTAGAAACGCCCCTCTCGTTTTGACAGAAAATACCTGTTCCCAGACCCAGACTACGACCAGCGCGTCGCCTACTGCCATTTCTGGCAGAAGAAACTATCCGATAACAAATCCGTCAGTTTCCCCGACAATCTCTGCGCAGCCATTGCGGAGATTACCGATGATTTCAGCTTCGCGTACATGCAAGAGGCGTTTGTGGCGGCCCTACTTGCCATTGCGCGGAAAGGTGAGGGCGATGACGAGAATGATGGGCAGGATGATGCCATGGTTATGACAGTAGACTTGGCGGAGGACGATTGGGTCCAGGTATTGGACAAGCCAGTTGAGGAGAATCCGGACTTGGATGAGCTGCCCTTGTGGATTGAGATTAAGAAGCAGATTGCAATATTGCGTGAGGGCATGGAAGAGCAGACAGTACAGGTGTAACTTTGCTTCCAGGTATTAGCAAACCGGTTGGGGCTGAAGAGCAAGGCAGAAAGATTTTTACACTTCAGAAGATTGTCACTATTATATAAAAGAGACATAGCATGCATGAATGATTCGTTTCAAATTAGAAGCTCAATTTTCTCTCAATTTAATTTAGTATACAGCAACTAATGCGAAAATCAAAAACTGCTGAGGCTACAATACCCATAAAAATAATCTTGACTTATAAATACATAGAATCGTATCTTACTGTTCCCAGGCGTGGAGTATAAAGAAAAAGAAGAATTGTGATCCGATTGCGCACAGTCCACTAAACTTCTCTTTTCAAATCCGACACCACATAACACAAAACAAAGAAATAGCATATTATATAGAGCCATAGGCATCCATGGAGCAATATCCAACGAGGAAAACGGTATAATACCCATCGGGAGAGGAAATCCACGTGAAAATCAGTAAATAACGGAGCACGAAATCATGGGTCGCCACCAAAGTTGTCCATTTGCATCAAGTTTGAAACCTACACGTAGACGTTAATTAGCTCAATGTTTCTTTCATTCCCAAGCACTTAGCTACTTACGTCTCAGGAGAATTCGTAATCTCCTCGAATGCTTGCAGAACATCGAATCCCATGGCCACCAGAGGCTCATAGGCATCATCAACGACCTATAGCGGGATATAGTGCGTTAGATTCAAAAGTGACTTTAAGAGGTAAAAGAAAAGGGTTCCAAAGAGAATATCTTACCCAGCTTAAAACTGTTTTGTTTGCCTTGTGGCCTTTATTCTGTCGAACACCCATCAAGGCAAGACCCTGCAGCACCAAAGTCGAAAGCGGAGCCAGAGGCACAATTGGGGCCAAGAGACCACCAATGTCTTGCTTTGGAGATACTAAGGGAGGGACGTATCTAGCAAGAGGGCTATTCGGTCTGCTTATGATGATGGTCCCCAGCAAATTCCCTGCCGCGTCCTTAGCCCGCACAATACCACAGGCTTTGCTCTCTTCTAATGCAGCTCGGTACAGTTCAAGGACCTCTGGGTTTGCGTGTGTTCGCACATGATGCATCACAGTGTCCCCGCTTTCGACGCCGTAGATAAGATCAAAGCTAATGTTGGCTCGCTGGATGCTCTGTGACAAACCCTCGGGAGCATACCAGGCGCTCAAATCTTGAATGATCATATTGGTTAGCCTCCGAGGGAACTGCGTGTCCCATCCGCTGTTGCTGAACCATTCTTTTGTCGTAGCCACTTCAATGTCAAGAGGGATTCCCAGGAAGAGGGAGGGGAAAGATGATCCTAGCTGGACTTTCTTGATGCCTCTCTGCTGAGTCAAACTCTTCAGCGCGCGGCGATGGAGAGACCGGCCAATCGACAAGTTGCGCTTGGTTGGGTCTACAATCAGAGCTCCAAGAATACCCACGTTCTGGACGAAATAAGTAGCAACAAAGCCGTAAAGAGCTTGCGTGCTGCTGTTTCGTACGACGAAATGAGCTTCCTTTACGTTCGGATTGTTAAGCGCAAATGTTTCCGCGCTTGTGGTCTGAAGGTACCGCATATCCTGATCACTAGCCCTGTGCACAGCTCGGATGAGGTCGTTCAAGCCATTCCTGTCCCGATTGCCATCGAATTCCTCGACGAGCCAATGTTGTCGAGATTTAAGGACTTTTTTGCTTTTTCGCAGAGTCCCTGGCATAGTGCCCACTGGGTTACTGTCTCCAATCAAGGCGCGGACCAGAGCAGCCATGGCGTTCTCTGTAAAGTCATAGGTGCAGATATAAGTGCCAATGGATTTATCCATGGCAAAGTCGTATGGCGAGCTCACAGCAACGACAATGAGTTGTTTCTTTTGTCCTCTGCTACGAAGCATAGAGCACATCATATCAACATGTTTTGTAAAACCGGCCTGGTATAGATTTCTGTTCGCATCTGCGGTAAAGATGACAATACAGGATGCTCTGTTGATAAGATTTTCGTGTACTGGGCGGTGGAAAGTCAGTAAACGTCGCCTATAATAAAGAAGAGGGAAAGATGCTCTCTCCTCTCACCTGGTCTCACTCCGTTGGCCGTGTAACTCGTGTGTAGTAGCTTCTCGTTGCGGTATCGTGCCAGGGTTTTTCCAAATTCACGAAAGACTCCTTCTCCGCTCATAATGGCGCTTCTCTCACGGCCTTGATGGCTCCATCTGTCATGCGGAGTAGAGATTATTGATCGGTCGTTCTTTGCTTCGGTCAAGCTTTTAGTCAAAGATGACGCTGGAAGCGGTTTAACCAGGGGGGTGAGCAACAGCAGCTCCTCGCCAGGGTGCATTGAAAGGGAGAGCGGCAACAGCTTCTCCTTATCGCGAACAATGGTAATGGAATCATCGTAGGCTCGTCTGGATAGGGCAAGGTGAGAAGGTCGAATCTGCGAAAGAAGGTTTACTCCCGGAGGGTTCAGCGCCTTTGCCCAAGACGTGCAAGTCGATTTGAGATGGAAGATTCTTCGTAGAGAAGTAAAAATTCTCTCCTTTGTAATAATGCCGTTCTCATAGCCCAGTTTAAGGCCTTTGATAGCTTCCAGCTGGACGTCGTAGGCGCGGCAGAGCAGCACAATGTCGCATCCAGCCTCCACAGCCATAACAACACCGTTCTGCACTCCAAGGTCCTGGCTCAGCGCCTCCATTTCGAGGCATTCTGAGATTGCAACTCCCTTGAAGCCTAATTCGTTACGGAGAAGATCATCGACTACTTGGTCTGAAAGACAGGCATGGCTAACATTCATAGAAGGGTTGGAGATTCCACAGCCGCCGACGAACATGGCATCGAGCTTACCAGAAGAGATGGCGTTTCGAAAGGGGACTAAAGCACTAAGGCTCAGCTCTTCCAGGGTCTGTGTGATGATGGGCACATCGAGATTAGAGCCCAGGAAATCAAGGTTTCCATAGGAAGGGAAATGCTTTCCGCACGAAGCGATGCCAGCATCGCGAATACCGCTCAAGGCTGCGAGTCCATACTGGGAGACTTCTTGAGGGTCATCGCCCGAAGCACGCACTCCGATAACTTGATAGCGTGCATTGTTGAGGACGTCCAAAACCGGGCCAAGCATCAGGTTAACACCGCAGGCCGCGATCTCGGTAGCCGTTGCCTTGTTGACTTCGTAAGATAATTCCAGGCTGCCAGTGGCGGCAATGGCCATGGCACTCGGGAACTGGCAGACGAAGTCCTCATCGAACAAACTGTTGACACCGCCATTTTCCTGGTCTACAGCAATAAGAAGAGGCTGTGGATGGCCAGAGTTCTTGGCAATCATCTGCAGCTCTTGAACGAGCAATGCAGTTTGATGAGCCGCTAGTTGGCTTGGTTAGCAAGACGTCAGGATCCACCCATAAGAAGACGTGTAAGGGTAAATGATATATGCTGAGAGGCTCATGCTTATCTAGTACACGAAAAATGGAAGGGAGTCGTACATTTCAAGTTCTTGGCAGTCAGAATAATAGAGCCAAGATGGTGATCCTCTATGAGGCTTCTGATCTGAGGCGTTACTTGGGTGCCATCCCAGCCCATGAGCAGCATCTGCCCAATCGCCCTGCATCGTGTCAGCCATTATCCGCAAGAGGACCAACTGGAGATGAAGCCAGTTACGGCTATAGAGGCAACAGTATCGACGTGATGGCATACGATACAACACGACAATAGCACATACCAGTCAAGATTCTGCCATAGCGGATCTAGCTCAAACTTGTCGGCCGAAGAGCCGCTGATGGAGTTGGCCATTATGGATGAGACACGGCGAACCAGCTCAACATGACCTGGACTCGGCTCATAGCCAGCACGGCTGGTTGCAAAGACAATGGTCTCACGACAAGTGACGAGACAGTGCTAGTGACCCCCGCCCTGATAGAAGGTCGACGCCTCGGTGAAGCGACTATACGGGATCACGCAACGGGCACGAGATACCACAACGTGAGATTCGCTATGCCTCGGGCCCATATCTCGAGCACTCGGTCATGAAACCTCGTCGCGGGTTGGAAATACGGCTGAACATCGGCTAAATGGGAGATATCTCGGTGGGGGCCGCGCTTGCTCCTACTGCAGTAATCCCCAGCTTACTGGTATTCTGTATCAGTGCCGCTAATTCCTTTTGGATCAGAAGGCAGCATATGTGGCAACATGGCCAGAATGTGGCGTTAGCTGATGCCAATGTCAGCTAGTGAGCGGCTGCTGGAGATGGGCGTCCTTGGCAGCGGCTTCGGCGGAGTCGTCTCCTCTGGCTGCCTTTGCTCCAGCGCCGTGGGAGCCCCAAAGTGCACGCACATGTGGGCTCGCAGCGGTTTTGAACGGTGGCACTGCCAACGGGTACGTACCGCAAGTCAACGTTACATGCCCCCCGGCGCACTGGATCGCCACCCATGCGTTTCTGCGCTTTCAATTCATGTAAGTCGGGACGTAGCAGCAGAACCGGGTACACACATGCACGTACACATACAGACATGCTGCTTAGAGTGCTGGCGTCTGCGAAGGGAAACGGTAGAGCAGACTTATGCATGATAAATGAAGAGAAATGCACAGAAATGCTATAGAACATGGGCAAGTGGTTTTGATGCGCAGCGTATCAGCCAAGTCTTTCTTTCTTGCCGGCATGTCTTCAGAAAAGAAAAATGAGCCGCAGAAGGCAGGATGAAACAATCAATCAGATATGGCAACAAACTACGTAATAGCGCCACACTCCTGTGAAGCGCGCCACCACCCAGTTGGCACCGTACAATAGGTGACCGTATCCTGCAAGTCATGCAACTATGTACAGCCCATGTACACCCATAACGTGCTCTGAGATCTCGAAATGCGCTGCAACAGTGGGCAACTCCACCGCGAAGGCACATGGCACCGTGACTTTACAACGATAGGGCGAGGATTTTTCTTTTCTGCGTCTCGCCATCTGCCTTCTTCTGTCTACCCGCTCCGTTTATGGCGCTTGCTACCATCGGACGCTAATCGGCGTCATGTCTCGAAACTCTATGTACCTACCTAGCCGAACCAAGGGGAGTGTATGTATGCCATTACTTGTACCCGGGCCATGTTCTCGGGCGTTTGAAGCTTGCTTTCTGTTCTGCTATGGAGCCAATATCACACGGTACCGGGACATCCAGTCCTACTTCTCTCAGAGCGCTCATTCTTGAACCCTTCTTTCTGCTGCATCCTTCTTGAAACAAACCGAATAAGATATTCCTAACAGCATCGTCTTATTAAAGAATAACAAAGAATTCTTACTTTTTATCACTATTGCTACCATTGCTAGTTACCTCTTTCTTATTTGAACCAGAGGAAGCGGCTGTGGCCATGCCTATAGCACTATCCCCTCCCTTCCGGCCAAGGAATGGCTTGACCAAGTTCACCAACTGCCGCCTTGTGCGCGGAAACAAGCTGGTCCAGGAAGATCTCTGGGTCAGCTCCTTGTCTGGCAAAATCGTCAACAGCCAAGCCGCCTTTTTCGACGACCTCGTTCTGCCAGACCAGACCATCGACCTCGGCGGCCGCATCGTCTCGCCGGGCATGATAGATGTGCAGCTCAATGGTGCCTTTGGCTTCAACTTCTCTACACTGCTTGACGACATGTCTCAGTACGGCAAGAAAGTCAAGGAGGTGCAGAAACTACTCGTCCAGACGGGCGTCACATCGTACAATCCCACCATCACCAGCCAGCGGCCGGAGCTATACCAGAAGGTGGGTCACCCTGCATATGCTGCAATCTATTGATACGTGTATACGTATTGCTCTTGATGTACAGATGGATACCAATATGGATAATCTATAGAGGGGTGTGTGTTTGTGTGTGTGTGCGTGTTTGGGAGCAAGAGAAAGTGTACGCACATGTGTTGAGTTATAGAACTGACTCCGGTGACATGCAGGCTCTTCCGTTCCTGGGACCATCAGGGCACTTACAGGAGGCCGAAGATGGGGCCGAATCGCTAGGCGCGCACTGCGAGGGCCCGTTTCTGAGCCCGACCAAGAACGGCGTACACAATGTCGACGTCCTGATAGAGGCGCAGACATTCGAGGACCTCGAGGCCTGCTATGGCAAGCACAATCTCACCCCGCGGGCCGAGGGCGAGCAGATCCCCATCAAGTACATCACTGCGGCGCCAGAGCGCGGCCAGATGATGAAGCTGATCCCGGAACTCAAGAAGAAGGGCATCATTTACTCAGTGGGACACTCCGAGTCCACGTACGAAGAGGCGTCCGAGGCCGTCGGGCTGGGCGCAACCATGATCACTCACCTGTTCAACGCAATGCGCCCGTTGCACCACCGCAACCCGGGCATCTTTGGAGTCCTGGGCATCGCCGAGAGTCTTCCGCGGCCATACTTTGGCATCATCGCCGACGGCATTCACCTGCACCCAACCACAATCAAGATCGCCTTCAACGCACATCCCGATGGCTTCATTCTTGTCACCGATGCAATGCACCTGGTGGGATTGCCCGACGGCGCCTATCCGTGGACCAATGGTGACACAACATGTAATATCGTCAAAGTGGGATCCAAGTTGCTCCTAGAGAACTCGGACACAATTGCTGGCAGGTAAGCGCTCATAAAACAAAGAAGCATCCAGAAGAAACAAAACCCCCCAATTTGATATCAGGTCATTGTGTTCCTTTTTCTAACATTAGTCTCAAAACCCACCAGCTCCATCACCCTCCTCGAGTGCGTCAACAACTTCCTGCAATGGACAGGCACCGGAATCCCACACGCGCTGCAGGCGGTAACAGCCACCCCAGCCGCCATGCTGGGCCTACAAGGAGTCAAGGGATCGCTCGACGCTGGTGCTGACGCTGACCTGGTCATCTTCTCAGAGGCGCAAACACCCGGGCAGCCCAGCACGCTGGTGTTGGACGAGGTGTGGAAGTTTGGCACCAGAGTCCATCGTGCAACGCCACCTAAATCAGAGTAGGTTAGAATGTTGGCAGAAGAGTTAGCAGAGGGGGGCGCCGAAAAAACACCAGATCGTCGTATAATCTGCCGAATTGATCGATGCAGAAAGGCTGATGAATGGTATGATTGTGCTTCAAAAATGCATCTGACAGCTGCAGGGACTTTTCTTCGTTTTGTTTCATCTATAGAATTTGGAGACGGGAGGTTTTGTTTGGAAATTGCAAGGCGTCGTTGTTAGTAAAATGCTCCTTTAGGTTAAACAAGATTGGAAAACCAAAACATGCTGGAAATTGAATACATCAACTGAAAAGTAAGAATAATATCTATAGAGAGGCGTCGTTTAGAGCGCGAGCATATGCGGCATACACCGCTGCATGCATGTACGGAGTCTTGAGAAATGGAATTGACCTAATTATTGCATCTTAAAATGGCTAGGTATTATATAGCATTGGTAGCCTACTATACTTGTATGGTATTACTTCTAGGTATGGAGTGGAATCCTACCATGTAAGCAAGCGTGTACGCACCTAACTATTTGGTACTGACATCTTGCAGATCATGTTACGGCTCCTGCTTCTGCTTCTATTTTTGCTTATTCTTATCTTCTTTCGGGATGCTTGATGATTAGATAGCTGCCAACTTGCAATTTCTCTTTTTCTCTCTAGATTCCATATATGCCTTGTGTACTGATACAATCTACGAGATCTGGTGGCCTTGTGATGCCGCTGGTGCGACTCATGACCCCTTGGCGGCATGTGGAGGAGGCGAGTAGCAATTAGCTAATCCCATCACAACCGCCCCGTACTAGTGCCATATCCTGCCGCTGTACTCGTACGTCGTACGGCTAGCAGCAAATATCTGCGCAGGGAATGTCCCATGGGGAGAAAACTGGCGCCAGACGATGATACCAGTGCTTGTAGCGGTACTTGTAAAAGAGCGAGCCGACCAACCGCAGGGGCTAGTGCCAACCCCAGACTTTGGCCAGCCTGGTGAGAAGCTCAGAAAAAGGTAGCAATTTCGGAAGCCGGCCATCGAGCTCTCGGCATAACTGCTATACAAGCCTTGAGTCTATGTCAATTAGGTTCGGGATCAGGAATACACAGTCGGATAGTAATAGAGCAGATAGCATGTCCGATGCAGATAACACTGAGATTGCAGAGATAGCAGTGGATACTGATGGATGCTGGCACGTTGATAGCCGCGAGATAACACGGCCGATTGCAGATATCGGAACGTTCCAGCGACCAGAAAATGGCTATCAAAGGCGGCACGTTTTTTACTCTCCACCATAACGATGCTTCCCGTTCAGCCGGCGGACGAGCGACTGTCGAGCACGCCCAGAGCCTCGAGCTGATGTCACCAAGCAACGTCAACATGAACCAAAACACTCGCAGCATTCCACAACCTCCTCTTTTCTGGGCTTCTGCAGTGCGACGGCTCTAGTGGCAACGGGGCGGGTACATGTAGCCACTAGCAAACCTCCAGTTTACCCCAAATGCTATCCCCCGGCTTTTCTATTTGTCTTGCTCACTTCACGTCTCTGTCGCTGAGCCCCCAGCCCGCGTGCGCCATGGGCCCTCCCCCTCCACTCCCCACCCGCCAGGCCCAATCGCAGCGAGCAGCTGAAAGCGGCCGGTGTCAAAAAGTCTGGGCCGGTGCAGTGCCTTGAGTGCTGAATAGGCAGTCGGGTCCCTTTAAAAGCTTTCGCGGGCGAGCGCGCGACAGCCAGAGCCATGGCCAGAAGCCGCCGCATGGGATTTAGGGGACCACCCACACCCGCCGCCTTAAATTGAGCACCCACACCCTAGCAGTTCGGGCAGTTAGAAGGCCTAGTGCGCTGTAGCAGGCCTACAAGTAGCGCTCCCTGTACCTGTACCTGTGCGGCAACAGGCCCTCAGCACGGCTCAGCAGGACAAGGCAAGGCTCTGTTTCGGTCCTATCGGGGCGGCTGTCCCGTGCCTGGAACCCCATATCTTCCCATTTTCCATTTGCTCTGCATCTGCGCTGCATCTGTCCTCGAGAACTGCAACTGCACCAATCAGTCCCTGCGCCAGCGAGGGGCGTCATCATCGTTGGTCGCTGACTTGCTTCTTTCCGCGAGACTCGGACTTCAGGCCTCTCTAGGCGCCTTTCCGTCTCTCCGCACTCTGAATTCCTTCATCTTCTGCCAAAGGCTCGCCGCGACTGCTGCAGACACGACACTGCGCCGAACCCAGGGTGCCTCGATGCCGAAGTGGTGCTGGGCTGGATGATGCCATGGCTGCCTTCAACTCCATGCCGGCGATGCCTGCCGCCTCTGCGGTGCCCAGCGATGCGATGGGATTAAATCACGGTCCGCCTCAGTCCATGAACATTGACTCATTTGATCCCGAGCTCAACTTTCACGAATCTCTGCTGTATGTGCTGTCTCCTCGCTTCCTGGCCTCGGCTGCAGCCAGAGCCGTTTCGTTCTTCGATCCCCCCCTTCCTCCACCCCTTATGGAATATTCGCCACTGACTCCTCAGCAACGCGCATAGCGATGGCAGTGCGCTACCACCTCTCCCGTTTACGCCCTCATATGAATTCGAAAACTTTGTCACAACCTTTGAAGACCCATTTTCCTACTCGTCTCGCCCATTCGAGCCCATCACCAACCAGGATGTCGCGATTGACGAGTCATCTCCCCAAGAGCTGGACAACAAGCTCTTGGGATTCTCTGACCCGATTATGCACGCGAGCATAGTGGATGAAGCAGGCACTTTTACCGATCTGGACATGACGGCCGAACTCTACGGCATGTTCTTTGTTGCCGAAGATGTGTTTGGCGGGGAGAATAGCGGTCGTCCGTTGGAGTTGACGTGTTATCGTCGCAACCTGTGGCAGTGCTCTGGACAGATTACCTTGCCGAGGACCTTGAACAATGTCATAGACGAACAAGGCCAGCATGTTGCCATAACAGAACTGTCTGCATCTATAACAGGCATAGAATCGATTGAAGGAAAACCCGCCGAAATCATCTCGATCCCATGGAAAGGCGCAAACCCTCAGCTGGAAGAGACGAAAGTCGCGGGGCCCCCTCCCAGCATGACTCTGGATCTTAGCATTGGCCGAGAAATTGACGCCAACAGAGTGTCTCTGCCTATATCCTGGAAGAGACTGCAGTTTAAGCACGCCACGGCTAACAACGGCCGACGAAAGGGGTTGCAACAGCATTACTTGGTGCAGATCAACTTGCTTGGCAAGACCAAGACGGGAGATATTATGAAGATTGCAGAGATACAATCTGGTCCAGTCATTGTTCGTGGGCGAAGCCCCCGCAATTTCGATAGTAGAAAGGACGTACACCTCACCAGCGACAAGAAGGTGGAGAGGAGAAACACAAACAGCACTGATAATCCTACGCCAAAGATGGAGCGGGACAACTTGATGGCTTCTTTACCCAAATACCCATCTGTAAGTGACAATTTTATAACACACGTGAATGCTTCTTTCCTATATAAATGGCGCTGCGATGCACCCCCCCCCCCCCCCCCTCATGCTACAATAGAGGCTGACTCCTGATGTTTCCAGTCAAATGGAAGCGAATGGGCTACTCCACAGGCTGTACCTCAACCCAACCAGAGCCCACACCCAGCGAAGCGGATGGCCCTTTCTCCTACAGTCTCACTCCCACCAGTTCCGGCCTGGACGGTAGACAACCCCACAGGGAAGAATCCCCTTTCGGGCCACCGAAACTCTTTCTCACGGCCACCCAACCCCACGGCCCCCATTACGCTATCTCTATCAGAAGACGAAAAGAGTCCCAACAGATCAAGCGCTGAGCTTCAGAGCCCGCAGCTGTCCAAGGCTTATCCAGCAAACGGCCAAAACGCCAGCAACAGTCCAGCTGAAGAAGCAGATCCGCTCTACGAATACTTTCCTTTGAGCGTGGACGATTGGTAAGATCCGAGATATCCAAATCTACCCATTCTACAACAAGAAACTAACTCGGTACCTCTAGGATGCCGCCAGTAGATGCTGTCTATAGGCCGCACATAGTTCATCATACGATCGCTCCACCAGAGTTCAAGGCTCAACAGATAAGCCGTAAAGTCAAGCGCTACTTTACCGCTGATTAGAGATATCGGTGCTCGGCTACGCATAGCACTCTCGAAAAGCGAGTGCTCACCAATAATGGTGAATTTTCCATTCATTGGGAACATGTTTTTTACGAAATCACGAAGCCTCCATCCGACGGATCGCAGCGTTTCAATTGTATCATATAGTGCGGATTTTCCCGTCCAGTCTGCCTTTAAGGAACCCGTGTGTATTCGAGGGATGTTATTTGTTTGGTTTATCAGGTCGTGGGCTTTTTTTATTCAACAATTATGCGACGACATGACTGGGACAGCAGGGACTTTATACCCAGGGGCTCTTTCTGGTTCTTGTGCTTTTTTATTCGGTTCTATTGTCATTTATTCGACTGTGGAGGATGTAGTTTTGAGATGCGAGGGAGAAGAATATATATGTAGAATCATTCGTTGAAAGTTATTCGATGCTGGCTTTCACATTCGTTAAAAAAGATAATGTACCTACCTATCACTGATAGACCGGTCATGTATCTTTCCAAACGGCTCTATGAGTGCTCTTGTTTGCCATAGGTAGAAGCAAGCTCGTGGCAGTCATAACTAGAGGGAGGTTTGTGCTGATGTATGAACGTAAACTCCTAATATAAATTTTTGAAAGAGCCGTTTCGCCTGGGGCATATATGCCAGCATGTTATATATCGATATCGTTTTGTGTCCCATACAAGTAGTTAAAAACGTGGAAAATGGCATGAAAGGAAAAGAAGAGATAAAGGGGAAAACTGGTTGCAGAGGAATGAAGAGGTGCATGCAGCATGCGATGCAAATTTTATATAAGCACCTGACGATGAAGCCCTCAAAATCACACCATGGCCATGTCTTGTCCACAAGGGCAGCCGACCACGCTAATAGAAATCGAATGGAACAAAACTGAAAGTATAACGAGGCAAGGGAGGCGTAAGAGGAACATGATGAAGCAAACAAAGTACACGAATCGTGTAAAAAGGCACGCTCACATGCGATGAAACGTAGCTATCGTTTAAAACTTAACGTGGAAATAGGTGGTGCTAAGCGGTCCAATTTTTTTTCTCCAGCGTGCCTTAGCTCCCGGCCAGCATCTCGGGCAATTAATAGATGCATCCGTGTCTTGGACCAGTTGGTTTTTATTATCATGGCATCTTGTCAATCGAGTTTTTTACGTTTTGCTTTCCATCCCGTTACCCTTGCGTTTCGCGCTAATATCGACATCGGAAGATGAAGAATGGCATGATCCGAAAAGGCCTGTTAATAATGGCACGGTAGTGGTAGCTAATAGATGCATGCAACGAAAAGGGGCCTTTTTTTTTCGTGCTCGTGATGACTGGAGAAAGCAGCCCTGACTAGGACAAAATGAACAACAACCGAGAAAATGAAATGAGAGACAAGAATGGGTTCTCTGCATCGTTGCTTGTGTGTCGTAGTGCAGATGAAATGAATACTTACATGTGGGATTTTGCGCGTGCTGGTCCGTAGACGAATTGGCAGCCCCCTCGTCTTAATGCTACTGCAACTACATGCATAGCAAAAAAATCGTCAGGCTTCAAAGTTGTATCGGCAAATAAATCCACAGTATAGCATTCCTTCCTTTGCCAAAGAAAAGCACAATGTTTTTTTTTTTTCTCTACCCCTAGCCGAATGGTTGTAGTTGCAGTCGCAACACATCGTAGCAGCTGTGGCAGTGTGTGTTAGTTAGTTAGTAGGCAGTAGCATGACCATCCATCATCTTACCTCGGATGGACGGCAGCCAAAGGGCACGGCACCCGTATCCACAGTTCGGAGCCTTGTATCTGCCCTTCGGCACATTTCGCCAGGGCGACATCATTCTATTAGCTGAGAGAAACAGAGAGCCGAGATCGATCTCCGCCGAGGTAGAAGCAAATGAACAGATGATGGGAAGACACTGTTTGGATTGTAAAATTCAGGACAGGTAACGTAGCAATTTGTTGTCTATTCTCGATGAGACTTTCTTTCGCTATAGAATGGTGGAACTGTTCCAGACCACGAGCAATTTAGAAAAAAAATCACGACATTTATTTTTTTGGGATATCCTTGACTTTCGTTTTACAAGCTACCCTATGCCCAAAGGACAAAGCATGCTATACACTCAAAATATCACACTCCATCTACTAATGCACAAAGGTAATATTCAAGAACCGAGCTTGCAGCTACACTTCCCTCCCACGCATTTCAGCACAGCCAATAAGATAAACGAGAGAGGAAACATAGCCCTTGACGCATCCGACATAGTGTAGTCTACCATAGGAAAGAAGCTTGTATTCATCGTCTTTCTCGGAACTGCATTCCGTAATAGCAGACCGTAATGGAGGGGAGGGGCCCTTTTCTTCCCATAGCTTCTTCACTAGTTGTGTGATTGATTACTGATGGGCGGCCAAAGACATCAAGACATTGGTAGAAACGAATTTCAAGCGCCCGTTTTCGCATCACCGGTTTTCTTCTTCTTTTTCTCTGTTTTGACACAAAGTATATGGAAAGCATGTCCGTAATGGCAGAGCAATGCATATACATGGCGTGCATGTCTCGTCTGTCAGGCAGAAGTCCAATTTGCGCTCCACCCTAGAGCTCATGACGACAATGTCTCTGAGGCAAGAACAAATCAAGGTAGGGAAAGAAAAAAAACTATTCCATCATAGAGAAGCACAGTAGTCAATTATCTATAGCTCAGCCTTTTACAATTTGTTACAATTTTTTTTTTTTTTTTTGCTAACCCTTTTTTGTATTTTTCTTTGTAGTCATTCTGCGTGGTATACAAATACATCATTTCAATACTCCTAAGTCATACCCCCAAAAAAATAACGTCTAAGGTTCCTATGTGTTATAGAAGAAAACGAGAGAATAATAAGAAAAAAAAAGCGAGAGCCAACCTAATTCTAAAACTCCATAGAAAATTCCCTTTTTTTACGTCTAAGCAGTAATGGCATTCTGAACAGCCTGCTGCTCAGGGTTGGGAGTCAGCCTGTCGGTGAGGTGGGGCTCAGGGATGCGGGAGGCCATGCGGTCCGGCACCAGATCCGGTGACACCGAGCGGATGGGGTACTCGGTAGCCGGGGTAGCCCGGAGGAGGCGAGAAGTGGTGGGCTGGGGAGCGTGGATAGTGGGAGAAGAAACCTCATCGACAGTGGTCTGGGGGATGGGACCGTTGCCGGTTCGCACCTTGGAGGGCAGGATCTGCTCGAATCCAGCCTCCTGGGCAACCTTTTCAATACTCTTGAAGTACTGCGCAAGTTGATCAAAGTCAGTATACGAAGCTTGGGTTGCATGACGTTGTATATATAGCATTTCTTGCTTACCTTGACGGTCTTGACCTTGAGCTCGGCAGTGGCATCCTCATCCACCACAATCATGGGATGGGGGTGAAGCTGCAGGCTGGACAAGGTCCACATGTGGTTGACACCCTCCTCGATACACTTCTGCAGAGCAAGCGACTTGCGCTGGCCAAGGATGATGACGACGACCTCTCTGGCCTCAAGGACGGTCTGGACACCAACAGTCAGGGCCATGCGAGGCACCTTGCTGATGTCGTGGTCAAAGAAGCGCGAGTTGGCAAGGATGGTGTCATAGGCCAGAGTCTTGACACGGGTACGGCTGGCCAAGCTGGAGCCGGGCTCGTTGAAGGCAATGTGGCCGTCCTCGCCGATGCCAGCAAGGAACAGGTCAATGCCGCCAGCCTTCTTAATGGCGTCTTCATAGGCAACGCACTCGGCCTCCAGGTTGGGCGCATTGCCGTTGAGAATGTGGACGTTGGAAGGGTGGATGTTTACGTGGGAGAAGAAGTGCTTCCACATGAAGGTGTGGTAGGACTCGGCATGGTCGCGGGGGATGCCCACGTACTCATCCATGTTGAAGGTGATGACATTCTCGAATGAGACCTGATCGGATTTATTGCCATTAGATGCTTTGCTGGATAAGAAAGTGAGATGTCGCGCTTTTTGCTTACCAGGCCGGCCTTGTACTTTTGCACCAAGACCTTGTAGACACCTAGAGGGCTGGAGCCAGTCGGCAGACCGAGCACAAACGGGTTCTCGGCGCTGGGGTGGAAGGTGTTGATACGGTTGATGATGTAGTTTGCGACATAGTCGCTGGCACCGTCGGAGTCATCGCGAATGATCAAACGCATGGTGAAGGCTGTGGGAGAAGAGGACTAGTATGGGGGATAGAGATAAAGGTAGAGAGATGGAGGCAAAGGATGTATGAGCCAGATATTGGAGATACAGCCCTGGAAGTTCGGAGAGGGAGGAAACGGAAGAGGGGTTATGGGGAGATGATGATATCACAAGAAGATAGTGAGTAATACTCTTTGAGTTCTTCACAGAGAGAGAAAAGGAAAAAGAAAGAAACTTTTTTTCAGGAAGAGCAGGAAATCGGCTCCATGGCTTAAGAGCCCAGCTTGTATGAGGGGAGGAGGGGCCCTCAACTGCAACTTTGGGCAACGAACCGCACCCCCCAGGTTCCTGAATCGGAAGAGGCGCTTAGAAACAAAGTGACATAACGAGAACTGCGCTGCTACGAGCTACCTGCTAGGTACTACAGTATAGTGCTACGGCTGCTACCTGCGGCTGTCCCCAGACGCCACGAGCAACGATAGAACAGCTGCTCCGTTACGCAAAACGGGACGGAGACTGCGGCAAGGCAAAAGGTGACGAGCATGTACTGCACTAACATGAAACCTAAGATCGAAAGTTGCAGCGGCACGACTAGCCAGTAGTGCGTGCAGAAGGCTCTGGAGGGATCCCATGTGAGCTGTTCCGAGAATGCTAGTGGGCCGGAAGCAATGGGCAACGATGGGCGTCGGGGCCTCTCAGGCGTGCACGAGTTGGCAAAAAGAGATTTTTTTGCCTTTGGGTTTCGATGGAACGTCACTGCATGCTTCCATCGGTTGCGCGCCACCTAGACAGGCGCTCCAACGGGCTGGTGGGACAGCTGGAGAAATTCCAGTGCCAGGCCGGCCTTTTCTCCACTGCGGCGTGTCTTGATGGGCCCCCTTGAGCAATCATATGCCCCGAAAAAGCTTATGTACACTCCGTTACCTCTAAGGGAAGCCTCCAAGGGAAACCGTTCGTTGCATTGCGCACGGAAACGGAGGAGACTGCTGACGTATAATACGGCTATCGTTTTGGCTGGTAAGCAGCTCATGCTCCCTGTCTTACTATGTATGCCAAGGGCAGCCAATCATCCAGCTGAGCCGCTGATGGAGCAGAGGAGAGGGTAATATTTACTATTGCTCCATGAACGGTCTCATGTCTCATCAAAAGTGGCAACTGCCTTGCCAGATCGGCAGTTCGCGACAAGCAACGGCTGTGCTCTCCAGCAAGATGGTTAAGTGGCCTCGGCGACTACATGCAAGGTGGTACTGTAGCAGCGAGGGCCAGTCTCCGTCGGTCTCTTGGCGGCTCCATCCGAGCCTGGCAGGGCGATGCCGATACAATACAGCCTTGTTGCTGGTTTATGCGTCCTATTCGTCTCTTACCATGGCTGATGGCTCCCGCAATTGCTTCAACGTTCCAGACATATCGACCCCCCCAGGCCATGGCAACCTACGCAATATTCAACACTGGCCAGTCGTTTATGATTGTGACCCCAAGCTGTCGTGCGACTCGTCTCCTGTTTGCCAATTGCTTTGCGTGCTATTACTCCATCGTGGCGCCAACGGTGTCTCAGGTCATCTCATCGTCGTGAACCCTCGTCTCGCTGGCACCCGCCCACGACCCGCGTATTCTGTCCCTCTCTCTACTGTCAAATAATTCACCGTCGTTGTATGGTCATGTCATGTATCACTGCCGAGACCCAGAAGCAACATTCATGTCCGCAACGTGAACCGTAACACAAGGGTCGATAATGGGGGCCGTTGTATTGGCGCGGAATACTACTATTGAGATATGTCGTTGGTTTGCATTTCTGCGACGCCGACTGGGCTCTAGATCCAGCCGGGCTAAAAGTCCTTTGAGCTCTGAATTTCTGAATTCAAGTTAGTGACTGTACTTGTTAACCAGGGCGCTACACAATGATTCTCGTACGCACCAGTATAATGCCATTGTCGCCAACGGTTTTTGCCCAGACATGCCAGTACGAGTAAGCGCTTTCATGGGCTCCTGTGGACGAGGGTTAAGCGATCTTATGAATGCACAGATGGCCGCGGACATGACACACTGCGACTCTGCACGTTCGGAGTGTACTAATATAGTAGGAGCAATTACGATAGACGCGCTTGTCTGGGACGCACCATGTGCAGATGCCCAAAGTGCAGTAGTATTTAGGGCAGTTAGATGAAGTGGCATTCTATCCAGCACAGGTCCCTTATCTCGCTATCTCTACGCATAAATGAACAGACAGGGCTGGTCCGACCCTGCAGTGACGATAAAGGAAGGCGTTTGCAGGAATAAAGTTGGACTGTTTCGAGATCGAGGCTTAGCGCCTGCACCGCGGTCTGCGAGAGAGAGCTAGCTCTACGGATGCTATTACCACTTTCTGTTGTTGGACTTGGACGGAGACTAGGACATGATCACGAGCGCCAGTCGACGGAGAATCCCACTTGATCCATGGCATGACGATTGATAATGCATCTTCGCCGCACAGGGCACTCATCCCTAGAGAACTGCTGACTACTGCAACCAGCATGCTACTGCGGCGAGTAGCACTACTATCCATCTACCACTACTGTATCAGTGGGCAATAACCTCCCACCGTGGCGTTTTTTTCGCGGGGCTGAACCTGTGCTGCTAACATCATGACAGCACGCTTCAATATTTCTTGAGCTGACCCCCAAAGAAGGCTCTCTAAATGGGGGAGAACCTTAGCCCGAGCCATTGGCATAGCGTACAATTAGAGAGATATATCTTACTACGGAGCACTAGAGGTAATAGTTGAGAATTTGGAGACTCAATTTTGGAGACTGCAGAGATTATTGGAGAGCATTTGGAGAGCGCGCGCAACCTACCAGGGCTTTGCGCCACAGAGAGATTTGCGGCTTAGGGTGCCACCCAACGCAGCGTAGCACGGCGATGGCGATGGAGCGGCTGAGCGATGGCCGTCCGGGTTTGGATGCCAGGAAATAGCGCGCCTGGGTTCGTCAACTTCTATAATTATCACCGAGGAAAGTAGATTGCGCACCATCGCAGCGATATAGACTACATCTCGCACCTTACCTTAGGAGGCAGAGTTGAGGATTGTAGTATCTGCCAACTATGTAGTATCAAGCTGCTGTCATGCATACAAAATAGTAGCATGTACCAGGCACTGCTTGCCCCGGCAGGGATCAGCAACGGTTAGACTACGGGCTGCCGGGTACCTTGAACCTCTCGGTAGGTGCTAAAACATCATTAAGATTCTTCGTATTCGTAGGGGGAGCAGCATCAAATGACCGCCGCAGCCTTGTTGCATCACGCAAACACCCGCTTGCAGCAGATTGAGCATGTTTGGGCATGCAATTTCAATTCCAACCAACAGGTTACTACCTCCACAATCGCCAGACCCAATGGCAAAATTTCCCGGCCAGCTGGCTAGCCCCCCCTGTCCATCCCGCTCCTTAGTCGCCGTCAAACCTCCACGCTACCAGCGCTCCACCGCAACGTTACAACACCAAAAACCTCTTCACCACTTCGTCTGGCTTTTTTCTGGAGCTCTTCCAACAACGATTGTGCTTCGCCTTGCCTGCTGGCCTTTGCAAGATGAGGCGCCACTCCAGCCGCCCACCATCTCTGGCTCTCCACCTGCTAGCGACCGTCCCCCTGGACTCTGCCCCCTGGTCCTGATTCAGTTGCCCACACAATAGACAAAGCCTCCTTTCTTCGAGACCCCTTCGACCGGCAATCTTGGCGCAGCTGGCTGGTCGCATGCGCTGCTGTGCCAAATACGGGGGAAAATATGGAGTACATGCGCTGCTGCGCTGTTCACTGTCTTCGTATTGCTGCCTTGCCACTGCAATGCGATACTGCTGCTAGCATTGCTGGCTTCTCGCTCCGGCCGCCGATGTGACCCCATCCCACACGTTATTTTCCAGCTTTGTTTCTCTTTCCTGCTGGTTTCTCCCTCGCCCTCTGCTCTTTTGCCTCCAATCTAGCTATCCTCTAGCTCTCTAGCTGTCCTCTAGCCAATCGACAGCTCCACCGTGCCGTGCGACGTTGAGTATTCTGGGGCCTGTGCATGGCGGCGAAAAAGAAGCTCTCCCGGCAGTCTTCTCCCCAAGGTGATAGCCCGCCGCAAAGCTCCATCCGGCACCTCGGATCAACCCTCTCGTCGGACTAGGCCCTGTAACCTTTGGACACACACGCCTTTTGCTGACTGACCTGTTACCTGCCCGGCATACATTACATTGGCAAGGACCGCTAGCCGTCGAGCTGGTTACCTGCCTAGGCTCTGCGTCTCTCACCTCACCTTGTTGTGGCTGGCCGAGCCCTGCCATTCGCTGAAGCAAGCAAGCAAGCATCCCGCGTTCCATGCCACATCCACATCCACATCCCTATCCATAGCCGTCGGACTACAAGTATACGTGCTATTACTGGCAGCACCACCACGGTTGCTAGTGGTACCTGCCATCTGGACGGCGTACTCCGTATCCAACGCTCGACTCGGCCGGACAACCGCATCTCTTTTCCCCATACGACCCTCTCTCGACCCTCTTTCCTTCACCCCATTCCCAGCTGTGAGGTGGCCGTCGCCCGAGATTGCATCAGCACGGGGCAGGTTCCATTTCCTCTTCCACCATCGCTGCCTTGGAGCCGCTTCTGCCCTCCCTTTCTGCCCTCTTGGTCGCCTCTGCTGCCCCAGGTCCATCAGTCCCGCGCCCGGAGTCGTGCCTGTCGATCGTGGCTTGCCTTTGGCTCTACCACTTGACCTCCTACTTACGACGTCGCTTTCCCATCCTTGCGAGGGATAGTACAAGTTTTCGGCGCTTCTTTTGCCGCGATCCTACCACCGCCATCTCACCCTCGTTTACCTGGAGACTCTCTCTTACTCTCTTTGTTACCTAAAGCTGAATCCTCCTTTATATCAGCCTCATCTCGCCCTAGTCTCATCCTAGATCCTACTTCTTTCGACTCCTTCTTCTTTTTTACAACCTTCTATTCTCGGTATATGTCTTTGTTTGACCCAGTTTAGCAATGACACAATTCCGGAAAGCATTCATGGCCGCCGTTGTGAAGAGCTTGCTGCGAGGCAAGACCTTGATACAGGCCATCCTATCCTTTTGGTTATCGGGAAACAGGAAGAGCAAAGAAACCGGCACACAGAAGAAGACTCTCCAGCAGTTCCTCAAGGATGCCGAGGCCGCCCTCGTCGGCCCCATCAGCGGCGATGGCCTTCAAGAGCTGTCCGTCAAGTTAAAACAGCAATTTCTCGACGCCCTTCAGGCTGATGTGCAGTGTATGCTTCCATCATACAGCCACCAGTTGCCAGCAGGCTCCGAATGTGGACAGTTCTTGGCCCTCGATGTAGGTGGATCGACGCTGCGGGTTGCCTTGGTCGAATTACGAGGACGGGAAAAGGGTTCCGAAAATGCCACTGAGATTGTGAGCATGCAAAATTACCGCATCACCAAGGAGATCAAAGATTTGGAGGGAATGGCCTTTTTTGAGTGGATGGCTGCGCGTATTACTGAGACGATCCAAACAACCCTTAAAAGAGAGCACAGTGTCGAAAAGCCGCTGCCGATTTCGTTGGCATGGAGCTTTCCTATCGAGTATGTATTCCTATTTCAAGCTACCCCTCTCCCCTATTTTACCTCTATTCGTATTTGTTCCCAAAACTGACGAGGAACAAAAACAGGCAAACTTCCCTGGGTGGTGGCAAGCTTTCAGCCATGGGCAAAGGCTTTTTGGCCGATACTGGCCTGGTTGGGCAAGACTTGGGAGACATCGTCAAGAACGCATGCAAAAATCAGAATCTCAATGTCGAGCTCAAGGCGATTTTGAACGACTCGAGCGCCTGCCTCTTATCCCGAGCTTACTCCCACTCCTCGACCAGATTTGGCCTCATTTTGGGCACTGGTATCAACATCGCCGCCTACTTGCCCGTCTCATCCATCAGCCGATCAAAATTCGGCGAGAGACCAGCGGGCTGGTTTGATGAAGCATCTCACGTCATCGTCAACACGGAGCTCGGCATGTTTGGTTCCAAAATCCTACCGTTGACTCGATGGGACCGCCAGCTCAGCAAGGAGCACCCCAGACCCGACTTTCAGCCCTTAGAGTACTTGACTGGCGGCATGTACCTCGGCGAGATTGTCCGATTGATCTTGGTGGATGCTATCCAGACGACTGGCCTTTTGGGCGGCGTCGTCCCACCCTCCATGACTGAGCTTTATTCCCTGGGCACCGAAACCATCTCAATGATCGAAGGGTAAGTTTGCATGCAAATTGCGATAATAAACAGAACTAACGCATTGTCTATATTTAGTGACACTACTACCGACTTATCACAGGCCATCAGCTGCTTCTCTGAGAAGCACCCTTCATCCCATGCTCCTAGCGTCATTGATATGAGCGCCATCAAGGCAATTGCATCCTTCGTTTCAGTAAGAGCAAGTGCGCTGATCGCTTCCGCTGTCTATTCCCTTTGGGATATCCGTCAGGAGGGCGATCAAGAGTTGCTCTCGACTCTCCCTGAATCATCTCCTCTTCGAGCCACAGTTGAAGCGGACCTTAACATGGAGAAAACCACTGTCGCGTTCAACGGCAGTGTCATCGAGCAGTACCCTGGATATTTGGCTAATTGCCAACGATACATCAACGAGTTATTAGAGAGCAAAACATCTGTCGAACCCAAGTCCATTGAGCTTGTTTCTGCCAAGGAGAGCTCATTAACAGGAGCTGCTGTGGCACTGGCTTGCGTGGACTCATAGGAAGAGGGATAAAAGCAAACTAACAACAAAAAACTGCATCTTAAACTTCTTTTTACGCCTTCGTCCAAGAGAAATTTCTGAGTGTGTGGTTGTGTGCAAGGTAATGATACCTGGGTTGATGCGTCATGTTTATTTATTTATTTATTTGGGATATACGGGGTATGCGAGGGTGGTGCATACGTAGAGGCGCAGGTTTCAGCATTGCTTCTTTCTCTGGCGCTCTTGCCTGTTTCTTCTTCTCCGACTTTTCTTCTCTTTTCTTTTCTCGGCTGTATGTTTTTCATTCCTTGTAATTTCCTCATTTTTCTTCTTCATGTTTCATCTGTTTTGTTGGCGATGGTTATAGTTTTGGGGCATTTGGTGGTGCGCTGCTGCAAAGAGCGAATGTTGCGTCGTAGATTCAAACAGCAACAGGTGTATATAAACATTGCATGTCTTGGATCAAAAGAAAAAGCGTTACACTCCTTAAAAAGCTATAATTTACTATATAACACTTCTCAATTTTGTTTCTGTGATGAGGGATATTTTGATTTCACTCATGCATTCAACGTCAATTATATTTTACTTACTGAGCAGATATCCCCTTAGAAAGAAGAAAAATGCTCCTATGCACCTGCTGTCTATGATACAAGATCTTTGCAATCTCTTCCGTTTCTTATTCATACGATACCACCACTGCAAGATGTAGGATTACGTCAGGGGTTGGGATTTAAATTGTAAGACGTTTGCCCTGATGCTGTTTTTGAGAGCTATAGAACGCTTAATAACATTGAAGTCTTGGGACGCAGCTACAAGTACAGCGGGGCATACCCTTGCTAGGGGCTCCTCATGTTCGCGTGTCCCAAGTATTGATACCCTCGATACGCGCCTCCGTAGGCCAATCTACAAGTCCAGGTACTGTCTGCTAAGTCATGTGACAGCCTGCCTTCTTCGCGTAAAGAGCCCAAGGAGCGCGTCTGGCCACAAACAAAGAAAGAGCTAAGCAGCGTGCCGTACCTGCTTCTGGCTACGTCAATATTCACGCTTATCCTCTTTTTTTTCTTCTGATGCGCTCAACTCCCTTTTTCTTTTCTCAGACTGCAACTTCAATGCTGCTTTTCGCATACAACGGATACTGATTCGAAAAGAAAAGAAATTCTGAGAGCTGGCATACAAGATCTGCGCAGCTGTTGTATGTCTGCAAAAAGTTGGCTCGTATCATTGAAGCTATCACCTCCCTCCCACCATGGCTGATGCAGCCGGCATATTCAGCGAATGCGCCATTGCATTCGTGCCCAGCGCCTCGCTGCCTCCAAAGCTGATCAGCAGTGTACGTGATTCATCTATTTTCGCGACATCAAGATCCTTTTATATCTAACCCCCTTGATTTCTACAGCTCCAAGCCATTCTGACAGAACACGGCGCCACGGCGGTCGACTATCGACGTGATGGATCCCTCCCGATTGAACGAGTCACACATATCGTTTCCAACACGATTGATTTCCCGCAGTATGTCGAGTCACAGGCGTTCATGATCCCCGTTGTGTCAACACAGTGGATCACCGTCTCAATATCTCGGCGGAGGCAAGCTCAAGTACGACCGTTTTCGCCTGACCCCCGCATGATTTTCTCAGAGGTCATGGTTACATGTGCAGATCTGCCACAGATGGACAAGGAGAGCATCCTAGGAGCAACCATGGCGCTGGGCGGACAAGAGTCAAAGGATGTAAGCAGATTGACGACACACATTTGTGCGCTGTCCATGAGCCATCCCAAGGTTGTCACTGCGCTGGAGAAAAACTGGAAGGGCAAAATTGTATTGCCACACTGGTAAGCCTCTACATCACTTGGCAGATTTGCATGTTCATTCTTTTGGTATGAAGCTTGAATTAACACATTTTGCTCAGGTTTGACGATTGCTTCAAGCTGGGAAAGAGAATCGACGAAGGACCGTATCTTCTTCCTGACCCCGAGATTCTGAAAAAAGGCCCCGACGAGGACCTCGATATTCCATCTAACAATAACTTGGTCGGAGCGTCATCAGCCAATCCCGAGTTTATATCTCTATCAGACGGAACCTCTGCCAGACCACCCGTTACTGTCTTCCAAGACAAGAAAATCTTGCTCGGCGCGGATCTGAAAATCACCGCCCGTCTTGAGAATGCCCTGAAGGATATCATTGTTTACGGCGGCGGCCGGCTGGTGCAAGATGTCGATGACTGCGACACGTTGATCTGTCAGTATCGGGATGGCGAGCAGTACGTGCGAGCTTCTCAATCGTGCAAAGAAGTTGGCAACTTATCTTGGCTCTATTTCCTCATTGCTCATAATGACTGGACGTCGCCCCTACGGCGACTGCTTCACTATCCCATTCCCAAGAATGGTATCCCGGGCTTTAAGGATATGCGCATCACTGTATCCAACTATGGTGGTGAGGCACGTATATATCTTGAGAACCTCATCAAGGCTTGCGGTGCTGAGTTCACTAAGACGATGAAGGCGGACAATACCCATCTCATTACAGCTCGCAATTCTAGCGAGAAGTGTAAAGCTGCTCCTGAATGGGGTATCACCGTTGTCAACCACCTCTGGATTGAAGAGAGCTATGCGAAGTGCGAGATCCAGCCGGTCAATGTGAAGAAGTATAATCACTTCCCCATTCGGACAAACTTGGGAGAAATCATTGGGCAGACCACATTCAATGAATCTAGACTGAGAGATTTGTTTTATCCCGGAGGCGAGGAAACTATGTCACCAAGAGCCAAAAGGAAGAGAAAGATTCTCGAGGCGGCAGAGGACAATGCATATTCACATGGTCCCATGGAGGGTGTCGTGATTGGCGAAGTTGCACAGGAAGGAGAGTCTGATGCTATGCAGGAAGACAACAGCGAGGAGGATATCATTCCATCATCAGCAGCAAAGAAGGGCCGGCCTAGCAAGTCTCTCGTAACACCCAAAAGAACCCGACCTGTAGACACAGGCAAAGAAAATGAGACGCCTACATCCTTGTCTACTGGTGGACGTAGTGCTAAAACAAAGGCTATGGACAGACTCTCATTAATCGCTCCAGATATCGCTCTCTATGAAAAGGAAAAGAAGAGAAATACTAAGCCGGGAACTCCTTTTGGTGGCAAGCTAGCTGCGAAGTTGACAGAGAAGGAGAACATCAACAGCACAAAGAGTTCAACGAGCCATAAAGATGGCGATGACGATGAGGATCGACCGGCCAAGAAGTCGCGACCATCTCTGCCTGGCGTTGAGATGCGCATAATCTTAACAGGGTTTACTAGATGGGTGGGAAGTCAGATCAAAGAAGATCAGGATCGGGTGAGTTCTGAATGTTTTGCCTTGTTTTAAGCTCTATTTTCTATTGCTCCTTTTCTATCCCTTCTCCTCCCCCCTAAATTTGGCTCACTAATATGGCGCGCTGCTAACCATGTATCTATAGCGAAAACTCCGCGATCTCGGTATTCAGATTGTCCAGGAGGGCCAACCCTGCGACTATCTAGCGGCACCGCATGTTGTGAGGACAGTCAAATTCCTATGCGCTTTAGCACGCGGACCAACTGTCATCTCTTCTACGTTTATTGAAAAAACCCTTGAGACGGGCAAGCTTCAAGATGTGGAAGACTTTATCCTCAAAGATGACGAGGCAGAAGCCAAGTACGACGTTAATCTCGAAAAATCTGTCGCCAGAGCCAAGGCTCACCGCGGCAAACTCCTTCGAAGCATTCCTATATACTGCACTGATAAGATCAGGAACGGACCCGAGAGCTATCGCGCGATTGCAGAAGCAAACGGTGCCATGTTCATGATCTATCGCGCACGAAGCGGGACGACTATCAAGCCAACCACCGCGGAGGAGGACGGGTTTGCCCCTCCTGAGCCAGTTTATCTGCTTAGTGGTGTCACCCCGGAAGAAAAGCAGCTGTGGAAACGCTTCAAGGAGATGGCAGAAAATGGCCACATGGAGCCCAGAGTGGTATCGCCAGACTGGCTTCTCGACGTGGCGATGGCGCAGCAGGTGCGGTTTGATAAGAAATTTCTGCTCGAGGCAGAGTAAAGACGCCGATTTATGTGTATAATTCAGTGGGCGCATCTTGTTATGACGCATGTATATGACGGAGTTTAGGAAGGAAGCATGAGTCGGTGTTGGAAGGACCAATTAGTTGACAAGTCGCCCTTGTGCATGGTTATGGTGGTAATATGTCGGACTGCAGTTTTGCAGCATTTCGCTTTGTACTTGTTTTAGTTAATCGAGATGGAGGGGGTGTCGCCTCAGAAGAATTTGACACCAAGAGAGTCTTCAGAGCCAAAGATCTGGGCTTTGCCCCGTTTGACGAGGATGTTTAATGCTTTCATGAGTACGCCGTTATCCATGCCGTGGAATTCTGTCACATCTCGTTTTAGAGCCCTTTCCATATCCAGTGTGCATGGTTACAATGCAAGAAGTAACAAAACATACCTGTCCCTCGCGTGTTTTCTCCCTCTGTCAGTTCATAGACGGTCAACACGCTTCCCTTTTGCGCCGTTTCATCCACATAGGCCTCTATCAGGGCAGCCCACTCCTGCGGCTTGCGCCAATATATCAGCACCACATCCCCACCACCACCAGCCGCCGCCGCCGCCAAAGAAGAAGAAGAACCATCGCCACCGCCGTTATTGCTGCTGGTGCTGCTGCTCCCCGCATCCCCAGGCTGGAGATACTCCGCGCGGCCGTCCTTGCGCATAAAGTCGACGACCTCGCGGATGTCGGGCGGCGCGAGGCGGCGGTCGAGCGCGCGGTTGAAGAAGAGGTCCGACTCGGCGGCGGCGGAGAGGGCGAGGCGGAAGATGCGGTGGTGGCGCGCGTAGGCGAGGACGAGGGAGGACCATTTGGTGAGCTGGGCGTGGTGGATGGTCAGGTTGGGCTGGCGGGTGAAGAAGGCGGGGAAGAAGTATTCGCGGGGGAAGGGGAAGGCTGTGGCTGGAGGGGCGGTGGTGGTGGCCATTGTGTGTGTGCGTGTGTGTGTGTGAATATATGAGGGTTATGGGAATGAGTTTAAAAAAAAAAAGAGAGAGAGAGAGAGAGAGGAAGATGGTAAAGTCAAAACTGTTGGCTGATGGCTGCTGGGTTTAGAAGGGGGGAGATCGTAAGTTTTGCGGGTAGTGCTATTAAGGGTCCTGCTGGTCTGGGCGGGATGATGACGTTGCGCCACGTGGGGGGTTCCATGGCCTGTTGGTGCGGTACGGTATCTGGAGCCGAAACAGTCTGTCTGTGCCCTTTGGCATATTTTGGAGCAGAGAACGATGCAGCTTCTCTTTGGGAAACTAAGAAGATATGACGAGAAGATAAATACACACAAACAAGATTCACAGAAAGCGCTGCACCAGCAGAAGAGATGTGCAAAGTTAGCTGTGTATTAAAAAGAAAGGGAACTTGCTAATAGGTACTTATAAAACACGGCGGCCGGGAGTTGAAGTTGAAATCTGCCAAGCTAGAACACACATCATGACTGTATTTGTCGTCTAGATTTAAGCCACCAAGAAGTTGATGCGCCCCAAAGTTTCGCTTCTTTCATGTTTACATGTTGAATCTAGTGTAACATGGAATTTTACCGCATGTTTGCCTTGCCTTCCTTTGTATTAAAACTATATGCGACTCGCGTCTTACATAGACTATGTACCTATTTACATGCGTCATCACCAAGAAACGACAGGCTATGAGCAACAATTTCATATACATTCACAACACACAATCATATATAATAACATCGATCTTTGATTTTCTTCTTTTCATTCTTGGGATTCCCATATCCCTTCTTTGATGAGCGCCGAATTGATAGCAAAAAAAGGCCCAAATTTCACTATGCACTATGCCTAACCAGGTATCGAACCGCAAGCGACAAAAGAAATATCAAGGAGGTTAAAAAGAAAGAGGGTAAAGGATACAGGGTTGAAAGAAAGGGAGCAAATACTAAACAGAGATAGTCCCAAATAGCCCCAAGAAAAAGAAACGAGAAAAAAAAAAGAGGGAAATAAGGGGGGGGCGAAAGGAAAAAGTTGTCCTGTTATGAAAATACAATGGTTAATTTCCCTAAACGCTTCTGCCGACTTCCTTCTAGAATTTTTTTTCCCCTGCCTTGTAGCATAATAACATCGTAATGAGGCCGGTCACTCCAGATATAAATTTTTCTATATACACACATATTCGCAGGTAAGAGGGACGTCGCCTTGTAAAAATCGTCGTCTTCCGTCGTACACCTGGTATAGCTAGTCTCAAAAAGAGATAAAATTGGAAATAAAGGATAAAACGTTCGAAAGGGCCGAAAGATTAAACGAGAAGTGGAGTATCGCAAAACAAATCTTGAAACATAGTTGTGCATCATGTCGATTTTAATTCTCCCCTCTGCAAAATCCATCATCAATCATCGGTATATACCTTCGTCGTCGTCGTCCGTCATGGTTTCGTAGCCAGTATCCATATCCATGCCTACCGCTCTTTTCGTAACGGTTAGGCATCGATTGATTACTTTGTCTTGGAGGTCGGGTGCTACGCCGCAATTTAGCGCCAGTGGACTGCCTATCCAAAGCCGTAGAATGGCAGCCAGCCTCTCTACAAGCGGTGCAAAGCTGTTTGTTGTATCCTTGTGCTTCAAGATCTGCTCTAAAACTTCCATGGCGGATGTAAAGCTCAAAAGCGACATTTTCGTTTTCGTTGATAAATCAATCACCTTTTCGATAGAGGCTCGGACGTATGTTTTGTTGCTAGCAACCTTTCCACCCAAACGTTTAATGTGAGCAGAAGCTGTTGCACAGCGCAGGCAAAGCTCAAGGTCGGGATCAGGATTATTTGACTGAATAGGAGAAAGCGGTGCGAGGTTGGTAAAGGGATTCGGTTCGGCGGTAGCAAATGACATAGGTTCGATAAGCTGGCTGCTGCTAGTGTCGATCCGAAGGACTTGAACAGCGGCAGCAATATTTTGTCCACGCGAATAAGTAGCGAGCACAGAACGGGCCATAATCGCCCGTGCTCGAGCATGAGAACCGAAAGGCGCGACTTTGACGGCTAGTTCCATTATTCCCTGGTCCTTTGATGCCTCTTGATTGTCATACAGTGTGCTCGTCAAGATATCATGCACCTTGGCTGTTGACCACCAAGCCGCAAGAGCATCCATGGGAGATCCAATAGCGGTGTCATCGACTACCGAATCCATGCCATCAATCGGGATCGCATTATATGTTGTTTCCAAGTTGAACGCCAAGTTGTGAGCTCGTTGAATTACTGTGGCAGTGAGGACTTTGTCACAGTCCTGTTCTACCAAAGCAGCCAAGTGGTCGGGCAATATCTGTTCAAGTCGCTTCTTCTCGGAGTCTTCGTCTTCTTGGTGGCTATTCATCAGCCTTTGGTTCAGGTCTCGAGCGGCATTCCATTGTCGCTGTGCAATCTTGGCGGCAAAGAAGTTAACTAGTCCTAGCTGATACCATTTCTGACCCAGATCCCACAATAGGACGCGGACATGAAGCGCTTTGAGCATCAAACCGCTGGGTGTATTCGGCACGGTTCCAGAGGCGAGGAGTGTTAGAATAAGGCGGGTCGTGCAAATCTCTGCGTCGCCACCAGTGAGCTGGGCATCAAGAGCGGTAGCCCAGGCGCTGACTCGAGCCACTTCCTGCTCAGGGGTCAATCCGGTTAATAGTTGGTAGGCTTGGACACCAAATACATTGCGTACACTAAGCTTGAGTGTCTTGAGCATCAACGCGGCGGCTTCCAAGAAGAAGTTGTGGTGAGGTACCCAGACAGTCTGGATCGCCGTCTCCCAAGCACGACGGCGGAATCCGATGGGAGATGCGGGAGAAGGAGCAGGATGTATAGCAGTAGATTGCGGCTTTTTGGGGCTTCGATTGAACGAAGAAAATATCGATGGTATGAAGACCCACAGCATCAGGCCGAAAAGAATCATAAATTTGAGAGGGATGCCGGCTTCAATTCCAAACCAGTGCAAGTGAAGTTGTGATGGGACATATTTGAGAAGCTGTAGGGGGACGGCGAATAAGCCGCGGCCTTGAGGCTCTTCGTTGCTGGTCTCGTCTTCCCGAACTGCCTCCAATATCATCAGTCCGGCTAGCGAGCCTACCATGAGTTTGCCAAAATAGGGGCCTGCATTGTTCCATCCGTTCTGCTGCCCTTGCTGCTGCATTTGTCGAATCTGCTGCTGGCCGACCACTGATGGACTCTGGCGGAATAGTTGCTGCTGTTGAGGCACAGGATATGGCTGGCCAGTGGCCATTTGCGCAGAAAGGATTCGTTTCATGTCCTCTGGAACATCGATCATCCCAGCAGGTCCAGCACCGCCTTCTTGAGAAATTTCTAGTGGAGAGGGTGTCATTTGCGGCTGCTGTTGCTGTTGCTGCTGCTGCTGTTGCTGTTGGGATTGCTGTGACTGTTGCTGCGATTGGCCATCTTGGGGATACTGCATCGGTGTGGGCTGCTGCATCGAAGGGATAGAACCATTCATGGCACCGGCCATGAATAGCTTCTCGAAAGCGGCGATTCTCTGATGCATGACGCCATTTTCATCCAGGAGCCGGTTATTCCTCTTCTCCAGATGCCGAATGTATTCCGTGGCTTTACTTAAAACCTATTCATCAAACGTTTAGTAATTCTGATCTTCATCGGTCCCTTAATCGTAGCGTCAAGAGCCATAAACACTAGAGTTACCTACAGTTGCTTTATTCAGCTTATGAGCCGGTGTAAGACCATGTAATTCTTCACGGTCCTCGGTTGTGTCCTCTCCTCTTGCGCTCTTGCACATGATACGCAAGCTGGGGACACTATCTCTCAAGGCGGCAATCTTGTCATTGATGTTGGTGCGATAGCGCTTCTCAATCATGTTGTGAGCAGTCTTCTTGACCGGCTTACCGCCTTCCTCAAGAAGGTCATCGTCGTCAAAGTCATCAGCCGAAACCTTTCGCTTCCGAGAATCTCTGTGGGAGCCTCCAGAGACGTCAGGCGATGAGCCGACTCCTGTCTTGGCCGACTCAGGGCTGGAGGCGCTCTTAGGCGATCCGTACAGAAGATGAGGGGGCATTGCGATGTTTCGCAGCTGTTCCTGCACAGCAGGACTCAACTTGGTCACAGAGCGTAGGGGAGCTTTTGACACTGGGAGGGCAGCGCCCCGCTTGGTAGCCACTTGACTAGAGAGGTAGACTGACGTAGGATCGATGTTGGGCAGTCCAAAGCCACCAAAGCCGGAAGAATCGGGTAACTGTTGCTGTTGTTGAGGGTCAAAGGTCGGGGTTGGCCAGGACGGGGACAAGTATCCTGGATGCGCTGAGGGGAGAGCGGTGTTGCTGGCGCTGCTGATGTCGTACGAGCTGGCTTGCGGCGAGGCATCCAAAGGCCAGACGCCAGCATCGAGGAAAGCGCCGGAGGGATCGCCGTTGGGGAGAATTGGAGGATCTGAGATTGCATCGAGAGGCACGGGGCCATTGTCTATGAATCCGAAGCTCGGGTCGTCAAACCCAAGCCCACTGGTGCCATCCTCATCCGCCATGGGAGGGGAAGAGGAAGGACGCTTTGGGGGAATAGCGGCTGCAAAGACCGGGGGACGCTCTCCGATCAGCTCATGCAGCGACAACCGGGCTCGACAGACCGAGAATGGGCAGAATCTGAGACCAGGTGAGGAAGCGTCAGGGTCTAATGAAATGTCACTCGATTGTTGGGAGAGAATCGTGCGGTCGACGGGCGAAGTGGACTGAGTGATGCAGAAGTTGTGGACGCTCTCACGAGCGATAGCACGATCAGATCAGCTGTTTTTTCAGTTTCTTCCCTGGCGGGCCCAGGTAGTGCACAGTTTAAAGCGGGCGGAGCTGCTGAGACGCCCAGTGAGCGCTGCCGGCCGAGTGGATGGCCAGGGACAGCGTGCAGGCGAGACGATGAGATTTGACGGTAATCTCAAGAGGTGCAAGTGCTACTGCGCAGTATTATTACTCCTTAGAGAGAGACGATACAACAGTACGGCACTTTGGGGAGTGTGGACTATGAAAAAAGGGAAAAGCTCTGAGAAGTGACGACGACGGAACAAGACGGTAGCCAGGGGGGTCTTGATTCAGCCCGGCGGCACTAACGCCGTAATGGTATACCGCACAGTATGGTGGTGTTCCGTGTCTTGGTCTCGATCCCTTTAGCAGTGGAATGGGCAGCCGGCTTGTGGTTCTTCTGTCTCTGGGCTGCAGGATAGATGAAGGATGGTTTGGATCGATGGATCGACGGGGTTGGTGGCAGATCGAGGTGTGATTGTGAAAGTGACTGTGATTTCCTGGCTCGATTCGGTTCGGTTCGATATGATACACGTATGGCCGCTGCTGCTGCGAGGGCTTCTTCTTCGCTGGGGCCACGGCAATGCGGTACGGACAGCCGGAAGAAGAAGTTTGCCCAAAAGAAAGGTGTGCGAGATGAGACAACCAGGCTGCACAGGAACATCGTACGATCCGGAACCGATATCAGGCGAGGCTACGCCAAAACGAGCAAGGAAAAAAGCTAAAAGGTAAAAGACGTACCCGACACTTCCCCCACCTCCCTTGGCAGCTACCTGGTGGAGGCAGTCACTGCTACCTACCCGGTACTGGCGGCGCTAATACGAAGTGCGGGTGCTTATGACCAGAGCCTCGAGTACACCGTTGAGACAGCGCCAATGCTCCACCTCCTTGTTTCTTGCTGCCCAATTTTTTTTTTTTCCTTTAATTCTTTTAGTTATTCGGTCATTGAATTTTTTTTAACGACATTCGTAGTTATGCAGGCAGCCTCGTACTGCCACTCCTGCTGTAGGTACCTAGCAGGCATCTCTGCAATATTCCGTGCTAGTGGGGGGTGCAGTATGCTTCATAGGCCGCATGCCAAACCAGAAAAACACGCGCATATCGACATCGGGATGCTGCAGCATCCGTATTACTTTGCGCAGGCGTTGCTTGTACAACGCGGTACTTGTACCACTCGCTGCCTGCACGACAAGCCGGACGTCCGCCTAAGCTGCCCACATAGCGCCAAGTACTGAGTACATGCCAATACTTGGGCGAGCTGCCGCTCAAGGCGTAGGAAGGGGCCCATCTGTATCAGAATGGTACTAGCGGCCGTGGCATTTTCGTGTGCTCTGTTCTGCTATGCTCCTTACTCGAGGGCCTACTTACAGAGCATATGCGCCTTGGGCAGCTGGCGGCACCGAGGAAATGCTCGAGGCTCGGTAATAGCCCGAACAACATGGCGATTTTTGGGAGTGCAAAGGCAGCGGTCCCCATGCCAGGCGTCGACTTTGCCAGTACCCAACACCGGGCTAATACCCAGTAGATGAGTAATGTTCCGTGCTTGTATTATCCATTAGGCGTGCATAACCCATCCAATCTTAGAACCATCTCGATGCATCAATGATGCCTCTGAAAGCGCAGGGCCAAGCGACGCGAGGCGCGAGCTGAACCTCAACAGCGAGGTAAGTCCGCTTAGCGCGACATGATTGTGGTCTGGCCTGCATTGCGTTCCCAGAAGTGAGAGCTGCCCAGAAATGAGAGCCGCCACATCAGCAGCATTTGCGTTTTGTGGCTCAATCAAGGCGCTAAGATTCATTCTCTCCGTCAGCCCTGTGAATCGGCCTATCTGTTAGTTCTCTGTCGTCCTCGTGGCAGCCCCAGTATACTGCTTTGTATACTGGCTTTGCTCCTTGTATGCTTTGTGCCCAGCCCAAGGCTCCATAGCAGCTCCCGCTGCCAGGTACGCGCTAGCAAGTGAGACATAGCCACGTGAATTTGCCGCCATCGCCGCCATCGCCGCAATGTGCCGCACCATGGCCACAGTTTTGTTTCGGGTTCTCGGTTCAAAGTACGATATTTCAGCCTTTGCTATTCGCTCTGCCATCAAGCCCCCTGCCCAAGCACAGTAGTCGCCGTTTTTTGAGTCACTTGAAATGTCTTCAGCCGTGGCCTTGGCTGCGTGTGAGCACATTTCCAGTGCCACCCCAAATGAGTTATTGGGGGAACGACCAGCCTGTAAATTGTTTCCTTCTCAGCTCCTTCTTCCTGCTGGAGCATGGATACCGGTCCATCCCGAGCCAAGAAAAAAAAAGAAAGGCAAAAAGAAAATGAAGGGGAGTTAAAAAGCAAATGGCAAATTCCAGCTGTTCCAGCCTCTCAGCCACAGCCCTCAGAGCCTTGAGTGGCTGCTCGGGGTTCAGCTAGAGTCCGGTTAGCAAGGGCCCAGCGCGCCGCCTTGCTGGGGATCACCACCACCGAGGTAGCACTGCTTCGTCCTTCGGCCCCCGTGCTTGTATGTAGTAGCGAAAATGCCCACATTCCTGACCTATGTGGCTTTTTCTTCTTTTTTTCTTTTCTTTTCTTTTCTTTTTTTTTTTCTCCGGTTGCGGCTCGCTATTGGCCTGCTTGTGTCACCGTCTCTTCTCTGGGCGCGCGGGAATGCGGAATTTCGACAATGCTCCCCGAGTTCCGTTCAAGCAGTTCGGCCCGGCACATCTGCCAGAACAGCGGCTTCAGCGACTCCCGATTCGTACTGTACTGCGGACCAGATCAAGTCTGGCTGCGGAGCTGCTTCCGTCGCCACACGCCGCATCACCGCTCGGCTACTAGCTTTGTCTCTCCCCCAAGCCAAGCAGCGGCAGGGCACCGAGTTGTGTGAGAGCTGTCAGTGTCGAGATGTTACCTGTCACCTTTCGGCTTGGCCCATACCAACATAGTCTCAGCTTCCGCTCCACCTCCAATCGCTAGATGCTGCTCAGAGCTGTGCTGGAGCGTTCTAGTACACAATCCGCGCCAATCAACCCTGACAAGCCCAGCACTCGCCCTTGTTGGAGGCCTAGATGAAGTCATGCCCTCGCCCTCATATGATAGCCGTCTTGGCTAGTCCCAATGCATGGTGACAGCCTGTCTCCCGTGCATATTCCCCGCCTCCCGCGAGCGGGTCGATCGATATTGGCTGCAGTCGATAGTATTGATTCCTTCACGGATCCTGTACTCCAAGTTACTTCGCATAAGCGAGGCTTTTGCCCACGCGGCGTAAAACCTGCCTCAAGCACTCTTAGCACCCTTTGAGTGGCACGCTTGAGCGGGCTCTGTAGCCTATCATAGAGACAAGATTCTGCAGGACTTGGTCCCTCCATGCTGGTAGGCTGTCATCGATATGATTTAGAGATAAGAGGTTGAGAGGCTGCAGAGTAACTCTGTCGTGTATAGTATGAGGAATACGTACTACTGCCTACACTCGGTAAAGATCTTCACTGTCCACCAACGAGAAAACAGACTAGGCATAATTCGGCCACTGATACCCAATGTAAACCTAAAGGCTACCTGTCTTAATCTTTGTTTGAGTCATGGTGAGGGCCATCCGCATATATACAGTCTTAAAAAATACAGTTTAAGACTCGGTCTCTAATATGAAACAGTAGTATGTACAAAGTACTACTCCGCACGGAGGTATTTCAATCTGAATCGACACGGTAGACTCGATCCATATTGTAGCATGGGGTCGAAGAAACAAAGGTGCAAAAGGATGCTACATCATATCACTTAGACCTAGTACCTACCTAGTCTTAATGGCGTTCTCTCTTCCTAAGTAGGCTGTAATAAATGACGTCGTTAGTGTTCCATTGGGGGCGCTTTGCTATGCTGCTAGCCTGTCTTTTTTTATTTTCTTCTTATTCCCGCTATTGCTGTTGCATGAAATATTTCATGCAAGAAGTTGAGATCGGCATCTTTCGTTTAATTGGTATTGGCCGCTTTGAGGGCCTGTCTAGTCATGTTCTGAGCTACCAGGGGGGTTCCAGTGAAGGAGAAACAAAACCATGATATACCCAAGGCTATACCTAGAAGAGAAGAGGAGGGAGGAAACCTGCGAGAAGAAACCTGGTCTAGATGGGCCTCGGTATTGACGCCACAGTTGAGCTATGGGTGGTCTGCATGATAAACAATTACGGCATTGCGGCTCTATTCTTGGGCCTAATGCAAGCCAGAAATAGCTCTTCTTTTCCGCTGCTATGGACTAGCATTCCTAGGTATGTTATCCTGTTTATTGTAGGCTCCAAGGAAAAGAAAAGAGTAGAAAAGGGAGACAAAAATGAAACCACGGGGGATGGGTCAAAAACCGGGGGGGAGAGAAGAAATCAAAGGTATTGGTTAGGGATGAAAGAAACACATAACGGTCTGTTGGTTCAGTTGCTTGATTCAAGACCGGGTGAGGTTTTCGTAGTAGCGAGCCGAATAGCACGATAGTATACAACCTCAACTATCAAGTTACCTGATAGATCCATATGTTAAACACGCAACTGCAATCATATTCTCTATATCTCCTTACTACATCTTGCATCCCTGTGGCCATTTTGGCAAAACTCAACCGCATAGGATAGCCTATAAACCACACGGTGTATATATATCACTCTTAAAAGACTCATTTATTTAGAAATACAAAATACTCAATTAGAGATACTAGATTGTATATGCCTATAGAGCTTATGAAATACTTCCTCAAAAAAATTTCATCAATCATAAAAAGAAATAGTATGCGGGTATGATTTTTCCTTCCTCGTCAATCTTATTGCTCCTAGCCCCAAATCATTGGTATATAAATATGAAAGAATAAAAAAAAAAATGTCTGAATGGGGGGACATTGTTCTGATGAAGGAGAGAAGAGAAGAGAAATCACGGCGACATGATCAAAAAGGGCTACCCTCCCTGGGGCTGCCCACACAAAATTATCTAACAACAGAAGCTTGAAAAAAAAAAAAAAAAATAAGATGCATGAAAAGATTACCAGATCTTGTGAGGGTTTCCTCCACCTATTTACCATATTTCCTCAGAACTCTTGACCATCTCCAAGGTGGGTGTCTTGGGGACCATCCTCTTCATGCGCTTGCGATCCTCCTTGGTAACCAGGCCCGGGGTGATTGGGACTATTGGGGTATATGGTTGGTACGGAGAGTACGGCACGGCGCTCGCAGTGAATGGGGTCCTGCCAGTGGGTGATAGAGGGCCGGTTCTCTCAAAGACAGTCTGCTTGGTGGTCTGATTGGTAACAAAAGGCGAGCCTAGCTGCTCCTCATAAGCGCGAAGGGGGAGAGTGCCGCCGGTTCGGACCGCAGAGGGAGGGTTGGGGCGAGAGAAGGAGGCTCCAGGTCGTGGTGAAGAAGGAAGCGAAGGAAATGTGCTTCCCGGCTTAGGGGATGATGGAAGACCGACTAGAGGAACCTGCGAGTGATCCGATGTGGCTGACTCGGGGTCTCTCTCGGTATATGGCAAGGTGTTCCTCGAGCCACGATCAAGAGACGCTCCAATGCGCTCATCGATGGTTTGGATGCTCTGGGGTGACATATCCGGAGTAATTGGGGCACCCGAAGCCCTAGTATTGATGGCGCCGAATGGCACCTGGTCCGTCGGGACAGGTGGAGGAGGAGGAGGAGCATAGTGTCGTGGCGGAATAGCGCTCATCTCTCGAGATTCATGCTGAGGGAAAGTCCCCGACATGGGTGTCATGATGGGGGACGAAATGTTCATGCCCTTGGCTGCCTTCTTCTTGGGAGAGAGGAGAGAGGAGAAGAGAGCTGAAGTCTTTGACTGGGACTTCTCCTCCTTGGCGGCCGTCAGGTTGAGGCTGGTGGGCTTGGACTTGCTCTTCTTTGACAAGAGACCCTTGGACTTATCAGGTGTTGTTGAGTCTCGTTGGGGGTTTGGAGATACAACTGGAGCTTCGAGAATGATCCCCTTCTGTTTTGCTTCCTCATGCTCCATGACATATTTGTACATTTCCTCAAGCTGTTGTTGCGCCATGGCTCTATCTGCTGCGACGACTGACTGGTCTACAAGCGGCGAGACTCCAAGAGTTGATGGAATTGCAGATGAAGAGGGCGATGGTATGACGTATGACGATGACCCGTTCTTGTAGTCAAAGACCCGGGCACTGTAGGGACCAGAGTGGTAGTACTCTGATTTGGGAATTACCAAGGGAGGAACAGTATGGCCCTCTGCTTGTTGATTTGTGAATTCAAACTGTTGTTGGAACTCGGCAACTGGAAAGTTTGGCTGAAAAACGTAGCTGGGTATATCGCTTCCCCGAAGATGCTCTCTGCGTCTTTTTGATAGCGCAAGGAGGATGATGGCGACCAGCACCAACGAAACACCGTATGCCGCAACGATACCACCAATCTGTGCGGGAAGATATCTAGTATCCCGCAGAACCCGAGCAGACAGCGGTGGACCGTCTCTACTATCTCTCTTTGTGAATGGAGTTGAAGATCCAAAAGTTGGCGATGAATGAGCGACAGACCAAAGAAGCACAGAAGACAAGGCGGCGACGAGTGACGATGATGAAGGAAGAATCCCCAGGAGCATGATGCAGACCGACCTCGTTCTTATGAAGGCGATCACTGCGTTATGGGACCTCCTGGCTCTGAAATGCGAAACATGACCCGAGAGAGATGTGACATGAATGAGGAGAAATATGCGGCATCTGGAGCGTATATAGGACCGTCACGGCGGCTGGCGATGCTGGGAGGCGCTCTGTCGTGGGGCCGAGCGAGGGTTCGCAGGAGATGCCCGGCTTGCGCGACGCTGACTGGCTGGGCGGTGCATGCGATGCATGAAGGGCGGTTACATGGCGCCCCACGAACGGCCGTGGCCCAGGAGCAGCACAAAGATGCATCTCGCGCCCGTGGTTGGATGGATGTTGGTGGTTTAAGCGCCGACCTCTGCTGTGACAGGCGCCGGTGTGCCCTGATTGGCTCGCTGGCAATCTCGATGCAGGCACTAAAGCTCGCCACCTGCAGGCCCCGCCAGGCCTAGCCGACAGGGGGGCCAGGCACTGGGGAACACCATCAGTGGGATTGCTGCCGCCAAAGGATAAGAGAAAAGATGCGATGACTGCACCTGGACGACTCAAATTCTGAGCCCCGGGCTGCGATCTTGGTTGCAGGCGTTGTTCCGTGTTCCTGGGGCTTCCTCTTAATTATAAGCCCCTTTTCTCTTTAAACTTCTGAAACTCCCTTTATCTTATTTCTATATATATGTATGTTCCCGCACGTCCATCCCGGCTTTGCTGGCGGAGAACCGACGCTAGATGATACTGCTAATATGTAAGCGCCGGCGCTGAGACAGGACCTATCCTTGCCTAAGCAGTGATACCCGAGTTCATTCGTCCAAATATCTCCCAATAAGAGCAGCGTGATAGAAGTGCCGTAGTGAATGATGACCCTCCAGCCACATTACTAGCGGTGATCGGCGCCCTGTGCCCAAAAAAACAGCCTGTGTGTCTCGTCACATCTTCAGGCACAGGCACACCGCCAGAGCAGATACGGCTAATGACCTGGTGATGAGCTGAATTCCATCGCTGGAGATTCATGCTTGTATTGGACTCAGCAAGTTCAACAATCTGCAGATAGCTTCACCCTAACAAGAGAAGGAGTCACGCCATCTTGAACCGTTGGATTTGTGATATTGGCAACTAGTCTATGTGATGTGAACTTGTGTATTCCTCATCACTCGTCACCCATCACACATGGGCGGCTCTAACTTATGCCACTCACTTCCAAAGGGCAGGAAAGGTGGTAGATGACGTTTGCTCATATCTCGTGTAATCTTTCACATCACAAAATGAGATGCGACACATGTAAGCTGATAAGCAGTTATTCGGGCTGAGAGGTTATGCTTCGTGCCCGCCGGCTTACTAAGATAATTGTCACGTGAGTTCGCGATGCGCCTTGTTGGCTGTCCACTCTATCGACGCGTTGGATGGCGCCGTCAGATAAGTGGTGAATCGATAAGATGAGATGAAATCATAGGATCAGCTCATGTCAATATTCTATGCATCGCTTAATGGCGAAATTCCAAGTGCTGTGGTTAGCTTAGAGTGCAAACTGTACTACAACTCAGATGCTCAATCTCTGTTCCTAGCCAGGTATCAACACCACGGGCGGCTCTCGCATCAAGTTGCGCCATGTCAACGGCCACGGTCGAAAACCCAATCTTACAGTCGCTGAATGCTGCCCAGCGCCGTGCTGTCACCTCAAATGCATCAACTGTCGCCATTCTAGCGGGCCCGGGGAGTGGCAAGACGCATACTCTAACCTCACGCGTCGTGTGGCTGGTTCAACAAACAGGCTACCAGCCATCAGACATCATCGTGGCAACATTCACGGTCAAGGCTGCCCGTGAAATGAAAGAGCGAATTGGAAAAGTCCTTGGCCCGGAGAGGGAGAAGAAAATTGTGCTCGGCACCTTTCACTCCATTGCCCGGCGCTATCTCAGTGCCTATGGCAAGCATATAGGTCTCGATTCCAAGTTTGGGATTGCAGACGATGGCGATTCAAGGGCAATAATTCAGCGGATATGTAAACGCCATGACTTCAACATCGACCCAGGATTCGCAAGGTCGTGGATCAGCAAGAAGAAAGCCAAAGGTCATGTGGCCAACCCGCCTTCGAATAAAAAGCAACCTGAGAATCCATCGTTGAATGACTGCTACAGGGAGTATCAAGAGCACTTGGAACGATCAAATTTACTCGACTATGACGACCTGCTAGTGCGCTGCGTGGAGTTGTTAAAGGTGTATCCGGCCTGTGTCTCAAACATCCAGGCGGTTCTCATCGACGAATACCAAGACACAAATGGTATTCAGTATGATTTGATGAAATTATTTGCCCAGGCTCGTCAGCGAATAACAATTGTTGGTGATCCTGACCAAAGTATTTACGGGTGGCGATCAGCTGAGATCCGGAACCTGTACCGACTGCTGCGGGACTTTCCCCAAACGGATGAGATATCGCTCGAGGAAAATTACCGGTCAACTCGGTCAATTCTCGACGTCTCTTTAACTGTTATTCAGCAAGATAAGAAACGGTACCAGAAAGTCCTTCTGCCAATTCATACAAAAGGCGCGAGACCTGTTCTACGAAAGTTAAAGAGCTCTGCCGCGGAGGGAGACTGGATTGTCTCTGAGATTAAAAGAGCTGTCACGATGTTTGGAGAGATGCTCAAGTATGAAGATGTGGCTATTCTGCTAAGATCTGCATCTCTTTCAAGGCATATTGAATCAGCATTAGGCAAGGCAGGACTTGCCTATCGGATGATTGGCGGTCACAAGTTTTACGAGCGAAAGGAGATCAAGGTTCTGCTAGATTATCTACGTGTCGTATATCAACCAGATAACAATGACTCTGTTGCACGAGTCATTAACGTGCCCCGTCGAGGAATCGGAGACACGACAATCAAGCGTCTCATAGAGGAGGCCGAGCAGCAAAAAATGAGCCTCTGGTCGCTGCTGAGAAAGCATTGTCAGGGCAGCCGTAAGGCGACGACAAAGATACTGCCAAAGATGGAGCAGAAACTCAACGGCGAATTAATAAGGATGATATTAACTCTCCAACACCACTCCCAGCAAATCACAGAGAATAGCCAGCAAACGCTAATTAATCTTATTGAGAAGCTACTATCACAGCTCGATTTCAAGCAATACCTCGAGTCAGAGTATCCAGAAGATCACGAGCAGAGATGGCAAAACGTTCAAGAGTTTCTCAGCTTGGCTAACGACTTTGTGCGGGACTCGGCAAACGCAGATGAGGAGCTGCTGCCCGAAATTGAGAATGTTCATCAGGCTAAAGACGACAGCATCTTGGGTCGGTTCTTGGCAAACATAGCGCTGGCGTCCGACGCACAGAAAAACGATGAAGGGGCGGAGACAAAATCGGTGATAACCATATCAACCATCCATGCTGCTAAAGGGCTCGAGTGGCCTATAGTGTTTATACCAGCTGTCTATGCCGGCTCAATTCCTCACTCAAGGGCGGAGGACTTGGATGAAGAAAGGCGATTACTTTATGTAGCTATGACCAGAGCGCAGGTCCTTCTCTATCTCAGCTGCCCTCTATACGGATCTCAAGGTATGGGCAGCAAGGTAGAGTTGTCACCTTTTGTTTCGCCTTTTGCATCGTCGGCTTTTGCCAAGCAAGGAACATCGTTTAACAGACCAGTCCTGGAGGGAGCCGCCAAAGTCCTTGGAAGAGATCTCCCTAGCGAGAAGGCAATCTTTGACAAGATTCCGCCCATGTTCTCTCTGGAGGACAATCTATTCCCAATAGACCCCATCGACACCAGAGACCCAGAAGGCCTTGGTGATTCAGAAGGTTATCGCTCCAAGGGGCCCAAACGACAGCGTATAAACAATCAAGGCTATGGTAGCGACGAAGAAATTGCAGAAGAACGGCCGTGGAAGAAAGAATATAGTACGACTATGGAACAAGCGTCTAGCTTTACCATGGCGTCCTTACCCGGATTTGTATCAGCTGGAACGCATCAAAACGCACTCTCTGCGGCTGCTGCTGCTGAAGAAGAAAAGGCAGCAGCCTCCAAAAAGGCCATGAAGATGGGCACCACAAGACGAAAAGCAGATCAATCAAGCTTGCTCGGATTCGTAACAACATCCTCAAAGAAGCCAGTGACTCCAATAGGTGGGTTTAATGGTCCAGACATGTCCATGGCTCGATATCAGCTTGCTGCATCCCGATCTGCAGCCCGGCTGGCAGCCGAGGCAAAAGCTCCTGAGCTCCCGAAGCTTCCCGCTGTCGATCCATCATTCTCAAAACACAAACTCCTGAGCGGCAATGCTCTTAATCGTCCCAGCGCAATAAAGCAAGAAGCTGAAGACGGCAGTTCTAAGAAGCGGTACCACTGTTTCTCTAGCTCCCCACCAAGGCCAGCTGACGATACCAAAGAAATTAAGGAAGAGCAGGTTACTCCTACGGAACCCGCCGCTCTTGTACCTGATCGCCCAGCCACAAGTTTCCACAGGACGACTTTCGTTTCCGCCACGGCGAGAGGTGGCGTAAGACGTCCAGTTAGCTTAGGTCCTCCGCCGGGGATAGATAGGGTTCGCAGGCCGTTTAAGCCATTGACGATAACGCGCCCAGCGAAGCAATGACAACAATAACGGGGCTTGACAATGGAGGATATTTAGATTTATGTAAGGAAATCTTTTGTTCAGCGGCTTTGGGCTGTTGACAGGGAATGATGATGAAAAGTGAGAGAGAGGATCTACTACTGTGGATGCTCGGAAGCTAACGGCAGCCTTACGAATAAGCATAACGACTTTGATAGAGTTAGAGTAATGGGGCGCAAACATGGGGCAGCTCGGTATTTGTATCGACGTTTGATAGAAGCCAGACTAACTTGATGAAAATAAAACATTAGAATAAAAAAACATCATTATTCCCTGAAATCACTCAACTTGTCATTCAAGAACACAGCAATACTATGATTTATAACGGGGACAACTGGATGCGTCCCATCGCTGCTTCATCGGCCACCCACTTCTTGCTAGAACAAACAGAAGCTAGCGTCCGAACTCTTGCGCATCGCTGGAAGACTATCGCTACAAAATCGCCAATACGTCGTATATAGAATTATGCCATGCTAACCTATAGATGTATACGTCACATACAAACACACATCTTAGATATTAAGAACTAAAAGAAAGGAAACGAGGCCCCTAGAGGTTATAGGGTAAGGAGCACCTCTAGATGTTCATAGGACAAGAGGCCGTCGTGGCACTGGGAATACCTAGTAATAACCTTGAAGAAAACGCATGAATTATACATTTATTAATCTGGAAAGCCCAGTTGGGTATCATCGCAGGTTAGGCATTTGCACAAGCCAAATGACAAGGGATTTTGTTGTTTTCGAGTCCACGACCGAGGCTCATGCCAGGCGATCGGACATGATGCTGTTCAAGGAGATGATGTACAGAACAACCCGGCCTTGGCACCACGCTGAGTTAGTGTATCCCACCAATTCGTCGGCGGGTGGGTGGTGACGATGCTTCATCTCAAGCTTATGGCCGGTTGACCGGGACTAGCAATAACCTGAGCGTGTCCTGCGTACCTGCTTCCAGAGATTTCCCGTCTGACACACGGTGCCCATAATGACGTGTAGATCTGCCATTATACGCTGTAGATCCCAATATGCTCGATGGCCCATGGTGTAGCAAGAGAGTAGGGCAAAGCAGCTTCAGCAGATAGGACCTATGGTTGACGGACTCCGCATATCTCGGCAGACGCACCTGGCATTTGCCCTATGGAGCCGGGATGGCGGGTGACCCATTGCACTTGATTTAGCGCTCCCCGCACTTCTCAGCTCCACAACCAACAGCGAACAAAGCTTGATATGGAAGAAGCAAAAACAATGGAGGGGCAGCAAAACGGCCTCTGAGATCTGCGATCAGGGCAGTCTCCCTCCTTCACGCTGCGCGATGTGACGACAGTCGGCTACGCATGGCCCGTGATCCACCGCTCAAGGCACCGGCCGGCGCAACTGGATGCCCCGGTTTCGCGTGGATTCTTCTGCATCTTCTCAACAACTGAGGTTGCTCTACTGCCTATACCTAAATCTATACGAGTTGTGAGTGTGAGTCGTGCCGCGCAGAACGGGGTCGCATGAAGACGAAGGCAATTAATACGACCTTGATGTACCGCTCAGAATGGCGCCTCTCCACACTCACTTGGGACGAGTGCAAGCAAGTAGGACAAGCAGATTAGGAGGACCACAACTCGGCTTCACAAACCAAATATTGAGTCTTTGAATATGGAGATGAAGGGTATAAATATATATATATTATGATATGAAAATATTAGATAGGCGCAAGAGGTAGAGATAGAGGTAAAGGGAGAGGGTGAATATGGAATGTTTACTCCAGACATAGGGTTTCACCTACTACTACTACTATGTACAATGGCCAGCATCAAAGCTACTACCTAGTACCTATTGTCGCAGCAAATTCATGCTCAAGCTCCACACAAGCATCGAATTAAAACCATCTCCGCCATCTAGCTTGTGCAAAAACAGCATTCTTCAGCAGCAACGTCTGAACCATCGCTCCAGCTAATCCGCCAAGGGCAATAACCGAGGGCTGCATCAGGACTAGTGGCGCGAAACTCAAAAGATGGAGGGCAGCCGGGCGTGCCGCCCCTTCCCAGGACGCCATCACCATGTCCCAAAGGGCAGGAGCATAACGATGCTGCTTCCCTTGTCGAGTTGTCCGGCGCAGCTGTTGTTGCTGGCGGGCAAGATTGGGCATTGACAGATTAAACCAGCGTCCAGGATATAGACAACTTATAAATACGGCATGGCAGACCCGTCGGCCGGGCTGGAGAAGCTGGCCCCTCTCGGCATCATTGCTGAAGAAGCCAAGCCGCCAGCTCGATCTCCATCGCTCAGCATGGCGTCGCTCACCATCGGCAGGGCCCGATCAGCCCTCTCGATCCTGAGCGTCTTCACCCTCCTATCTGTGGTGCTTTTCAGCGCCATCGGCTCAGCCAAGCTGCACAAGTTCCAGAAGTTCGCCAATGCGGATCGCCAGCAGTACCTCATCGGCGTTGGCAAGGCCGACATCACCGGCCCGGTGGTCGAGATCAACTTTGCCGGATATGCCAACCTTGCCCAGACGGGATCTGGCCTGCGCCAGCGGCTGTACAGCCGTGCCTTCATCATTGCTGACGTGAACAACCCCAATGATCGCTTCGTCTACTTGGTCCTCGACACACAGTCCGGAGACACTGCCATGAGGAATGGGCTCTTAGATGGTCTAAAAGCTCTGGGCAGCGAATACAGCGTCTATGGCCAGAACAACATTGCGTTGACGGGAACCCACAGCCACTCTGGCCCTGGTGCCTGGTTCAACTATCTGCTGCCGCAAATCACATCTCTTGGTTGGGACAAGCAGAGTTACCAAGCCATTGTTAACGGTGCCGTCCTTGCCGTCCAGCGTGCTCATCAGAACCTCCAGAAAGGCTACCTTGATGTTGGTACAACTGACATCTCCGATGGCGCCATCAACCGCTCACTCTGGGCCTACCTTCAAAATCCAGATGAGGAGCGTGCGCAGTACAACGCAGAAACCGATATTACCATGACTCTTCTCCGCTTCCAGCGTGCTTCAGATGGAAAGAATATTGGTGTTCTGTCATGGTTCCCCGTCCACGGCACTTCTCTCCTTGGAAATAACACACATGCTGCTGGAGACAACAAGGGCGTTGCTGCGTGGCTCCTAGAGAGTGCCATGGCCGATGACCCCAACGCTGCCGAAGGCTTCGTGGCTGGATTTAGCCAGGCAAACGTTGGCGACACCACACCCAATGTTCTTGGTGCGTGGTGTGATGACGGGTCAGGCCAGCAGTGCAGTCTTGAAAACAGCACCTGCGCAGATGGCAAGTCGCAGAGCTGCCATGGCCGAGGACCTGACTTCCAAGCTTTGGATCTAGGCGTCAAGAGCTGCTATGAGATGGGACGTAGACAATTTGCTGGAGCCCAGAGTATCTATGTAAGTGAAATATTAACTATTCTGAACTTCTCTTCTCTAATTACCTTTCCTTGCCTGTAATTTTCACTGTTAGGGTGGCTTCAACTTACACCAATTATAGGATAGTATAGATTCATCGGGTACTCCTGTTGTTGGATCATCGGTCAAATCTTTCCATTTCTTCCAGGATATGCGATACTTTAACTTTACTTTGCCAGATGGCACCAAGGCTCAGACCTGCCCTGCTGCTCTCGGATATTCTTTTGCCGCCGGAACCTCTGACTGGCCTGGTGCCTTCGATTTCACTCAGGGAGAGTCTGGTAATCCGGATAACCCTCTGTGGGGAGTTGTGGGTGGTTTGCTAAAGGCACCTGGTCCTCAGCAAGTTGCATGCCAGCAGCCTAAGCCTATTCTTTTGGACGTTGGCGAGGTAAGCACACCGTACGCCTGGACCCCCAACATTGTGGATGTTCAGATGCTTCGAGTGGGCCAGCTTGTCATCATTATCAGCCCCAGCGAAGCTACCACCATGTCTGGTCGCCGCTGGAAGGCCGCAGTTGCGAAAGAGGCGGCCACGTTCCTTGATGAGAGTCCTATCGTCGTCCTTGGCGGCCCAGCCAACAGTTATGCTCACTATTGTGCCACTCCTGAAGAGTACGACGTTCAACGGTATGAGGGAGCCTCCACCCTTTACGGCAGAAATGAACTCAACGCCTACATCAACCTTACCGTCAGCAACATGCACTACCTCTTGCCTAACTCGACCGCTACTCCCTCTCAGGGTACCCTTCCGCCAGACAACCGCAATAACATGATCTCATTTATTACGGGTGTCGTGCAGGATAGCGCACCGTCGGGCAAGAACTTTGGCAGCGTCCTGGTGCAGCCAAATCCCACTTACAGCATCGGCGATATTGTCAATGTCACCTTCCAGGCCGCTAACCCACGTAACAATCTCCGTCAAGAAGCAACTTTCGCAGCAATTGAGCAGCAAGGCAGCGACGGGTCGTGGACGCAAGTTCGTGATGACTCGGACTGGTTCCTCGTTTACACATGGCGAAGAACCAACTTCATTCTGGGACAGAGCGAAGTGGACATTAGCTGGGAGACATATGGCAACGCGAAGCCAGGGACATATCGTGTCAAATATTACGGTGATTCGAAGCCCCTGATCGGTAGTATATCGTCATTTACAGGAACGAGCAATAGTTTTAAGCTTTCCTGATAGCATAGCTGTGTTTAGATAACAATGCATTAGCCTATTGCCAAGTACTTGTACTGATTTTTATTCCCTGTGAAGTTTTAAATCAAATAAGCAAGAAGCGATAGGCCCCTCATACCTCACAATCATCGCCCCGCACCTTAGAGAGCAGTCTTATGTCTCTGGAGAAGACAAGAAAAGTGATACAGAGCCACTCTGCATCTTGATTGGCTTAATTCTCAACCTAGACTAGTGAATATACACCGTTCCTTTGTCGAGGCCACATTCGACGAAAGGTAGGAAAGTTTCAGCCGGGTAGGGGGGTTACTGCGTAACGTTGTACAAAAGAAAAAGAAAAAAAACGAGTATGTACTCGTATGCTTGTTTACATGATGCCATGACGGGAGGGTAATAAACATCTGGAGGGACAAGGGCTTAGAATGTCTGAACCAGATATTTGGGACAGGAAAATTTTCCAAGTTTGCCAAATATGAAGGGGCGGGATCTGTTTATTCTGTAATGCAGTACAAGCGGCATTTGGCCTGGAAAGCTTGAATAGTAGCTTCCCGTCTGGCTGTTCCTCCCGCCTTCTTCTCATTTCTGTTCGAAACGTAAAGATGCTTATTCACTATCGTCTTTCAAGGGCCCTTGGCTTCGAATTACAAGAGTAGTACCTAGTTACTAGGGGTCATCCTGTCAAGCCATATTTTCTCTCTCTTTCTTTTAGCACCCCTGACTCTACCAGATCATTGGACGTTAGAAAAAGCGGCTTGGAGGCCATATCACGCCGCATAGATGACACACATTGTGTGATGAAACGGGAGGAAAGAAGCCAGTAAGCTACGGTAGAGAGAGAAGGACAGAGAGGGAGAGAGAGAACTACTGTAGCTTACCTACCTACCTAACCTAGTAAGTTCACGTCAATAGGTCAAGAGTACTATATGTATTATTCGCAAAAAGGAGGGGTGAGAGCGTACGAGACGGCAATTTCAACAAGGCGGCTTCGGGAAGACACATGCTCCCGTCGGATTGTTGATGGAGCTCATTGGAGCCCAGCCTGTCCTATTAGATCAAAAAGCGACCACCATACTGCACAGTGGAGAGTCTCTATCTGAATGCATTACTCATGTCAAACATCGCAGAAGTTGAAGGCTATTACTTGCCATAGTTTGCGATAATGGCGTTACATAAGTCCCTTTCCGCTGCTACTTCGTTTGTGGAACCATTTATTGTTGTGGTTAAACATAGTGCGATGTCTGTGTCTGTTCCCTTCTCCTCCCCTCTGGATATGGCTCCGCGGTCTAATGGATTTCTCGTCCATAAATTAAAATTTGCAATTAAGATGGAGTCGAATGTATACAAGTAAAGGGAGAGAATATTCTTGCTTGTATCTATATCCAAAGCGTCATCAAATGGACTGTAGTTAAATAAGAATCTCTTCCAGAAATCTACTGATTAGTGGACTTGATTCAATGGGCGAGAGCTTTCATAAGCAATGAACTTTTTGCAGGCTGAAAGTTCAGTCGCCCATTTCAAGGATAATTAAGAGGCGACCTGTGAAGGTCGTCAGCAGCCAATGGGTTTGAGCAGATAGCGTTGTGACATCGCTTCTCTGCATGTCTCGGCTTGCTACTTGCTGAGTGCAGTTTGTATTCACTCATGACATTTTGCCTTCACAGCCCCCCAAATTTCATCACCGACTCTTTGAACGAGGAGAAACCATAGCGTATCGCTTAATGTAAATGGGACCAATACTCTATCCAAACCACCCTTTTATTCTCTATCATTCTCCGCCTACGAGGAATCCTAAGCAATAGCAAAAAGGTAGCTTTAGCATTCGGCCCACATGAGAGTACCGCTGGCCATCGACGTCGGAAGTAAGAGCCCAAAGCCTATGCTATTGCGAAGTACGCAACGTGCTTAGCAGGGGCGCTGCCTCGTCAAACTGGTTACTGTAAGGAGACAGAAGCCACAAACTAGGCTAGACAGTCAATGTTGAATGATGAAGATGGAAAACCATGGCATAACGAGATTATATGGCCCCTTTGTACGGAGTAACATCTTTGTTACCAACATGATGGAGCCTGGCTTAAATAAGAAACGGAAAAAAAAAAAAAAAAAAAAAAGAAAAGCAAAAAGAACCGAAAAAAAGGGGGAAAAAGGAGCCCATGTAGTCCCGAGTATTGTTAGTGTGCAATTTGGCGCCCAACGTACGCCCAAATAAGTACTCAAACCCAAAGATACGTGGATGCCAGGAGAGCGTTGTATCAAGCCTCACAAAGAGAGCGCCTGTGGGGGCCTTTGTAGAACGACATGGAAAACAAGAGAATGGGACATGAGAGAGATTAGAAGCGCATGAACAAGGAAGCAGCTGGGAAAAGGGTCGCCGCAGGCGGCCAGCTGCCATCTGTGTGCTGGGTACCAACCAACCTTGTACCACATGCTAGTAGCAGGTAATCCTCCCTCGGATGAGACTTCAAGGCCAATCGTGACCTGTAAAATGTCTTGCGTCGGGCGGCGCGATGATATAACGAGGATCGACCAATTTCGGGAGAAAATGCGGAGTTAAAAGTCTGGATCTATGAAAGTGGCTCGAATTACGGTGATGGGGCGAGCGAGTCTTTTCGTCAAGGATACCAAGGACACATTCTTCTGTAGCTGTATCGAATATACGTGGTGCGATGTTGAGATTGACTTTCCTTTCGAAGGGTCGGCCGAAGCTGAGAATCACGATTTGCCGTAATTCCGAATTTGATCCATCCCTGATTGCTTGCATCGACAAGCACCGCCGGATCTACATCTGCTTTGCACGACTTTATTGTTAGCGCCAAGCAAGCGAACCTCAGCAGTAGCACGTACGTACTGCATAGTATTTCCATCATTACGAGACAAGCGCAAATGGCCAGACTCTGGGTAATGTCTCAATCTCCTTTTTTCTTCTCCGCTTCAGTCTGGAAGAGGATACCGAATGCATGTGCTCCTTGCGCAGTCCCAGCGGGCTCTTTCCATGCTACTGAGAGAGCTGCAAGGTAGCTGTATATTGAGCATGCACTGCACAGCCGAGACGGCAAACTCATGTCGTGTCGTGTCGTGCCATGTTGTCGTGTGTCGTGTCAGTTCTTTGGCGCACAGGCAGAGGGACGTTGTAGACTATGCCTGCCTATTCACGCACCGATGTGCAAGACATGCTAAAGCGTCGCACAGCATATATGAAGTTTTGTGCCTGGGGATGACGCCAGCCATCATATAGCTCCCTGTCCGTTGTTAGGCGTGCACACTATACTCGTCCACACGTACCTCTCTCTATCCCGGGCTACCTTCATGACATACTTGATGCGTGTCCTTAGAGTATGAATACCCGGTCGCTTTGAACTAATGAAGAGAAACATTTGGAAGAGAAGGGGGATAACGGACCCGCTCTGGTGCCCAACTCACACCCCTTCTCAACCTTTTGCCAGCTTTCAGATGCGTGTGCTCGTTGTCATCGCGAGGATGCCCCGCCGCTATCCCATGCTCATTTGAGCTTTTATCCCCCTCTTGGGCAGCTTTAGTATCCGATCCGGCTATACAAGTCCTGCTGTGTACGCACATGTTCCAAGGAAAGGGTTAGAAGCAATGCGTTGGCAATTTTTTTTCTCCCTGATCCTCGACCGGTGAAGGGCCAGAACTCGCGATGTTGCAATAATATGTAGGGCAGCATCCAGCGACTTCAGCCTTAACACGCCGCTAATGCAGCCGGCATACGCTCCACAGACTTGCGCCACAAAACTGCGGTGCCAGCTACAGCTGATACGGGGCACTTGGAAAAGATTTGACTTTTCAAAAGTAAGAAAGAGAGACTTTCAAACATGAAGAGGTCAGAAGATGGAAGGCGAAATTTGCTAATATAGAGTCCTGTTTAACAAAATCTCATCAGCAGCAGCATCCCAACCTAGTCGGAGGACTATTAGTACCTTACCATTGGGCATTCTTACACCTTTGTTTTTGGTATCTGCCACTGCATGCTTATGATACTACCTGATAGTAGTACAAAGTAAGCGGATATTTAATTGCATTCGTAAAGCTAGCCTACCAGGCCATTATCGTATAAGCCTAGTTGTCAGCTGGGTCTCCCTCGCCGCCCTCGTTGGTTCTTTGCCCAACATGCCCACACAGGAAGTATGATACGCACATGTGCATGTATGCACATATTCATATAAGCAGCCATAGATCACAGTCCGCCTTACCATGAATCTTAATATACCAGGGGGACACCCTACTGGTCGACTGTTTGTGAAATGCTATCAGCCCATCCAAGTACGCTTTTACAAACAGGCGACCGAAGTTATAGACAGCCTCCATGCCAGAGGCGCGTTAGTACATGCATGCATGCACCCATCGTAGCTTGAGAGGTGGCTCCTTTCAGGTAGTCTCGCAGGTAGAACACCAATGCAGTTTCCATCTCTTCTCTGCTTCCCCCAAATGTACGTAGTATCAGGTAGTACTACTTCTGCTATTTCGTACCCACCCAAACCCTGCTGCTAAGACGGGAGGGGGCATGTAATGTGTTTGCCAGCAACTGGCAAACTGGCGGCAAGGTATTGAGACAACTCATCGGCAGCTCTTAATATAGTGTCGGGGACTGGCATCCGGCGGACACGCCGGCATCATCAACGTCCGAAACAGTTGAAAACTGGTATGACTCTGTATTCTGACTTAGCTGACGACGTGGACGGAACCTGCTCCGCACATGCATTAGCACCATGCTCTGGAGTAAAGTTAATAGGTAGCAAACGTCTATAAGAGCCGCGTCACACGGTCTGTTGACCGGGGAATCAATGGTTCATTACCGCACAGCCAAATTGAGAGCGCAGCACAGCGGTGGCTGGTTGCGCAACAAGACAGAGAAAACCTGGCTTTGGCGGCCGCATGCGCCCAAGTATCTTCGCCCAACCGCTAGTGTCGCAGAGCAACAAACCAGGCATTCGGCCGCTCTCTCTGAGGCACCATAGCCAATATACATGTAGTCTGTAGGAAGAGGGAAGCGATAGCCTGCAATCGTGAGGCCGTGAGAGGAGGAGCAGCGTCTTCATCCGTCAGCTGTCGACGTGGACGGGCCAATTGCATCAGCTGGGTAAGGGTATTGTCAATGAGCCAGTGCCCCTGCACTCTTCGGCAGACGTATCAAGGTACAGCAATACACAGCTCCCAAGAGTGAGGTAATGGGGCTGGTCATGTCTTCCTCTGGTTGGCCTCTGCTGAGCGGCTATCCTGCACTGAAGCCGACGAGCAACTGATCACCCTTTGTGATGCCCATTGTGGCCCAAAAAATACTTTTTTTGGCCCTCAACGCATGCATGCAGTATGTGTGGGTATGCTTTTGAGGTGTGGGCGTTTATACATAGTAGCAGGTGTGCATGGCGGCATGGCGGCGGTATATTCGTGTGTGAAGCTGGAAAATGCCATTCTTTCCCTCAGCCTGCCTTTCTCTTCTCTGTATGCTCTGTCTCAATGATCATCAACTCCTGAGGCATCTGTTTCAGTCTTGACGTGCTTGCCTGACATCCGCAACTGAGGTCGTGGCGGAAGGCACGTCCGCAGCTGCGGCAAGGGCGAACAACGAGAGGTGCACAGACCTTAAATCTGGTCCGGCGTGGGGCTCACCGGCAGTAGTCCCGCCCGCGTTTGCTCGGTGGCTTGTGGCAACTACAGTTGGTGCTAGCGAGTTGAGATACGGGGTAAAAGAGCAGGAGACATGTATGGGGTACCGCTAGCAGCAGCGATAGTACTGGTACTTTGAACTCGATACACTACAACAAGCCCCGTCGCAGGTACTGCTTCTACGCCAATTCTACCTGTACCTCTCTCCAGGGGCAGGGGCAAGGGCTCAGGATAGCAGCCCAGGCGCTTGCTATTAGAGGCATGGCGGCTGAGATCCGGCCTATAGCCGCTAACTACAGGCAGTAAAGACGCACTACCTATCATTATTTGCACCCCAGTCGTGATATCGCTCGGCAGTGCTGTGACGCTTTTTTTCTTCCCTTTCCACCCATCAAGTCGTGTGACTCCGTCGCGGCCTCGGTATCGATATGCTCATTCTGAGAATATGAGTTCAAGATGCCTTTGCACGAGCCACGGTCTGGCGCCTGCGAGGAAGCAGTCTAGGAGGCAGACTTTAGATGGCACCTCGGCCAGCGCAGCGCAATGGTGCCTGTCCTCCAGGCAATCTATCCACACACACGCACCGACAATACACGCCCCACCCTCCGGGATTGTTGACCAAATCACTTCCAAGTTCTCCCATCTATTGGTATGCTTGTAGGACAAGTTGTTTGCGCTAATGCTTCGTCCAAAGAGGTAAAATCAGACCCGTCCATGGGAAAGAAAGCAGGCAATCAACATCCACCGCCAGCCCTGGTCAAATTGCCCCAGCCCCGTCACACCCTCTAGAGGCTGCTACATTTTGACCCATCCGTTCCATCGCCATACTAGTCTTGATTTCTTTCTTTTTTCAGGCAAAGAGAAGAATCCCCTGGCCTGGAGCCGCATGCGAGGAAAGAAGAGAACGAGATAATTCCTCGCCTTCCTTCATTACTCCCCCCCTTTACACTGATCCATCGCCAATCCTTTCTCAGCTCCAAGAATAGCAGCTGCTACATGTGGACGGATATAGGTATAGGGATACACCACCTTGTACGCCTTGCGATCCATTGTTGGATATTCGTGCTCCCTTGTTGCCTCTACCTCCATTTCGGATGTCTGCTGGGCCCTCTTGCATGCAGTCTACCGCTCCGCGTTAAACACGCACGCCAACACTGAAGCTGCAAGCATTGACAGCTCAATCACCACGTTTCTGCCACCAAGACTTTCTTGGTTGTTTTTTTTCTCCGGTTCGGCTGCATCTAATTCCTACTCAGACCCCAGTAGCGCTCTCTGAGTGCCACATCACACACGGCTTCTCAGTCTACTGGGGCCCCATCCCCCCCTTGTCCGTCGACTAGTGATTCTTCTCGTTTGCCTACATACATCCTCCACCGAGCTCAAGACCAACCCCCGTCAGGTCGAGCCCACCGCGATATAAGACATCAGGTCATCGCCGTCTGAACCGCAGACTCCAACTCTCTTTTTCTCTAATCAGTCATCCCCAGACGAATGCTTCAGCTGTCTTGGTCAACACAAAAAAGTGCTCAGATTCCCCCCACACGCCGCCTTTCCTGCTTGGGATACGAATACTACTGCTCCCTTGAGAGCCTCCATCCCTCGTTCCAGCTTCCTACCCACCGCTCTGTCTAGGGCACTACGGCATACTGCCTATAAATCCGGCACTCTCACCTCTCACCTCTCATTTCTATCAGAGCCAGCTCGACTTTTGACATCGGTATATACGCAATTCTCGACCATCTTTCTTCATTTCACTTTGACCACGAATTTCTACGTCCTAATTATCACCAATAATACCGTACTACCATAATGTCTACTTCTTCATCTTCTTCCTATAGCGGCTCAACCTGGCAAGAACGCCTTGAGGGTATGGCACTGTCACACTAATTACTAATTTGCGTCGTTTACTCAACTAATATTATATAGAAGCTTGCCGTGACGCGCAGATCATGCCACCTACTTTTCAGATTGTATCTGATCGTCGAGGTACGGACACAATGATGGGCCTGATTCCTTGTTTTCATACGCTAATATAATTTTCCAGGCGGCCGAACAGCTTGGTCAAGCCAGGTTACAATCCTGGGTCAGACCCTTGCCGCACGATACTGGTACGATGGAAAGAATCTCAATAACGCCAAAGAAGACGCTGCCGAGTGTGCTTTGAATTGGTTGAGCACTTCGAGCAACGCCTCCCACGTACGAAATTGGAGCACTTGGTGAACCATCACCGCCACCGCTACTTCTACTGCTCCCCAGTACTATTTATTACCCTTCTTTTCGCAGCTATCCACTGCTAGCGACATCGAGCAGCGACACTCGTCAGTTGTTTTACTATACTGGTTATTTATACTCTCTCTATTCTCTCTCTCTCTCTCTCTCCTTTTTAAATTTTCATTTGTACGGTTTATTACGTTTGGAGTTGGAGTACCGAGAACAAATGCTTTCCATGTTGAGGAAGCAAAAAAAAGAGGATAACAGTAGGGGCGGCGCAATTTGCAATTATGCCAGGTTCTGGGAAATTCTCTTTTCATTACACAGAGAGTTTTGCCTCAGGTATTTGCTCTGGGACCTCGATATCCTTGTTGGCCGTTAGGCCCCGATCAACAGCATTGCACATGGGAATTACGAAAGCAGTGGCGCATGGTTACAATATATGTGTCTCGCTGCGTCCGCGTCATGATTGCGGAGATGGAGTTTGTTGTACTGGGATAACTATTTTGTTTATTTGTTTTGTCTTGTCTTTTTGTGGCTTGATTGATTTTCATTCGGTGGGNGGGTTATTTATTTCACAGTTTGACATTGAGATCAGGAGCCAGACGCACGAAGTAGGACCATGACGAGTTAAAGACCGATGGAAGATTGGACAGGCGCATAGCCCAATAACACGTGTTGAAGCTGATAGGTACTAATAGTTGCTGCATAGTCATTTTTTTAGAAAGAAAATATCTGATGTGAAATTGATAGCGTAGAGAGGCATGTGAATGGATTTATGACTGGCAGGTCTGGCACAGATGTGCTTCCCATGAAGAATTGAACGAGCGCTTCCTAGTAAAACGAGGTCATGTGGTCAAGGAGGAAATGAGCGCCCAATCTGGCGTCTAAGGGATAGGCAGCTGCCAGTCAATGCCGTAGAACAAATCGTGCAAGGATGGCTCAGATTCATCCGCCAAACCATCTGAGATGAGCATGCAGGGATCGCGACCAGGATTAGAGCAGAGACGAGGTTGAATGCTGACATAAGCGGCGGCGGAAGTTTCAATACAGCTGGAAATGGTGATTTTCGGGCCGCCACTTTTTCCGTGTCGCACTGCGCTTTGCATAGTATGGTGGGCTCTAATTTTCGCTTGCTTGATGGAGAGGTAAGTGAAATCGATCACGCGAAGAGTCCAGGAGGAAGAATTGCGCCTTAGGAGTCCTCTTGGTAATCCGGCGCACCATCATGGCTTCAAGGTTAAAGATCTGGGGTGCATGCAGGACTCTGGCGGTCCGACCGCAACCCGCCCGCCTCCCAGCTCAGCCATTCCGGGTCCAGATCTCGCCATCTCGATTTTATGCCGATGATGCGACCAACAAATCTTCGAAGCCTCCTACCGGCACAAAGATAGAAACATCCGGTTCAACCACCAAGTCAGAATCAGGGAGCGCTGGAGTTGCTCAATCGATCGAATTGGCTCAAAAGGCCTCCCAAACGGTGGGATGATACTTCCCCTCCCCCTCCACTCGAGTACAATACAATGCTGATTGCGAGGGGTTATAGCCAGCTTCAACATCACAAACATCATCTATCGAAGCGCTAGACGATGCGGCGTTAGAACAGATTCTATATGGTGGGCGGCCAGTGACAAGCCAGCGGGAAGGCGGTTTGACGGAAGCGCAAGAAGAGGCCTTGTATCGCGAGGGTGTCATTCCCCCGCCAGAGGAAGCGGAAGCTGCTCTCACCAAGTCAGAAACCGCTGCTGAGCCGCGATCAATACTCCCCGTCGGTGCAGAATTGCAAACTGCTGGCCACAAATTCGGTCTTCCTAAGAAGCCTTACCCGGACGGATTTAACGTCAAGAAGAGATACCACCCGGTGCTAGAGCAGATCACCAGGCTTCTGATGCGCCATGGAGAGCTCAGTGTTGCGCAGAGAGTACGTTGAACATGGATTGTGCCCTATCCTTATAAAATTACATTTTTCAGCGGAAAGAAGAAACTAACAGGGACTTGTTGCTGTCTAGAATATGGCCATGGTCATGAACTTTCTGCGAACAGCACCTGCCCCTATCTACAGTCCGAAATTCCCCCTATTACCGGGGACTCCTCCCGCCGCGCACCTCCCCCTTAACCCCGTTCTCTACATCACTATCGCCATCGACTCGGTTGCGCCGCTTCTCAAAGTAAGGAACATTGCTGGCGCGGGTGGAGGTGGCCGTGCGCTTGAGCTTCCAGTCCCCCTCGCAGTTCGGCAGCGCCGAAGGATGGCTTTCCAATGGATCCTGGATGTCATCAACAAGAAGCCCTCAAAGGGTAGCGGACGAACCCAGTTTGCCCATCGAATAGCCGAGGAGATTATCGCCGTGGTGGAGGGCCGATCAAGCGTGTGGGAGAAGCGGAAGTTGGTGCACAAGCTCGGTACCGCGGCTAGAGCCAACGTGGGCTCCAACAAGCTCAAAACCAAGAAGAAGAAATAAATAAAGAAGGGAAAAGTTATGATATGACGGCGAATATTGAATGTATATTAGATGTGTATTCTACGACAAGGAACTAAAAAGAGGCAGAAGAAAAAATAAAGCTGTTGAGAGGCCTTCGATAAGGCATGTATGTTATTACATAGAGGCAGCCAAGTTTATATGGAGAGGCGCCAGTTTTTGAGCAAGCACCTTTCACTCATAAAATGCTCCCTTTGCAGTAATAGATCAGCAGTTGAGCGGATGAGTACAAGCATTGTTGTACGTATTGTATTCGAAGGCACCCCCTCCAACTCAGTTGCTGGCCCCCAAGCCAGGCAGATCGGGGTCTCTTTTTAAGGTTAAGTTGACTCAATGCCACGACTACTAACAGAAATCCAATCAGGCTGCCGTTACACAAGCGAACAAAACACCCAATGAGAGCTTTTATGGCCAGGATGGCTGGAGCAGCTTAGCGGAGTAGCACAGGGCTGTGCAAAGTATCCCTGGGGGCCTTTTGAAAATGGAGAGGGTAGTTTTGGGCGATGTACAAGTTTGTTTCTTTGAAGTTCAAAGTATGACTTACACTACTACAGTTGCACAAACAGGAGCAGACTACTATTTGCTGCGAATGACGGCGGCGATATGGACGGGGCAGGCTGGCAAAAGAGGCAAAAGAGGCAAAAGAAGCCAAACAAGTAGCATTCCCGTTGGTGCGACCACGCATGAGCTGGGCCAGCTACAAAGAAACGCCTCCCCTTTTTAGGGCAAAGGCATGCAGGAGGGCATGCAATGTGACTGTTCATCCCTTGCGTCTGGATTAAACTTAATCGCGATGGCTGCTGCTGTGCTGCCCTGCGAGCAAAAGCCACAAGGTGCTAAACTGCGGTAGCTCTAGGCTAAGGGCCTAGCACCCGTAGGCGCGCGCCGTCGGGGCCTGCTGAAGACTGGAGCTTGATCCGTATTGCTTAAGGTTGTATGGCTTCAGGGCAGCCCCCTGTAAAGTGCCCGGGTTTTGCAAGTCCTCCAGTGCGTCGCAAGCCGCTGAAATCTCTCACTGGCCCCTTGCTCGGACGGCCCCTCCTCCCCACGACGAGCTTCTCTTGCCATCAAATCGGTTTTAGGCTCCTCCTCCATCTTTGCCCGACCCGGACGAGCTCCGGCATGTGCTTCTCCAGACGTGCAGCCGCTAGATAAAACTCCAAACATACATACATACCGACTCTGGGTAGCCGCCAAACGCTCCCTCGACAATCCGAACCAGCTCCCGGCCGTCGTCCATCGCACTGCAGCCTGCGCTCGCCATGATCTGAGAGGCGTCGGGCACACGTCGCTTAACCGCCTTCCGGCTCATGCACAATATGCTCCTCTGGTCTCCAACTCGCACCCAATCGACTCGCCGTCGACTTCATCGAAAGCTGCCCCGCTAGCATTGCGGCGGCCTCCCACGGATCAATCGTCTGCCCAGATATCGAAGCTATAGCAACGTCAATTATCGAGTGCTGCTGCGCGACAGTACGTGTCTGCGAGACTGAGAGGATATAGACAGTTCTGCGGACCTTATTTTCTTGTTTTTTTTCCCTTGTCATCTACCACTTTGGGCGCTCACCGGACATTACCGGCTGGTCTCACGACACATTACGTCGCCTACCGATCGTCTGGGCACGATACATTTGTGATAACCATCCATCCCCTTACTATATTAAATATAACTTCAACCGTCAACATGGCGAACAGCAACAGCAACAAGTATCGCCCCATGAGCATCGATGCCATGCTTGACATGGAGCGGCAGGAGGTCCTCGCTCTGCTAGAGGGCAATAGCGAAATGCAGTCTGCCTCGTCTGTTAGAGGCGGGCGGTCAGATTCACCCTACGCGTCGCGTTCCCCTGTTCGCAGTATGCTAGATATTGCGGAGGACGAGATCCCTCCGAGCAACGCCACGTCTTCTTCCAACAGAGGTGCTCCCGCCTCCCATGGCCCCGTCAGGAGCATGCTCGATGTTAAGGCGCCGCCTTCTCCACAGCTGGTCCGTAGCATGCTCGATGTTAGTGGCCCTGTGCCGGACTCTCCTAGACGAGCTGGCCGCAGCTCAACTCCAAGCTCTCCTCTACTGACCTCCAGCGACCCTACCTTGAGGCAGTCGCCAACTTCGAGCTTGACACCACGGAGTAGGTCTGATGCTGGACTGCTTTCTGATGCTGGACGGGGCCCACGAAACAGTCTGATTTCCAACTATCAATTCTCTAGTATACTGCCGCATAGCTCAGGTCCTCAGCCGTCAGTGAGATGGTCGTCTTCGAGAAACAGTAAGGGTAACAAGAGAGATAGTGGAGGATCCCTAGGCCCTGAGGGTGCGCTTCCTGCGGATAGGGGCCGGTCTCCGCTTGGAGCCTCTCGGTTTTTTGGCGGACCTAAATCTTCCCAAAATCGTCGCTGGAGTAGTAGGTCTCAATCACCAGCGACGTTTACTCCATCACAGCTGCCCCCGGGCAAGGCCCTTTTGAAAGATGGCCAAGTGATGGACCTCAACAGTGCCTATAGAAAACTGTCCGATGCGAATCTCATGCATTCTAGCGGAAGCTTGGCGCAGCTGCCCATGCGGAAGAAAGAGAGAGAAGCTGGAGAGGGTAGGCTGGTCAAAGATTATGTCGGACCGGATGGCGAACAGCTCGATTCTAGTGAAGAAGAGGAAGAAGAGTCATCCGACGACGAGGACCGAGGACGTAAGAAGTCACCTCGATCGTTGATACACGGTGCAGGGTCCAGCAACGGGGAGACCGCAGCCAGCGGCTTGCTGCCTGGAGGGCGGCAAGCCTTGAGCTTGCTTGCGGCAGCGGAACAAGAACGTAAGCGAACTGAGATGTTGGTTTCGCTCAAATGCGAGCAGCCAAGAAGAGAGGAGAGAAGAAGATGTGAAAAAGTGCTAACTCTCTTGCATAGGTTCACAGGTAGCATCTCAGCAGCCTCAATATCAGTACCGCTCCCTGATTGCGGAGCCTGAGATCAAAATAACATCTGCAACCGGGGAGGCTGCAAAGCCGTCAAAGTCCAATAAGGGCGTCCATCCGGCCACCAGCTATGACCAGGGCCCGATGTCGCGGGCACCATCTATGAAGGACTCGGATGACGAAGCGGATATAGACGATATCAAGAGGGCCCAGAATTTGTCCTTTTCAATGACCAACATATTAGAAACGCCAGAGGCTCATCGTGCTATCCGTATCATCTATCGTGGAGATTACAATAGAATTGTCCAGGCAGCTGAAGAAGAGAACCACAGGCTCCGAAAATATCTGGTGGCCACAGATCTCAGCGATGAATCAACTCATGCCCTCGAATGGGCAATCGGCACAGTCCTTCGAGATGGCGATACTCTGGTCGCGATTTATTGCATCGATGAAGAGACAGGCATAACGACAGGCGATGGATCTGTGGTGCCTGATGAGTCAAAGGCTATGAAAGAGCAAGCGGCAGCCATCAACATGATGGCAAACGCGAAAGCAGCACCAGCGCAGATGAACTTGGTATCTGAATTTAAACGTAGCTCGGCATTTTACCTACGAGGCACCGGCTCCAATGTAGGTACGCCAAGAGGTACGCCCAGAGGTACACCAACCAGCTCGCCAGCGCCGCTGTATCGTGGCGACCGTTTCAAGGCTGAGCAGGAGCGCAATCGCGCTGTGCAGGAGATTACAGACAGGGTTCTCCGTCTCCTCAGGAAAACTAGGCTTCAAGTGAGGGTCATTGTGGAGGTGTTGCACTGCAAGAATCCACGACACCTCGTCACGGAGGTGATTGACCTCGTCAATCCTACTCTGGTTGTGATTGGGAGTCGAGGCCGAAGTGCGCTCAAGGGGTATGTGTCCTGCTTGAGCATTATTTCGAGAAGAGGAGGGTTCGCTAACCATAGACTTAGTGTTATTCTGGGGTCATTCTCTAATTATCTGGTCACCAAGAGCTCGGTACCCGTCATGGTAGCCCGCAAGAAACTGCGGAAACAGTCCAAGTACAAGCGAACACCGGTGAGGCAGGTGAACAACATTAGCAATCCAACGGCCAGAAGCTTGGCCAACGCCAAAGTTGACTAGAGGTCAGTCAAGTTTTGAAGACCTTTGGACTTGCTACCCTGAAAGAGAATACGGATATCGTGCGCAGTGATTATCACTGCTTTATTTTTCCCACGCCCCCCCTCCCCTTCGATATGTACTGGGGATCTCTGACCAGGGTGTAAGAGAGCCAACCACAAATTCCGCTCAGTGACCACGGGGGACAAGCGCAAGCTACTATTGTATAAACTAGATTAGTTCAAGCGACGAATTCAGCGGTAGCGGGAGCCTAGGCGCGAGATGGAGTTGCAGGCCTGTTTTCTTTCGTTTATTTCATTCTTACTCGTTTTGTTTTCGGTTTTGGACGAGCGAAGAGAGAAGTTAGATTTGCTCCTGTTTGTTTCTCTCTCTTTCTAATGCCCCACCCTCAGGAGCAATGCATTTATTAGGTAGTTTATGTGAAATTTCTGTGAGATGACCAAACTGGCAATGAAAACTTCAAGCCTAGGACGGGCGTCTTTTTTTAATCTCTAGACATTTTTCTCTCATCTGATACACGTCATTATAAGCACGTGTGTTGATATCCGCTCCATCTCCCAACCAGCCTAGCGAGTATTTCCGTATTACTGCCCTGCCTCGCCTTGTAGACAGACCTTGTGAGCGGATTAGGGAACGGTGAGAGGTGAAGTTCGTTCATGTGACTGGATTTTAGGCCATGAAGCCGTGTGGGGCGAAAAGCGGCAGACGCTTCTCTTGTGATGTCCGGATAGCTATCTGCGAAAGTATGGAGTACCTGCCAGGCAGATCGATGGAGCATCCCGTCCGAGGTACTCCATACTTGCGCTGCATGTATATATGTACAAGGTTGCGGTAGGTAATCTATGGGCTCTACTACCAGATGGGAAGAGGATTCAAAGGGTCCGCACCCGATTTGGGCCTACAAATAACGTGGGTGCTGAGGATCGTGGTCTTACAACGCCAAAAGCTTAGATTTCGGCACGAAGCCTCACCAGCAGTGATCGGTGCCACTAGGTAGCAGTACATCAGACCCCTCTCCTCTCCCGTTCCGGTCGCCTTTGGCTTCGCACTTCTTAAAACAGAAGGACGATAAAAACAGAAAGCCGTCGCCAAGGAGGGGTGGTGTGTCTATTTCCTACAAAATAGAAATATAAGAAACATACAAGATAGAAAAAACAATGGGGAATGCAAAGTGCATGCATAAGAAGGACAAGAAGGGCCACAGAGAAGTGCAGGGAGGGGTGGCGAAGCTGATGGGAGAGAGAGCAGAGGACGGAGCCCACTAATTGCGGGGTGATAAGATAACGGGAGCAGCCTAGTGGCTGGACGAGAAGGTCCTCAGCGGAAAGAGAAGGGAGACAAGCCGCCACCAGCCGAGGGGCTTTTTGTTTTGTTGACTTTGACGTAGGTGCGAAGGTAAGCTGGTTGGAATCAATAATTGCGCAAAAAAGCCTGTACTGATCCCGAGTGTTTGATACGGGAGTATAGACGGACAGTACATTGTAGATGCCCTTGTCTGCACTGCGATGCACGTACAGATACAGCAGGCCAGGTGGATGGTGGGGTGCTGGTGCTGCCCGTTACGGGTCTGGGTCGAGGGCGAAGGGCGGATTGACAGCAAGGACAAGCATCCACTGACAGCACCAAGTGGGGGTTCTGCTTCCATGCACGATGGAGGGAGAGAAAAGATGGAGGGAGGGGGAGGGGAAAGCGGCGAAGGGGACAGCGAAAATGAAGGCAAGACAGCCACGGCCTGCTGGGATGATGATGGCAGAGACGAAGCAGAGGACAGGACGGGACAAGAGGCGGCCAAGGGAGGGGGGGTGGCCTGTTGGCATGGCTCTCTCGTCTGAAACGGCCCATGGAGATGTGAGCAGCACGTCTGATTGGCCGCGCCGGCTGGGTCGAATGTCGTGCCACGAGGGCCGTCCAGCCTCTCACGATGAAGCTGCCACCACAGCACGGTCAGCGTAAGGGAAGTGGGAAAGAAAGTGGCCGCCGCTCCAGTCACGACTGCAGCTGGGAGGGAGGTCCGCAGCGTTGGGAGACAAGGACAGGTCGGGAGTTGGGTATGAAGGTTTTGCGGTGCCGAGAACTGGCAGAAGAACGAGGAGGGGGGGGGAAGAAGAGTTGATGAACGATTGCCTTTTTTCCTTTTTGATGAAATAACTCGAAACAGAAGAAAAAGGAAATCTGCAACAAAACAATCAACCCGAAAGATCGGACAGGAAGCGAGCAAGGAGAAGCAGAACCGATCGATACATCATCGCTCCCGCATTGATCGCTGCGCTGCTACCAGGGCTTATCCTCGCCCGCCGCATTGACGCCTCGCTGTCTTCTCCATTCTCTCGCCTTCCCTGCGGAATCGACCGAGCGGGACTCTAACACTATCTAGCTCGACGAGCTTGCAAGAGCCCCGTCCGGGTCTTTGTGCTTGCCGCTCGCCCTTTAGTCGAGGTTTTGGGACCGTGGCTCGACCCTTTTTTCGCAACCTACCTTGAGGGAGTGCCATTCCTGGTGCTACTAGCTAACCTGACCGACCAGCCAGCCCGTACCAAAGTACTGCATACTCCCAGCAGACTGCCTAACATCCATCCATCTGCTCCATACCACCACTGCCGGGGTCTGGACAACCGCCAGAAGTTGCAAGCCAACGCCAGGGCCGACTACCGACCGGACACACCTTTCCCTAGTCCCATCCCGCTGGACCTTGCCGTCCGCCTCCAAACTCTCCCATGTATTCGCTGGTAACGGTGAATCAGCAGGTCTCCCTGATCAGCGTCACTGTCACTCCCAGCACCTTTTTTGTTGCCCTGATTATTGTTCTCGTCTTCGTCAGCCTCTACGTTCCAAAGCTGCCAAACTTCACCCTTCCAACAATCCCCATACCGCGCTTCCTCACCGCAATCTCAGGCGACAAGACGCTCCCTCCATTGCCGCCGTCGCCCACGTCGCCCGACCGACAGCTCGTATTGCGCGATCAGTCGCTTACGCTTTTTCGCCGCGAAAAGAAGGACTCTCACAGAGACAGAGACAGAGATCACGACCGCCTCAGGAAAGAACCAAAAGATCATCGCTACAAAGATAGAGACTACTCCTACAGAGAGAGGGACCACTACACCAAAGACAGCGACCATGGACGATCCCCAAGAAAGGCTCGACGCCTCTTTGCGGGATTTCGAGACTCCAGCAAGCCCGACATCTACGACGAGGAACTCATCTATTCTCCCCAGCGAACCGGCGATCGAGGACGATCTCCTAGCGGACCTGGACGTCGCGTCCGTCGGCTCTTATTCCCCTCCAGCGTGGCGGAGACTCGCCAACGGTAGTCGAAGCAACGGATTCTGGAGGCCGCCGTCGCATGATGCGCTCAGCGCAATGTCGCCGATGCGCCTGGCCATGCGCAACACCCCCTACAGCGAGCGCGACGACGATGACGATACCGACGACGACCTAGACCTCGAGGACAACCAAAACGACATTTTGCAGAGAGCGATTCGCACAAGGCTTCCCACCGGCAGCATGAGTCCAGACAAGGTGAGGAGTCGCAGTCCAGATGGAAATCGCAGCAATACCTTGCGCCTCGAGGCACCAACCCCGCCCGTGCTGGAGAGGATACTGGAGTCGCCGCCACCGACAGATAACTGTAAGTTGCCTTGATTGCTGCCTGCTTCTGCCTGGGCGCTGCTATCCTCGTCGCTTTATTGGACATTGGCGACTGACATGCCCCCTCTTTTCCCTTCTTTCGTTAGATATCCGTTTCGCTGTGCGCGCCGAAGTTCAGCAACGCACGGAACCAATTGAAACCGCCATTGCCTTCATCCGTAAACGCTACTCCGCTCTCACCGCATCATGGACGTCCACCCTATTCAGCGTTCTATTCGCCGTCTTTAGCGTCTCGCTCTTCAAGACACTCATCCAAGAGCCTGCGCCGCGGCCCGTCGGCGATCTTGTCAAAGTCGCAGGCATCGCGCGCTCCTTTGAGCCACTCATATACTATTCGGAGCATGCCATCACGCAGGTGCATGACTTGCAAGCTACAAGCGTGGCTGTCTGGGACCTCGGAGAGACAGTGCGAACCAGCGGGATGCGAGATGCTTCGCTCATTGTCGCCGACCTGGATGCTCTAAGCGGCTCAATGAAGACGCTTGCTACCGAGATGACCAAGTTTTTCGCTGTTGTTGATGGCGACATTGACGGGTAAGTGATTAAATACACATGTTCCAGCCTCCCAAACTTTGGTGACATCCATCATCCGTTCTCCCATCTGTTCCATCTCTTCTGTCAATTGAGCCTTCCCTCTCTCGCCTTGTGTGTGTGTGTGTGACCCTGGTGTGTCGAGAGAAGCAAACAGCAAAGTTGACATGGGCGTTTGCGCCTTGTTGTACAACAGCATCCTCAATGTCATGGATTGGGCCAAGATGCATCTCAATCGCCTCCAGAGCGCTCCCTCTCCTTCCTCCCTCTCCTCCGCTTACGATAATATCCACAATATGCTTTCTGAGGCCCATGTCCTCGAAGACGCCTCCGGCGCTCCTACGCCGCTCGGCACGATTACTACGTACGTCTTTGGACTAAGCAACCCGCAGCGCGAGCAACGAATGGTCCAGCTACTATTCAACGAGTTCCTATCGATCCTCGAGGAAAGTGTTCGAGAGGAGCTTCGCTATAGCATGAACCTCTACGGCCTCTTCAACAGCATCGATCAGCACTTTCTCAACCTGGCGCGAACCGTCGCGCGCGAGACTTCCGCCCAAGAAGAACTACACAGCGACATGCTAGCCAGCCTGTGGGTGCGCATCCTTGGCACGCGCGCTGCCGAGCTGCGCAAGTTTGAGCAGAACCGCATACTGCTGCGCGACGTGAGGGAGAAGACGGTGCGCAACAAGGGCATCCTAGTCAACCACCACAGCAAGCTGCTGTCCTTGCAGACCTCCCTGGAGGGCCTGCGCACCAAGCTCATATCCCCGCTCGTGCGTGGTGCCAATGCCACCATCTTGACACTCGAGGACCAGATTGACAGCTTGTCGGGTGTGAGGGATCATCTTGCGGAGATTCGACGCCAGCAAAAGGGCAAGGTCATGGAGACGCTTTACGCCAGCGTGCCGAGTAAGCAGTTGCAGAGAAATCTAGCGCTTGACGATGGCAGGAGTGATGTCCTCAGAGAGTCATAATCTCTCCTTTCGTTGCTCTCCATCTCTCTCTCCCTTCTCTGCTAGACTAAAGGCGCGATCTGAAGTACATTTCTCCTTGTATTCACCCTTTTCCCTTGTCTTTTTTTTTCCAAAGGCGTCAATCATTGGACCTGGGGATAAACAAAACAGTTGTCCTGGTATCATTTATCCTTTCCTATTTTCCTCCATCATCAGGCGTAAACAATGCTTTTGGCTCACTGCCAAAGAAGAAACCAGCGTGTGTTATTCAACCGGATTTTGATTTGATTTTTTAACTTTGATTGCTTCCTTTTGGTTATTGCTTCTTCTTCTTTATCGGTTTAATGGCACAAATGCATGGTCAAAGGAGGGGGGCAAATGGAGAAAAAAAGTGAAAGGTTTTGAGCCAAAGTTTGAACAAACTAAACGGCGCTTGCAATTCAATTTTTTGAAACGGTAGGTATATGGTCTATCTATACTGTCCTTTGTTTCTGTTTTTTCTCTCACTGGGGGAGTAAGAAGGGGTGAGAATATGAGAATATACGGCTACCTAAGTGAAAACCTTTTGGAAAACAAGACCAAAAGTTTTTTTTTCACGTAGATGCTTTGTTCTTCTCTTTTTTCTCCCCCCTTTCTACCAACCTTGCTTTATTTGTTTCCTTGTTTTCTCTTTTACATCTTTACATCTTTTCATATTTATAGCATTGTTACTTCTTCTTCTTTCTTATTCCAAATTTTACCTCTTGGGCGTTGGATATACGGGTTTTCTTTTTTTTTTCTGCTACTGGCGTTTTTCTCTTCTTTGTACTCAGGCCAGCGAACTCTTTTTT